ATGAATATATCATAATAATTTGTGTGTATTTTGCAGAATGCCGAGTACGAGGTTATCGATGACTCACAGGAGCACTGGTGGAAGGTCAAAGATGCCGTAGGAAATGTCGGCTATATACCCAGCAACTATGTCAAACCTAAAGCTCTGTTGGGTCTAGAGCGCTATGAGTAAGTATATATTTACTAAAAATAATACAATACCTTATAATAAAACTCCTTAAAAAACAATATTAATTAAAAGAATGTAGTATAAATTATACACAAATTTACTTGTACTTTAAATTTAAATTTATATAAACTAATAATGATTATAATCCTTTTTAGATGGTATGTGGGCGACATGTCGCGACAGAGGGCCGAATCCCTGCTAAAACAGGGCGACAAGGAGGGCTGCTTCGTGGTCCGCAAGTCATCGACCAAGGGTCTCTACACACTTTCGCTGCATACCAAAGTGTAAGCTAAAAATACAACAAAATTAAATACAAATATTAACCCTTGGTTTCCTACAGTCCACAGTCGCATGTGAAGCACTACCACATCAAGCAGAATGCCCGCTGCGAGTATTATTTGAGCGAGAAGCACTGCTGTGAAACTATTCCGGATCTGATCAACTACCATCGCCACAATTCCGGAGGATTGGCCTGCCGACTCAAATCCTCGCCCTGCGATCGCCCAGTTCCACCCACAGCTGGATTATCCCACGACAAATGGGAGATTCATCCAATGGAACTGATGCTAATGGAAGAGCTTGGATCCGGACAGTTTGGCGTGGTGCGCCGCGGCAAGTGGCGCGGATCGATCGATACTGCGGTGAAGATGATGAAGGAGGGCACCATGTCCGAGGATGATTTCATCGAGGAGGCCAAGGTGATGACCAAGCTGCAGCATCCGAATCTCGTGCAGCTGTATGGCGTCTGCTCCAAGCATCGACCCATCTACATTGTCACCGAGTACATGAAGCATGGCTCCTTGCTGAACTACTTGCGTCGGCATGAGAAGACCCTCATTGGCAATATGGGTCTCCTTTTGGACATGTGCATACAGGTCAGCAAGGGCATGACCTATCTGGAGCGCCACAACTACATTCATCGAGATCTGGCTGCCCGAAACTGTCTTGTCGGCTCTGAGAATGTCGTAAAGGTGGCCGACTTTGGCTTGGCTCGATATGTTCTGGACGATCAGTACACCAGCTCCGGCGGCACCAAGTTCCCCATCAAGTGGGCGCCGCCCGAAGTGCTCAACTATACGCGTTTCTCATCCAAGAGCGATGTTTGGGCATACGGTTAGTCTTTGTCAGCCAATTCCTATTTGTTTAGAGTTTAATCAATGTATTCATTGCTGTTTTAGGTGTACTCATGTGGGAGATCTTCACCTGTGGCAAGATGCCATACGGTCGCCTAAAGAACACTGAGGTTGTGGAGCGTGTGCAGCGCGGAATTATCCTAGAGAAACCAAAGTCGTGTGCCAAGGAGATTTACGATGTGAGTTGATAAGTTATTTCAAATGGAAACCAGTTTTTAATGTTGATTAACTTCTTTAACAGGTCATGAAGTTGTGTTGGTCACATGGACCCGAGGAACGTCCCGCGTTCCGTGTGCTCATGGATCAGCTGGCTCTTGTGGCCCAAACGCTAACCGACTAAGAAGCGGATCAGATTGCAGCAAATCCCCGCCTGCAAGCAACACGCACTGAACACACTGAAGCATCTTAAGATATTGGAGAACGTTAAAGGCATTACAATTAGGTTACGGATGCAGTAAAAGAAGATGAAAGATATATTTAGATTTATACATACATGTATATGAACCATAAGTTTTAGTTAAGCGCGAGCCAGTTTACGATTACGGCACGATCACCATATGACTATGGCATACTTGGATTATTTGATAGAGCTAGAGCTGAGCGAATGATATCATTATGTTTATGAACGCGTTAACTGTTAGTCGGTGTAGATACCAAGCGCAACAACTGACAGTCACATATAGCAACTATATTACAAAAAGATAAAACCGAAATGCATTAAAGTATAGAGAACTGTAGTTAATAGTCAAATTTTTGATACATTTCACTTACCGAAAGCGATTAAAAAAAAAAAAATTATAACTATACGTGCATACGATATGATATTTAAATGTGCTTTTTTAAATAGCGAGCCAATGTGCTAAGAAAAATATGATTATCTCTAAAGAATGATGAAACAAACAAGAAAACTGATTAAGCATTAAATACTAAAATGTAAGCCTCAAGTCGAAAGCGAAATGTTTGCACAACTGATTAAGGATGAAGAAGGAACCGAAGGAGAAAGATGGAAAAGTTCGCCAAGGAACATAAACAATTTTTAGACTAGATTTGTACGTGCTTAGTTTAAGTTTTGTGATTTATTGTTTAATTCTTGCAGACGATTTATATTTTTATTTAATTTTGATCTTGCGATGACTTCTACCACGCTCAAAGTATGAATCAAGTACGATATAAATACGAGAAATTTATACCATATGCTTTATATTTTAACTGAATTCTTTCGTTTTTTAAATATGATATAATGAAAAATATCTATACACATATTTTATCGTATTTTTATGAAAGTTTTACTTAATTAATTTTATCATTTGATTAAGCAACCAGAAATACAAAAAAGAATACGAAAAACCGAAAAACAAATAAAATGTACGATGAACATTTATTCACATTCCCCCTTTTATTTTTTATTTCTTTACGAAATTCAGAGACTGCGAGCAAAGAACTCGGTTTCACACCAAAATGTTTGCGAGCCAAGATCAGACGAGAACAATTCGAAGCAATGAGAACAGAACCAAAATAGAAGCAACTCACATAGACTTATAGCCAGACTATACCAGACACCAACAGAAACCCAATCAAAACAGCAATTCAAGCTGAAAACTCCAACAAGCAACAAGCAAAGCCAAAAGCGCATTTTGTACAACTTTTGATACAGCATTTTGATACGAGATACGAACTATACACAGAAACCGCAAAGGTTGCTCTATGTTTATATGAATGTGTGGTAGTTAGTAAGCGTCCTTCGAACGACTATATCTAGCATTAGCCGATCCACAAACAATGGTAATGTCTATCTATGATGATTCCTTTTGCTGAGCGCATGGCAGAACAGAATAGATAGAAGCGTTTTCCTCCTGCCGATCCGCATCCATGCAGTAGCCACTATCCAGACTAAGGTCAACATATGCAATCTACAAATTACACTACTAACTTATAATACGCGGCTTAGTTGATTTCTTGCGCCTATGCATATAGAACATTATATATACGATAAACATACAAATACGAAATACGTTTATTGCCATGAAACCCACTCCCAAAAAATAAAACAGAAACCAAAAATCATCAACGTGATATTGCTAATAAATGAACCGAAAATACTGCAGGCCTCTCATGTTTTATGAATAGTTGGGTTCGGTGAAAATCACAGAAGTGAAAACTGCAACTGTCTTCAAAGTGGCGGTGAAATGTTGTTAACAATATTCATATCACAGCCAGCTTTGAGGAGCGTTGCGGTCTTTCTGACCTGCTACCTGTAATTTTTAAAATCATTTTCAATTTGAAATACAAGGAAATAAATATACTCGTATATAAAATATCATGTAAATTGTTTTGTATATTAAATTTGGGAGCCGCTTTTGCTAAATAATTTTTGGTTAACATTGCTACTTAGCCCGAAATTATGCCACGATATATTGATGGTAGGAAAATAAAACAAACTTTGTAAAAAATATTTAATTTTACTGTTCTTTTGTGTTGCCTACCAATAGGGTATTAGAAAATACATTTTTCTTTATCTATTAATGTTAATGAAAATGGAAATCAACAGCTATTAATCTTAAATAAATCATGCGTAAGTGTTATACACTTATTTAATTTGTCGTGTTAGCTAAGTATAAATGTTCTTTAGTCATCTATTTTATTTTTAGACTACTTTTTGGTTTTCAAGATACAGTGAATATTTGGAGGTTTACGAGTTTACTTAAGAAAACACCCCGCAAACCATAGTCATGATTTACTAAAGCGCAAGAATGTTTAAGATGCAGATAACAACATTTGTCACATAGTTTTAAAAAATTCTTAATAGTCGCGGTTTCTGTGCAAAAACGAATCGTCATGCTCCATTAGGCACGTGTGTGGGTGAAGGCTGTCTGTGTGCCACCGCAGATGTGGTGCAAAAAGGAGGGGGAGTGGAAGGGGCCGATGGTTTGCCGGAGGCAAGATCGCGGTCTCTCATTACATAACCACAATCAAGCGGCATCAATTGTTGTGAGCACCGCCATAAATAGGCCTCCCGATGAGCGCAAACCCAATCGAATTACAGATAGCCAATGAGCCATTAAGATACGATTGCAATGTGGGCAGGAGACCGGGGGCAATGTCTATGTAAGGCGACCTTCCCCTAGATTTGACTTTCTCGATATGTAAATGAGCGCCAAAGCTTAATTAAATGGTAATCGATCTTAGATTTAAAAAGATTTATTTTGGTGGAAGAATAAGTTAGCACTCCTTGAATTTCAGAATATTGGAACAAAACCATCATTATCATATCACTAATTGGGAGTGTGAAAGATCTTAAAATTAAATGTGTCAAACACATCTATTATTTACACTTTCCTTTCAAGTTTTATGGCGGTTAAAAAAATTACTAAGCACACAATTACTATGTATTACTCAGACAATAATTCACAAGTCTATTTATTTTCGCATCATAAAGAAAATTATTATAACATTTTTCTTATAATTTACAGTTATTTTTATTACCTTTATTTAATAACATTATATTAGTTTCATGAGTATCATCATCATACACATAACAAAAGCAACAGACCAAATTAGCAAATAAATCGAGGAAAAATTTTATTTTTAGGCTCCATTTAACAAACAAATTTCTAAGCTGCATAACAGAGGGAGCTATGTTAGATCTTACGTTGACTGTTAACACCAAAGCCAGGGCTTACGTTACGTCATGGAGTCGCTACGTCGCAATTTGAAACGAAAAGCGAGCGTTAGCGACTTTATACCGCAGTTTCTGTTCGACAGCCCTCGAGTTCGGTTCTAGCTCTCTCACCTGAAAACAAACGCAGCTCTAAGCGGCCAACAATCGCCATAAACAAATCAGCAAAGTGTAATTTATTTTGGAAGCCTCTTAATAGATTTCCACGCGAGTCACAGAGCTCGACACTCAAAAGCAGCTGTCACTTGAACCCAATCAACGAACGAATCAACGAAATAATAAATCAGCCACGAAACCAACAACAATAACAACGAAAATAGCAATCACTTCGAGTGCTTCCGAGTGAACAGATGTTTTGAAAAACACCCGAAAATCGCGACTAATCCTGACAAGGACTGTAGGCAATAGAAGTTATTATTGCCGCGATAACGTAAAGTTTTTTACTGTGCAAAAGAAAGTTAGCTAAAATCAAGCCATCTAAGCGGAAGCAGGAGGAGATACCGCCGATAAAGTATTAGCCCTCGGTAAGGATAAAAGTGGAGTAGGCGTTAACCGTCAAGTCTGAGGCCCATCAGCCCAACAGCCCAACAGCCAGGGGATTGCGTGCTGACCCGACGACCCAAAAGTTCATTGACTGTCTGACTATTGGCATTTCCTGGTGGCACAGGGCTGTTCCGCCCAGTCAGCTGTTCCGCCCCCAAAGTCCGCATCGCTCCTCCCATTGTTTAGTCAATGACACTCGCGTATTGATGTCACTTGTTGGCGCAAACGTAACCCTTCCGCAGGTTCGCCGGATCTTCGATACCTTTATGTCTGCCTTTTTTTGCTCCGTAGAGCCCATGACATCAGCTCTAATAACCGGTCGACCCGACTACTCAGCTCATTTTTCAAAGTCAGTGATTATGGCAGGCACAACACAAAAAAGCGTTAACCACACAAAAAATAACAAAGTAACCAAAAGGAAAAGGTTAAACAGAAAAATAATCTCTCACGGGACGGGGAAATGCAATAATCGCTAAGCAAATATTTATAAAATGATCCAACAGGTATTTATGTATTTTAATCTACGAATATTTGCATATATGCAAAATGGTGTCATTCTGTGATCTTAAGTTCAGAAGATGGCGTACCCAAACCATAAATCATTGAAGCGGAAGCGAGTGTCCCATTAAATATGCCACAAAGACTTGTAATTATTACAAGCCATTCGAAATTTTAATAGTGCCTTTGAGAGCTTCAAGATCCAGTTGTTCGGAGAAGGTTTGCCAATTTTTCCCGCCTCATTTCCCAGCTTTCTCTCGGCTTTAAGAGCCAAAACACGTTCGCTGCAGAACACAGAGAATGTTGAGCAAGTTAATTAGATTTGGAGATCGCAAACTAGTTCACACAGCTGACGTCAGTCGTCGGTGTCTTGCCGCTTTATCAGAATTCAGACTTGAGAGTTCAGTTCGTTTCATTAATGTTTTTGGCTTTGATTCCCATGTTTTTGTTTTCCTCTGCTGTTGTTTTTTTTTCTTTATTTTTTTGGCCTTTTGCCGGTCGCCGCTGTTCACTTGTTGTCTGTTGCTGCTTTTGGGGAGGAATTGCCCAACTCGTTCGCTGTTAATTAAACTTATACACCGCCGCCGCTGTGTAAGGCGAAAAAGTCAATAGTTAATAGAGACAGCACACGAGTAATCGCCATTCGGCGGAGTCATGGAGTTTTGTGTGGAGTGGCGTGGGTCGGCCTGCCGTCTGGAAACCCAATTCCGAACTGGCTTTTTCGGACAACTCAATGTGGGCTAAAGGAAACGACGGCTGCCGTATTTGGGCGTAAAAGCCAGAGACTCCGAGATGGACGGCTGGAAATAGTCTAAATTTTGGGAATGAGCTCATGTTTAATTCGCCATTGGGAGGGCGTGAAATGAAGTCAAAAGAAAATAAAACGTTTTCAGTGAGTGATTGTTGATCATGTCAGATAACTGATACCCAACATACTACGTAACGAAAACAATGTTGTCTTTTAAGAGTTCAGTTATTACTGCTTTTATTCATTTATTTTGCAGTTCATTTGCATAATAATCAGAGATATCAAATACAAATTTATATATTCTTTAAAGTCGAACATTTAGTTGAAACATGTTTACTTTGCAATCTTGCTGAAATATTATTCATAAAGTATTTTAAAATTTCAACAGGGTATTTTAATTTTGACATTGTTTCTGGTTAGCGTGTTTATTTATATTTTTAAAGTTGATATCATAAATTGAAGCTGACGTGTGCTATTTTTGTTGTTGTCGTCACGGGTGCACAGTCGGGTCAATTGTGTGAATATCAATTTAAATCAAATAAAAATAAAGCAAAGTAAGCGAACACACAAGGTCACACAGATAATGCTGAAAAATTGCAAAGTCTTTCACAATCGGTGTACCTGTAACTAATCACGAGAGTCAAGGTTTGTTTTTGAAAATTGCTAAAAATATACAGAGAGTAAGAGAGATTGAAAATCGATTGTGTGGGTGTTAATATTCTGCTGTAAAGCCGGTTTTCACGTTGACCCCCGTTCATAGATTATCGAGCATCACCATCTATAATTTGATTACTGAAATCTGATCGCCACATGTAAATTTATTGCATGAGCAAACGCTCTATTAGCTTGATTAAATGCGACCTCTTGGCCGGACTCCCCAGACTGTTTTTAATCGAAGCTACACTTTGAAAAACGTACTTAATACTTTAAACTTGTTCTATAAACACTAGTATTTGTACCAATACAATTAACATCGATCATACTACTAAACTTCCCACTCTCAAAGATACTTTCAATAAAGCTTCTTGGAATTAAAATTGATTATAGATTATTGATTATCTTTTGTGTTTTGAAAAGTTTTCAATTAAATATTCTCTATTCTTTCTAATACATTTATTATATTAATTAAAGTATTGTCTGTTAAAATAAATTTGTATTTCATTTAAAATAATTTCCAAGCTTTTTCTATATACCATATGCATTATGTATTTCCTAAGATTTTGGCAGCTTAAAAAGTGCTCTGAGCACTGATCTTTATTTAGATACAATTGTATCTGCTTAAACGGATTTCTTCCGATGCAAACATCTGTGGGCAGACAAGGGGCCAAGAGTCAGTGTCTGACAGATGTCTGTCTGACTTCTGTTGGCTCAGCTGCCGGCTCTGATTCATCCGACGGATTTTCAGCTGAGTTTTCCCAACTGATCTTGGCCTCGAACGGCAATTGAACATGATGTTCGATGTGTGGGCTGCTCCAAGCTCATGATGGTGATGTAAGAGCTGCCATATAAGACCGGCTGATGAATATGCCTTGGGAACAGAACACTGCTTTTATTTTTTTTGAATTGCATGCGAGGTCAGGAGTCGCGAAAGTGGCAAGTAACAAGTGCAGCAGGCGGACTAAAAAACTAAATAAAACTCCTTCTTGGCAGGAGAGCGACGGCTTTATTGGCCCTGTTAACAGCCAGTCCACGCCCCCTAACATAGTTGTAATTATTTACACAGCCTGGCGAATTTTCACGGCCACCAGAAGTGGCACGCTTCGCTTTTTTTTTTCGGGTTCAACTGCGCGCTTGAGTTTGGTTTTGGTTCGAGGTTTGTTTTTGTTTCGGTTTTAGTTTTTTAGGGCTGGCTTTCTTTGTCCGTCATGCAATTGTCGGCCATAAGTCATTAAAAGTAATCGTTTTGTTGGCTTACATGCCCCACAAAATGGGCAGCATTAGCACTTAGCATACTTCGTAACGTTTCGATTCGGGGCGCAACCTTGTTGACCAGGCCCTTTGTACTCCAATAAATAAATGGTGGGTTGGAACCCCCAAATCTCGGAGGCCGTCAAATCCGAATCCGAATCCAGCCCCGTATCGATTACACTCCCAGATGGTTGCTAAAAAGGTGGCGGCAGCCGGGAAAAGGAGCTCCTGATACCAACAGGCACCGTCTGTTTTCCGCTGTCTGCCAGCCTGTCGATGGGCAACACTTTGGGTTTCCATTCCCTTCCATTCGAGCTGTGAAAAGAAGGTCGTCACCCAGGGCAGCCGGTTTTGGGAATAAAAATGTTGTTGAGCTGGCTTCTAATTAAAATATTTATGATGGGCAACTCTTTACTAGCTGGAAACTTTTTTACTATTTCTTTTGTTACGGTTCGAGTGTAAACATGTGCATAATAAACTTTTATGCAACGGAAGAAGTTAAGAACATTTTATTATACAATTCTTTGTCAGTAAAAACGTTTACGTTAAATTATTAAATTGCTTCAAAAAATATTATAATGTATTCTTTTATTGCAAAGTTTTGTTTTTCCACCAATTACTTATTTTTTATGAATAAAATAGATTTACAAAATATTGATTTAAATGTATTTTATTTATATGTTCCCAATAAAATCTTAAGTCCCACAGTAAAATAAAAATTGAAATTGAAGTGTTAAATATTACTGCGGATCTTCAGGTAACATAACATAATTGAGTTTGAAATTTGTTTTTGGGGGTTTGGCACCCCTTCCTGCCGCTGTCACTGCCAACTTAAACTGACGAGCCTACCGCAAAGTTATTGCCATTGTTTGTCTTTCACGCGGCGCAACAAATCCGCGACTCGCAAAGAAATAAACTGCAACAACAACAAAAACAACAATAAGAACCGAGCAACAGCCACTGCAGTGGAAAGAAAAAAAAAACAGAGTGACAGCCGCCACACGACACGCCCCCTCCACTCACCTGCCCTCGAATTTCCTTTATGGGCAAAAGCCCACACGCCTGCCCATTAGCCGCCCCACGGAATTGGCCCAGAAAATTCGAAACAACACCCAACAGGCCATAAGTATACGATTGATTTTTGTGTCATCGACTGGCAGTTGGAGCAGGACGGAATTTGGATTATTAGGTTACCCAATTTTAGGGGTCGAACTATAGATTTCGTTCGGTATTCCCATAAAACACTCTGTCTTAGCCGGAAGTTTAGTTAAATTTGCGTTTATATTTGTTGGGAGGGAGATTCCTGAATTTGATTACTTATAAACTTAAGACAAGCAAGATGAGGAAGGTAACTGCCATCAAATCTCAAGATTATAAATAATAAATCACTTTTACTTACCCTTAGGTCGACGTTTCGAAAGACACAAAGGATCAAGGACCCTGCGCCCGAGTGCGTAAAATACGTCCTATTAACATGGGCGGCAATGTGGAGCAGCGTCCTTGGACTCCGACGGTCCGAATTGGCAGGATCGCTGCCGAAACCACCAATCCAGGTCCAGCAACCGTCCAGCTTCCGACTTTGATCGGTAAGTACTTGAGATTACTATACTATAGCAAAATATTCGAATGCTTGCAGAAAAAAATACAATAGGATAGTAGATTTCTATGCTTAAATAAACTAAATTTTATTTAGTTAGTGCTTTAGGCTTTCGTTTAATATTTCCGCAATATAACTTATCTTTCAGGTTAATGTTTGAGCTACAAAAATGTATCATAATCAGACATTTGAAGGACAGATAGTAAAGAACTCACAACAAAGAAACTATAACGAACTTTGCAAACTACAATTTTAACATTTCAAGATATAAAAGAATTTTGAAAATATTTTAAAGTACCTAAATTTAAACTATACTAACAAGTGTAAAAAGCCACAATATTTCTTAGATTCTTTGCTTATATTAATAAGTTAACTTATCTAGTAGTTACTCATGATGGAACATATTTTCTTTACAGGCAGCAAAGTTCCGGACTCGAAGAAGAAGGCGGCCCCCTCGTACTCGTTTGGGCACAAGCTGGGCGGGAAGTACGACACCTCGGGACCTGGTCCGGCCCAGTATAATGTGACGGGAATGCGGGCGAAGGGCAAGGACTATCCGAGGGCGGCGACTCTCCAGAGTCGTCCCAAGGAACTGACCCGCTTCTCGAATCCCGGGCCAGGGGAATACGACGTGGTGCCGGCGGCCAAGGCGGTGATCGATGCCACGCCCAAGTACACTTTTGGCCAGAAGCCGGCGGCTCTGAAGACCTTCCAGATTCCAGGTGAGTTTCAGGCTTCTGGCTTCGGTGTTTGAATGGTGTTTTTGGACTTGGATTTCGGAGTTGGATTTGAATTTGAATTTGAAGTTGAATTTGAATATGGCGTTGCATTCGGTGTGTGTTTCGGGCTGCTGTTGCTGTTGGTGTTGCATGCGCCGACCGAGGAAATCATCAATCATGGAGCATCATTGTATATAGAAGCGAACTCATTAACTAATCCGAACCCAAGCCAGTTGCAATTTCCTGCAAGCAGCGCGTAAGTTGCTAACGCCCCCTTTCCCCAATTTCTATCTCTATCTCAGTAGCTAGTGTAGTGGTAGATTTGCCAGTAGATTTCTTCCTTATTCTTCTGTATCTTTGGATATCCTCTCTGAACAAAAAGTAGTTATGTCACTCTGTAATGTGCGTGAAAGTTTTTGCTTATTTAGTTTTGTTTCTACCTTCTTTTAACTTGCCATTTCCAAAGAAATCCATTTAATAATTGTACATTTTGATTACTATATAACCTAGTTCAAACAAATTTGCTATAATGAATTTTTCAGAAGACTCTCCGAAATAAAAAATTTCTTGTTAAAGACATAAACAATTTCGAGAAATTTCTATATCTATTTTTGGTTAGTTTCTTTGTTCCGAAAAAGTTATAACTTATCGGCTATCTTTTTACTACCTTATAAACGCTTTCATTGTTTTCCTTAAATAGCTTGAATTTTACGTAGGAAGAATCGACAGTCTTTATTAAAACGCCCACTCTATTTTAGATTGTCTACTTCGGGGCTGAAAGTGAATCATACGAGTTAATTATGAAAGAACCAATAACTTTAGTGCCAAATTGTACGTAAACGGAAACGGGAACCAGATGTCTTAATTTAGTATCTCTTATTTCCTCTATAATTAGCTTCTCTTTTTGCCACACAGTGTTATTTGTACATGTGTTAAATTAGTGTTTTTGGTAATTTGTGTTATGTGTTTCTGTTGCCTGATTTGATTTTAATTTGAAACGTTTCTCTCTTCCAATGAATGATTGCCATGGCAAAATCGAGACTCAGGTCCCAACCATTATCAAGTGGTGCCACTTGATGTCGTCAAGCGGCGTGCCCCACGATACTCCTTTCGCATTAAGGTTAACGTGTACTTTGTTAACAATCCAGGTAACCCAACTAACTGTTTCTCGCCCACGTTGCGTTCCCTATCCTTCTATTTTTGGTGTTGGTCTAGCTCCGCTCTCTCTAATTTCTGACCCAAATCGAACCCACCTCATCACTAATTCCCGAACTAAGTAACATATCTTTCTATCTGTATCCCTCACTCACAATTAGTCGTAGCTCACTTAGTGTAGACCTCTAGTTTGATTCGAGTAGACTTAACCAATGGACGTACCAATTTTTATGTTTTATTAATACTAACAGCTCCGAATAGCTATTGCCCTGAAAAGGTCACGCAATCAAAAAAGAATGCGCCACGCTACACTTTCGGTAGACGAACTAAAATCGAACACGATCAGGGCACACCAGGTAATATTCCCCGATTATACCCAAGTAAATCTGTATCTGTATCTGTATCTGTATCTGTAACTGTAAGCTACTTAAAACCAGGCACCAAATGCTCAAGTAATCCGAATTGGACAGTATCTATAGAATTGACGAGCTTTCCGTTTACATATTCCCGAATTCTCTGGGAACTTAATTCATATATCTGTACAATTCACAGCTCCCGGCGCCTATTGTCCCGAGAAAGTGAAGCTTAACAAGACGCCGGAGTTCAGTTTCGGTATCAAACACCACGAACAGAGGCCAGATTACACTCCAGGTTTGTCACACTACACTTAAAGATTGAACTATCTTTAATAGCTGCTTTATGCCTTCACAACTTTGCCACTAAAATCAGCGCCGGGCACTTACAAACCAGAGCAAGTCGTCCTAGAACACAATCCCGCCTACAGCTTTGGCCTAAAAACCAAACACATTCAGGTCAGCGACACTCCAGGTAAGGCTTCCCAGCTTGGCTTAGACTAGTTATTTGGCCTTAAGACCACACTTCTATATCCTAAATAGCACCCGGTGCATATAGTCCCGAAAAATCACGGCTACACTCTACACCCGCTTACTCAATCGCTGGAAAGGCCTCTCACGATGTTGTCGATTGCACACCTGGTAAGTTATTAAAATGATGGGTTAAACATTCCAAAAGAAGTTCGATTTTGTGATATTGATATACCTATAGGGTTGAAAGAAATACAAGAAATACTGATGCATTATTTTGTAACATTTGTAAAACAAAGTATTCAGGTTTAATTTATATTTAATCGTTGCGTTTCAATATTGTGTTTTTATGGCGCGTCTACTTTTCAATTCACTCTTCTTCTTTCTCATAAAACAAAATACATAGTTCTCACATTTTCTTCCAAATAATATTAAATTCTTAAACATAGTTTTCATACTTCAATTATTACAACATTTTTTTAATACTTAACATTATTTATAATATTATACAGTATTTATTGTCTGAGGTTTACATTAGAGGTGTTTCTTTTTTGTAAGAACATTAAATATTATCAGTCACTTAAATTTTTTATTTTGTTGTAAGAAACCTAGAAGTAGTTCAACACCACCCCCACCACTCACACCTTACTACGTAATCTCTTCCAGCACCCGGAGCATACGAACCCGAGAAGTGCGTGCTGAGCAGGACTCCCGCCTTCAGCTTCGGCCACCGCGTGGAGCTCTCCAAGTCCAGCGACACGCCCGCACCCGGAACCTACAACCCGGAGAAAGTGCGGCTGGACCACATGCCCGCCTTCACGCTCTCCGGACGCCCGGAAACCAAGTCGCTGAGCGAAACGCCGGCGCCCGGTTCGTATGCCCCGGAGAAGTACCGCAACCATCGAACGCCGGCCTTCACCTTCGGCGGTAAGCACGAGCAGCGCCTCGAGAGCTCCACTCCGGCACCGGGCGACTACTGTCCCGAAAAAGTGCGGCACGATCACAATCCCGCTTTCTCATTCGCCGGTCGTCACGATTTGCACAAGACAAGCGACACGCCAGCACCCGGAGCGTACGAAACGGAGAAAGTCCGGCAGGATCACAATCCCGCCTTTTCCTTTGCCGGGCGACACGATCTGCAGAGGCCCAGTGAAACCCCCGCCCCAGGCGCCTACTCCCCGGAGAAGGTCCGCCAGGATCACAATCCCGCCTTCTCGATGGCCGGGAAGTACAGTCAGAAGATCTCCAGCGAGAGTCCGGCTCCCGGGGACTACTGTCCCGAGAAGGTTCGCTTGGATCACACTCCTGCCTTTAGTTTTGGGGTGAAGAACGATCCGAAGGTGGAGAACAACACCCCTGCTCCTGGTGACTACAATCCGGAGAGGGTCAGACAGGACCACAATCCCGCCTTCTCCTTCGCAGGTCGTTATGATCTTCAAAAGCCCAGTGATACTCCTGCCCCTGGAGCTTATTCCCCGGAGAAAGTTAGGCAGGATCACAACCCAGCTTTCTCTATGGCTGGAAAACACGATCACAAGATCACCAATGGCACTCCTGCTCCCGGTGATTACAGTCCGGAGAAGGTGAGATTAGATCACACTCCTGCTTACAGTTTCGGAGGCAAGAATGATCCTAAAGTAGAGAACCACACCCCTGCTCCAGGAGATTATCACCCGGAGAAGGTTAGGCTGGACCACAACCCCGCCTTCTCTTTCGCCGGTCGTCATGATCTCCATAAGCCAAGTGATACTCCTGCTCCAGGAGCCTACTCTCCAGAGAAAAACAGGCAAGATCACAACCCCGCATTCTCTATGGCTGGAAAGCACAACCAAAAGATTGTAAGTGACACTCCAGCCCCTGGAGATTACTGTCCCGAAAAAGTGCGATTGGACCACACTCCTGCCTACTCTTTTGGAGGCAAGAATGATCCCAAAATAGAGAACAACACCCCAGCACCAGGAGATTATCACCCGGAAAAGGTTAGGCTGGACCACAATCCCGCCTTCTCCTTTGCTGGACGTCATGACCTTCAAAAGCCAAGTGATACTCCTGCTCCGGGAGCCTATTCCCCTGAGAAAGTTCGTCAAGACCACAACCCTGCTTTCTCAATGGCTGGAAAGCACATTGAAAAGCTGACAAATGGGACTCCAGCTCCCGGAGACTACTGCCCAGAAAAAGTACGGTTGGATCATACTCCTGCTTACTCTTTCGGTGGCAAAAATGATCCTAAAATAGAGAACAACACCCCTGCTCCGGGAGATTATCATCCGGAAAAGGTGAGGCAAGATCACAACCCCGCCTTTTCCTTTGCCGGTCGCCACGATCTGCACAAACCCAGTGATACCCCTGCTCCTGGAGCTTATTGCCCAGAGAAAGTTAGACAAGATCACAATCCGGCTTTCTCGATGGCCGGTAAACACACTCAAAGGATCTCTAGCGATACCCCCGCTCCCGGCGACTACAGTCCCGAGAAGGTTCGTCTAGATCACACACCTGCCTACACTTTCGGTGGAAAGAACGATCCCAAGGTGGACAGTACCACTCCTGCTCCAGGAGATTACCATCCCGAGAAAGTCAGGCAAGATCACAATCCGGCGTTTTCTTTCGCTGGTCGTCACGATCTTCACAAACCCAGTGATACTCCCGCTCCAGGAGCCTATTGCCCTGAAAAAGTTCGACAGGATCATAATCCAGCCTTCTCCATGGCTGGCAAGCACGATCCTAAGGTTTTCAATGATACTCCTGCCCCCGGTGACTACAGTCCTGAAAAGGTTCGTCTTGACCATACTATCTCATACACATTTGGTGGAAAGCATGACCAGAAAATAGAAAACAACACTCCCGCTCCTGGCGATTATCATCCCGAGAAAGTAAGACAAGATCACAACCCAGCGTTCTCCTTTGCCGGTCGTCACGATCTCCAAAAGCCGAGTGATACTCCCGCTCCGGGAGCCTATTGCCCTGAAAAAGTCAGACAGGATCATAATCCTGCCTTCTCAATGGCCGGAAAATACATTCAGAAGATCACTAATGGCACACCAGCTCCTGGTGACTACTGTCCCGAGAAGGTTCGCTTGGATCACACTCCAGCATATAGCTTTGGTGGCAAGAACGATCCGAAGGTGGAGAACAACACCCCTGCTCCTGGGGATTACCATCCCGAGAAGGTTAGGCTGGACCACAATCCCGCCTTCTCCTTCGCAGGTCGTCATGATCTTCATAAGCCCAGCGAAACTCCCGCTCCAGGAGCTTACTCCCCAGAGAAAGTAAGACAGGATCACAATCCCGCTTTCACAATGGCTGGAAAGCATGATCCCAGGGTCACGAATGACACTCCGGCCCCTGGAGACTACAGTCCAGAGAAAGTTCGCTTGGATCACAATCCTGCTTTCACTTTTGGAGGCAAACACGATCCCACAGTTCAGAATAACACCCCTGCTCCCGGAGATTACCACCCAGAAAAGGTTCGGCAGGACCATGTTCCCGCCTTCTCCTTCGCCGGAAGACACGATCTCCAAAAACCCAGTGAAACCCCTGCCCCAGGAGCTTATTCCCCAGAGAAAGTAAGACAGGATCACAATCCAGCTTTTACGATGGCTGGCAAGTACGATCAAAAGATTACCAATGGCACTCCAGCACCTGGAGATTACAGTCCTGAAAAGGTTAGGTTAGATCACACTCCTGCTTACAGTTTCGGCGGAAAGAACGATCCCAAAATAGAGAACAATACCCCCGCTCCTGGGGACTACCACCCAGAAAAAGTTAGACAGGATCATGTTCCCGCCTTCTCCTTCGCCGGAAGACATGATCTCCACAAACCGAGTGAAACACCCGCTCCAGGAGCTTACTCCCCCGAGAAAGTTAGGCAGGATCACAATCCAGCTTTTACGATGGCGGGAAAGCACGATCCTAGGGTTTCGAACGACACTCCCGCCCCTGGGGACTATCACCCCGAGAAAGTTAGGCAAGATCACACTCCCGCCTTCTCCTTCGCCGGTCGCTATGACCTGCAGAAGCCCAGTGAGACACCCGCACCCGGAGACTACTCCCCCGAGAAGGTCAGGCAGGACTTCAATCCGGCGTTCACCTTCGCCGGCAAACACGATCCGCGACCCCTGAGCGAATCCCCCGCCCCGGGAGACTACTGCCCCGAGAAGGTGCGACTGGACCGGACTGCACCCGCTTTCAGCTTTGGCGGCAAGCACGACCCCAAGGCGGATCACCTCCATCCAGCGCCATGCGACTACGCCCCCGAGAAAGTGCGTCTCGACCATACACCCGCCTACACAATTGCAGGTCGTCCAACCGCCGAGCCCGTGAGCCACACCCCTGCTCCATGTGACTACCACCCGGAACAGTGCCAGGTGGACAGCACTCCCGCGTTCACCTTCGGCATGCGACTGGGCAGGGAACGCATCTCCGACACGCCAGGCAAGTTATCTGCACTATAAATCCTGGGAAAAATCAGTACCTAAATGTGAAACCCTACACCCACCTTTAAGGTCAAAGTTTAAGACATTTTTCATGTATAATATCATTAGGGTGACCAAAGTTGATAGCTAATGATTTTTTGCAATAGATTAGTCCAAGAATAAAACTAGTGCCACTTTTTGCACAGAGCAACATATAGTAATGTTTAAAATATCGAAAATATAGTTATGTAGTCTTCGGTAAACTCACTTGTTTTTTTTATCTTTTTTGATTGTAATGATCTAACATCCTAAAGGATTATTCTCTATTATTGTTGAATTTTTAGATAGAAAGTATAGGTATTCATTATTTACTAGAATTTATTTAATGAATAACTAAGTGATTGCACTTTAAGTTTCCCTGCGATTTATTTACTTGAACCACAACAAAACGAACCACCCTAACGAGCATCAGTAAAATTGCAGCACCCTCCGCTTACGAGCCGGAAAAACACACTCTGCACTCCACACCCGCCTATACTTTTGGCACCAAGTCGGACATCCGAGTGACCACCGATGCCCCAGGTAAATAGTGATTTCTCTATGATTTCCAATGAATGTTGCATGTTGCTGCTGTGTATTGCATGTTCCCCGCTTTCTTTGTTTGTTCCCCTGTCCAACTGTTTAGCCCCCGGTCACTATCATCCCGAGCAATGCAAGCTGGACAGCTCGCCGGCCTTTAGTTTTGGCCTTAAGACAGTGCCAACTGCTTCACTTCCAGGTAGGTTACCCACACACCTCCGCTTTTTTGGTGCCGGATTCTGAAAACTCCGTCCGGATATGCGTACGATTTTGTTTTTTGTTTTTGTGTCTCGTTCTCTTCTGTTCCATGTTTGTGGTTCGCACACATTCCTTGGTGTTCTGGCCATGAATCTCTCATCCGTTTCGAATCTCTGTAAATACTCACGAATCACTAGAGCCCAAAGGCGCTTATATCGAAGATCGCATTGTCCAAAGACGCGAAAGACGCCTGGCAAGTCCCGGTAAGAATCTACAGCATCATCCAATCATTATATCATCTATGGCTTCCTTTTGAAAGCGTTTTAAATTTCAAACAAAGGTTCTTCCAAACACACAAAAAATAAGTTAATATACCTATTTACAGATCATTTCAATCCGTAATGACAAAATTAGAAGGAGCGTGTCTTACATTTTTTATTAGCTTTTTCTGTATATTTATTTTCTATAAATTTGCTGTACATAAAGTAAATATTCACTGAAATTAAACGCTTTCTTTGCTGAATGGTGAAACATATGCTTCTTCCATAAACACCATTGCACTCTTCTAATTTCTGCTGTTTGTTTACAAAATTTGTATTAATTTCTTAAAACTATCGCACAGTGCGCAACCATGTTGAGTCCACCACCACAACCACTAACAATAGCAACAATGCTGGCAGCAGCAACACCACAACAACAACAACAACAACCACCACCACCACAAAGACCTTTATCAATGGGGTGGAGCAGCCAGAGTTGCAACAAAAACAGGTCACCAAGCAGGTGAATGGCACCACCCACAAAGAGCTTAAGTCCGCACCACCAGCACCACTTAGCAATGGCAACCAGAGCCACTCGAAGGTGGTCAGCACCACCACCACAATGCAGCAGGTGGCCCACGGGCAGAAGGAGAGTGGCAACCTGAAGGTGGTGGCCAGCGGTAAGTCGGATGCCAGTGCCACCAAGTCGGCGGCAGTGAGCCACCAAACGGTGGTGCAGTCAGATGGCGCCATCGTGACCAGTGGCCAATCCTCAAGGACGCAGACGGTCAAGTACGCTGTGGAAGCGAGCAGCGTGCAGGAGAAGATCATCAGGTAACCGGAGTGACTGCCAACAGTTTAGGCTTAAAAGAGAGTAATAAATAAAAAAAGATGGAAGTTATTATTGGATAGGAAGTAAACAAATATTTCAGACTTTAATAAAGTAATTAGTTACGCTACGATTTAATCCTGAATTTATTATACTCGTATTTTATCTTTTAAAAGCTAAAACATGAATATATTATTACTCATACGCAACGTTGGCTTCGATCTAAAATCAATTTCAAGGAAAATTCTCCTTCAATAATTCTTAAATATTGTTTTCACATTACATTGCCTATTTTACGGGAAATACTATAGCTTTTTTAATTCATTTATTTAAATCTAAAAAGAAAAGAATAATTAATATTCCTATAATGTTACTCTTTTAAGCTTAAACTGTTCTTAGTGCTCTAACTTCTTTGTTGTCCGCCGTTTCCGTTTCGTGTGTTTATTTGCAGGCACGTCATGTCAAGATCACCCAATCCAACCCGAAACTAACCCGAACCATTCAAACACCAGCCCAAGAGACAGGCCATTGAATTAACCCCAACTAAACCAGTTTATATCAAACATTTAATTAAATCGATTATTATAATTAACAGCTCCTAACGTCTACAAAATACCCACCGTCATGGGCAGCAGCAAGGAGGGCAAGATTCGCTCGGCTCCGGCTTACACGATCACGGGTCGCGAGAAGCCGCCACTCATTCCGGTGATGATCTTCCCCGGACCCGGATACTACGACGGCGAGTACACGGTGGTCAAGCCGAAGCCGCCGGTCTACTCGATGCGCGGCAAGTACAAGATGGGCAGCGAGGACGCAAAGCCCGGACCCGGAGCCCACTGTCCGGAGAAGGTAAGTTGCATGCTCCACCCAATTTTAGATTACTGAAAACTAGCTTAGGTTCTATGGCATAGATTGGAATAGCTAACCAATGGTATTCCATTAAAATCAGATTAATATTTGTACAATATAGACTCTTTTTATTATAAAGTGATATTTTAAATTATTTTAAACAATATAAACGTACGACTATTATTTACTCATTGTATTAAATTCTTATTAAAAAACTAACAAAACAACAAATTTTAATCATCAATGTGTACAATTTTTTTCTTAATTTATATAAATTTGATATATATTGGCATTACTTATTTACAACTTATTTGAGTAAACTAAATAAAAAATAATATCTTTTCAAAAAATTCTTGTTGTATTGCGAAAATGGCATACCATTTGTTGAAATTTCGATCTAGCTTTTATAAGATTGAGTCCCGTTCTTTTGTGGATACGCATTTGACCTACTGATCCACCCACAGTACTGGGAGAAGCGTTCGCCTCCGGCCATATCCTTTGGCATCCTGCACTCCCCGTATCTCAAGAAACCCCTGCCGGTGCAAATTCCAGAGATGTGCACTCGCTATTTGTTGGCGAACCGGGCGGACAAGCCTTACGACAAATTAGGCGATTAAATTCCCTAGATCAGCACAGTATTTAAAGGTGTTTCTGTTCTTTTTTTTCTGTTTTTAAATTATTAGGTGAACCTCTCCCATGTGCCCGCCTACAGCTTTGGGATCAAGCACTCGCAGTATTTGGGTCGCCTGAACGAGAAGAACGCCGAGTTCGACTACAGCTTCTCCGGAATCTGCTGAGACGGCAGCGAATCCACACCAAATCCTCACTCTGCCCAAGACGGTCTTCGATGAACAGCTTCCTTACCTTAACTACACTACCTTCGCTACTCGTATCGGACTAACCTTAAGTTTTAAATGTTTCTGAAACCTATTTGTAAGCCGAAAGTGTTGTGGAATGTTACAATTGTGTACACTGATATATAAAGAGAGATTACTAATACAATCAAATGATTTTCTTGGGTTGGGAAATCAAAAAAAATAATAATACATTTTTAGAATCGGTCAGCCGACAAATCTTAGGCGAAACGAAAGTTGAAGAACCACGCGAACAGAATGCAATAAGTAGGTGGCTACTCTTCTTTTTTAAGAGCCAAAAAACCAACTAATGCATTCTGTTCGCCTGTTATTTTAGATCTCAGTATCACAAATAATTTCGTTGATATTTAACCAAACCCCACATTGAACTACCAGGCGAACATATTGCAAGAGTAGCTATATACTCTTCTTTTTTTAAGATTTTTCAATTGATCCCAAAAGTACGCTCCAAATTTACTATAACTTTTCTAATTTTAATCAGATTTTGATGTGGTATACCATGCATGTATTGAAAAGTAACTCTGTTTTATTGATTTTATATAAACAAATAAAATAATAAACTTTTATAAAAATTGGACGACTAAATCATATAGCTGTCATAGGAACAATCGCAGAAAATACAGGAAAATAAATAGAAAAACCGTCATTACTTGGTTGCTACTCAGCCTATACGCATTTGGCTCGACATTTGTGATGACTGCAAGGGTATTTATATAGCTTCCTTTCTTGTTTTTAATTGAATCGGCATGAAAGCAATTAGCGGTTTTTTTAAATTTTAAATTACATGCTAGTTTTTGTATTAAATCGCTAATTTTATGCAAGCTAAAGTTAGTCTCCAACTATCTTACGATCCGCCATGAAGCTATATCTTTTGTTGGCGGCTTTCGCCATTAGTTGGATTTTAATAGATGGCGCTGCAAGAAGAAGTAAGATTTAATCAGGTCCTTGATCAGGACATCGATGTACTCTTCACGCTCTTGTTTTCTAGCAAGGAACCAAAACTGTTTGAGGCATAACAAGTACCCACACGAAAGATCTTGTAGAGGACAACGTAGAGTCTTTTATACCTTTCACCGCGTTATTTTCGATTGCGCTCAGGTAGTCAGAGCGAAAAAGTAAAACATACATATATGATCCAATAACCCTTTTTCTTCTTTAGGTGTTCACGAAGTGCAGAAAAATGTACTCGAGAAACGAGTATCCAACTTTAAATGCGTGCAGAGATGACTGTGCCTATCACATGAAGGAACCAGTTGAAGATACGACTCCTGCAGATGGAGGTGATAGTACAGTGGCTGCAGAAGGGGGTGGGGAAGGAGCTGAATGATAGAGGAAGATAAATATCCACCACATGGGGATCTCATCCAAATTGTGGGCTCTAGAACTGGAGATCAGCGTACTGCAAGCATCGGAAACTGCAAAATCGACAATCCTAAAATAAACAACTATAAAATTGCTTCCCTTAAGAATTTATTTTTTTTTTTTTTTATAGACATGGCACTTTGAAACAGGTCCCATAATTGGCAAAGTACTGCGTAAATTATAAAACTGATATGGCAAGGGAGTCAACAATTTAAAATCCAAGAAATGTTTAATCTTGAACGCAGTTTTAAGCGTCCCTTCATCGCAAAATTCAGTTGACAGGATTTCTTTTTATAACATTTATTAATAAGTTGGGCCGAAATCCCGGCGGTACTGCAATACCGGGCCAACCCGCGACAGAGGTGGAGCAAGCTCCTAGCACTCCGTCTGATTCCAAAAATCAGTTTAACATTTGTTGTCCTCCAATGGAGGAACTATCAGATGTTAAGCTGATAAGAACAGATACTACACTTTGATCTTAGCCATAAGGCCGAGAAGCGATAACTTGAAACGGAAAATTAGGAGGCTCTCTATAAGCAAACTGTTTGAACAAGTTGAGAATTTTAAAGGAATGTGGAAGTACGGTTGTTAAGGGAAAGTGCAGTCTACCTGAAGGGGATGTTTTGTTCGTCCAGGTAATAGAAGGATGAGGATAATCTGCAGCTGGCCGTCGAAAGCAATCAAACAGGAAATTAATATAAGTTTTCTACAATTTGTTTGTACTAAACAAATAAATATATGTGTATATTAAAAAATCTTGACTTTGTTCGGTATTTTTTGTATATTTGTTTTGTGTGTGTGCACCTCATTACCAGTTTAATTTGCGTTCGTATTTACAACTACAAGATTTGCAAGACTCATAATATAAACATAGAATTTACTATGGGGTTTCCCCACTAGTTCTTGGAGAGCTCGATCTCGGCATGGAAGCAGGACTTGCCCTGAAGGAAATACAAAATGTTGGTAACAGAACAAAGGTTAGTTAGTAGAAAGAACTCACTGTGTCGTGCTTGATCTCCGAATCGATGATGAGGTGACCGCGGGCCATGCCCAGCATGGCCTTGTACTTGCTCAGATCGACGGAGTGATCGTTGGCGCAGACCTTCTCCTCGGCCACGGGACACGAGGAGGGGGCTCCGAACAGCTTCAGCATGTCCTTGCCCTCCGTGGAGGCCTGATCGATGGCGGCGCACAGGTCGATCTTGCCCTCCTTCATCACGATGCCGTCCTTCTGCACCTTGAACTTGGCCACGGCCGTTCCAAATGGCTTATTGCTAATGCAGCCCGATGGCACCAGCTCGCACTTCTTGTTCAGCTTCAGGCTGAAGTCACTGCCCACCGTCATGATGGCATCCTCGCCGGCGCAGTTCTCCATCTTCACCAGCTTGGCCTTGTACCCATTCTGCAATCAGGATCCGCTTTCGTATTAAGTTTGGGTTTCCTGGGCATCCTTTAATCCAATACTTACACAGGCCAGGGCAGCCTCGAGGGCCAAACAGCTGAGCAGGAAGAAGTAGATCTCTCGCAGCATTCTGTATACTTGGAGTTTGGGTTGATTTTGGAATCTCCTCGATGGCTCAGGCCCTATTTATACGGTATTCTTGCTAGCCCAGTTTTTGGAAACTCACAATTATTTGCGCATTAAGCGCTTTTTGACTGCGGCGATCAGTGATCGTTCGGCTCAATTGATCGCTGAGCCCCCACTAAACAGACGGTCAACCATTAGACCGCTCCAAATTTCGGAATTACGGAATATTATGCACTGTCATTTTTAATTGCTCCCCGACATGATATTGTTTGTGTTTGGCGTGTCGCTGGAGTTCAATATCTTGATCTTCTAAAATTTGTTTGCACCCAAAGCTGTGTAGGTATTCGTTTATTAAAGCCGAGTCACCAAGAGTCCGTTGAAATCTGTTCTGTATAATTGATAAGTGGCCATTTCTCTTATTAGCCCACATCTGAATGAGCTTGATGCGATTTGTCAGCGACGTAATTTATCTAATAGTTGTAGATGTGAATGATTTGTGGCTGCGAACGAGGATCTGAAAACCGAAGCCTTTGAGGTTAATTTTGTGTCACGCAATTGTTACGTTGTAAGTTAGGTAATAAACACCACGACAAATCATGACCAACTATTTATTCAAACTTTTTACCGAAATTTGGTAAGGTCTCCAAAGTCACACAAACAACTCGCAAAAGGTTACTTAATAAACTAAAAATATTACATTTGCAAAGAGTTCTTTATGCTCCAGGGTTTACCACATGCCCTTGGAAATAAATGGTGCTCTTGTCTCGAATGGTATACGCAAACGGATGATCTACAGTGATATTTAGAGTTGGCAAGACTAACGGCTTGGAGGTATGTTCAAAAACTAAAGCTGTAGATTAAAAAATACGTTAAAATATTCGAAGCCAGAATGGAACACCAAGTACCTGTGGCAGCCGCTGCTTCGGTCCCCTCTTCATTAACTTCAATGAAGGCCTTGTGTAACACCTTACCGATATTCATATTGCCGGGTTCTACTAGGCCGCTAAAATCTGCCAATTCAAACGCAGAGCGTATGCCCATCTAAAAGTACAAATTTTAGTAGTCGAGCCGAGACTTATCTTCTAACACTCACCGTCTGAAGAATACTTTTAAGGTCTTCGGAATACTCAATCTTGAATTTGGGAAGCTTCAAGTTTACTTGATAAAGACCGAGAGGCCGTGAAAAACCTCTGATCTTTTTCTCCAATTCCTTCAGACCATCAACTTTTTCGGGCAAAAATATAAACATTGAAAGTTCGGAATCACGATAAGGTAGCTCAATCACCTTGGCATCTAAATCTTTAAAATATTCTGCACTGTAAGCTTTATTATTTGACATCATCTGGACAGAAACGCGATTTTGGTCAGTAGTGCGAAAATCGGAAGTCTTGGTATTCTTAGGATCGAATTTTCGATCCCACTGTCCTTTCAAGTAAATGGCATTGACGAGTACCACTTTTGTATCCGAATTTAAATTATTGGATTTAACAATGTCATGGATTTTGTCATGGGTCTGATTTGCCACCCACTTATTGACAATCGAAGCGGCCTCGTCTGGATTTCGTAAGTTGATAGCCTGAGCCTCAGCCTTGAAGGAATCCCTGACCACCTGGTTATACTCAGGCACTATACTTATCGTTCACGAATATGCGGTTTGCCATTTCGAGGATCGCACCTTTCTCACGTCCTTTGAGATTCGTCAGAAGGTCATTGTATTTTTTGGCCACTTCCTTCTTATCGGCAGGAAGTTTCAGAACCTTTCTCATTTCCTCGGCTGTATTTCCTCCAGCTCCCATGTAAGCCATGCTCATAACAATTTCCACGGAAAGGGGTGAGGAAATAAAGTTATCGTCTGCGTTTTTCTCATCCAGAAGTTGGTAAAAGTCATCAGTGAATCGGGCAGTCACTGACATGGCCAAAATAACTAGGACTGAGCACAAAATAGTTCATTTATTATCGTAAGGAAGAGAATGCTTTACTTACAGAAAAGTCTCATTTTGAGTGTGGAATGAAGTGAAAAGTATCCAGTATATATAGTCTGTATAATAGAATTAGATTCGCCTGTGAGCTTTATTAATTAGACAAGCCTGAATCTACAGATTAAATAAGAATTTGTTTGTAAAATTTCTTTATTATGATGTCTGGTGCTTCAGTTTTTGTATAATAATTATATAATGGTAAACAAATTTTTTAATGGAATGCCGCAATAAATTTTTATTAACAAACTCTTTTACGAGTCTGCATTTTTGTAACATGTTGGTTTAATATTTGTTTTTGAGTTTCTTGAAATCACAAAGTGCCCTTTGAAATAAACTGTGCTTCTATCACGAATGACATCAGCAAATGGATGAAAAAAATCCAGAGGATGATCTGAAAACCGGAGCCCTTGTTGCCAATTTTATGGCACGCAATTGTTAGGTTGTAAGTTATGTAATAAACACCACGACACATGATGACCAAGTTAGCCTGATATTTATTCACACTTTTTACCGAAATTCGGTATGGTCTCCGAAGTCACACAAACAATTAGCAAAAATATATTTAATAAAATTAAAAATAATGAATTTGCAAGGCGTGGTTTATGCTCCAGGGTTTACCACATGCCCTTGGAAATAAATGGTCTTTCGCACGTCTTGAACGATATACGCAAACGGATGATCTACAGTAACATTACGAGGAGGGTAAATCACCGGTGGGAGCATGGGATGGGAGAAAGCTGCAGATTAAAAAATACTTTAAAAAATTCAAGGCAGAATCGAACACCAAGTACCTTTGTCTCCCTCTTCATTAACTTCAATGAAGTCCTTGTGAAGCACTTTCATGTTGCCGGGTTTTTCTAGCCCAATAAAATCGGCCGAGCTAAACGCAGAACGTATGCCCATCTAAAAGTACAAGTTTAGTAGTTGACCCGAGACCTATCTTCTAACACTCACCGTCTGAAGAATACTTTTAAGGTCTTCGGAATACTCAATCTTGAATTTGGGGAGCTCCAAGGTTCCTTCATAAAGACCGATGTACCGGGAAAAACCTCTGATCTTTTTCTCCAATTCCATCAGACCATCAATTTTTTCGGGCAAAAATATTAGTATAGCGAGTTCATTATCATAATCGTGAACAGCTAGCTCAATCACCTTGGCATCTAAGTCTTCAAAATATTCTGCACGAAACGGCCCCTTTTGTGACATCATCTGGACAGGAACGCGATTTTGGTCAGTTATACGAAAATCGGAAGTCTTGGTATTCTTAGGATCGAACTCAACATACCAATGGCTTTTAAAGTAATTGGCATTGACGAATACCGCCATTAGATCCGGATCCATATCTTCGGATTTAACAATGTCATGGGTTCTGTCAAGGGTCTGATTTGCCACCCACTTATTGACAATCGAAGCGGCCTCGTCTGGATTTCGAAAGTTGATAGCCGGAGACTCGGCCTTAAAGGCATCCCTGAATGTCTCGTTAAACGAAGTGATCAGTTTATAGTTATCGTTCACAAATATGCGGTTTGCCAGATTAAGGATCGAATATCTTGTATTTTTTCTAACGACTTTCGTCAGAAAATCTTTGTATTTTTTGATTAGTTGATTATTATCCGTGGTAACGTTTAGAACCTTTGCTATTTCCTTGACGGTTTTTCCACGAGCTGCTATGTAAGCCATGCTCATAGCAATTTCCACGGAAAGGGGCGAAGAAATTAGGTTTTTGTCTGCATTTTTCTCAGCCAGAAGTTGGTAAAAGTCATCAGTGAATCGGGCAGTCACTGACGTGGCCAAAATAACTAGGACTGAGCACAAAATAGTTGATTTATTATCGTAAGAAAGAGAATGCTTTACTTACAGAAAAGTCTCATTTTGAGTGTGGAATGAAGTGAAAAGTATCCAGTATATATAGTCTGTATAATAGAATTGGATTCGCTTTCGAACTGTAATAATTGTTAAATACGGAAATATTTTCGATTTATAAAATAAACAAGTTATATTACATGCCCATTTAATTGTAATAAACGGTTTAATAAAGTTAGCTTGGGCAAATAATAATATTCTTGTAAAATAAAACAGAGATAAATCAATCAAAAATTCAGTTGTCAAGCATTTGTATTGCCTGAAAATTGTTCAAACCCTTGTATATTGAAAGAAAAAGGTACTACAGTATTTGAAAAATACTATAAAAAGATTCTAATGTACTAAAAACATTTTCGTATAAATTTAAAAATGTTAAAAAATGCTGGCAGCACTGAGCACTGCTTTGCCTGGCCAGATGGAACCGATTTTTAACGAGCTGGCATCTCCAGTCGACATTTGCGACTATGTTTAATTTTAGCTCTTTATTTAAGACCCCCGTTCGGGTTCAGTCCGTTAACGGATCTCACGGGCTCACTAAGAAAATTTACCATAGATTTTTAACCGATTGGAAAAACGACGTCGGTGTTAAGTTTGAATAACGCCAAAGACAACAACAGATGGTGTGGAGATTGGCTAAGCGAGAGGTCGAACCATTTGAGATACAAATTACATTACATTAACCGACTGACGGAACCGACGAGACAACATTAAATTTATTCTACCCTGTTCGTGACTCCGTTCAATTTTAGCTCTTTTTTTAAGTTCATGTTAAGTTTTCAAGCTGTTCGGACGTCGGAGCGGAATATTGAATCGCGGGCTTTAACTCGTTCGGTGGCAAACTGTTCAAACTTTGCCGACGACGCATTTAACTTGCTGCTTCTAAAGAGAAACAGAAATTCAAAAGTCCCCCACGCAAGAAGTATTAAACAGAAATCATCAACGTAAGCGGTATTTTGGGAGGCCAAAATATAATAACGTATTATATGATAACCGAAACCAAGCCGTGCGGTATGTGTATATAGGTGATGCATCAAAGGTGCTAAACAATTGAATCCGCATTCGAAAGTTTAGATATCGATGAGAGAGAACCCACACCTCGCAAAAGTGAATAACAAAAACACAGATACGAGTTTGATTTCAAATACAAATACAAACACAGCCACAGGTTGTTGACAAGAGTTCTGAGTGATATTGAATTGAAAGTCCCAAATCGAATGTTGTGCCAGTGTCAATGCAATTGAAACCACCAAAAAAGTCAGCGGATATATAGTAAAGTATCAGCTATACATATAGTGCGCGCAGCCATTATCTGTGACCTCTCAGCCGTGCGTATGTGTGGCATATACGTATTATCAAAGTCGGTTATTGTTCATTGATAAGTGTCAAGTATACGAAAAGTGTGCGTGTGTGTGTGTCTATGTTGAATACGTCAACGGCATTCCAAGTCAACGGAACCGCAAACACCGGAGAGCCAGGTATTCAAAATCGTGATTCATCGCCGATCGTGACTGTAATTGTTATGTCTTTGTTGTTGTTGTTATTGTTGTAGTTGCCATGCTGCTGCGGCCAACGGTAGACTGCGTAAGACTATGAATATTGGTAATCCTACGATTTGGCTTACTCACTCAGTTTTTCCAGAAACTCCCAAATTGTTTGTGTACCGGAAAGTGGAAAAAAATTGAAGAGTTCACCTTTCTTTTGTTTGTTTGGACGGCTAATTTTGATCATGTGTTGGTGGCTGGTGGCTGGTGGCTATAAGGCAAATTTCTCAAACCGGTTCCCCCATCGACTTCTTGACCAACCGAGTTGTTGATACATTTCCCCAGCTGACGTGACTCAGGAACCAGAAGTTCCGATCGAATCAAAGGCCCATAACTCAGTGCCTCCAATTGGGAATCGGGCCACTGCAATTGCTCACTGCTCCCAATTTGTTTATTAAACACAGGCCTCCCGTTCTCGACCCCGCTCCATTTATCTTTGACCACTTCAAAAGGATGTTAATTGTTGTTGCCATCATTGGCCATCAATCACTTTTCCGCGCTGGAGTGGAAAAACAAATGGAAAACACTATGAGGCCGTGTTCGAGTCATAAAAATGTCAGCAGAAGTTACGGTGAAGTGAGAGGAAATAGTTGGCCAAAGAGCCGCATAAATATTTACTGGACTTCCCCCATGTTCGCCATTCGCAATTCAACAGGCAAATGTTGTAATAAGCCAGAAAAATCAATGGCCCTAAGCGGTTCTGGGAAAGTGTCTTTCTCACTAGCTACCGGCCACTTGCAGCTCCTTTTCACACCTTTCCACTATGCACATGGCACATTAATCAGACGGTGGCTTATGGCCAAGTATCCGCCAGATACGCAAACCCCCGCCGGTGTCAAATTAAAGTTACTTTACTGCAGTTGATTATGGTGAAGTACGGTGTTCCATTACGAATAAGTTACTTACGCTACACAGGAGAAAAATATATTTTATTCACGCATAAAATCAGAAAATAAAACAGTTTTGTATTTTTTATATAAATAAATTTAAACAGTATCTTTTATTATTTTTATGTTCATCAGTTCACCAGAAATTGCTAAAATAAATTGCTCATCTTATTTCCGCTACAACAAATCTTTAAAAATAATGTAACCCATAGGGACTGTTAAATCCCTCAAGTGAAGAAAGATATATTTTTATTTTGAAGAGTTGAGTTGACTCAACTTTGTTATGGAAAAAACAAGCGCAATTATGCAACAGTTTATTAATTTTTAGTGTGACAAAACATTTGTGTCAATTTCTGAGTTCTTTGATTCTTTTAAAAATCTAAATTAAAGCTGCTTATTTTCTTCTCTTCTATGAAATAAGCAATTTCTGATCAACTTCGTTTGGTTTTCTTACAGTTTGGTTATTAAGCTGAAAGAGTTTTAAGAAATGCGAAATGAAATAGATAAATCCTTTGGGAATTGGCACATAAATAACCATTTGAGATAATATCTGTTTAATTGAATTTGCCGGTAACCGATAGCCATAAATAAAACCCATTCGTTGGACAGTCACCGGCAGTCTCGCCCAACATTGAACACGTTTTCACACCACTCAGTGCGGTTTGTTTGGCATTCTGTGAATGGACACCTTCGACGCTTTACATCCGCTGTGTCAGAACATAAATAATAAATCGAGAACGGACAACAAATACAATTTTGGCCAAGCTGTCTGCATGGGGCGTAAGCGTTTAACGACGGCCTGGCCATAAATCTCGGGAAAAAGGCCAACAGGCACTTGGCTTTCACCTGAGCCCTAGAATAGAGTCCATTCATTAGCTCTGGAATGCCGGTTGGCAAACTTTGTAAGCTTAAGTTTCCACAACTGCAGTTTGGAATTTATCATGAAATGAAAATCGTATATAACTGCAATCTCGTTTCCGCCGGGAATGAATAATAAAATGGAGGCAGCGGCGGCCAATTCACCCAATTATGTCGGCAAAGAAATGCATTGGGTAAACAACGAATTGAGAAATGTTCCATATTCCATCGATAGCAACGTGTTTTTTGAGGTCACGGCAACTCACGAAATGAGCTATATACATTGGCTATATATTTATTTATTAATCGAGCGAGACCCAAAACAAACAAATTAAACACTTGTCGGCTATTAAGCGAACGCATATAACATTTCTATTTATTTCCCAGCAGCTGGCCAACAACTTGTTGTCGCCACGCGTTGTAGTTGTTTTGTGGCTGGGCAGAATGCCAGCTATTCAATTTCACTGGCAGCGTTATTGTTGTTTTTATTAATACCGCATTTCATGGAAAACAAAGAAAGCATTTTTCCTAGACTTACAGCAGACAGGAGATTAAGGGTTACACAACTAAAAACACTAAAGATCTTCCCAAATGACTCACCAAAAAAGATACATTACGTGCTGCAGCTTTTGCTCCGGTAATTTCACTTTTATTTCCCTTGACTTTCTTCGCCGTTTATGTAAAGGCTGCCAAAATAAAAAGACATTTCATTAATTTCTCTGCTGCTGCCAAAGTGTTATTCAACTACCTGCGGCAAAAAAATGAAATTTATCTATTCCCTTTCCTTATCGTAACGCCATTTGAGAGCGGTTGTAAAGATAGAGCGTTGCGAAATCGTTGTCTAAGCAGGCCGATAAGGTACGTGCTGAGAATCGGTATCTGCGAGATACTGTATCTTGGAGTGAGCCCGCAGCTTGGTAACAGTTTGCGTGCTGCCATAAGGGCTGAACTTATCTGCCAGCCTCTCGGGGATTTGCTACTGATTGATCTCACCCACTCTCCGTTCCAGTTGCCAATTTATCTAGGATTACTCGAGTCGTTCCTCTCAGATGTTGTTGTTTATGCATTTGCCTTGCAGATTAGCGCTGCCCGCTGCTATCGTTTCAAAAATGCATTAGATCTGAGCCTCAGAAGCCCGTATTTCTGCTCCTCAGCTGGGAATGTCAACCAGGAGGTGGGCGGTGGACTGGGGCGTGGTTGACAGCAGAAAGAGCTGGCACATAAATTGCGAAACTAGCTTGTTTGTGTGGGCGGAATTCACAGCATGTGCTGCACTTGCCCAAAAAAATGCCACACAAAAATGTCAATAAAAAAAGCTGAGGGGCTCGGAACGATGGCGTGGCCATATATCAATTAATTAGAGTCCGACAAAAAATATTAGACAAGATGTTGCTCCCGCTGTTAAACTCCCCCACAAGCGAACTGACCTCGATCTTCCTGCGATTAAACGTCTGCTTAATTAATCAAATCCAGATCTATTTGCTCGCCGGACTTTGGATGACAAATTACCTTGGATATGCCATCAACTTTTATGTTACTTGTTGAAAAGTTATGGTCCGGTTTTATTGAAGCAATTAGTGTGTTGTTAAACATTTTATGTAGAACTTTTACTAAGAGATCCCATCCCGCACAAGTCACACTTTTTATAGTACTCTCAAAATTGAATAGACTTTCTGCTTCTTTATCTAGCTTTTAAATTAAATTAAAGTATAGCTTCTACAAGCAACTAGTTTGACAATAGAAATTAGGCAAGAAAAACAAACTTTGCTTTAGTTAGAAATATCTTTTTTTATATATTGTGTCACCCGTAAACTTTTTCGAATGAATTTTCACTTCATTGCCAAATAAGATGCACTTCAGAACTAATTTAGATAATGTGTTTTTCTTGGTTTCTCTGGGAATATTTTTCTAAGGAAAGCATTGAAACGCCGACAAATATTCACCCAAAACAAGGTTCATTAGCGTTTCTGGTTAGCTCACGCCTACTTATGGACTTTTGTGGTCCTGACAAAAGGCACTTGGTTAATGGAATTAGCCGACGTTTCCTGCAATGAAACATTACCATGTCACCATTCCTTTCATCATTAGGAGACACGCAAACTGTGCCAAAGACGCGTCATTATGGAGAACGATGTTTAGACGTGGTTTGGGCCAACGAAAAGCGAGAGTTGGCCAAGAGCCCACACACACACGCTTTTAGCCTGGGTGGGCAGATTGGGCCTAGATTTCGATACCGTTGTCTTGCGATGCCTGCCAATTGACAAATAGTTTGATTTATGAGCCAGCAAATCTTAGCTTGGCCCCAATTGCAAATTTCCATTTGCCGGTGTGCGGCTTTTTGAATTTATAATGAACCCAACCCACACCCCTTTTTTCCCGCTTCCAGGCAATGCAGATGCATGAAAATATTTCCTGATATTTCCTCGGGCTGTTGCTCATTATTTTTGGCAAAGTGCCAGCGGCATGTTTGTAATTGCAATCACAGAATTCGTGTACGGCCAACCAACTTTCCATTAAGTTGTTGCGGGCCAAAATTCAATTGAAAAGAAAAACAAAGGCGGCTGGAAAAAAAAAACACTTGACTTTTGCACAGGCACACGCAGCGTTAAAGGTCAACGGGGAAAATCAAATAAAAGCACGGAAAACTCCGGCGAAAGAGTCGTAAATTTCCTTGGGCGGTGCAAAAAAACAAAGGTAATCCAAACAAAGAGACACACTTTTCTCGGTGCCAGATAATTGCATGAATAAACTCTGAGTTGTGGACCATAGAAAATTCAATTTGAGAAAGGAGTTGCAAATTAAAATGTACGGCAGTGAAAAGCTGGACTAAAATTTCCCCGTGATGAGGGTCAGCATATGGATTCCAGTCACGTAACCTGGAAAATTTCAGGGTGTGGGGGCGTGAATCCCAAGCCGAAACACGTGACAGAAAACCACAAAAACCAAACACAAACCACGGAATGAATCTGTTGCACATGCACCAAGTCAAAAGCACGAGCTGGCCAACTTTTTCGTTTATTGGCCATAAAGAACCGAATAATGCTGAAAGATTTCCGCGGCAAAGCGTTAAACTGTCAAAAGTTTCGACGTAAAAAAATGTGGTGGAATTTCTTTTTTTTTGGGAGAAAAACATGGAACCAATAGAATGTTGTCTGTTGATAGACTTAGAACATGAAATGGCCAGCGAGTTTATGGCAAAACCGCATGAAAGAGTTTTCTTGTTTTCCCATAAATAATATGCCGGGTCATTGAATAAATTTACTGCAAAAGTGTGCCTAAGTGCTATGTCGAAAAGATTCTTAAATAAAAACAAAGTTTGTGTAGAATGTGACTAACAAAAAAAAAAAACAAAACAAAAATTTAAAACAATGAAGATAAAGTTAACATATTAAATACCTATAAACTTTTGACGTATTTAATACAATTAACGCTTATCTTACTTTCTGTTCGCAAAATCCTGAGTGTTTTTCCATGATAATAAAACTAAAAGTTAAATCATTTTATAATTTTTTTAATTTAATTTATTTTATTATTACAAATGGTGTAGCTTTGCCTCATTGAAATGTGTTTCCTGGAAATGATTTTCAGTTTCCTTATTTTATAATTTTTACCTTGTGGGTTCCTCTTATGTTTTTAAGATTTTCTTCCTTGAAATGTGTTTTGTTTAGCTGCAAGATCAATTTTTGTAAACAAAAGATTTCGCAATACTCGTTCGATCAATAGTGCAATAATGATTAATGCAAAGAGACACTTGCTCCCAAGGGAAGTTCTCCCCTTACAAACGCAGTGAGTCAACCGGTTTGCTTCGAATATTCTACCTTTTTAAACATATGTATATATTACACAGATATACCTGAAAGTTTGCATGTGGGGCTGTTTAATTAATACGCAAATATTGTCACTTATGTAAACAGATTTACACGGAGGCCTGAAACACAAACGTGAGTGCAAACGTCACACATGAATGACCAAGAAGGTGCGGAAAAAAGGGGGAGGCATCATTAAATGGGGGACATTGAATGAATGAGCGCATTAAAGCGGCGCCACTCGACCATGGAATGACGTCATTCTTTATTATTTATACGCCTTGATGGTGGTACGATAAACATATGTTAAATACCGATATGGTTCCCGACAATCTGAGGAGTGACCCAAAAAATATTGCATAAAAGACGCAATTAATTATATTCAACTGTCTGAAAGTTTAAGTGCTTAGAAATCTGAGCGAGTGTGAAAGAAATTAATCAGTGCAATAACATAGTACTTTATTTTTTACTTTGATCAGACAATTTAAAAGAAATTGTGTTTTTCTTTGTTTCAAAAGATAGATGAAAAATTTGTTTACGCTCAAAAAAATGCACTGAAACAATATATCATTAATTTATAATATGCATATTTATTTTCATCCACTGTTTTTATTGTTTTCAAAAAGTAATTCAATTTTGCTGAATTAATTAGTTTGCTTATCCTATTTATTTTCTTGTAAATATGAGTCATTTGCATTAAATACACAAAGATAAATGTGATTATTCCAATACTGCAAATAACAAAGTCAAAATTGGAGCAGATATTTTGGGAGGCAATCCGGATTCTCTGTTTGCCCACGAAAAGTGACTAAGTGCAGAAATGTGTACTCGAGATAGGGAAGAAGGTAGAGATCCCCCCGCTCCTCCAACTGTCCTCATTATGTTCGGGCTAATTGCACGACCTGTGTTCCGTGGGCTGCGAAAACAATCAGAGAAATATCAGGGCTGAAAAAGGGATTTGCCTGCAGCAGGCACTGCAATTAGGGCGCCCTGCAATTTGCGTCACGGGCACGTGAGGAACTGGGCAACCTTAAAAAACAGCAGAAAAAACGCTGCCACGATATAAATAGCTCCAATCGGGGCTGAAGGAAAATGCCATAGTCCAGAGTCGCCCTTGAAAATTACAAAGTGGGCGTGTCTCCATGACAACAGACATTCCAGCGACAACACAAGACTGTGCACTACAAAAATTCACCACTTCTGTAAAAAATGAATTTTTTAGGTTATAAAGAAAAGCTGTTAAATCTAGTACCACTGCCAATTAATTTATTTTGTATAATTTTTTTAATATATTTGCAAATTTGCAGAGGTATCAACTTACATATAAATATTAGTTGTTAGCTTAATTTGTTTAACATACATTACATTTTCTTTACGTGTAGTAAGTGACTGGCAAAAAGTGGAAAAGAAGTTGGAGAAGTTGTAGTTGCAGCTCGTCAAAGTCGAAGATATTGCTGGCGGGCAGCAACTTGCAACTCGCAACATGTTGCTAGACACATTTGATCGCCTGTCTGCTACTGGGCAGCGATTTATTTCTGGGATCAAGTGTGTGAATTATAAAACGTTGCCAAACTGGGGTTATCAGAGGTTTAAAACTAATAAGTTTTGGGTTTTTCTTATCATTTTTTTTAGCAAAAGATCATTTTATATTTAAAGCTTAACTAAAGCTTTCTAAAAGTATAAAAAAGTTATATATATGAAATATAAATATTAAAAATAATTCAAACAACACAAATTTGTTTTTAAATCACAATTTAAACTATTTAATAATAAACAACATTTAAATATATACTAAATTTATTTTATTTTGAAGGTTTAAATATAGTAGATAATATTCGAAAATCCATATTTTGTAGAACCAAAATACAGTAGAATCCGCTTATAGCGACTTTCAAGGGACCGACGAGTTTTCGTCGTTATACCCGGAAGACGCACTAAGCAAAAGGATATAAGTGTATAAGTCTGTCTGGGGACCAATCAAGCCGTCGAGTTTTCGTCGCAATACCCGGACGGACACTATAAGCGGAATCGTTATAACAGGATTCTACTGTATTTACAAAAGTTCAAAAACCAATCTAAAAACCAAACTTCTTTATTTGCCATAAGGAAAGTGTATTTCCCAAAGTTCGTATTCCGATTCCTGATTTTTTGCCTTTTCATCGCGCCTTTAGCTTCTCCTCACAGGTGATTAGTGGCCGAGTCAATATTTGCCAGTTGATTGCGTTTAATCCGCAATGCTTACGGCTTGGACATGTGGGACAGGTGAAACCAGAGCAATTTCAATTAGCCAATAAACGCCCAACCGACCTCAAGTCCTGGGAGTGACAAAGATGAATGGCTTTGTTTGCTGACCAACTCGCAATTAGACACAATAAGTTGACTGGGCCGAAATGTCATCACGATGGCGATGTTAGATGTTAGGTGTGTCCTCAACGTTTGCCCACAAATTAAATTCCAGTTTATTGATGTCAAGCGAGGAGACTGGACACTTGTTGTCTCCGCCAGTGAGGGATTACATTTTTACGACTCGTCCACGGAAGTGGCCCATCAGCAGCCAGCTCGTTTGCTCTAATTGCCGGCAAACGATGGCGCCAATTACACACACAGGAAAAAGTTGAAAAGATGTTATTTAATTTAATGGCATTCAAAAAGACTGCAATCGGATCTAAGGATTGGCACACACTTTCTCTTCCAGAAACATACGTTTTGCTAAAAGTTTGAAAAAGCTATTAAGAAAATAAAAAAATGATCATACAATGCATAACGATAATTGTACTGTTTAATAATATAAAAAGTGTATTTTTATTTTTTTACAAACTCTCTTTATATTTATTATATATTCCATTCATCAGAAATGCGTTATTTTTAAAATACATATCAAGCAGTTCAGCTTTTAAGGCCTTTTAATCTTTTTACAGTTATTTTATCTTTAAAATTGTTTACTGCTTCAGGCAGTTTGTTTTCCATCATTCTCTTCATTTCAAGCCAGCTGATATGGGAAAAAAACATAAAAACATAAAAAACAGCAAACAAATACGAAACAGTATTAAAAAACGTAATTTTGTTCTGTGTGGACAGCGGCTAGTCAACTTGTTTAATTGTGCATGTCCCGTTGTCATTTGGTGGCTTAGACTGGCTTTTGTGACAGTAAATTATGGCCACGTGGGTGACCTGTTGCCTTTTTATACCCAGGCGTGGTCCACTCCCTTCCTCAAATAATATATCGCCCGGAAACTCCCATTACAAAATGCGGATATGACACCAAAAAAATGTAGAAACCTCTTAAGAACCCTTGGTGCCGAAAGCGCATAAATGTTGTTAAGTTGTTTTGTTTAATGCATGCACATATTTCCTGATAACTGAGCCGATTACTGTGGTACAGATAAAAACTGTTCGTTTTTTTTGTTTTTCGGTCTTATCAAAATAACGAACGCTTCAATGAAAACGAGAGAGCATCAACAATTGGGGGCTTATCGCAACAATGCATTGAAAAGCTGCACTTTCAGTCGGACTTTCATGCTGAGCGTTTGTGCTTGAGGAGCGTTCTTCAAATCGGTACCAATCCTCATACTTCGCTCAAAAGAACCACAACCTAGAAAACTACTTAAGTGCAAAGTAAAATCATTCCGAAAATATATTTGCTTCAAAAACAAAGAAATACAGTTCAAGTAATAAAGCCTTAAACATGTACACAAATAACCGATAAAATAAAAAATTTCCTAGCTCGCTACCAAAACATAAAATTATATTTGAATTATCATAGTCGACAAATAAATGCTAAATTCTTTATATAAAAATTCACCTATTAGCAACATGTATTTTTAAACGTTTGCATATAGTGAATCTTGATTTCCAATAAATGATTTCGATATTTTTTTATTTTTGCAGTGCAACGCTAAGTGAACAAAGTGCCTTCCAGCGTGATCATGGCATTACTGAACCAGATGTGTTAAAATTGTGAATATCTGGCAGAATCAAATTAGTGCAATTAGTATTAGCGAATCAAACAAACAAAACGATCCATATGGCAGTGCTTCCAGGGAGGATTCAGCTCCACTTGCTCCTGCTCACCTTGATCTCGTGGAGTAAAGCGTGTAAGTAACTTTGGGCAAATCCCAATTATTGCCCGACATGCGATTGTGTGCAGAATAATTTCAAGAAACTGATAAGCATTACCCTGAAAACAAACACTTTTCATATGGATTCACTTCGTAAAAAAAACAAAACAAAATAATAATAATCCAGACTATGGTTTCTTTTCTATGTGTGCTTCCTGCCAACACTCTCACATTCGTTATGATAGATTAATAAAAATAAATTATTTTAAATAAAAAGTGTTGCTTACTATGTTGAAATAGACAAATTATGACACATATTATATATGGTATATATATTATATTAATTTATATTGTGTTAAGATGATTGTGATGACACAATACTTCCGTAAATCATAAATATTCTGACTTAAAATGGACTGAAAACTGTCGCTAATCTGACAACGCTAGGATCTTTGAACTCAACCTGATAGACAGCCGAATTTCGATTGAAACGACGCTTGCACTTGGTAGACATCACTTATATACATTTCCACGTCTGAAAGCAATATGCAGAGCATAATACGAGTATAATGTCCATCAGAGGCAACACTCTCGTTATCGCCTGTAAACAAATAATAAATCCGAAGCAAAGAGGCAAGAGGAAGACTCGGTGGAGCAATCGCCGCAGAGGCGCAGTCATAGGGAAAGCCCAGATCAATAAAGATCGGTATGGTAATCGGGATTTTTAAATTGTTGTGCATCTACGCCCATGTCGATCTCCAGAGGGTCGCTCAGCAACAAATCACTTAAAGTCGTTATAGAAGCGCCACCAGTGGTTGGGGACCCAGTATTCTCCAAAGGGGAAACCGAAGGCTAGAACCCGGCAAAAGATAAAGTGCCATGTGAATTGTTCGGTTGTAGGGCATTCGAGCGATCAATGAACAAAACGCACACGAGTACAGTTGACCTTCTGCTACACAAGAAAAAATATATAGTAAATAAAACATAAGCAAACCAATAATAAATTAATATATCTAAAGGTATTTTGTATGAAACTTTTTGTTTTTATGTACAATTTCTTCTTCATTTTTACATTTGATTTTGAAATCATAGTTAACTCTTAGCTTGTGCTTTTACATTTATTAAAATGATGTACATATGTTATTCTTATGTATTTTCCAACACAGCTCCAGCTCCCCAGTTTGTACCTGATCTCGATGACATAACTGTGAATTGCGGCGGGGAGAATGGAGCCCCCCTGATGACGCCGTGCAAGAGCTCCATAATTTTGGACTACCAAACAACAACCTCGCTGAAGTGTGAGGCCGACGAACCGATGTCCTGGTGGACAGCACAAACGAGCATCGTTTTGGATGAGAGTAGTTTCGACAACACCGAGGATCCGGAACGACCCTACGGAACAAACCTGCAACTGAGCGGAGTGACCGCCGAGGATGTGGGCGCCTATTACTGTGTGAAGGACTCGGAACTGAACAATCTCCCCGAGAAGAACGAGCAGGCAATGATCGGGCTGGTGAACCAGGGCGGAGCTAGCTCCATTTACGTGTACGTAGACGACAAGGAGAACAAGCTCTTCACCACCGAAACCATTCTGCAAGCCATGCAGTACGAGGACCTGGTGATACCCTGCAAACCGGCAATGCCAGACACCGAGGTGCTGCTGGAATTCCGAGGAGAGGTGAGTTTACGGGGTCTAGGTTCTTAGAAACCTAACGTCCGGTCATGAATCCAGTATAGGCAATAAATAAAAGACTGTGGAAGTAGCACATCTACAGATATTTGGAATTTTTATAGTTCTATTACTTGGGCTATAATACTTAAATAGTCTTTGTACACACTTTTTGAACAAATTAATTAGGAAACCCAAATACTACGAAAAGAATTAGGAATTCCAATATGTAAGCAATTAAATACGAGATATTTATAATATATATTTATAAGCGAAGAGATAATCATACATTTACAATTAAACCATTGAGTACTGAACAACACGCTTAAGGGTTCTTGAAAGATTAATGTTTGTCCTTTAACTCATAACTCTTTTGTTTTCGCGCACAGTCTTGTCCTTGGAGAATCAGTTCAAAAGGTCAAGTTAAGGGCGACCCCAAGTGCTTCGAAAACGTGAGGTTCCACCCAAGGCGAGGCTTCACCTTCCACGTCACTGACTACTTCGCCGGTTACATCTGGTGCGGTCAGAAGGTCATAGACACTAAATTCGAAAGCAGTATGTCACAGTTTGTCGCTTAGTCAAAACGTAGTTAAAACCGTCTGATTCTTGTACATACCATCCTATACAATATTATATACCTACTATTAAAGCGTAGCATTAACAAACCAGTTTTAAGTCCGTACCTGTATTTTACGACTGCAGAGAGTTAGGAAGCTTCATCTAGGGCTCCATTTCTTAACCCGATTTATGACCATTTGACCATTATGCCTGTGTGCAGGTACTTTCCAGCACTTCTGTCGGTCGATATGATCCGCAGCGGGGATTCACCATCGAAGTCCGTAGCATTACGGACGGCGGCGACTACATCTGTCGGCCAAATCCTCCATTTCCGGATAACGAAGACGAGTTCTCTATCATACCTGTGCGCTTTATTGGTAACGGTCACATTGATAGTGAGTTTTTGCACCCCAAAGTTTGTGATTTGTGATTTCCGTCTATATATGTCGTAAATATTGCTTTCCACTATTCAACGATTATTTATCGAACCGAGCACATGAAGCGCTTTCGGTATCTATTTCGGGATTGGTAACGGTTGTGGTTTTGGTAAACTGTGGCCAAGGATCTAACCTATCTTGTCATTCAAAATCAAGGCGATCAACACACTATATAGCTTTTACACGAATTTACAGATCCTGCACGCACATCGAAATATTTTTGTTTTGGGTTCAAGAAACATAAAATTCCATATACTCCACTCGCATAACATTAATCCGCTTCAAAATTAAAACATTATTTCAAATTTCACTTTTAAATGCATTTTCATTTTGGGAAAAGAAAAATATCTACTCATGTTAACATTTTAATATTTCAATATTTTCAAAAAGCAGCAACGGTATTTTTATTGTTTAATGAAACATTTTTGTGTTTTTTTTAAATATATTTCTTGAATTCAATAAAAGTGTTGAAATTTCGCACCACAACGCACAAACACTGCTTGCACTGCTTGCTTAAAAATTCGCACATGTGCTAACCAATGGAATTTCTCTCTTTCTCAAAATACTGATCGACTTCCTGTTACCCACTGTCACGTAAATCTGCTAACTCCCCCAGAATCCGGATTGGAAATCCCCAGAACCCAAACACCGCCATCGGGTCCCACGACTAACACGGCGTATACGTATGCGCCAGATGTCACCGATTACGATGACGAGGTCATGGTCACTGTCCTCACTGTTACTAACCAATCGCCGGGTAGTGTGGCACTAACCAGTGGTGGTGGAGCTTTCACCCGGGATCGGGCAAGGCGAAGTCCAGCCCGGCTGGCTCCGATGAATGCCTCGCCCTCACCCAGACCAGGGCGTAAGTGTTGTCCTGGCTGTTGTTAATCCGTTCGAGATCTGTTTGTGATTTGATGTGTCTTTATGTTGTTCCTGTTCAGTTTTTGTCTTGTCCTGGCTGTCTTTTGTTATTCGTTGCATCCCTTCTTCGATTTGTGTTCGATTTTCGTTGGTTATGGACTGATTTAACTGAAGTATCTAACTCGCTTGCTTTCTTACTAACCCTGGCTAACATCTACCACCTAAGTGCTGTAAACTCGTTAACCCATTTGTGTCTACGTCTATGTCTAACCCACCCATCTGCATGAAGCTGTAGCATTGCTGGCCAGTCCCAGTCCTTTGCGAAGGGTATCTAATAAAGCTAAACTTTCTACTAACGCCACAGAAGCCGGCAAGGCCCTTCCAAAGCCCGTGATTAAGTCCTCCTCGGGATCTCACGTCATTTTGGGTTCCAACTTTACCCTCATGTGCGAACAGACCTCTCCCTTTGGAGCCACCTACAACATCGAATGGAGAACACAGGATCGCAGCAAGGTTAGTTGAAATGCAATCGGAACTTTATTAGTTTGGTGGCTCAACAATTTCAATCTAAAAGTAGTTTAGGAAATGAGCCTTAGATCTTTATTAATCAGCCAATCGAATAAATTCATTATGTACTACATCTTACTAATCGTTTGAAAATTGTATTTTTTTAATAAAAATTTTCAAGAAGAAGCCAAATTGTTATTAAATAGCTAACCCTACAACTATTATCATCGATATTAAACTATTTTATAATAGGTTTTTCCGAACGATCGCATCATCATCACGCCGGCAATGTTCGACCACATGGCTAAGAACAGCACCCACCTGTTGGGCAGGAGCACCTTGACGGTATTGGATGCCCAGCGTTCGGATTCCGACTTGTACAAGTGTCTGGTAACAGACGCCAAGAACGCAGTACAACACATCTCCTACAGGATCAGGGTTTTAGGTAAGAATTTCAACTGGAAAGTATTTCACTTCATGTCTTAATATTGTCGACACTTGCAGGACAAAACGAGAGCTATCTAAACGTTTATGAGCCATCGGGTCATTACAACGTAATGGAGTTCGCCAACAAAACGATCCAGATGACGGCCAACTTCGAGGGCTTCCCGCAGCCAGAGTTCCGATGGTTCAAGCCGGACGGAACCGAGGTCCGTCAGTCGGAGAACAACTTCAAGATCGAGTCCACGGAGCGGAGCACAACCCTGCGGCTGCTGAGTGCCCAGCTGCAGGACAGCGGCACCTACGTCCTCCAAGGCAGCAACAACTTCAAGACGGTGCAGCGGGAGTACAACGTGAGCGTGATGGACGGACCGGTCCTCAGCATGGCGGACACCTACGTTCAGGTGGGCTCCGTGGCCCGACTTGAGTGCACCGTGCTCTCCTACCCGCCGGCCCTGGTCACCTTCCTCTTCCGTCCCTGCGTCCTGGAGCCCTTCTGGCCCACCTGCTCCGTGCTCGAGGCGAATTTCAGCGTGAGTAAATCGGTCTTTAACTTGGTAGCTACTTTTGTTTTGGTGATGGTGAAGGGAGATGGAAAAAGTTAACTAGCCATTAGCTTGCGACGTCTTTAAATGAATTTTACTGAACTTGAGAAAGAATTTATTATTTATTATAAATGTATTATTTATTTATTGTATCTCAAAAAATATGCGAAATGTTAACTGTTATCGACTTACAGACACTTAAAACTAACAAAAGTTTTTAAAACAGCAAAGTGATTTTCCTCACTAGTTTTTAAAGGTCTTTACGAAATATTGGGTTACGAAATAATATTTAAAGACGTTAAATTTCATTAACTTTTGTTTGTACTTGTCCTTTCAACGTATTTCAATTGCTTCTCTGTGCCGTCCCCATGTGTTGGTAATGCTGTCCTGCAGTCGCCAAGTGTACAAGAATCATATCAGGTAAACAATTAGCTTACAATCTATATACAAACATCACTAGCTGCTTTTGTAACCACTTGTTGAACCACCCACAGTTCTTGAAAATACCCCGACCCGGAAAACTGAGTGTGGAGAGAATTATAGAGGTGTCCTTCCGGCCAACGGAACCGGGAATTCTCTCCTGCGTTGCGGAAAATGTGGTGGGCGGTGAGAGTAAAAGGGCCATAACCAAGGCGCACGTGCTGCTGGGCAATATATCCGAGAATATGACCATATATGGCTTCGATAAGGGGCACAAAATCGCCAAGGAGGACAATGTCAACTGCACCTGCGAGGCACTGGCCTACCACTTGGATGGAAACCTCAGCTGGCTCCACAATGGCGAGGCGTTGGAGGAGTCTGATAGTGAGTAGTATACAGCTTTCTAAAAAATATACTCCTAAATGTGCAATACAACATGAATTAATTGTTTATATTTGCATTCACAGATGTTCGAATTGAAACGAATCGTACCGAGTACTCCTACAAGAGCACAGTGCATATTACCTCAATATCCGACCAAGATAGAGGAACCTACGAGTGCCGGGCGTACCACATTAGAAAGCCATCCGAGTACAGCACACATGAGATAGACTTAAACGTCTACGATCCCTCGGCTCCGCAGTGGGTGAACCCAACTCAGGATGCCCATAAGAAAATCAAGCGAAACCTGAGCCAAACCCTGGAACTGGAGTGCGCCTCCACAGCTGTTCCACTGGCCACGGTTCAGTGGTTCAAGGACGACAAGGAGTTGACCGAATCGAAACTGATGCACTTCCTGGAGAACAACTCCAAGCTGATAATCACACATCTGTATCCCGGGGATGAAGGCGTTTACAGGTGTCTGGTGCAGAACCGATTGGCCAGCATCGAAAGATCCTACACGCTGGACATTTCGGGTAAGTCAGTCTTCCCTTTTTAATGCCTGTATACTTTTCAAACACAATAAATTATAGATATTTGTTGATATATTAATATTTCTTTAAAAACAACAAGTATCTTCTGCTCCTTATGACTCCGAGGTTCGGCAAAGTCAATGAAAACTTTACAATAAGATTTCGAGTTTAATTAAACACTTTTAATAATGAATTCAATATTTTTGTAGATCTGCCCGGCATCAACTTGGCTTGGGTTTGGATTAGCGCTATAATATTCCTCATCCTGATCAGCCTGTCAGTCTTCCTGGGCATTCGGTACAAAATAGAGCAGAAGAAGAACCGTGAACTGGAGGCCACTGGCTTTTACAATTTCAAAGAGGGTGCTCCGGAACGGATTAATAAGGACCTTCCCTTGGCCACCCAGGCATTAAATTTGCCCTACGACGAGAACTTCGAGTTTCCGGCAGAAAAGCTGAAGCTGGGCAAACTGCTGGGAGACGGAGCATTTGGCGAGGTGTACAAGGGAGAGGCCAAGGGAATCCTGGCGGGGGAACCCTCCACCGTAGTGGCGGTCAAGACGGTCAAGGGCAGCGATCCCCAGTCGGTGAAAGCTCTAGTTTCCGAACTCAAGATTATGATTCATTTGGGCAAGCACTTGAACGTGGTCAATCTCCTGGGAGCCTGCACCAAAAACAATATAGCGCGTAAGATAGTTTTTTCTTCACTCCAATGAATAGTGTTCAATCTTTTATGTGATTAATTTTGTAGGCGATATTAAGGTCATTGTGGAGTACTGTCATTATGGTAATGTTCAGAGATTCCTGTTGAAGAACAGGAGTCGCTTCATCAATCAAATCGATCCCGAAACTGATCGCATCGACCCGAGCATCATGACCCAGCGCAATTCCGACCAAATTTACCTGCAGAGGTAAGATACTTTGGGACAATGTAGTAACTAACCCAAAACTTAGTTATAAATTGAAAACCCCAAAAGTTAACTGTCCCGTTAATAACCGTTTTAGTAACTAACTCCTATTTGGTATTGTTTTTTTTGTTTTTGGTTTTGGTACACTATGCTAAAATTTAAACACCGACTAACCATCAACCTAATGCGATACACAATTTAATTAACTGTTGCAAAACTCGACACACACACACAAAAACACTGAATGTTTCTGCACCTGTGCTTGTGATCCCGCTCCTGGTTGTGGTATCCTCCTCTGTGCTTCCCGCTCTATGTGTCTCCTCCTATGTCCTTGTGGTGTGGCGAATGAACTCCAAATAACAGCAATCAGAATGGTGGTGGCGTGAACTATATCACAGTCGCCTTCCCTTCGACCTTGACCCATCAGAGCACGTTGTACAACAATAATTCGCAACCTCCACCGCCAATTCAACACAGAAACTGGGAAAATGATCCACGGTCGGGCACCCGAAGTGGACGCACAGGATCCGGATCCGCCGCCGACTACGACCGACAGATGAACTCCTGCGCCACCAACATGACCACCTTGCCGGAAGGTGGGTTTATATCAAAATATATTGACTCCTTAAAAATCAGATCGGGTTTTTCTGATGGCTTTTTTCATTACCTGATATTTATAATATTAACTAATTCGTTATTCATTTGTTTGCCACATTTATAGATGATTTTCAAACGTCCAAGAATTCTGGTCAAACCATCTGGCGATCAAACTACGTCTCGGAGGCCATGATGGTAACCACAACTGACTTGGTCAGTTGGGCATTTCAAGTAGCGCGGGGAATGGACTACTTATCAAGCAGGAATGTGTTGCACGGCGATCTGGCCACCAGAAATATTCTCCTCTGCGAAAATAATGTGGTTAAGATTTGCGATTTTGGTCTGTCTCGAACTATGTACATGGATGAGTACCATAAGACAGGTATGGAAGAACCTGAAACTAAACAATTCCAAGCTTTTTCAAAATGATTTTTGTATTATTTTAGGGAATAGCAAGCTGCCCGTCAAGTGGCTGGCGCTGGAGTCTCTTAGCAGCAAGATCTTTAGCACTTACAGTGATGTTTGGTCCTTCGGCGTTGTCCTTTGGGAGATGTTCTCGCTATCCAAGGTCCCGTATCCAGCCATAAATTCCAATCAGGAGCTGTTCAACAAACTGAACGATGGTTATCGAATGGAAAAGCCGCAATTCGCCAACAAAGTGCTTCACGAAATAATGCTAGAGTGCTGGCGAAAAAAAGTGCGTAAAGAATTACCTTAAACATCACTCTAAAAATAGTACACCAAAAATTCTTTCTTAGAAAACAATCGATCAAGCGCTCATAATGCAATAATTCCATACAATATTTTCCTACTTTCAGTCCTGAAAGCAGACCATTGTTCAATGAGCTGGAGGAGCGTTTTGCCAGCATGCTGGGCGAAGATATCTCCTCTGTAAGTAAACAGATTTAAATAAAAAAATAACGAATACCTTATGAGTTGATTTAATCCATAGCAATACCTGGAACTAAATGAACCGTACATGCAGAGCAACATCGAGTACAGGAAGGTCAACCCCATGGATTTCCTGGTGGAAATGGGTTCTCCCACCGAGCAGGCGCCTGCACCTCCGCGCTTCGATAGTAAAGTCGTAGTGCCTGAAATCCGTAAGTATTTACAGAAGCCATCATGGCGTCATGGTTGAGCTTACTAACTCAAATATGCACAATTGCACCCATCTAAACCATCGAAACGCACCAACAATCCAATCGCTGGCACACTAACTCAGGCATCGACGAACCGACGGATGGCTATCTGCCAATGAGCCCGGGCAACGGTGCCGAAGCCAAAACCGCCATATTCTCACCCACGCGCCTCGAAGGCGAGGCATCTGACTTTCCCGACCTCTCAAGCGAAACCACTTTCAATTTCCCAGGGGCGAGGCAATCGCCTACGTTGAGCAACAACCTGAACAGCGCATCGAATAAGCCGCTGCTCAAGAAGAACGGCCTGCACATGGTGGATGCAGAGGATCAGGCTCCGGAGGAGATACCCATGCTGCACCGCCAGTCCACCGGATCCGATGAGAGTCCGGAGCAGGGCAGGCGATTCAATCACGCCCTTCACCAGCAGCACGGCGCTCCAACGCCTTCACCCCGCCATCACGTGGAGACGAAACTCAACGGCGAATCCGCCGAACACTACGTAAATGTGAAGCCGCCAAGAAAGAACATACCCAGCAAAACCACAACTGGTGGTGGGGGTAGTGGTCCACCGGGCCCCACGGAAGCCTTCTCGAATCCCGGCTACCAGCCTCTGTCCATCGTCAACGAGAAGGAGCCGCGAAGATTTTAGGAAGTCCCGGAGCCATTTGTTTTAGTTCAGGACTTCTAGCCAGCTCAGTTGGTCTTTTAAATGGAAATTATTAATCAAAAATGTAATCTACATTAACTTAAGTGTAATTTAAACTGTCATAGCTGCACGATAACTTAAAGAAAATTATTAAAATTTCAACTGAACTGTTCGGAAGTCTTTAAAAGCAATATCACTTGGTGATATTGTCAAGATTCTGATAAGCTAGTTAAGCTCGTTTTTAAGCTAGATCATACACACTCAATCCATGTTATATACTATTAAACCATTTCATGTTTTCATTTAGTGTAGGTCTAAGCCGAATAAACTATTATTGTAACTGTTTGTCTTGTACTGAAAAAGGGATCTACAATGGGAATAATAACAATAAAAATTACCATGGACAACTTTAGCTGCCTGCATCAAATCAATTTGTACACATATTTGTGATGCGCTGAACTTTTTCCTCTAATTTAAAAGGTTTGTTTTTTAGATTATTAGCTAAAAGATTGAATAATTTCCTCTGGGCTTAGGTTTATGTTAGGCCAGAAGCTTAATTCAGAAGATTAAAACACTAATTTAAATTTGATAAACGGACATCTCGCTTTCGGTTTTTCAACACTGAGCTATCAATAGTTCCATTAGCTCTATTTTAAGACTAACTTAGTTTTAAAAATGCGTCGCTAAAAAAGCTTTGATTAAAGTTCTATAACATATTATGACTGGTTAATTAAATGTGTACATTTTTTTTGCAGAAATTTCCTTAAAATCTTAAAAATTCTAACACTTTCTCAACTTTTTTTAGGGTCAGTTTTGCACTACAACAATTTGTTTTCCCTCGTGTGCTTGTTGTGCTGTTGCTCTGTCTTCGTCTTTTGAATGTTTGTTTATTAACAGTTTTTAATTTATTAATAGTTTTAATTTCTTTTTTTTATTCCCTTACTTTGAACTTTAATAGGCTCTTCTTATAAGTGCCATAAACATACATGTAAAGTACTTACCAAATCTACAACAATTTCACATCGTTTGCAATTAACAATGGTTGACGGAAAAGTCTGTAGTGCTTTAAGTGAAACATCTACTTGTAAATGTTGCATACATGTGACGCAAAGGCGAGCAAAATGAATGATTTGGAAAAATGCTTAAAAATAAAAAAATTCACAAATAACATTTCGAATTTGGGTTGCCTCCACTGCACTCGTATATTCGGTTTTTTAAATATTTCTTGCATTTGGCATACAGATTGCATTTAAAAACTTGGCGACTACCACATCACCAAAAACAACCACCTATCCTTCTCATGTGCAGACCAAATAAATACAATATAACAAAACTCTGACTTGGACAGACCAAATTAACCCACACACATTACATCGATCCAAACCAAAACAATACCTGCCCATTCTGCAACGGCATAATATCAATAAGACATCTACTTTCCACTTGCAACGCGCTTAACACCCAAAGGCAACAAATATTTCAAAACGCCAACTAAATACTTTCCAACCCCACACCACCAAACATATCAACAGTTCTACAATTTTTGAAAAACACAAATTTATACCACCGCATATAAGACAATCTACATAAGTTAAACTATTTAATTAAATAACTATAAGAAACCCTAAAATAATATTATGTACTTCTCGAGCTGAAGGCCCATGTCGCCAATGCTCAACACCATTGCTAGCTCATAATTTAAATTATCTGCTAGCTCTTTATAAATAAATAAACAAAATAAATAAAAACTTGGCGAATATGTACCCCAGAAGATAAAAAATTATTTAGGGATAAGAAAACTCAATTTTAAAGAGACTTCTGCGCCCAAATGGGATTACATGTCGACCAACCAAGGAGTGGAGGTAGTGGAACTTCTAATGATGGTAATACGGCAAGAACATTTTTTAGCGATACGAAATTATCTGCTGATATTACAGGATTGGATGAAAATGTTTTAATTAGGTCTGCGACATTGCTGCAATGCATGGCATCTGGCTTTTAAATTAATTCGGAAAATTTGGATGCTTTGCACTTTAAATTGTATCCATGGTATTACCTTCCACCGCCCGTTCACAAAGTTCTAGTCCACGGTTCTGAAATTATAAGCTATGCCCTTGTTTCGATAGGAGAGTTGTCGGAAGAAGCTACCGAATCTAAAAACAAGGATATAAAAAAATGTCGAGAGTTTCACACTAGAAAAATATCTTTCTGTCTAAATAGGGATTTATTTAATAGATTGCTGTTAACCTCAGTCCCATTTATAAGTGGGCAAAGAAATTTACATTGCACAAAAAAAAAACAAAATTATAAAGCGGTCTACGATTTAACCAACGTTTGTATTAACCCTCAGCGCACACACTGGGTGAATTTCACCCAGCGCGATTTTTCGGCGGTTCGGCATTTAAAAATGGAAGGAGTTGGGGGCTTGGGAGTGGTGGGGGAAAAAACTTATGCGCCACCACTACGCCCACACCGAGTTTCAGCTTCAGTGTCCCAAAATTCGTTGAAGGGGAAATATCGAAAGTTGCTCAGCGGGTGAATTTCACCCAGTGTGTGCGTTGTGTTCCAAATTCCACGTAAGTACAGACATCGTGTTAGTTTGAAATTTTAATTGGAGACCCCCTTTTTCGCGTTTTTACATGTGACATATCATTGTTTTCATAAAAAAGGCGCCAATATGCTGACGCGGGCCCTTGTGAAGCCATTTCTGGTTAGGAGATTGTTGTTACCATCGTTGCAAATGCAATTGCGGTTGCAAATTGAACAACTCGTAAACTACCAAGATAGGCCTGAAATGGACGACCCAAAAGACTTTTCACTTGAGAACAAAATGTCTAAACACAAAACACAAAGAATTTGAGCCCCAAAATGCATTACTCTATACCACACTTTACCCGCAACAACGAAAAAATTGACCCATTTTCAAATGACTAAAAAAATATACTTTTTGGAGAGTACGGTTAAACTGCCATTAAAATCTGAAATTTCGTACCCTTAACTCTCGAAAAAATGATTTCTTTTGTAGACTGATCACTTTTTTCATTTTAATAACAATTTTTGAAAAAAAGTGACTTTTTCATGAACACCAATCAGTTTTTTACGAATTAAAGTATGAAAAATGTAATTTACAACTTCACAGCTTATACCATAATATTCTTGAGAAAATTCTCCATATTACAAAAAAAAAGTTTTTGAAAATCGGACAATTACAAGTAAAGTTATTAACGGGCAAAGTCGAATGGGTGAAAAACACCCAGTGTGTGCGTTGTGTTAAAAAACAGAGGTGTGTGCGCTGAGGGTTAAGAAGTCATTTTTTTACAGTGTGTTTAGAATATATGTATTTATAGAATTTTCGACAAAATTTCATTGCGATATCACCCCTAGAAATATTTTTGGCAGCGGCTCTATACAAGGCCAGGGGCGGACCCGAAAAAAATGTTTGGGGGAGTCCGATCGAAAAATTTTTTAGTTTATATGGTTGAACGACCGTGTGCTGTAAAGGAATTTGATAGAGTCTAAGATTTTGTGGGGGTCCGGACCCCAGGACCACCCCCTGCGTCCGCCCCTGGTTAAGTTTTTTTGTTTAATAAATCCCCATATTTCCTGATAACTGAGCCGGTTACTTTAGTACAGACAAAAACGGTTTGTTTTCTTTTTTTTTTTTTTTTCGGTCTTATCAATGAAAACGAGAGAGCACCAACAATTGGGGGCTCATTCGCAACAATGCATTGAAAAGATCCACTTATAGTCGGACTTTCATGCTGAGCGTTTGTGCTTGAGGAGCGCTCTTCAAATCGGTACCAATCCTCATACTTCGCTCAAAAGTACCACAACCTAGAAAACTACATAAGTGCAAAGTAAAATCATTTCGAAAATATATTTGCTAAAAACCCCAAAAAATACAGTTCAAGTGATAAAGCCTTAAACATGTACACAATTAACCGATAAAATAAAAACTTTCCTAGCTCGCTACCAAAACATAAAATTATATTTAATAATCATAGTTGCCAAATAAACGCAAAATTCTTTGTATAACAATTCACCTATTAGCAACATGTATTTTTAAACGTTTGCATATAGTAAATCTTGATTTCCAATAAATGATTTCGGTATTTTGCAGTGCAACGCTAAGTGAAAAAAGTGCCTTCCAGAGTGATCATGGCATTTCTGAACCAGATGTGTTAAAATTGTGAATATCTGGCAGAATCAAATTAGTGCAATTAGTATTAGCGAATCAAACAAACAAAACGATCCACATGGCAGTGCTTCCAGGGAGGATTCAGCTCCACTTGCTCCTGCTCACCTTGATCTCGTGGAGTAAAGCATGTAAGTAACTTTGGGCAAATCCCAATTATTGCCCGACATGCGAACAAGAAAGGAAGCTAGCTTCGACAAGCCGAAGCTTATATACCCTTGCAGTCACTAAATATGTCGAACAAAATACATAAAGGTTAAACAGCATTCAAGCTATGACGATTTTTCTATTCATTTTCCATATTGTTCATATGACAGCTAAATGATATAGTCGTCCGATTTTGATGAAATTTAATTTGAAACTCAAGACTCATTAGAAAACTTTATATTCCAAAATTCAAAAAAAGTTTACATAGAAAGGAGGACAGACGGACAGACAGACAGACGGACAGACGTATTTGGATTCTGATCGTGATGCTGATCAAGAATATATATACTTTATGGGGTCTGAGGTGTCTCCTTCACTGCGTTGCAAACTTCTGACTGAAATTATAATACCCTTTGCTCTGCAAGGATCTTGTTCACTTTGCTTAAATAGACAAATTATGACAGATATTGTATTTATATCTAATACATATATAAAATTCTCGTGTCACAGTTTTTGTGACCTTACTCCTCCGGAACGGCTATACCGATTCTCATGAAATTACATCGAGCATTTATATATAATTCATTACTGCGTCTAGCATTTCATTATGAGCCCGATATTGAGTATTATGCTCACTCAAAAGTGGTAATTGGTGCTATAGACAAGGAATGTCCGCATTGTCATGCTCTGAAATTTAAAAATGAGCCAGCTGGGATGTGTTGCGCGTCAGGAAAAGTGCAACTACCAGAAATTGAAACACCACCTGAACTATTGAACGGCTTACTTATCGGCACGGATCCAGATTCTAACGTGTTCCTGAAGTCAATTCGAACATTTAATTCATGCTTTCAAATGACATCGTTCGAAGCAACAGAAATAGTTCGAAATACTAATGCAAATGGTCAAAATTACAATTCTACATTCAAAATTAGAGGCCAAGTTTATCATAAAATGGCCTCACTGCTGCCAATGCCAAATGAACAACAGAGGATTCCGGAAGTGCACTTGCCAATCGCGTGAATGCACGTTGTGATTATAATAACCTGGATTCATTTTATTCCAGACGCAATTATAATAACTTAAACATACATGCATAAATACATATGTAAGTCTAGAACTGAGTAATTTTTGTACAGAAATTATAAAGTCATCTGGTGGCAAAACAACGTTTGCCGGGTCAGCTAGTATATTATATTATTTTAAATTGTGTTAAGATAATTGTGATAAACATAATCATAAATCTTCCGACTTCCGACTGACCGCCCTCACTAATCTGACAACGCTGGGATCTTTGAACTCAACCTGATAGACAGCCGAATTTTGAGTGAAACGACGCCTTGGCAACGAGCTACCGTGCGCTCTGACCGCACTGATGACCAGCGAGAGGCTGATAATGATAACTAGAGCTCGGAAGGCCAAAATATGCATGCAAATATGCATATCCGGATGTTCGATTATACGGAATACCCCTGGTTTTAATTGATCCGGATAATCGGGATTCTAATGTACACGGACAAATCCATCAACTACTGGGGACACTGCTGTCAGTGCCAGATGCACATCATCAATTCTTACAAATTTATTTTAAGGGCAATCAAGATGAGGAAGTTGATACTCGTTGTGCTCATAATCCAACCGTCAAGAGAACCATTGTCAGTTGTTGACATTGCTTCACAAGAACAATCAATTAGTGAGAATGTTCAAAAGGGCCCTGGAGCGCATGCCATCAGCCAGTCATAATATTGTAATAAGAGCCGACAAAACACCTGCTGAAGAGCATGCAACCTCGACTTTGCAATGGAATAAGATTGGCTGTGAAGAAACTTATGAGTAACATCATCGAAGCTAAAATAATCAAAGGAAAATACAAAGGAGATGATGTCTTAATCCCGCATATACCTATGATTCCAACGGATTTGCCATTCGATTTTTAACGGTTGCAATTTCCCGTGCGTCTAGCTTTTGCTATGCCCATAAATAAATCGCAAGGCCAATCGTTGAAAGTTTGCGGTATAAACTTGGAGTTACCTTTTGTGCGCATGGACAATTATACGTTGCCTGTTCGCGCGTCGGAAAACCTACAGCTTTATTTATTTAGGCCAGCAAAAAAAAAACTAGCAATATCATTTATTGGAAAGCATTATGTTAATTCACTGTATTGTGGTGATACGAAGTTCACCGGGTCATCTTGTTCCTATATATATTTTTCAATACAGCTCCAGCTTCCCAGTTTGTACCTGATCTCGATGACCTAGCTTTGAATTGCGGGGGAAGAATGGAGCCCCGCTGATGACACCGTGCAAGAGCTCCATAATTTTGGACTACAAAACAACAACCTCGCTGAAGTGTGAGGCCGACGAACCGATGTCCTGGTGGACAGCACAAACGAGCATCGTTTTGGATGAGAGTAGTTTCGACAACACCGAGGATCCGGAACGACCCTACGGAACAAACCTGCAACTGAGCGGAGTGACCGCCGAGGATGTGGGCGCCTATTACTGCGTGAAGGAATCGGAACTGAACAATCTCCCCGAGAAGAACGAGCAGGCAATGATCGAGCTGGTGAACCAGGGCGGAGCTAGCTCCATTTACGTGTACGTGGACGACAAGGAGAACAAGCTCTTCACCACCGAAACCATTCTGCAAGCCAAGCAGTACGAGGACCTGGTGATACCCTGCAAACCGGCAATGCCAGACACCGAGGTGCTGCTGGAATTCCGAGAGGTGAGTTTACGGGGTCTAGGTTCTTAGAAACCTAACGTCCGGTCATGAATCCAGTATAGGCAATAAATAAAAGACTGTGGAAGTAGCACATCTACAGATATTTGGAATTTTTATAGTTCTATTACTTGGGCTATAATACTTAAATAGTTTTCGTACACACTTTTTGAACAAATTAATTAAAAAACCCAAATACTACGATAAGAATTAGGAATTCCAATATTTAAGCAATAAAATACGAGATATTTAAAATATATTTAATAAGCGAAGAGATAATCATACATTTACAATTAAACCATTGAGTACTGAACAACACGCTTAAGGATTCTTGAAAGATTAATGTTTGTCCTTTAACTCATAACTCTTTTGTTTTCGTGCACAGTCTTGTCCTTGGAGAATCAGTTCAAAAGGTCAAGTTAAGGGCGACCCCAAGTGCTTCGAAAACGTGAGGTTCCACCCAAGGCGAGGCTTCACATTCCACGTCACTGACTACTTCGCCGGTTACATCTGGTGCGGTCAGAAGGTCTTAGACACTAAATTCGAAAGCAGTATGTCACAGTTTGTCGCTTAGTCAAAACGTAGTTAAAACCGTCTGATTCTTGTACATACCATCCTATACAATATTATATACCTACTATTAAAGCGTAGCATTAACAAACCAGTTTTAAGTCCCTACCTGTATTTTACGACTGCAGAGAGTTAGGAAGCTTCATCTAGGGCTCCATTTCTTAACCCGATTTCTGACCATTTGACCATTATGCCTGTGTGCAGGTACTTTCCAGCACTTCTGTCGGTCGATATGATCCGCAGCGGGGATTCACCATCGAAGTCCGTAGCATTACGGACGGCGGCGACTACATCTGTCGGCCAAATCCTCCATTTCCGGATAACGAAGACGAGTTCTCTATCATACCTGTGCGCTTTATTGGTAACGGTCACATTGATAGTGAGTTTTTGCACCCCAAAGTTTGTGATTTGTGATTTCCGTCTATATATGTCGTAAATATTGCTTTCCACTATTCAACAATTATTTATCGATCCGAGCACCTGAAGCGCTTTCGGTATCTATTTCGGGATTGGTAACGGTTGTGGTTTTGGTAAACTGTGGCCAAGGATCTAACCTATCTTCTCTTTCAAAATCAAGGCTATCAACACACTATATAGCTTTTACACGAAATTACAGATCCTGCACGCACATCCATATATTTTTCTTTTGGGTTCAAGAAACATAAAATTCCATATACTCCACTCGCATAATGTATAACATTAATCCGCTTCAAAATTAAAACATTATTTCAAATTGCATTTTCATTTTGGGAAAAGAAAAATATGTACTCATATTAACATTTTAATATTTCAATATTTTCAAAAAGCAGCAACGGTATTTTTATTGTTTAATGAAACATTTTTGTGTTTTTTTAAATATATTTCTTGAATTCAATAAAAGTGTTGAAATTTCGCACCACAACGCACAAACACTGCTTGCACTGCTTGCTTAAAAATTCGCACATGTGCTAACCAATGGAATTTCTCTCTTTCTCTGCACTTCAACCACCGCACTTTCTTCTCAAAATACTGATCGACTTCCTGTTACCCACTGTCACGTAAATCTGCTAACTCCCCCAGAATCCGGATTGGAAATCCCCAGAACCCAAACATCGCCATCGGGTCCCACGACTAACACGGCGTATACGTATGCGCCAGATGTCACCGATTACGATGACGAGGTCATGGTCACTGTCCTCACTGTTACTAACCAATCGCCGGGTAGTGTGGCACTAACCAGTGGTGGTGGAGCTTTCACCCGGGATCGGGCAAGGCGAAGTCCAGCCCGGCTGGCTCCGATGAATGCCTCGCCCTCACCCAGACCAGGGCGTAAGTGTTGTCCTGGCTGTTGTTAATCCGTTCGAGATCTGTTTGTGATTTGATGTGTCTTTATGTTGTTCCTGTTCAGTTTTTGTCTTGTCCGGGCTGTCTTTTGTTATTCGTTGCATCCCTTCTTCGATTTGTGTTCGATTTTCGTTGGTTATGGACTGATTTAACTGAAGTATCTAACTCGCTTGCTTTCTTACTAACCCTGGCTAACATCTACCACCTAAGTGCTGTAAACTCGTTAACCCATTTGTGTCTACGTCTATGTCTAACCCACCCATCTGCATGAAGCTGTAGCACTGCTGGCCAGTCCCAGTCCTTTGCGAAGGGTATCTAATAAAGCTAAACTTTCTACTAACGCCACAGAAGCCGGCAAGGCCCTTCCAAAGCCCGTGATTAAGTCCTCCTCGGGATCTCACGTCGTTTTGGGTTCCAACTTTACCCTCATGTGCGAACAGACCTCTCCCTTTGGAGCCACCTACAACATCGAATGGAGAACACAGGATAACAGCAAGGTTTGTTGAAATGCAATCGGAACTTTTTTAGAACTTTATTAATCAGCCAATCGAATAAATTCATTATGTAACTGATCTAAGTATTGCTACTTACTAATCGTTTACAAATTATATTTCTTTAATACAATTTTTAAAGAAGACCCTTAAATTGCAATTAAATAGCTAACCCTTCAACTATTATCATTGATATTAAACTATTTTATAAAAGGTTTTTCCGAACGATCGCATTATCATCACGGAAGCAGTGTTTGACGACACGGCTAAGAGCAGCACCCACCTGTTGGGCAGGAGCACCTTGACGGTATTGGATGCCCAGCGTTCGGATTCCGACTTGTACAAGTGTCTGGTAACAGACGCCAAGAACGCAGTACAACACATCTCCTACAGGATCAGGGTTTTAGGTGAGAATTTCAACTGGAAAGTATTTCTCTTCATGTCATAATGTTGTGACACTTGCAGGGCAAAACGAGAGCTATCTAAACGTTGATGAGCAAAACGGCCATTACAAAGTTATGGAGTTCGCCAACAAAACGATCCAGATGACGGCCAACTTCGAGGGCTTCCCGCAGCCAGAGTTCCGATGGTTCAAGCCGGACGGAACCGAGGTCCGTCAGTCGGAGAACAACTTCAAGATCGAGTCCACGGAGCGGAGCATAACACTGCGGCTGCTGAGTGCCCAGCTGCAGGACAGCGGCACCTACGTCCTCCAAGGCAGCAACAACTTCAAGACGGTGCAGCGGGAGTACAACGTGAGCGTGATGGACGGACCGGTGCTCAGCATGGCGGACACCTACGTCCAGGTGGGTTCCGTGGCCCGGCTCGAGTGCACCGTGCTCTCCTACCCGCCGGCCCTGGTCACCTTCCTCTTCTGTCCCTGCGTCCTGGAGCCCTTCTGCCCCACCTGCTCCGTGCTCGAGGCGAATTTCAGCGTGAGTAAATCTACTTTTGTTTTGGTGATGGTGAAGGGAGATGGAAAAAGTTAACTAGCCATTAGCTTGCGACGTCTTTTAATGAATTTTACTGAACTTGAGAAAGAATTTATTATTTATTATAAATGTATTATTTATTTATTGTATCTCAAAAAATATGCGAAATGTTAACTGTTATCGACTTACAGACACTTAAAACTAACAAAAGTTTTTAAAACAGCAAAGTGATTTTCCTCACTAGTTTTTAAAGGTCTTTACGAAATATTGGGTTACGAAATAATATTTAAAGACGTTAAATTTCATTAACTTTTGTTTGTACTTGTCCTTTCAACGTATTTCAATTGCTTCTCTGTGCCGTCCCCATGTGTTGGTAATGCTGTCCTGCAGTCGCCAAGTGTACAAGAATCATATCAGGTAAACAATTAGCTTACAATCTATATACAAACATCACTAGCTGCTTTTGTAACCACTTGTTGAACCACCCACAGTTCTTGAAAATACCCCGACCCGGAAAACTGAGTGTGGAGAGAATTATAGAGGTGTCCTTCCGGCCAACGGAACCGGGAATTCTCTCCTGCGTTGCGGAAAATATGGTGGGCGGTGAGAGTAAAAGGGCCATAACCAAGGCGCACGTGCTGCTGGGCAATATATCCGAGAATATGACCATATATGGCTTCGATAAGGGGCACAAAATCGCCAAGGAGGACAATGTCAACTTCACCTGCGAGGCACTGGCCTACCACTTGGATGGAAACCTCAGCTGGCTCCACAATGGCGAGGCGTTGGAGGAGTCTGATAGTGAGTAGTATACAGCTTTCTAAAAAATATACTCTTAAATGTGCAATACAACATGAATTAATTGTTTATATTTGCATTCACAGATGTTCGAATTGAAACGAATCGTACCGAGTACTCCTACAAGAGCACAGTGCATATTACCTCAATATCCGACCAAGATCGAGGAACCTACGAGTGCCGGGCGTACCACATTAGAAAGCCATCCGAGTACAGCACACATGAGATAGACTTAAACGTCTACGATCCCTCGGCTCCGCAGTGGGTGAACCCAACTCAGGATGCCCATAAGAAAATCAAGCGAAACCTGAGCCAAACCCTGGAACTGGAGTGCGCCTCCACAGCTGTTCCACTGGCCACGGTTCAGTGGTTCAAGGACGACAAGGAGTTGACCGAATCGAAACTGATGCACTTCCTGGAGAACAACTCCAAGCTGATAATCACACATCTGTATCCCGGGGATGAAGGCGTTTACAGGTGTCTGGTGCAGAACCGATTGGCCAGCATCGAAAGATCCTACACGCTGGACATTTCGGGTAAGTCTCTTTTTCCTTTATCAATGTCTTTTTACTTTTCAAACACAATAAATGATAGATATTTGTTTCATTTCTTCAAAAATAACAAGAATCTACCACTCTTTACAATCCCGAGGTTTGACAAAGTCAGTGAAAACTTAACAATAAGATTTCGAGTTTAATTTAGCACTTCAATGGGAAGGTTCTTACTTCAATAATGAGTTCAATATATTTGTAGACCTGCCCGGCATCAACTTGGCTTGGGTTTGGTTTAGCGCTATAATATTCCTCATCCTGATGGGCCTGTATGTCTGGCTGGCCTTTCGGTATAAAATGGAGCAGAACAAGAACAAGAACAAGAAGCCCAATGACCTTCACAATCTCATTAAGGGTGTTCCGGAACGGATTAATAAGGACCTTCCCTTGGCCATCCAGGCATTACATTTTCCCTACGACGAGAACTACGAGTTTCCGGCGAAAAAGCTGGAGCTGGGCAAACTGCTGGGAGCCGGAGCGTTTGGAGAAGTGTACAAGGGAAAGGCCAAGGGAATCCTGCTGGGGGAACCCTCCACCGTAGTGGCGGTCAAGACGATCAAGGACAACGACACCCAAGCGGTGAGAGCACTGGTTTCCGAACTCAAGATTATGATTCATTTGGGCAAGCACTTGAACGTGGTCAATCTCCTGGGAGCCTGCACCAAAAACAATATAGCGCGTAAGAGGGTTTTTCCTTTCTTTGATGAAAGTGTACATAAGTGTAACATCTTTAATGTGTACAACTTTGTAGGCGATATTAAGGTCATTGTGGAGTACTGTCGTTATGGTAATGTTCAGAGATTCCTGTTGAACAACAGGAGTCGCTTTATCAATCAAATCGATCCCGAAACTGATCGCATCGACCCGAGCATCATGACCCGGCGCAATTCCGACCAGATTTACCTGCAGAGGTAAGATACTTTGGGACAATGAAGTAACTAACCCCACTAGTCCAAAACTTAGTTATAAATTGAAAACCCCAAAAGTTAACTGACCCGTTAATAACCGTTTTAGTAACTAAATCCTATATGGTATTGTTTTTTTTGTTTTTGGTTTTGGTACACTATGCTAAAATTTAAACACCGACTAACCATCAACCTAATGCGATACACAATTAAATTAACTGTTGCAAAACTCAACACACACACACACACAAAAAAACACTGAATGTTTCTGCACCTGTGCTTGTGATCCCGCTCCTGGTTGTGGTATCCTCCTCTGTGCTTCCCGCTCTATGTGTCTCCTCCTATGTCCTTGTGGTGTGGCGAATAAACCCCAAATAACAGCAAGGCCTTCCCTTCGACCTTGACCCATCAGAACACGTTGTACAACAATAATACGCAACCTCCACCGCCGATTCAACACGGAAACTGGGAAAATGATCCACGGTCGGGCACCCGAAGCGGACGCACAGGATCCGGATCCGCCATTCCCACCTTGCCGGGAGGTGGGTTTATATCATATATCATAAATATATTAAGTCTTTAAAATCAGAACCGGTTTACTTGATCCCTTATTTGATTACCTAAAAGGAATAATATTAACTTCGTTTTTTATTTGTTTGCCATATACATACATAGATGATTTTCAAACGTCCAGGAATTCTGGTCAAACCATCTGGCGATCAAACTACGACTCGGAGGCCATGATGGTAACCACAACTGACTTGGTCAGTTGGGCATTTCAAGTAGCGCGGGGAATGGACTACTTATCAAGCAGGAATGTGTTGCACGGCGATCTGGCCACCAGAAATATTCTCCTCTGCGAAAATAATGTGGTTAAGATTTGCGATTTTGGTCTGTCTCGAACTATGTACACGGATGAGTACCATAAGACAGGTATGGAAGAACCTGAAACTAAACAATTCCAAGCTTTATCAAAATGATTTTTATATTATTTTAGGGAATGACAAGCTGCCCGTCAAGTGGCTGGCACCGGAGTCTCTTAGCAGCAAGATCTTTAGCACTTACAGTGATGTTTGGTCCTTCGGCGTTGTCCTTTGGGAGATGTTTTCGTTGTCCAAGGTCCTTTATTCGGAGATAAATTCCAATCAGGAGCTGTTCAACAAACTGAACGATGGTTATCGAATGAAAAAGCCGCAATTTGCCAACAAAATGCTTTACGAAATAATGCTAGAGTGCTGGCGAAAGAAGTGCGTAAAGAATTACTTTTTGCCTAGATGACACGCACATATAGTAAAATATTAAACTTTAAACAAACATGACTCTAAAAGTAGTACCCCAAAAATTGTTTCTTAAAAAATAATCAATATTTAGCGCTCACAATTCAATATTTTCATACATTATTTTTCCTTCTTTCAGTCCTAAAAGCAGACCATTGTTCGATAAGCTGGAGCAGCGTTTTGCCAGCATACTGGGCGAAGATGTCTCCTCTGTAAGTAGACAGATTTAAATAAAAAAATAACGAAGATCTTCTGAGTTGATTTAATCCATAGCAATACCTGGAACTAAATGAGCCGTACATGCAAAGTAACATCGAGTACAGAAGGGTCCACCCCACGGATTTCCTGGTGGAAATGGGTTCTCCCACCGAGCAGGCGCCTGCACCTCCGCGCTTCGATAGTAAAGTCGTAGTGCCTGAAATCCGTGAGTATTCAGATAAGCCGTCATGGCGTCACGGTTGAGCTTACTAACTCAAATATGCACAATTGCACCCATCTAAACCATCGAAACGCACCAACAATCCAATCGCTGGCACACTAACACAGGCATCGACGAACCGACGGATGGCTATCTGCTAATGAGCCCGGGAAACGGTGCCAAAGCCAAAGCAGCCATATTCTCACCCACGCGCCTCGAAGGCGAGGCATCTGACTTTCCCGACCTCTCAAGCGAAACGCACCAACAATCCAATCGCTGGCACACTAACTCAGGCATCGACGAACCGACGGATGGCTATCTGCGAATGAGCCTGGACAACGGTGCCCAAGCCAAAGCAGCCATATTCTCACCCACGCGCCTCGAAGACAAGGCATCTGACTTTTCCGACCTCTCAAGCGAAACCCCTTTCAATTTCCCAGAAGCGAAGCAATCGCCTACGTTGAGCAACAACTTGAACAGCGCATCGAATAAGCCGCTCAAGAAGAACGGCCTGCACATGGTGGATGCAGAGGATCAGGCTCCGGAGGAGATACCCATGCTGCACCGCCAGTCAACCAAATCGGATGAGAGTCCGGAGCAGGGCAGGCGATTCAATCACGACCTTCACCAGCAGGACGGCGCTCCAACGCCTTCACCCCGCCATCACGTGGAGACGAAATTCAACGGTGACTCCGCCGAACACGTCGTTAATATGAAGCCGCCAAGAAAGAACATACCCAGCAAAACCACAACAGGTGGTGGTGGTGGTGGTGGCGTTCCACCGGGCCCCACGGAAGCCTTCTCGAATCCCGGCTACCAGCCTCTGTTCATCGTCAACGAGAAGGAACCGCAAAGGTTTAAGGAAGTCCCGGAGCCATTTGTTTTAGTTCAGGACTTCTAGCCAGCTCAGTTGGTCATTTAAATGGAAATTGTTAATCAAAAATGTAATCTACATTAACTTAAGTGTAATTTAAACTGTCATAGCTGCACGATAACTTAAAGAAAATTATTAAAATTTCAACTGAACTGTTCGGAAGTCTTTAAAAGCAATATCACTTGGTGATATTGTCAAGATTCTGATAAGCTAGTTAAGCTCGTTTTTAAGCTAGATCATACACACTCAATCCATGTTATATACTATTAAACCATTTCATGTTTTCGTTTAGTGTAGATCTGAGCTGAATAAACTATTATTGTAATTGCTTTCCTTGTACTTAAAAAGGGATCTACAATGGATATTATAACAAAAATAATTACCATGGACAATTTTAGCTGCCTGCATCAAATCAATTTGGTCACACATTTGGGATGCGCTGAACTTTTTCCTTTGAAAGGTTTGTTTTTAGATTATTAGCTAAAAGGTTTAATAATTTCCTCTGGGCTTTGGTTTATGTTAGGCCAGAAGCATAAACATAACTATCACATAACATAACATACACTAATTTAAATATGATAAGCGGACTTTTCGCTTTCGGTTTTCCAACACTGAGCTATCGATATTTCGATTGCTTTTAACCACCACGCACCGAATCCAATGGTCTAGCTAAATCTTAAGAACAGCTTAGTTTTAAAAATGTGTTGCTAAAATTAGCTTTGATTCCTTGTTCCTTGACATATTATGAATGGTTGATTCAATTAACTCGATATATGAGAGCAATATAAGCTATGATAAATAAACTCCCGAAATTGCCGGCTAGGTAAAAATATCTAATCTAGCTATAAAAGAGAGATGAATTGGCAACCCTGGCCACCACTAGTTAAAATTCGTGTTGCTCTCTATAATTTGTATTAATTGTTTTTAGCCCAATCCAATTGTTATTCACTCGCCGCAAAATGATGGTAAGTATAATTAAAAACCCAACGAAAGCCAAAAACCTTTATAATGTTTCAATTAAGTTTTTGTGGCATCAAATATGACTCCTTGTCCGCACACAAAGAAAATCTTATCATCAAAAAATGGGCGTATAAAGAATGGACGATTTAATGTTTTTTTTTTGCCCCAATAGGACGGCACGGATGACTCAAATATACTGAGCGGCCCCTCGGCCAACAACGGAGCCACAATGGAGATCGCCTCGCCCACAAATCCGCTGGCGAATTCAGCAGCAACAGGCGTAGCATCAGCACCAAGTGGTGCCACCAATGGCAGCGGATCTGCCACATCGCCGGATAGTTCGTCCTCCGCCCCGGCCACGCCCGCCGCTCTGGGCGAGAACGCCCTCCACGTGGAGATCTCCGATGCGCTGAGCGAAAAGGAGAAGGTCAAGTTCACAGTCCACACCCGCACTACGCTGCCAGGATTCGCGAAAAAAGATAACAATGTGGTGCGCCAGCACGAGGAGTTCGTTTGGCTGCATGATCGCATTGAAGAGAATGACGACTACGCAGGCTATATTGTAAGTACATATCCGCAAAAATTGTTTAAAGCTTTCTAATTTGTGGTTATCCCACCTAGATACCTCCTTGTCCTCCGCGTCCAGACTTTGATGCATCCCGTGAAAAGCTGCAGCGATTGGGTGAAGGCGAGGGCAACATGACCAAAGAGGAGTTTAAGAAGATGAAGTCTGAGCTGGAGGCGTAAGTTACAAAAAGCTATTGATGTTATATACTCATATTCTCCTTGCTTACTTTCAGCGAGTACCTAGCCACCTTCAAGAAGACGGTGGCCATGCATGAGGTGTTCCTGCGCCGCCTGGCCAGCCATCCTGTCTTTCGTGTCGACCAGCACCTTAAGGTATTTCTCGAATATGACCAGGACCTGTGCGCCAAGCCACGCAAGAAGATGGCCATCTTTGGTGGCTTTGTCAAATCCCTGGGCAAGACCACAGACGAAATTCTGCTGAGCGCTACAGTGCGGGATGTGAATGACTTCTTCGAGAATGAGCTACAGTTCCTTACTGAGTACCATGGTCATTTACGCGAAGCAGCGATCAGGACTGAAAAAATGACGCAACGCCACAAAGATGTAGGCGATTCACATCAGAAAATTTCAAATGCGTTGACGCAACTTTCGACCACGGAGAAGGGCAATGTGGAGACATTTGTGGCGAAGTCAGCGGAGATATTCGAAAGAATAAAGGTAAGTTTAGTCTTTACTCCAAACTTGTTTTTATATTATAAACGTTATTTTCTTCTGCTTTTCAGAATCTGGAGACCCGAGTCGCCAGCGATCAGGATCTCAAGTTGGGCGACACCTTGCGCTACTATCAGCGAGATAGCGATGCAGCCAAAGCTCTACTAATCCGACGTCTACGCTGTTTGGCCGCCTATGAGACAGCCAATCGAAATCTGGAGAAGGCTCGTTCGAAAAACAAGGATGTGCATGCGGTAAGATTGGGTGGCGGTTAGAATTGTTTTCAAAAATATGTTTCAGATCGTTTAAAAAGCAATTGTTTTCCCCTAAAAGAAGTTTCCAGCGGGGCATTTAATTCTCACGCTTCACTAATTACAAACAAAAAATTATTTGCGTTCTTGTATTTTATTTCTACCGTCCACAACCCCACATTGCTCTGCTCTGCCTGTCCCTCCCTCTTCACTCTTTGTGCGTGTTTGTGGTTCTGTTTCTGCAGCCTTTGGAGGTGCAAGAGGTATTTGGCATTTAACATTTTAACCGTCGGTTTAGTAGATGTGTTGCCACCCCACGTAACTGCTGCATGAATTTCACAGATGCTCCACCAATATTCACTTTAGCATGTCCATGTTGCAACCCAGTCTTAAAGGTTTAAAATTTATTTAATCGTTGATATTTGAAACCATTTAGGCTGAGACTGCCCAAGCGGAGGCCTGCGAGAAGTTTGAATCGATGTCTGCTTGTGGAAAGGAGGAATTGATCGGCTTCCGTAACAGACGGGTAGCTGCTTTTAAAAAGAGGTGAGTAAAGGTCTCTTAATATATTGTTACAATTTGATTGAAAATGCTAAATTTTCTGTTTAAGCCTTGTGGAGCTCTCGGAACTGGAGATAAAGCATGCCAAGACTCAGTACGAATATTTGCGCCAATCGTTACTAGCGCTCAAAGAGATTGCCTGAGACGGAGAGCCGGAGGAGGCGCACGAACTGGAGAGACCGGAAGTTGATGAGGAGGGGTAGGAGGACGAGTCACCCGCACATTGTTTACACACCCCTTTGAAGCGCACGCCTCATTGATAAAACGCCCCCGGGAGACGAAGTAAATCAATTGTTTAATTGCTAAGCAAACAGTTTATTATTGCACAGGCCAGATCGAGTGCAACATTATTATCTTAGCCCACGTATTGTATTAACGAATATCCATTTGTTTTGCGAACAGAGCGCTTTTATATTTGTCAAACAAGCATTCCTCTCTAAAGCATACACTACATTTATATTGTAAACACTTGCATTTGAAGCAAAATATAAACGAGAAATATTGTACAGAAAGCGGGCTGTTTGTAAACAGTCAGTATACTAGCATTGCTTGATATCGGTTCTGTAGCCAGGCAACAGCAAACGTTCCAAAATTTAGCGTACCAAGGAGAGCACTTTTCCACAGTCGCTGAAAATTTGTATTCTTGCCAGAGTTTGTTTCAGTTTCCTCTAGTTAATTTTTGGGCATTAAAAATCCTTACGCCATGGATGACTTTGGTGTCTTTGACTATAAGCGTCCTGCCAGCGCCAAAGATCTTGATTGGAGAACCTCGTACTATCGTGGACATCGTCACATCACTGATCTGAGGATGGGCAACAAGCTAAACGCCAAGTTCACGGACAAGGGCATTTATGTGAATGACCCGCTACTGTCGGAGAAGCTGACCTCCGAAAGCATGGCTAATTATGTGTGGCAGGTGAGTAGATTAAGATAAAATTTATTTACCTTTGTATATGTATATGTATCATGTTCGTCTATCCTTCCAGTACAACGATCCCAATGCCCTCAGGAATCCCTGCCTTGGCGTGAAAACGCAATACATGAAGCCGTTCGAGGATGGCTATCTTCGCTTTATAAAGCGAAAGATGAAGCCAATTTCGAGTGTTAGTCATGACTCGTTCGTGCTTAAGGAACTGCCAGAGGAGCAGGAGGTACTGCCGGTAACAATGCCAACCCCGGTTGCGGCCACCAAGCTGGTCATCGACCGTTCGCAGGCGTCCTACAGCAAGCACCTGGATCCCTCCGCCACCACCTACAATCTTTCGTATGTACGCATGAGTCCCGAGGATTTATGTGGTGGAATAGCAGCTCACGATAATATAACATACTGGAATTGGTCAGAGAAGATGCCGCCCCCTCAGAAAGTAGCCCGGGAACCGGATCCCATTATGTGCGACGACGGACCCACGAATCTCTGCCCCAAGCGACGGTGCGAGTTCCAGAACCTCACCAAACGGGTTCCGCATTCGGGATCAATCACCGAGGTACGAGCCAACTTCACGGATCCCCGGTTCCGAACGGTGGAGTTTGATCCGGAAGTAAAACCGATACTGGAGTATGCGGAAGTAACACCGTTCGCCAAGAAAAGCGAGTACGCCATCTACGGATCGGGAGAACCGGTTATTAAGTACGTTTAGAAGTTACCATTGTAAATTGTTTCGACTTCTCATTGAGCTAAATTTATGTTTAAGCAAAGTAAGGCATGCCATTCTTAAAAGCCGACCTTTTTATCTTACTCCCTTGAACGTTTAATAAACGTATTTATTTGAAATTTAACTTTAAATAAAATTTTAAATTAAATCTTTCAACCGCAAAAGTTTGGAGAAGGACCTAAACGGTATACCAGTGTGGAAATTATGCGTCACATGTATTGAAGCTGTACGGAAGCAGACGGTAAGCGGAAGTGACTAGGACTTCATCGTCATCCTGGATGGCAGGAATGCAGTTCTCCTGTTCCGGTGGCGGAGCTTTTGCAATATAGATGGGGATGTCCTTTCGCACGAACTCCAGTATGAACTGGCGGCAGACGCCACAAGGTGTTGTGAACACATCTGGATGATAGGCCACAACAGCGCCCGCTGTATAGTTCTTCTCGCCCTCGCTTATTCCCTTAGCCAAAGCACATCGCTCAGCACAGTTACCCGGCGTTAACGCCACGTTTTCAATATTGCAGCCCGTGTAGATCCTACCGCACTTGGACCGGAAAGCTGCTCCTACTCTGAAATTGGTGTACGGGGCATAGGCGCATCTGCGGGCGGAAAGAGCCGCCTCCAGCAGCTCCCGGCCGTCTTCACCTGGGCCAAATTACATTAATCGGATTAGGTTGCAAATAGGTACCATTTATGCGGGTACAGGACTAACCGACTGCACAGAAGGCAACTGTGAACTCCTCTAGCATTTGCGGATGTTGCAGGTTCTCGGATTCGCTGGCCCGACCCCTGTCCCCGTTAAGCCTGGCCTCCCTTCGGGCCAGCTCACAGAGCAGTCCCTCCAACGTCGACATGTAGGAACAAAGAATCTTCCGTAATCTTTTCTGCCGCAGCTCCTTCATCTTGCCGCCGGCGCATTTGGTACCCGAACGCTCCTGGCGACGAGCCATTTGGCGCTGCAACAACTCCAGCTCCACCATTTTCTTTTCCAGCTCCTTTCGCTTTAGTTCGTCCTGAAGCTCGTTCAGATTTCTCATATAGCATTGGAGGAGTTTCCGCTTCTCAGCCATTTTTTTTGTTAACTTAAAATTTGTAAAATAATAAATTTTTTGTGCCAAAAGCAAATACTGATAGAAGTTTTTAAAAAACAAATGTCATTCCTGATATATAACAGAGGACAATGAAATTCCCTGGGTTTCTAAGATTTGTTTAAATATGTTAATAAATTTGTTTTCTAATCTTTAGAAACATTACAAATTAAGACTTTTTCTCATTTTCTTATTTTTATTTCTAAAATCTATTTTCGAATGTGTGTTTAGAAAAAATAATTTGGTTATAACTTGATTTATTAATGATTTCCTTAAGAAAAGATTGTCTTCCAAAAATTCGTTGTTGACTATATGTCCCGGGTGTTGGAAAGCTGTTATCAAATAAATAAATATAGTACAGTATAATTCGCTTAACTGCCTCGATGCTTAGCTGCATCGTCAAGATAACTGCCTTATTTCTATTTTTTCTGCATTTATGGTCTCATTTGTATGAAATTAATTACGTTTGCTGCATTCAAGTTAGCTGCCTTTCGCACTTAAGTGCCTCGTTTCGGCAGAATTTAACTGTCTTATTCTATGAATATCATCCAACTTAACTGCGCCATCTAGGATTCGAATTTGGAAACAACAAATTTATGAGTTTTAATCATGTATCTTTTTTTGTGCATATGGCAACGCTTGCATCTCTTTGCGCATGTCCGTTTTTCGTTTGTTTTGATCGTGCCATTTGTGTGCATAAATCATTCCTAATCGTAAAAATGGGTAAAGTGAAGCGCTTGGTTGGCTTAACTTTAAAAGAAAAGCTCCAAATTATTACGGCTGTCAGCGAAAAAGTTGATAAAAGTGTTCTCTGCACGAAATACAAGTGTGACAGATCAACAATAAACCGTATAATTAAAAATCAAGACGAAATTCAAAATTTAAAAATTACGTTAGCTGCCTTTTTAAGATAGCTGCCTCCAAAATCACTGCAATCGACTCGATGCAGTTAAGCGAATTATACTGTATTAAGTTTCACTTTTAAAAAAGTGGGAATTCCCTCTATTGATAGAGCGTTACCTATCTATAAAGAAAATTGGCTTTACTACCAATTTTATACTAAGTTTACAATCTTAATCGGATGAATTATAACATTCTATTGTCCAATTTTCAAAAGTCGGTAATCTCCATATTGTTTTTTTTTTTGTTTAATAGTGTAAATTTCTTTATTGCAAGTGATTAGATTAAAATGATATAGATTACTATTGACAAGAGGCAGTAAAGGGGTTGTGTGTCAACCTTGAACTAACTGATTTCTCTCTCTATCGCCCGGCTCCTGCAGTCTAGTGGCATTATTTCCGGTAGGTGTGAAAACTGCTAGGCAACAGATTGTATATTGAGGTGCAAAGAATGGGGTCCTCCTTCTGAAGCGGTTCCTCCTTCGCGCTAATCCTTGCATCAATAGACTGGGCGATGTAGATGGGAATATCCTCGTTGGCAAACTCCCGAATAAACTGGCGGCAAACGCCACAAGGAGTGGTGAAAACTTCGGGTTCGTAGGCGATAACAGCTCCTGCAGAAAACTCGGTGGCTCCTTCACTTACGGCTTTAGCTATAGCCGTTCGTTCCGCACAAGAGCTTGGCGTAAAGGCCGCGTTCTCCACATTGCATCCGCTGAAGATCTGTCCGCCGCTCTTGGCCCGAAAAGCAGCACCCACTTTGAATCCACTGTACGGAACATAGGCTCGCTGACGCACTTGAAAAGCAGCTGTCAAAAGTTCTTGAACCGATAGATCTGGAATTCGTAACAATCCACGTCACAGAGGCATAATAAATAATTTAGCACTTTAAGTATACAGTAAAAATTATCTATAACATTTTATATCTTTGCTATATAAAGTAACAATAATATCTTAAAAATAACTTTGCAGGACACTGTGTTGTCAATTTAAATCAGAAGTTTTACCTAGACTGCCGAAGGTTACCACCACTTCCGTCTTCTCTGGACGGGCAAAATTTTTTGTCAGATCTGTCATTATTATTTAATACTTTTGATCAATAGGGGCACGCCTCTTTTCTAAGATTTTGTTTTATTTTTAGCGAGGCGAGTGCGTGGCTCTGTGTTTCTCCTCTGAACGTCCGCTGGCGAATGGACGGTTTGTGGTGACAACGCCGCGCGAAGTTGCCTATCATGATAACCCTCTCTGTCGAGCGGTGGTGACGAAAATAAACACTTGGCCATATCGGATCGGGAGAGAGAACTAGCTGTGTGTTAACAATAACGATCGAGAGTAGTGAAAAACACAAACATATGCCATGTATAAAGTATTCAATCAACAAAAAGCGAGGGGTGGGTTTACAGAAAACAACAAACGGGGGAGTCACATAAATTATTGCACATGGATTGCTGTGGGCTTGCACCCTGTAAAATTCTTTCTTTCTTATTTTCCGTTTGAGAAACTAAAGCCATTGGGCAGCAGTTGGAGAACACTGGTGCATAGCACCCTCAGTGGGAGATTGGTTGGCTTGGCGGCGTATAGGGGGATGTCCTTGCCGTTGACGAACTCCGAGAGGAACTGTCGGCAGACGCCGCAGGGTGTGGTGAATCCATTATCCTGCTGGGCCACCACCGCACAGGCCACAAAGTCGCGCTTGCCTTCGCTGTAAATAAAAATAGTCTTAAAATAAAGTTCATATAACACTATATGTATAATAGTTTAAAATTATTTAAGCATATCAAATCTTTATAAGTGTATACATCTTTAACAGAAATGTCTACCGTAATCTGAATACGATGAAATAAAAAAAAAAACTTATTTAGTAGATAATACTATTGACCCACTGACCTAATGGCCTTGACGGCTGCAGTGCGCTCCGCACAAATGCAGGTGGCATACGCCCCGTTTTCTATATTGCAACCAGAATAAATGGTGCCATCGCTGGTCCTCAAAGCAGCACCTACAGCAAAGTTACTGTAAGGACAATAAGCCTGCTTTCTGGCTTCCGTGGCTGCCAGGATGAGCTCTTTAATCGAGGGATCTGCTCAACAAAGAAAAAATTTAGAATCAGTAAGCACTGTCTTCAACATCGTACCCAAGCTCTCGAACTCCCGCACATTGGCCTCGTCTCTTGCTCCATTGATGAACACCTGTGTCATGGCCAACGATTGTAAACTTATATTTCGCAATAGAAAAAGCAACTTAACAAATAAACAGCTTCAGTTATCACTCCCACCACAAAAGCTGACACAGCTGTTCGCAGCAGGGGCGGAAGTAGTGTTTTCTGATTGACCTAATAACGAATTAAAACATTTATAATTATAAATCTTTTCATTAAAAAGGTTAAGAAAACACATTTTAACATCAATACTCGCATAGTTGCGCTTTAAAAGTGTTTATAATTAAAGTTTTAAATTCGAATTTGAAAACAAACCCTTTTTAGACGCTCCTGTCTTCAGACAGCGTTTCCCAACACTGTAAAATGACGAGTAAATAAATATACAGGTAGATTAAGTGCGTACCCATACTTCCAGCAATCTGTGAATTGCGCTTGGTTTATTTTTCTCTTATCGTATAATTCAACGCCAATCGGAAAAGTTAGCGGCCGATTTGGTGGGCATTACGACCGGAAAGACCGTGAGTGACTGGTTCGTTGTGGTTTCCCCGCACAAATATCAATCTAATTAAGTGTAATAATGTCGGCGAATCCAAGACTCCAGCGACAAACATCGGACGGCGTTCAGATCTCGATGGGTGGGTCCGGAGGAGGATCTGGCGATGGTGGACCGGATAGGTTGCCACCAATTAGTGCCCAGGACCAACGTTTCCCTTACTGCATTGTTTGGACACCCATTCCGGTGCTCACCTGGCTGCTGCCCATGATCGGGCACATGGGTATTTGCACTTCAGCCGGAGTGATCCGAGACTTTGCCGGCGCATACTTCGTTTCGGAGGACAACATGGCTTTTGGGCGGCCTACTCGCTACTTAAGATTACACCCAAAGTATGTAGAGGGAGGCAGTTACGCCTGGGACGAGGCGGTATCCAAGGCATCAGTGCTCTATGGCACTCGCATTCACAATATCTTCTGTGACAACTGTCATTCGCATGTGGCCACGGCGCTTATAAATATGCGATACAATAACAGCACCAGTTGGAACATGCTCATCCTAAGTATGTGGCTCTTTGTCTGCGGTCGGTACGTCGGAATCGGGGGCTTCATCAAGACATGGCTGCCGTTTGCGGTTGTTCTAACCATTTGCATACTGCTGGGCGTCTACTTTTAAGGTCTAAAACTATATTAATTATATATTGCTTATGCAGGTTGAATTACAATCCTTTTTAAGTAATGTACATAGTCTAAATTCATATTCGGAATATCACTAAAAAATTGTTTTGAAATTAAATAGATTATTCAATCGTATTTATTTACCTATGTAAGCTAATAATGAAAATAAATGCATTATTTATTTATATAGATATTCGTTTTTAGTTGTCATAAAAATTGACTAATAGGAAGATAAGAAATCAATTATTTATAAAGCTGCAGAAGCCTAAAGAAATAAAAGCCAAATAGGAGCCGCATGACTAATTCCAAACAAGAAAGATAAGTTTCAAAGATAAAGTTTATTCACTGGGAATGTCCCACTTAAACGCTTGTTAACATAATGTAGCGTAAATTAATCCCTATGAGTTAAATTTTGGCATGGATTCACTTAATTCTCAACGGCGCGGGTGACCTCTTCAGCCACCTCAAGAAGTTTCTTCCATTGCTTAATAGAAAGTGATATGCCCTTTTTGCCGGGCAAAGTTTCTCCGTTCTTCTCGTAAAACTCTCGGATGTCGACCATCTTGCGCCCTCGGAATTCATTGATTCGCACTTGGCGAAGTCCTTCGAGGGTCCAAGTGGTGGCACCATCTCCTCCGGAATCTCCGGCACCAGTTTTAGCACCGGCTGGCGCCGATTCCTTGGCCTTCTTGCTCGCCGGCTGATTGCGCTTAATTATAAGCAGACGTTTTGATTAGGGAGACAGTTTTCAGAATTTTTCGAGTTGACTTACATCTTCTGGACCGCTGTCGCTTTCTGAAGAGGAGGCCTGCTGCTTCTTCTTTGTCTTGGGCATTTTTTCGTTTATTATTTTCGAGAAAGGCAAGATGAGAACAGAATCTGGCGAAAATGCGTGAAATTCGCGCTTGTTGTACAGTGTTGATAAGCGCATCAAAAGGAGCAGTGGGCAACATTACACCAACAATCGATATACAAAAGTTTTGACTTCTTTATATTTCGGCCAGGGGCGGACGAAGAAAAAAATTTTGGGGGGTCCCGATCGAAAAATTTTTTTGTTTGGGGGGGTCCGATCAAAAATTTTGGTAATTGTTTACAAGTGCGGTGCACGGTAAATACAGCTTAAAAAAATAAAGTAAAATATGGAAACGATGTGTTTTTTTCTAAAACTTCGAAATCCGTTGGCGGAGAGTGAAAATTTTGCACCGTTTTGTTGTTATTAGCAATTAAAAATACGATTTGTAGTAGAAATTCGGATCTGAGTGACCGTATTTGCATGTGATGTGCCGATTATTGCAGTCGTCTGGTGGCGGATTATTGCAAATACGGTCACTCAGATCCGAATTTGTACTACAAATCGTATTTTTAATTGCTAATAACAACAAAACGGTGCAAAATTTTCACTCTCCGCCAACGGATTTCGAAGTTTTAGAAAAAACACATCGTTTCCATATTTTACTTTATTTTTTAAGCTGTATTTACCGTGCACCGCACTTGTAAACATTTACCAATTTTTTTAGTTTATATGGTTTAAAGACCGTGTGCTGTAAGGGAATTTGAAAAAGTTTGAGATTATGGGCCCCCCGGACACCCCCTGCGTCCGCCCCTGATTTCGGCTATTTTATTTTACATTTAAAAACTGTATTAAATTCAAAGCGGCTTTTTAAATTAAGTTTTGACCTTCAAATGAAAACGGAAATTAGTATTGAAAGTTTTTTTGGTAAAATTGCGCTTTAGCGGCTTTTGCTAAAAATGGTCTAGGAATTTTTTTTTTTTTAATGGATACCTTGGGGCCTTAACATTAATAAAAAGTGGCGGAAAGCTTAAATTTTAATTATTTATGTGTTAAAATTGCAATTATTACTGCCGCGAGGCAACCCGTTTTAGAACATTGCCATGTTTTTCTAGCGAAAAACTTTACCGTTGAGAATGTGTTGTGGATGAAGAGTGCTGCAATTGTGTGAAAATTTAAAAACAAAAGAAATTTAACAATTTTACCATGTCAGGCACTGCCAATTTTACTACTGAACGCTGTAAAGGTTGCGAAATGACTCAGAGTGATTTTATAGTACTGAGTGAATACCCAGAAAAGCTATGGCCAGTTGCTTTTTTTGCTATTTTTACAAATAAATACTTAGAAATCAAGCTTTCCGCCACTTTTTTATTAATGTTTAGGCCCCAAGGTATCCATTAAAAAAAAAAAAATTCCTAGACCATTTTTAGCAAAAGCCGCTAAAGCGCAATTTTACCGTTTTTTTTTAAATGTACTTACTGACTTGAAAAGTTAATACTAACTAACTTAATTTTAATAACTAATTTAAAATAAACTTAGTGAAAAATATGTCATTTCTACATTTTACGTAAATCTGACACTTGACAATCTATGTTTTGCCGCGCAGTGTTGGAAAGCCGTGGGCATTTTCGAGCACTGTTTCACCGGCGTCACTTTGGAAGGCGCATTTTTTTTGCGGACTTATCATTTATTAAAAAAAAATCGTATCGTCAGCACGGCGGCTGCTGCATATGAATAAAATCGCGCCAGTGCGAAAGTATTTTTCTCGATATAGAACTAGTGGTAAGTGACCGCAGGTTGTGATAAATGAAAGCGACTAAAAATGTTATTTTTGCATGTGCTCGTGTGCGTGTGGATGTGCAGTTTTTTTTTTCCCCCGTGCGAAGTTTTTAAATTACAAACAAAATGGGCAAGAAATCCGACAATCCTGAAACATCCAGCAAGGGTTCCGATGCGGAGGAGGAGGAGGAGGAATACGCCGTGGAGAAGATCATCGACAGGCGGGTGCGCAAGGGAAAGGTGAGTGATCCGTAGGACCAGACATTCCCACGACACCGAGTCTTACAACGGCGTCTGTTACCCTTAGGTTGAGTACTACCTTAAATGGAAGGGCTACCCCGAAACGGAGAACACCTGGGAACCGGAGAGCAATCTCGACTGTCAAGATCTTATCCAGCAGTACGAGCTGAGCCGAAAGGACGAGGTAAGTGCGATGTGTTGCCAGGTACAGTTGAGTACGCTCGAGTTCCGTTTATATCTGGCTACCGACTCTTAGGAAAAAGCGGCAGCTTCCAAAAAGGATCGTCCCAGCAGTAGCGCAAAGACCAAGGAAACCCCAGGACGCGTTAGCACATCGGCTTCCTCAACAAGCAAGCGAAAGTCGGAAGAGCCATCAGGTAGGCAAAAATTTACTTCTAGGATTAAGCATTCTCAAACTTCTCCGTACAAACATTCAGTATCTCAGACATATTTTTATTGAGCCGCTCAATTTTGTGTACCTAGAAAACAATATTTTCTCTACACTAACTCCTTTTTGCGCGCAAAGTAGTACTTGGAGTAAATAAGAACTAGAGGTAGCCGGAATTTACAAACCTAAACATATATGTAGATGAACTTCCTTAAGAAAAACGAAGTCAGTTATGATGCCCTTTAAAAAAGAAGCAAACCAGACCGAAATATTGTTCTTTACGAGAAATTCGTGTGCTAGAAAGAGACGAAGATAATTTTGCATCAACTACTGAGTACAAAAATCTTAACGTGTAAGGAGGACTAGAAGTCTGGGACTGATAATGCGTTTTACTTTAGAAAAAAAATTTAATTCAGGTGTGTTTTAAGTTTTGAAGAATAAATATAAATATGGTATAAGGTGCGGAAAATTAAAAATAGTTTAAAATTACAGTAGACTCCGGTTATAACGACTTTCAAGGGACCGACGATTTTTCGTCGTTATACCCGGAAGACGCACTAAGCAAAAGGAACCAAAAAACATTTTATTTTTTGTTTATTTATGGTTACCGGCTTCGTAATATGTTTTTAAAGTAAATCAAATTAATTTTTGAATTAAAAAAAAAATTTGATAAATTTAATTCAAAAGCATGGGTTTCTCAAAATACTAAAAACTGAGTGAGCTTATTATTGCATTTTTTGCATTTGCCGAATTTACGCTTTTAGTTTTACTCGGAAAAAAGCAGAAAAAACTAGAAATACAACGGGACATCTCATGGAATAGGCTATGAGGTCTACACACACAGTGTGACGTCGGCATTGCACTTCGACTCTCTCTCTCTCTCGCAGCAGCGTTGTTAAGGCGACAGCTAAAACTAACAGAGAGTTGTGCCAGTGCAAGATCCTTCGTGTCGCTGCTACGCACACAAGCAAGGGTGCCGATCACTGACAAATACATACATTTCTAACAGCGTGTTTTGATGCTTAAATTTGGAACTATGGCACTGTATTTTTTTCTGGCACGACGGTTAAATTTTTCAATGTTCTTGAAAAATTTCATTCTTATAAGCGGTTTGTCGCTAAAAGCGGAAACGCTCTAAGCGGAGGCCCTTTCATATATGTAACTTTGTATGGGGACCAACCAAACCATCGAGTTTTCGTCGCAAAACCCGGACGGACACGATAAGCGGAGTCGTTATAACAGGATTCTACTGTATTTGATACCAACCATTTACACATGGCGAATAACATTTTTAATTTTCCTTAGCACCGACTGGAAACAAATCAAAACGCGCTGCAGAGGCGGAGCAGGACAGCGGCGATTCCTTATCGACCGGATCCACAGGATTCGATCGCGGACTGGAGGCCGAGAAGATCCTGGGCGCTTCCGACAACAATGGTCGGCTGACATTCCTTATTCAGTTTAAAGGCGTCGACCAGGCCGAAATGGTGCCCTCTTCAGTGGCCAACCAGAAAATCCCGCAGATGGTGATTCACTTCTACGAGGAGCGACTGTCCTGGTACTCTGATAACGAGGATTAAATTAGCTCCGAGGTTGCAGCATTAATAGAGCGGAAAAGAGCGTTCATTCATCAAACGAAAAAACCAACCACATAGATATATCTCTGGCCTCCCCGTAGGCGTTCACAAAACCCCCTCACAGCTCATGAAGTACCGGACAACCTTTCTTCTTCTGTCTGGAATTCATGTTTGTATTTATGATTTAAATTTGTAATGAATAAACAAAATTTTTTTCAGTTAAAGCTTATACAAGTGTTTTTATATAAGTTCCGTTCTGGACATTTTTTTGAAAGGGATATTCTAGGTAAAGTACTAAAAGCAGCGATAAATTTTAGGTTTGGTATCGCAAGGAATCTAAGGTTGTCAGGGCCCTTAATTTATACCGTAACGAAATTTTTTTGATTTCATATAAAAGGTACTGTTCCATTAAAGTTATTAAATCGCAAGGAAATCTTGGCAATTTCCTTAGGAATTTAAAAGCTTGTTGGCCACATTGCATTCAGAGTTCTCTAGGACATTTCCGCAACAGGACCAGTGGCGTCTTCCCGGATGTCCTGTGTGCCCGTGACCACAGCCACTATATCCAGGCATTCTACCGTCGCACGAACACATGACATTACGGTTGCCCTTTCCGGAGCAAAAGGAGCAGCAGTGATATATACCCGTATGCGGACGAACCTGTCGCGCCTGAAAGGTAAAAGGTCCACCTTTAATGGGCCGTTCGTTAATAGTGATTGTGAGGATGAGAGCTCCTTGTGCATCCGGCGTGAAGGAGATGTTATAGGTGCCGTCTCGATTGTCGGACACCTCAACGGGTAGGAACTTGGAGCTTGTTTCCTTATACTTCAACATGCAGTTGATCTCTAAACCACCGTGACAAAGGGAAACCCCATCGGCATCTCTGGAGTGGAGCAGCAGGTCTGCTTTTTTGTGGAGTCGCAGCTGGGAAAATCCCTCCCATTCCAAGGTGCACAAACTCGGCTCCACAACCTGCATGGTTATAATTCCGTATAGAGGTATATCGCGCTGGTCTTTAGTCGAAGGAGCTCGGATTTTTGGTAGAAAGTGCAGTGAATCAGATATCTAGAAGGGGAATGGTTAAATAATTGCAAATTCATTTTTGGTCTAGCCACCTTTGGATCCACTGGCGGCTTAAATTGTTGACAGTACTCCAAGCGTCTAAGAAGTATAGCTACATAACTTAGGACCTCCACATCGGCACCAATCTCGCACAATTCCTGGCTAAATCGTATTGCATCCATAGCCTGCTGAGTGCGTTTTTCTACGGAAAAGTAACCATGAGATAACAATGGTGGTTACTTAATAATAAACTATTTGAATTAAATATATTACCGAGATCCAGTTGCTGTTTAACTACTACCTCCACCTTGGACTCCCGAGCTCTACTGATTTGCTGGAGCAAGGTCCTTCGATGAACTTCCAAGGCCTCAATGTACTTCTGCATATACCTTTCCACTTGACTTTGGATATCGTCGCATCGCTTGTTGATGCCGCCTGCAATCTCGTTCAACCTTTCGATGGAGTGCTCTGCATATTGACAAAGCGGACGCGTTTGATCCGTGGCTTCCTTAAGAAGCTTCCCCTGATGTCCAATTGCCCTGGCAATAGTTTCATGACGGTGACCCTTATGGAGCAACACCAAACAATCTGTGCAGGCTAATTGCCGACAGTTGATGCAGAAGGCCTTAAGTTCGAAGTTGGTATGGATTCCACACCGGAGAACGAGTTTACTATTATCACCCAATCCCAGTTGCTGTTGCTTCTGCTTCCTGGCTCGTCTAAGTTCCAGAATGCCCCTCATCCGATGATTTGCAGTGCTCCTTTGTCTTTCGTGTGCCTCCTTGCACAAAGTGCAGAGATTCAGAGTGCAACTAATGCAATGATATGTGGCCTGGATTGAAGGATACGTTAATAAAAAGGCATTTCTATGATTCACTTCTTCTTACACTGATCTCCTCGGTGCAAAGGGAACACCAGACCTTAGAGATGACATCATCACCAGCTTGTAATCTTAAGGCCTCGATGCGTCTTACTAATAAATAGTTTTGAGGAAGCTGACGCACTCCACCCAATGGGAGATCCGTAGAGTAGTTACAAATATGACAACGGATACATCGAGTAGGTACTTCACTTACAAAGCTTCCGGTGAACCGGGTTCCAAAGGAACTGGTCGATCGCTTGCCTTCACTCTTGGACTGTTTATAAGAAGTGGGTTATATGGTATACTTTTGACTCTAAAGACCTCTGCACAAGCACAGTTTTGTTTTTTTGTTGTAGTTTATAATTTTAACATCGGAATTCAGGATTCAAGGAATTGTGGAGAACAATCAATGATTGCCCTGATTGAGTTGTTTCTTAGATTTTTTTATAATTTGGTTGGTGGAGCTACTTTGTTAATTCGGTAATACTTCTGCAGGGTTCTACTATTTGTTTACATGTTTTTATCCTTATAATTCTTTTTCCAAACTTACCCTAATCACTAGGCGATCCATGGATTTCTTTCTTCTCAGACTAAGACTTGCTCCCCGCTGCCTGGCGGGTGAAACCGTAGCGGTGAGTTCAGTACTAGAACCACCCATCTCTGATCTTAGACTATAGCTCGAGGGATCTTCGCTTCGGCCATGATCCTGATCCCACAAGGAGTCATCCTTAAAATTTTCGCTGACCAGGCATTGCAGGCAGAAAGAGTGTAGACAGTACAAGGTTCTAGGATCCGTGTAAACATCCAGGCAGATGGCGCACTTGAGATCATCCGTAAAGGTTATGGTGTTCCCGGGTGGAGTACTGGGTCTTAAGGTAATGCTGGGCGATGGGGAAACTGCTGGCGAGATGGCAGGAGATCGTGAGGGACTCCTGATGAGGGGCGATGGTGCATCAAAGATCTCTGGCCTTGGAGAGGCTGCCAGAAGAAGTTGAGGTAGATTCTGCAGCTTTGGTTGGACGGTGTCTGGCGTTGGAGGCGAGATCCTCAACTCCGGGGAGGCCTTCAGGCTGAGCAACCTTTTCGGATGAAGTTGTTCCTTGGCTTTGATGGGTTGTGCCACTGTGGCATTACTTGCCTGACTACTGCTACTACTTTGGACGGAAACGGAGGAGGCACCACTGAGGATATTGTCCAGTAAGGACTCCGGAGAAGTAGAGCTACCTCCTCCAGCCAAGCTGCTGGTGGGCTCACTGCCACTATCCCTATCCTGCTGTCCGATGTCCTCAGCCGTTGGTAATCCACAAATCCCAACATGGGCGTCATTTGATAGTCCCAAGGTCTTTGAGCGCCGAATAGAGCTTTTCGGTGCAAGTATCGGGAGTTTAGGCACCGGTGTGGGCTGTTTTTCGGAATTCGCATCTCCTCTGGGAGCAATGGTAAAGGTAAACAGCTGTGGGGCTGATTTCCGACGAACTGTATCCGATAATGGTGCAGCCTGAAGATTTTTCTGCGGAGTCTGCGAGTTCTTTTGAAGGAAAATCTTTGACGAACTCAGCTTCAACTTGAGTTTTCCCTGTCCATCATTAGGTGGTACGACTGGTGGAGGTGGTGCTGGGGGAACGACAAAATCTCCCTGAATGCGTTCATAATCAATAAGCTGACTGCTTTTGCTTCCAATGCTCGTCTTCCGTTTGAAAACGATTTTCGGCTGATTTGTCCTGCTCATGTTTTCCCTAAATTATGCAACCCTCCAGTTTTGGTAACGGATTCGTGCCAATCTGTGGCAGTCACAAACAGTTCCGTTGCAATTGGGACTGATACTGATACTGGGTCTCGGACTTGGTTGCTGCCTAATCCAATTACATTCCGCATTGGAAACTCACGGCGTATTGCGAATGGAGAGGTGGCAAAAGACTGACACTGACAATTGTGCAATTATATATTGTGGTTGCACATTCTAAACAGTTTTCTCGTGAAGCTCGGCACTTGCTATTGATTGACCATTACCGTTTTGATGGAAAGTCAAACCATAAAACCAAAAAGTCGGCAACATGTTAAAAGTGTCGCATTATTCTTTAAACAGTGTTTTGATCCTAGGCAGTCTTGGCCTAGATGCATTTTAAGCTTGCTTTAAATTGACATTTTGTCTAAGGTAGGACTTTTAAATATTTTACTTTTTAAATATAAATGTAAAAGCATTGAAAATAATACTATTATCAGAGAATTTTTAACGTGTTTGGTTTTTATACCCTTGCAGAGCAAAGGGTATTATAATTTTGGCCAGAAGTTTGCAACGCAGTGAAGGAGACACCTTAGACCCCATAAAGTATATATATTCTTGATCAGCATCACGATCTGAGTCGAAATACGTCTGTACGTCTGTCCGTCTGTCTGTCTGTCCGTCTGTCCTCCTGTCCGTTTCTGCCTAAACTAGTCTCTCAGTTTTAAAGCTATCTTGCTGAAACTTTCCCAAAAGATGTGTAGTTATTGCACGCAGTATATAAGTCGGAACGAGCCGGATCGGCCGACTATATCGGATAGCTCCCATACAAGAGGTCAAAAAATAAAGGATAAAAAATTATTACGCCGTTGTTTTTGATCAGATCGACTTGAATTCTTCAAGATGGCGTTTTCTAACGGTTATTAAATTTCGGATTAAATTTTAACAAAATCGAATACCCCTATCATATAGCTGCCATAGGAAAGATCAAAAAATATATATAGAAATAATGGCAAAATAATCATAACGTTGTTGTTTTTTTATTCCACGAGCATGATTTTTACAACATCGACTTTATGAACTACCCTTGAACCGAGAAAAAATTTCATCAAAATCGGACGACTATATAGCTGCCATATGAACAATAGTCGAAAATATGGAAAATTAATAGAAAAGTCGTCATAGCTTCGATGTTGTTAGCCTTTATGTATTTTGTTCGATATGTTTGATGACTGCAGGGTATATAAGCTTCGGCTTGCCGAAGCTAGCTTCCTTTCTTGTTTCTTGTCTCTTTCATCTCATTTGCAGAAAGTTCCGTTAATACTTTAATAGCTGATCGAGTGGTCAAGTAACTAGTTCCATTGACATAATACACCGAAGATTACATTAGCCATGGGAAGCTTTCTCTCCCTCCTCACCAAATCTCACTCTCCCACCTCAAACTCACGCCGAAAACCCTCTCCCACAATCACACGATGCCTCTCTTTCACTCTCCCTATCCACAGGCAAAACAAATGGGTGGGAGAGGGAGCTTTTTTACCCAGTACTCGTGGATAGAGGGAGTATATGGTTCAAATAAAATCCATGCAACAAAAAACAATAAGCAGAAACAAAATATTTTACGGGTGAAATAAATTTTACTCTCGCTTTGTTTGATCAATTTAATATTTTATACTCCATACATTTCCTGTTCCCAAGTATCCTCAACCTTAGAATTTGGGTATTGGGTAAAGCGTAGTCGTTACTCTCCCACTTTTGACCAAGCAGCTGGCCCAGTGGCTTTTATTTTCGATTCGTTTCAGTTGCAGTTCGGAAGCGGAATCGGCTCGGATGTGGAATATTTCAACTTTGTACACTCGTATTTTCCACTTGAAAGAATCGGCTGAAAAAAGCGGCACAGAACAGACCGATAAAACTTTCCTCTTACTTTCGCTTTTCGCCGTCGGATAACATTTTCGAGTTTTGTTTTTTTATTTGTGTTCCGGGTTTCTAATTTCCATTTAAAAACCATTCCCAAACCCATGAAATCGAATAAAATCCGTTAAACTGTCAGTGAAACAAAAAGTTTTTATAACGTTTCGCAGTTTGGTTAGTACTTTCGCTGCTTCTGGCTGTTTATCGTGTGTGTTGCTTTGGTGCTGATTTTCGCGGGGGACGCACAATTTTCCATTTGGCTTGGAGCTTCAAGTTCTACGAAACCACCCCCACCATTGTAAATCCCATCGCTTGTGGCCTCTAACAATATGGAAACAGTACGTATTCGCACCTTTCGCCGGTCCCAAATAATAAATGTGGGGAACCGGCATCTGTGTTACAAAGTCCAAGTCCGGTGCGATAATTCCGCTCGAGACATTGCGTAAAAGGTTGAAGTCTCTTCTTACCAAACTGAGATTCGATCGGTTCCGTTTGATCCTCGCATCAGATTGTCCAGCCAATCAACTGAAAGCACTCTTGGGGATTTATTGGTGCCCCCCACAATAAACCAACAAAATAAAAAAGAGAAGAAAAGGTGGATTTTAACTTCACAAAATAAAAAATTTGTACGAATAACATATTTCATAGGGCCCAGAGTGTTAAAAAATGAATTATCTTTACTTTCAAGAGTTTTGTAATATTTTACGATTGCAAGAACATTGATTAATAGGTTAAAGTCTTTAAACCATTCAAGTTGTCGTGAGCGCTTTGATTTGATGTTTGATGAATAATAAGCAGGGACCTACTGATAAGACCTCATTCCAATGACTCCATGAAGAATTTCGGGCTTTGGGACTAAATTCCTCCACTTTTAATAATCTGATAAGCAGTGACAGTTTGAATTGGGGCACGAACGAAATAAGAAGAATAATCTGAGATAATAATGTATTGGGGTAATATATAAATAAACGAGTGAAGATAATTACAATTATCTTGGTATTTTAGAGTTGTAATAACTTGTTTTTGAAAAAAGCTTTTACACTATAAGATTTGGGATAGTCTGATCTCGAGCAGTTGACAGAATCATATATTTTTGTTAACCCATTAAGATAACCTAGAGTAATTAACATTTTATGCCTATAATCCCAGACGTCCATTAATTATACGATTTTGCGCACTTGTTCACACAAAATAAATAAGCCAAGTTTGAGAATCTCAGTACCAGCTGATATTTAATAACATGTCCATTACCCCTTATTGCACATTAAACAAATATTTAAGTATGTCTTGCCGTGTTTTATATAAGTGCATTTGATATGTATTAGTCATGTATATGAAAAATCTATACCTTCTCGCAAACAATTCTTTTTGATAGGTAGCGAAAAAGGGCATGGAGAGCTACAGGTTCGGCAGTGTGGACTATGTAGTTTTCCTGGGGATGATCGTTTTATCCACCAGCACGGGAATCTATTTCGGGTGCATCAAGTGAGTGACCTTCAATTCCACCGACCATTGCCAAACAATTGCGTAAATTGCAGGAAGAACAAGAGGAAGCTCGAGGAGGCGGAACCGACTTTACCGACCACAATGCCAGAAAGGCGAAAACACGATTTCGGATCGGAGAAAATGAGCGAGTATCTGCTCGGGTCACGCAATCTGAAAGTTTTCCCTGTTGCCATGAGTCTGATAGCCAGGTTTGTTTATTTGATGACACTACATCCCTCAAGCATCCCTCTAATCTTTACTCTTTTATTAACCAGCTATATATCGGGAGTGACGATACTGGGCACCACCTCGGAAATCTACAATTATGGCACGCAATATTGGTTTATAGCCATCGCAATCGTGCTCCAAGGCATCGCCGTCTCCTATGTCTACATACCCGTATTCTCGGCTCTTCAAGTAGGCTCTTCATATGAGGTACGACATTAGTCAATACTAAAAGCTAAGTTATTGATTTACAACCTTGTAAATCGGAACAGTTATGGTTTCGGTAAAAGTAGCAGTAGGTGTCTAAATCGACAGTAGTTTTAACGAGAGAATGATGAAGTATATTTGAAAAGCCATTGCTTTTTGTGGCTTTTCTTCAAGAAAATAACAATCAGAAGAAATCGTTTAAAATCATGATTCTTTTAATTGTATACCCAAAAGAAAATACATTTAAAATGAAGAGGCAAATGCCGAAGATAACTACAAAGACGTTATATTGTAGTTATTGATAAGAATGAGACACTTTCTTTGTGATTTCCGCCTGCCCGCTTTACTCTTTACTTTATTTGCAATCAATGAGCGGAAAACGTCGTGAACATTTTAATTAACTGAGAACCGCAGACCACCCTCTTAAGTGGAATTTCGTGGACTTTGGTCTCGGCCACTTGTTGCAATGTTTTTTGTATCTATGGGTCCTAAGTGATTAATTACAAAGCATTTTGCTTACACTTGGCAATTTTGTTCGGCCAATTAGTTATCTCTAAAGTGAAGTGACGTTAGTTTTCAAACTTTACTAACTAGTAAATAAAAAGGAATGGTACTAGACATTGTCTAGTAGACAATTATTTTCAAATTTAAAGATTACTCTACTTTCAGTACTTGGAAATGCGTTTTCATTCGATCATAAGGAGCATAGCGTCGTTTATGTTTATACTGGATGAGGTAAATCAAAATTAAAGTTCAAATGTATACATTTAAAATAATTAATTATTTTATTTAAGATACTGTTTCTGCCTTTCATTGTATATGTGCCAGCTATAGCTCTGAATCAAGGTAAGCTAAAGTGATTATTTCTTAATAATACTTCTCTAATCGTTGGCTAATCTTGCAGTTTCTGGAATTAATCTCCATGTGATTGCAGTTGTTATTGTTGTTGTTTGCGTTTTCTACACTTTTGTGGTAAGTTTAATAAGGTTTGATCCTTAGTTAAGCCCTCCAAAATCGTTTGACCTTTAATTTTTTCAGGGAGGAATCAAGGCAGTGGTCCATACCGATGCCTGGCAAGTTTTAGTGATGTTCCTTTCGGTCGTTGCAGTGGCAATTTTAGCAACAGTGTACGCCAACGGGTTAGATGTCCTGTTTGATGATGCTGCTAAAGGCGGCCGATTGATCTTTAGCAACACAAATCCCTCGCCATATGTTCGCCATACTGTTTGGAGTGTACTCATCGGTGGATTCTCCTATTGGACATCTTTTAATGCTGTCAATCAAACGATGGTGCAACGGTACATGTCTCTTCCCTCGCTGAAGAAAGCGCGTGCTTCTATGGCCATTTTCACCGTTGGAGTGGCTGCCTTTGTCTCAGTTTGTTGTTATGTGGGACTGTTGATCTTCGAGATGTACAAAGACTGCGATCCTCTGAGTGCGGGGCTTATTACAGTGAGTAATTGAATAATTATAAATATGACTTCGTATTTACTTACATTTACCGCTTTCAGCACGATGATCAACTCCTGCCTTTATTTGTCGTCCAAAGTGTGGGGCACATCTATGGAATGTCTGGTTTGTTTATAGCCGGTATATTTGGAGCTGCATTGAGTTCTCTCTCCGTCGTTCTTAATTCCACGTCTTTGGTGATCTTGGAGGATATAGTTCGCGGCTGCTTCAAGATGCAACCAAGTGAAAGAGCCTCCACCATTTTGGTCAAGTCAACTATTATAGTTCTTGGCTTAGTGGCCCTCTCACTGGTGTTTGTCCTGGAGCAACTGAGTGGAATCTTGAGCATTTGCACTTCAATGACGGCCATCGCAGCTGGAACCACTTTTGGCCTGTTCACCCTGGGAATGCTCGTTCCCTGGGCCAATACTGTGGGCACTGCTGTGGGCGGAATTGCAAGTGCTTTGCTCGCCGGCTGGATATCCTTTGGAACGCAGTTTACTATTGCAGCGGGTGAACTGAACTCCCAAAAGCTTCCCGTATCGGTGGAGGGTTGTGTGGGTAATGTAACCCTTCGGGAAAATGTTTGGGTGGATGAGGAGCAAGTGTTTCCGTTGTATCGTCTGTCTTACCATTGGATTAATCCTATTGGTGTGGCCACAGTCATTGTAGTGGGTGCCTTGGTCTCCCTTGTGACGAAACCAACAAACATAAAGACTCTGGATCCGGACCTAATATCGCCTGTTATTCACAGGTACAAAAAACTATATAATCGTTTACTTGTGATTGAATAATCCAAACAAAATCATTTCTTTCAGGTTCCTTCCGAAGGAATGCTTTAACGGTCGCAATCCCCCCGCGCAGGCGCACAAAAACCTTTTGAATGTCTCCTAAAACTGACCCGCCATTACTTTCTGTGCCAAACTAAATGGATTTGGTTAAGCTAATGGGCTTCTATACCTGTGGCATTGTATTCCACATACCCTTTTTTGTTAGCATATTATGTAGTTGTAGTTGTTTTGTGGTAGTTACTTTATAGATAGCCTATTCTAGTACAATGCGATCCAACTATTGGATTGTAAAACACAAAACGAAGTACAGGAACCTATGAATCTGCATCTCCAGCTCCAGAGTGCACAATCATTAGCGTAGATTATTATTGTATTATAATATAGCTTTATTTAATTGTTCTGTTCGTATCTGTTCTTTACTTTCCAGCTTATGTTCAAGCACTTTTTTTGGCATTTTCGATTTGTAGTCAGCAGACTGTGTCTCATAATGTATTCCGTGTGACTTTACAAGCATAATGTCTGTGATAAATTCAATAAATAGATCATACACACACTTTCCGAATTGTTTACACCTAGAATATAGTTTAGCGATTGCAAAGCAGCAGGAATGATATGACCACTGTTTGGATCTGGGATCGGAGTCTGGAATCTGGCTGTATCTAGTCTAAACTAAGCCCCAATTAGGCATAAATCACAAAAGAGGATGTGCCTTGTAAAGGCTCGCTCTTACGTACTAATTGACCTTCCGATGATCTGCGGTCAAGGACTGTCTTCTGTTTTTGATGAACTTTCGCAGCTGGAATGCAATCACAATTAGGCAGAAGAGGCCAGCACTCATATAGCTATTATAGACAAACTGCTGCGGCAGCATTTTGCACTTGGAGACCACATAGTCATCGGGGGTGATGGTAGCCTATAAAGCGTAGGTTATAAGTACAAGCTAGGAGGGCTTACAATTTAATACCCACCAACATAAAGCTGGGATTGACTTTGTTTCGCCAGCTAAAGGAGGCCACCGTGTACTCATCGATGCCCAGCCGATTTACACTATGGCAAAAGTGATGTGAATGGCCGGCGAATGCCAATCTCGGCTTTAGCAGTTCCCCCAGCATATCCGTGGCATCCTTGGAGAGCACGTGAAAGCGTTCCCGAAACGCCTCGATTTTCGGAGCATCGTGTTCCTCGCACATGGTATCTGAAATTCGATACGTGGGAAAGTGCTGCAGTAAGATCGGCTGGCTATACGGGTGCCGTCTGGTGCGGGCGCACTCTGCCTCTAGTGGGTACTTCATGCAGTGAAGCGTTCGCGAAATGTTCTTCAGTTCATCCTCGGCCTGGGTGCAAAATATGCAGCCATCGGCCTCCATGGCCATGGAGTTTATTACGACGAAATGGATCTGTTTGATTGTGTACAAATGCACAGATGAGTAGTTCAGATAGTTTTCAAAGCGTGACATGAAAAAGGGGTGCATCCTGAAAAGGATACAAAGGAAATATGAATGAGAACAAGCCATATATTTTTTTATACGACTAACTAACTTGTAGTGAAAGCCAACGTCGTGATTTCCTGCGACACTGATGAGTGGTATACCCGGTGGCAGGTGAAACATCTTTAAGTAGCGCCACACATATTCCTGGAACTGCTTGTCGCTCACCATATCACCCTCATCGAACAAATCACCCAAGACGAAAACCACGTCTGGCTGGAAGAGTCGGGATGCCGCCTGGAAGGCACGCGTCATGTGCCACTCCCGGTAAAGCTTGTCAAGCCAGTGGCCTCGATGCGGACCCAGGAGATGGGGATCCGCCAGGATCATCGCCCTTAGCGGATCATCGACATACTTCTTGCGCTTGATTTCCGGCCACTTGCACTTTTGCAGCACCACAAAGTCTGCTACGTACTCGCAGAAGATCAGGGCGCACAGCACGATTACAAAGCATGCGTATAGAAATCGCATTTTTCGGTTTTCAACCGGCTTTGCAAAATAAAAACAAATTCAATCCAATAATAATAAAAAATCACTCGATAACTATTTTTGTCTAGAGACATTCGATAATTTTGACAGTGCTGTAAAGAGACGATAAGTAAGCTGAACAGTGCTTTGGGCTTGGCGCGAGTTTTTAAAATTTTTTTCGAATACCTTTTTGAAAAATGTTGTAATTATATTAGTTATATTAATTTACTCATCAATTTTAAAATAATTTCAATTTGCATTTGGTTACCAAAAAAATATCTTCTTGATTATTTTACCAAAATATAGAAGCGTTTTTGCTAATATAGCGGACATTTTATTTTATATGTATATGTATTGTGCATTTCATGCTCCCTAAAGCATAACTAAAAGAGATCGTAAAAATAGTTTAGGCCCTGTCCAAGTTCCCAGATCGAAATGCCAGTGCCCAACTCCTGGGCTAGCTTAATTCGCTCGTTGATGGAATGCAGAGTGGGATAAAAGACAATGTGACGACCATTATCGTTTCTAAAGATAACAGAAAATAAATTAGTAAGCCCTAAATTTATGCAAATATAAACTTACTTGATTTCGAAGAAATTTTCCACATCTCGTTCATCATAAGTTAGGTGTTTCTTTACATGCCTTACTAAATCCAAGTATTGAGAGAATGTTATGGGTCCACCGCCATCGGGCGTGTAATCGTTGCCGTACATGTTTAAGCCCAACAGAATTTTAGCCCGCTTTGCCTCCTGATCAGGACAACCTTCTGGAGCAATTGTCTCTACAGCCTTGCGGACAAAATATAGTGGTGCATTCGCTCCAGGGCGTTGTACACTGGAAAAGTCGTACGTCATTAGCGAGAAGGCGAATATATGCTTGTACAGCTTGTCCATGTGCTTCTCTCCAAAAAGATTGCCTGTATCCTTGCGGAAAGGAGGAATGACTAAAATGAGCCGAAGCTGCTGCTTCTGGAGTTCCTTAGCTAAAACAAAGCAAAATTGTAATAAACCAAAATAGTTAATAAACTTTAGTAGCTTTCACAAACCCATTTGTAGCACCAAACTATAAAGGATTTTGTCATCGATGCGCCCAGCCAGCTGGGACCACACCTCCAGGACAAGTCCATCGAAGCCATTATCCTTGCAGCATTTGATCAGGACTTCGTTAACTTTCGTCCGCTCTTTTGCATCACTGAGCAACAACTTAATATCCCGATCGGTGAAGTGATCGAATATAAAGCGGGGAAACACTGTAATTGTAGAGCTCAAGTGTAATATAGAACTAACATTTGGATTATATCCGTTGGTACCCTTCACTGTCCGCTGATTGTGGGGCTGCTTTCCCTTTCTTCGGACATCTGTCACCCATCCTGCGTCAATGTCGTGGGTTCCTGCCACGGAATAGCGATCTCCCTGCTTTACAATCTGTAGCCAAACCGGCGAGATGATGTCAAACTTCTTGGCAAATATCTTGGCCACATCATAGCCATGGGAGTTCCACTACAAGTAAAGTAAACAATTAAGTTGCCACACATATGAATACAAATATATGGAGAATGTTTTTCACTTACTGGAGTTACATAGCCCAAAGTAGTGCCATTGAACCGCCTTAAGCCCGTTTCCTTGAAGTATCCTCTATGGTTGAACACAATATCCTTGGCCAATGGTTCGCGATTCACCAACCCCAAATCAAAAACATCGTTGTCTTGCGGACCGCCACGCAATGCACTTTCCTTGGTTTTGCTCTTGGATTTCTGGCTGTCTGGGGAGAGGGTTCCTTGGACGGAGGTCAGCAGGAAAAGCAGGACAGCGAGGTGGAGCAGGAGCGCATCAGGCGCACGCATTTTGACAAAAGGAGAACCAGTACCACGGCATAAATCGCACAAAAACAAATCGCATACAACAAAACGGCCGGCAGCAGTGTGACCATAGCGACGTTAACTGACACTTATCAGCGGGGCATTCTACAGTCCAGGTGGTCACCCTAAGTCGGTAATACCATCGTTGCCAGACTGTAGCAAAAAGCTGTTCTTTGGACAACAGCTGTTTAGAAGCATTTGACTTTTTTTTGACTTTGATACATTTTCTTAAGCGCAATTGAAGCGCAGAAAAGAAACAATGCGTAATGTGCCGAAATCGTAAGTTTAAAATTCCGAAACTGCCAAAAAAATATAAAGATATATTTAATTTTTCAACCTCAAGCCTCGGTCTCTCGGTCACAACTCCAGGCGGTAGTTCGGGGGCTCCGGACAGCGGACGCCACAACAGCTTGGAGGATATCAATCTGGACCAGTTCCTTAAAACATCCAACTACGAGGACACTGTGAAGCAGCTGGACATCTACTATGGCATCGGTGAGGATTTATGTAACATAGGAGCTCTGACGGTGGGGCGGTTGGCCAATTGATCACCAATTGATGGCGTCTATTAATAAGCATCGCGAAATGTCGACGCCCCAAGCTTGATTGTAAACAGTGTGTCGTTTGTTTATTTGCATTGCCAATCAAGTAGCGATAACCGGAAATTCAAACACTTTCTCTTCCCGCAGTCAAGCGCCAATTGCTGCGCTACCAGAGTCCGATTACCGGACTGTTTCCCGTGATGAGCACCGACCAGGTGGTGGGGTCCGTCCGGGACAGTGTCTACTGTGCCTCCGCCGTGTGGAGCTTGTACCAAGCATACAGGCGCATAGACGACGACCGCGGAAAGTCCTATGAACTGGGCCAGAGCACTGTGAAGTGTATGCGCGGCATCCTGGAGTGCTGGGTCAAGCAGGCATCGCGGGTAGAGCTTTTCAAGCAGCGCCAGTCTAACCAGCATGCACTGCACAGCAAGTTCCAACTGCACACCGGCGAGAAAATATACCCTGATGAGTTTTACAACCACCTGCAGATTGATTGCGTGAGTTGGTTAGTTGCAATTTAAATAGCACCCGATAACATGATTTTTCTTTTTATAGGTATCTCTCTATCTGCTGTTCCTCGTCCAGATGATAACCTCTGGCCTGCAGATCATTTACACCCACGACGAGGTGGCTTTTGTCCAGAATCTCGTGTACTATGTCGAGCGTGCCTATCGTACGCCTGACTTTGGAATGTGGGAGCGGGGATCCAAGTATAACAATGGTACCCCTGAGATCCATGCCTCTTCCATTGGAATGGCCAAGTCCGCCTTGGAGGCCATAAATGGATGCAATCTGTTCGGCGAGAAAGGAGCTTCGTGGAGCGTTGTCTATGTGGACATTGATGCCCACAACCGCAATCGAAGTATTTTTGAAACCATGCTGCCCAGGGAGTCCAGCTCAAAGGTTAGACAGTAATATATTTTTAAATGCTCTAAATTAATTAGGTTAATTGTATTTCAGGGAGTGGATGCCTCACTGCTGCTCACACTTTCCTTCCCAGCTTTTGCTTCGCACGAAGACCGCCTGGTGGAGCAAACCAAACAGAATGTTGTAAATCGTTTGCGCTGCAAAATGGGCTTTAAACGCTTTACGCGCGATGGTTTCCTTAGCAAAAACGAGGATAAATCACGTCGCTATTATCACTCTGGGGAGTTAAAGGAATTCGAAGGCCTGGAGTGCGAATGGCCGCTCTTTTTCATAGCAATGATAATCGATGGCGTATTCAAAAACAACAACGAGCAGATCGAAGAGTTTCAGAACGATCTGCGCCGCTGTTTGCGCACTGACGTTAACGGCGATCCCGTGGTGACGATGTACTACGCCCCGGATGGAGAAGGTTCCTACATGCGTGCTCCATCGCAGTCGCTGTTCCTCTGGGGCCAATCCTTTTTCATCATTGCCCAGCTGCTGACCGCAGGACTGCTGCACATCAACGAATTGGATCCAATTCGCCGCTACTTGCCAAGCTATAATCGTCCCAGAAGGGCGGGTCGGTATTCAGCTTTCCAGGTGAGCTAAAATCGGGTGACGAGTAGGGTCTTAAACGCTATGAAGTGATTAGTCTTATTTAAATTCAAATGCGAAGCTTTTCAGCTCAAACATCTTTGTAAGTCAAAGATAAACCTAACTCAATTATGTATTAAGCTTCGGTTTTTTGAACGGTGATTGAGAACACATTTCATAGCGTCGGGTTCATAAAGGTTTTTCCGACTTGCCTTTTTGGGAGTTTTCGCTTCTGCCGCCGCTGCCGCTGATGAGTTTTGTGTGTCTGCCGTGTGTGTCTGCGTTCGCTCCCAATTGGAATCTTTTACACATAATTGTTCTGTTGCCTAAGTACTTTGTATGGGTTAAATGAATAATTGGCTATTTACATTTAATTCTATCTACATTCTGTTCATTTCTACTACCAACCACTACCACATACTACTGCTACCACACATCTATATATCCAAAATGAACAAAATCAAATCCTCCATAAAAACCCAAATTGTATAATAATTGGTTTCGTAATAACAGGGAAAAGCTATTGACGATAAACACCATGTAAGTAGATGTCCTGCTATACCAACGTAATTATTAGATATCAAAATTCAAAATTATACCTACGTGTACAAACTAAATTATGCTTTTTAGAGCACAGACACATTCGCACCAAAGATCACTTAGTTAACCTATTGTGGCTTTTTATGTTCGGCAAGACACACTGATCGAAAATATATAGCTATGACACACTTAACGATCAAAACACACACCACACTATAGAAATGATTATTTGCTTATTTTCAGTACGAATTATTATTTCTGTATTACTGTTTTATTTGTATATAGTAAAAATCTTTTTGGTATCTAAATCAAAAGTTTTCTCTTTACTCTTTTCGGTTTTCTTTCCTCTCTATATACCTATTGCATATTTCGTTTAAAAATCAACATAAACACAGGCTCTATAGGCTAAACCGGGCACTGTAAGTAATTTGTCACCAGATGTTTGGGTTTATTTACGTAGTTTGCAGTTCCTAATTCATGTTATTAACCAAAAGGCCGTAGAACAATCAAGCTTGTCTTGGCTTAATATTGTTACGAAGGTTTTAACACTGGGAATTGGCTTTAAAGTTTTCAAAATAATGATCACGCCCTCCCACATGGCTTTTTTCAAATGTTGTTCGGGGGCAACGCTTGAAAATAAAATGCCAAGAGACAGCAGCTTTGCTTAAGCCCTTAGAAAATATTAACCTCTTAACTCCCATTGCTAAATATTCATATGTTCCTCTACTAAAATATCTACACGGTGCATAAAGAAACCACGCATTCCTATTATACTGGATGACAAGAAGGTAATTGTGGTTTAACTTTTGGGCCTGGGCTGGGTCTCCTAATTTTATAACGACACAAATTGGCAGATATAAAATTTGTTTCTTAAAAAAAACCAAAAAACCACATAAAAGTTGCACCTAATAACATATTTAATGTGTTAAAGAATTCGATTACAAAATTGGGTCTAAAATAATGTTTTTCATATTATTTTGTAAGTTTTTTCTAAATTAGTGTTTGGCTTCACCGCCATCTAATATTTGTTTGGCATGTTAGATCCCTTTACTCCTACATTCCATAATTATACCCCTCTGCTAGTATTCCCTTGATTCCTTTCCCTATTAATCTTCCCTTTTGTGTGTTTTTGCATTTTGGCATTTGGCTAGTCAAAATTTTCTTGCAATGTAATTAAAATCCAAGAATATTGAATTGGCCTCTTGCATCCTAACATGTTTAATCGACCATCTACGAAATGTTGACGATTTCTAATAATGTTTTCGCACCCTTACAGGGCACTGCCACTGATCTTGTGGTGCAAATTGTCCTCATTGCCGAGTCTATGCGACTGCAGGCCATGATGGCCACCTATGGCATTCAGACTCAGACTCCACATGAGGTAAGTCAGTAGGCAATATCTTTAAAACTAGAACTAAACTTTTATTTTCGACCAGGTGGAACCTGTGCAAATATGGAGCTCCACTGAGCTCATCAAAGTCTATCAACACCTCGGAGTCAACAATAAAGTTGGCTTATCCGGTCGCCCATCGCGACCCGTAGGATCCTTGGGCACCAGCAAAGTTTATCGTATCTGCGGCATGACCGTGCTCTGCTACCCACTGATCTTTGAGGTCTCCGACTTTTATCTCTACCGAGACATGGCTCTGCTCATAGATGACATCAAGACGGAACTGCAGTTTGTGGGAAAATATTGGCGTTTGTCGGGTAGACCCACAGTGTGCCTGCTTATCCGTGAGGAGCACATGCGGGATCCGCAGTTCAAGGAGATGCTTGACCTGTTGGCCATGCTTAAAAAGGGTTACTGCGATGGAATGAAAGTGCGCATTGGTCGTCTACAGAATCTGATTAGCAGTTCTTGCATCGAGCATCTGGATTTTATGAACCAGAGCGATCTGACCGACAACGAGAATGCATTCTCGCAAATAAACCATGAGTACATTGGCTATCAATCTCTGACAGATGTTCCCAAAGCATTGACTTATGTTGAAGAAAAGATTTCTGTGGCGGTAAGTAAATAAATAAGAAAATTTAGCTGCATAATTATTTTTTCACAATTAAAATTCCAGCACTTTGATACCAAACCCACGCCGGACATCATAAATGCACTGCGCAACACCGATTCCATCTACTGTTTGTGCCAATTGTGGGGTATTATCCTCAATCGCGAGGGTCCGCACTTCGAGGTTAATGGCTTGAATGTAAACACGGCTTTGACGCAGCTCTATCATCGAGCTGGATCCTTGCGCTATTGGCGTGCTGTGCGATACTGCTCCTCTCTCCTTCACCACATTGTGGACTCCATCAGTCCATTTATCACCACTGTGCTGGTAAATGGCAAGGAACTTACCGTGGGCATTATTGGCCAAAAGGAGACGGTGTTTGACAAACCTATGACGCCGGCGGAGATTCAAAATGTCATGTACACGAGTGTCCAGCCCTACGATGTCATCCAGGCGGTGTTGCAGCAAGAAGTTGTTTTGTACTGTGGCCGTTTGATAGCTACCAATCCATCCATGTTCCGGGGAATACTTAAAATTCGGATTGGCTGGGTGCTGGAGGCCATGCGCATCTATCTGAAAATCTCAGGTCAACAGAGCATCGATGTGGACAATCTCTCGCCTTTCCAAGTCCGCATACTTTTGCAGAAAGTTCTTACTGTAAGCGAGTGGGCTGCAGAGGAGAAGTAAGTGATGACTATAAACATATTATTGCTTATAATTGAATATTTTCTGTTTAGGCTTACCACCCTGCAACGCCGACAATTGGAGGGCTGCTTGTGCCGTGTGCCAAAACATTTTTACAACAAAATCTGGGAGATCCTGCAGCGCACCCCTCAAGGCATTCTAACCCAGGGTCATCACCTGCCAGCCACGCCAACATTAACTAATATGAGCCGTGGCGAGCTGACCTTTAATCTGCTGGTTGAGGAGACTCTGATCTGCATTGACCGTCCAGAAAGGCGCCAAATAACCGTTGAATTGCTGTGCATTGTGGCTACCATTCTTAATCGGTAAGCCCATATAATATAGAGCCCAGTCAAAACGCAGTTGTAAATTCTCACATTCCTTTACTTTAGCAATCCTGAGCTGCACTTCAAACAAGCTCTTGACTTGGACGGCATCTTGGCGGAGGCGTTTGCAATGTACTGCAAGGACAACAATATACAGCACCAGCCGGACCCTCAGCAAACGAAAAAAGAGGATCTCAAGGCTTTCTACTCGCTGCCATATTCGGAGACCACTGGCTATTTGGCTCGTGCCGCAGTCAACAAGGTTTTGCAAGGAGGCATCTTCTCCACGACCGAGGAGGATGTTCAGCTTGATGGCGATCGCTTGCACGACGACAACTGCAAGGTGTCCTAAACAGAGGGAGCCGAACAGAAGATTATGTACATAGCACAGTTTGGCATATCCTCGTTGCACTGACCCACCACTAGCTCGAATTTTGTGGCTATTTTACTCTGTTGTTCTTATTTAATTTGTCTCTCTCTGTGTCCCTCGCCGTTCGCCTAGTTCTTAATTAAATGTTATGTATATTTTGTTGCAATAATCGAAGGTGTTGCATGGCCGAGTGTTTGATTAGTGAATAGGTCAATAGCACTTGGGGGTGGAAACCCAAGCAACTGAGCCCTAACCTTGCCTAATGCAAGCCGTATTGATTGGCGCCCTCGACTTATGTCACCCCCACTTGGCTATATAAGCTCTGCACCGATTCCCCACTCGGTTTACTTGACCAGCAGTCGTCGCACTTACACATCATGCGGGCCCCCGAGTGGATGAGCACTGAGATGGCGCGCCTTACATCGCGGCTGGAACGCTATAAGCCAGCGGGCAGTGGCTACAACCGCATACAGCCGATTCGTCTGTCCAAAAGCGTCACCCAAATGCTAAACAATCCGATGCCACAGGCATCAGCCGCTGCCACCGCTAGAACGCAGCAGGAGAGCTCCTTTACAACGCCGCGACGGCGCGGTGTCCTTAGTCGCAGCGAATCGGAATGGGAGGAGGTTTATCCTGCCGTCAAGTTCGCCCGACAGGGAAGCAGCGAGAGTGCCTGTAGTGCGGACAGTGAGCTGCGGTTTACCCACTACAGAAATTGTGCCACTCGAATTCCCTAATTAGGGTTTATATCTTTACTCCGCTTCGAAAATTTGTAAATTTATATGTGTTAGATATGAAATAAAACCAGAAAAACCTCTACAATCACCTAGTCTTTTAATTGAGTATCCACATGCCGAGGGCTTTGTCTTTTTTCTACTTTAGTTCGGTTTAAATGAATTCAGATAAAAATTCATATTTCGGCAAGTCAAGTTTTTATATCCTCGAAGCTTTAAGAATAAATTATTTTAATATTGGATGTCATAAAACAGCTCACGGCTTCCGAAATAAAAAATTGCGTAGAATTTATGACAATAAATTTCGATTCTTTTATTAGTTCGTAAGTATTTCATGTAGATATTAAGCTTACTTTGAAAAATTAAACGCTAAAAAATAGTTACATAATGTATTCACGTTTAAGGTTGTTCGTTTCTTGGTACAAAAATTTATTAATAATTTACATTTATTCATTTTAGTTCATTTGATATTTATAAAGTAGAACATACAGAGTTAGTTGGCGTTCACTAATTTAAGAGATTGCAAATGGGAGATATAAGCTTAGTTGCACTGTAGCAAAATACGTATTTAATTTTGATATGAATTCGCCTAGAAAATAGTTGCTCAAGCAAATGATATTTGCATTCAATACAAAAATATGTTACGTGATATGCCTATAACTAAAGTCAACGCTCTATATATTTGCAACATATTGATTTAGTTCTATAACAAACAGTATAACATATACATAATATCTTTAATCAGTTTTGTAAAGGGCACACACAGGCAAATAGCATAGAAATGTATGCGATTCGAAGCATTACATTATGGTTAATATTACATGATATTTTTTTTTTGTATAAATATAAAACATGATTATTATCTAGGCTCTAAAGTTATCATTAATAACTCGGTTGCTTTAGGTTAGTTGTTATATTTACGTTTTCTGTAAAATGCTAGATTCCCTGAATATGAGTTTTATCGTTATTATTATTAGTATTTCCGTACTTAATCTTCGCTTTATACACTTATTTAGAATAAACTTAAATAAATGTTTTGCATGTTTTAGGCAATTACAATTCACTAGTATTTTCATATGTTTAAACTAACAAATAGCAACACTTTTCGCTTACTTAGGACTAAGCACACAGTTTCACACAGGGGCAGTACTTTTGACAAAAGATCGAACGACTGTATAAATGGGTGATGTGTACTTTTGTGTTCACTTCCTTCGAATATAAAAATGTTTAAAAAAGACTATGAAACCTACGGATAACGCAATACGTACTAAATACGTAAACGAACTCTACCTTACTTAAGCGTTTGGATTAAGCCTATGTTATTGTGGTTGCTGCTGCTGCAGCTGCTCGGGTCGGCGGACACTCATTCGGCTGGGAATCGAGTCGGTGTCGCCGTCATCGTCCACGTACTCCTCCTTGGGACGGGTCCACTTGATTAGCGTCTCAGGCGATCTGTACAAGAAGAGTAATTTGGCAAACAGATCCTCCTCCAGGGCGAACTCCAAAGCCTCGCGTACCTACAAGAATGCAAATGGGGAATCAGTATCAAGCCAAATTCGACCGAAGGTTATTTATAATTACCAGATAAATATCCAGACACAGTTGCAGCACTCTGTCCACATATGGCAGATCTTCGAACATAATCTTTCGATTCTGACCGCCAATAAATGACTTCATAAAACGTGAGGCCAATAACACAAAGGTGGTGTATAAACCAATGATGCTACAAGGAAACAAGTTTAAGTTTACACTTTAAATACTTAATAACCCTTTGATAACTCACCCTCCGGCTGTGAGGAAACTGAACGTCGATGGGAACTTCTTGTCGTTGAACGTGTACATCACAATGCCTGAAGTGCAATTGCTGTAGGCAAACTTTGACAGCGTTTCGTTGTAGAAGGAATCGTTGCAGTAGTCTCGAATCTCCCACCACAAGCCATTGGTTTCGTTGTCTCGATGCATTTTGATGACCAGCGGACGGTACTCGTGGTGCTTTTCGCTCAGCACACTAACCACAGCGGCATCTCCCGAATTGAGAACCTTGATGAACTTGGGGATCATGCCCGGTATCACTACCACTTCCTCAACTTCGGGAATGGTTCCATTTGTAGTGGTATTGCTGTGAATTGGTTCCACGTCGTGAGTCTCGCTAAGCATATGGATAAGAGCGGCACGTCCCTCGAAGGATTCGTCCAGGGATATGGCATGTTCATCGCCCACATTTTCTTTTAATCCCTTGGCCGGAGCCTTTCGCGTGAGGGAATAGGAAAAGCGCGCCTTTAATGTGTGGTCTAAAACAAAAATATTTAAAAATATATTACAATTTGTAAAATTAAGAACAAGAAAATATCTTACTATTTCTCAAATCATTTAACAACCGCTGCCTATCTGGCGGTGCTATGTTCCAAAGAGATGGCGAGTTTCCTGCTAGTCTAACCGCCGCCACATCCGTTGCATCATAACCGGTAATAAAGGTTAGAGCCTGTTTCTCATTTATGTATGCCTTAGTCATCTGGGAGTACATCTCGGAATTGATTTCGAATATACTATCGTAGTTGTTCGTGGTGTAGATCGGGTCATAGGGTCCAATTCGTATTGACAGCGACACATGATAGGGTACGTTGGAGGTGCCCACAGCATTTCCGAGGGCAAACAGGCACAGTGGTCCCCAGATACAAATCACAATCAGCAGGACAACGGTGCCACCCATGATCAGCTTGGAAAGTGAGGCCTTCTTTTGGGCCCTCATGGCGGGAAAATCGGTCTCCGACTGCCGGGTGCAGCGAATCAGGTAAATATTCGAGAATATGTCCTCCATTTTCAGCCAGTCGAAGATGGTCATTGTGCTGTCGATGCAAACCCAATCCAAAATCGTTCGCAGCTCGTAAAGGAATGGAATTTGCATGTACACCTTGAATGCAATCATGTTGACCATCGAGAAGCCCTTGGTGAAGAAGTTGCCCAGAATGCGCTTGGGATAACCGGACTTGATTTGATAGGAGCTGAGCAGCATGTAGAAACACTTGATCACGTAGAAAATGATTGGCGGTGCCAGGGAATTGAAAGTACGCTCCGTAACAGCCGGCACCACGAAGAACATCCAGATGTGTATTCCAATGACCGAGAGGAAGTGGAAGATGATCTTGTTCACCAGGGCTTTGCGCAGATACAAGGCTCGATCTATAACGATGAGCAGGAACTGAACCAGTAACATGATGAGGAAAGGTATGGGCACTTTGTTCTCCGCCAGATAAGTCTGAACGCCCTCATCGCTTTCCGTTTGTTGAGTCTGAAATGTAGAGATTGTCAAATTAGTAAGTCTCTTTATAATATATCTAAACATTAGTTTTACTCACTCCAAATGCAGTGAAACCAAAAAGCAGCACAAAGAAGTTTACAAAATCGCAGAGGAACATCAGGGCATAAACATCTGTGGCTAGGCGGGATTTGTGGACAAGACTAAAGAAGAACTTGTACAGCGACGAGGTGTACTTGGTCCGTCTGCAAGGAAAGTAGTTACATTAAATAAACATTTCTTTATCTTCCAGTGGAGCACTTACTCTAGCTGATTGATGCCACTCTTGCTGTATTCAGGCGATCCTGGTAGAGAAGCCTGACTGACTTGGAGGCTCATCTTCTGAGCAGCATCGTCGTTAAGCTGGCGGGAATCGGGTTGCGATAGATTGTCGCTATCATCGCGATCATCACTGAAATGGAAATATGTACATAAGTTATTAAGAAAATACCTCCTTAAGAACTCTCGAACTTACATGCTAGCGGTGGGTTTGGTAAATTGGTTATCCGTGTCCTTGTAGCCCGACTTCCACAGGCCCTGCGACTTAAGCAGATAGCGATGCAGGAACAGTACCAGCAGTAGAATCAGATCATAAATCGCATATTGGGCTTTGTTCTCCACACCGAAGATTTTAGCTGGGGCCAGCGGTTGGTTGGGCAGTTGGTGGTAGTTGGACCAGATCAGCTTGAACTGGAAGATGCACTTGATCAGGACAATGGCCTGGGTGTAGGCGATCAGGGTGACCCAAAAGGTTTTAGTGGGACGTGGCAGGGACAAGGTGCCCCACAAAAATACCATGATGGGTAGCGGCAGCGAGATGAGACTGGCATTGACCACCTAGAAAATCAACAATAAATTAAATACAACAAAAGAAAATTATTATTGCAATCCCTTACCTGATTGATGAACACCACAATGTAGCAAATGAGATCCGTGTTGGCCAACAAAGCATACCACGAGGAGATCAGCACCTCCACAATGATATGATGATCCCGCTGGGCGAAGTTCTCCTCCTCCAGATTAAACTCACCCGCGCTGCAAGATCACATGAAACAATATTAGATAATGGATCATCCTCTCACTGATTTGTGGAATCTATCAACTTGACATGCCGGGTGCTGTTCTTTTTAGGAATGTGTGCGCTGCATGCTCCACAGTCTACATGCGAGTGCATCGTGTGGAACTCGGGTGGTACCAAAAACTAGGTTTAAACTAGGGTTAATCGAAGCCAGACAACGGTACATACTAGCAAAGAACGCATAGAGATAGGTTTAAATCATAGCATCGAATACAACTTAGTGGAGAGGCAGAGATACGGATACAAATACAGAAAAAGATGCAATTACAGTTACCAAAAGATACTTAGGGGAAGAGACAGAGAGTCGTGATAGATGTTATAGTAGATGATGAAGCTCGACCATGATCGTGACAATAGGGATGGCAATGATCTTGAAAAATACAGAGATATAGATTGAGGAGGGTCGATTTGCAGTACAAATTGTGGGTTTTATTATACCATTCATTCTTAATCTGTTATCTTCTTTCAAATAAAAAAAAGAGATTCGATCAATGAGGTTTCTATTTTAATATATTTGCAAGGTTTAGTTCTTATAGTTCTTTAAGACTTAATTGAATAAGATAACTTGCAAATCAATCTCAATTTCATACCCCTTACATTTTTATCTTTAATAAATTGAAAAACTCTTTTTGTAACCCATAGTAAAGTATTACTTTTTAAGTTTTATTTGTAGAAATCGACCCACCCTCTTATAGACAGTTATAGAGCGTTACGAACACAAACCGAAAGACACCAACACATTAATAGGCACATCAATAGGCTAGGGGGTTAGTAGTAGTGGGCAATACGCATAGTTAGTGGGCGGGACCAGTACCTGTCCACCTGTTCGTAGGACCAGTGCTTGCTCAAGGATCCTGAGCCACCGCCACCGCTGTGGTGATTATGGTAATACTGTGCACCGCGCTCCACGGACGGCGCTTTAATTCGGATCTCAGGCAGGCCACAGTCCGATTTTCGACTGAGCATCGTGCTATATATACGATTTATAGATCACACAGCGCACGGATGGGATGACAACGGGAATGGAATGGAGTGAAATGGGAGAATTGGTGTCACAATGCAGTTGAGATGAGGATTACAGATATAGAGAAAATTGCTCAAGTATTAAGAGTTCTGGGTTGAGAGTCTTAGGATAAGACACATGGAGATGTGTCTTGTGTTGTTAGTTGTTTTTACTGATCTCATTTAAGGCTTAGATTTGTAAAATGGTTTGATCTACTTACCCCTTGGCTGGCGGCGATGAATTGATTGATTGTTTTCTAACAAAACAAAAAATTGTTCGGGTGATCGAAATGCGCGCAGAGAGATGAAAAATGTAAGAAAAAGAAATTAGTAAGGATCTGTTTTTGTTCAATTTGGATTTTCTTTTTTTTAGCATACACATAACCACATTGAATTTATTTATCTCTAGCCAAATGAAATGTGGGTAATTTTATATCCTCTGATATATTAAATACTATGAAACTCGATGTAAATAAAGTTTGACCGAAAGTGTGCAGAAATATATTGTGAATTTGCTTTCAAAATTTGCTTTAAACTTAGTGCATCATAATCATTTTCGTTTTCTATAATTTGAGTTGCGCGATATTAAAAGTGTCATTTTTTTTTAAACAATATATGTTAAGTTTGAATCGAAATTAAAATTGAAATTTAATATGTGCAGACAACATGTTTTGGTTCTGCCAAAGAGGTGGTCTTATATCCCTTGCAATCCCCACATTGAAAACCATTGATTCTGGGTGGCTTTTGTTACCTATGGGGAGCTGCATCGACAGTATCTACAGGCAGTTCGATGATTTCGTCGGCAGCGCGAGCGTGCTGTTGCTGCGGTGTACTGGTCGAAGTTGGTGGTTGCAGTGGTTCTTGTGGTGAGAGCGGTGTGGTTGTCGTGTTCGTGTTCAGTGTGGTGCTGGTGGGGTCTGTGTGCTCGGTGGCATTCGTTGGTGCGATCACCACCCGCCGCGGGGTGGATGAGGAGGCGGGCGGATCACTTTCATCGCTTGAAAAACAGCAGCCGCAGCAGCAACAGCAACAGCAACATCGATCGATCAATCAAGTTCGACAACAACGACATGGTGGCACAAATGATGGAGGTGAGGTGGTGAGACATTGTTGCAGGTGTGTTGTTGGTTTCGAGAATAGTAGTAGTAGTAGTATGTTGTGGAAGCAGGTACAGAGTTTCAAATACACGAAACACAAAAGTATAACGGATATGCAAATAAAAATAAGAAGAAAAAGAATACGAAATAAATATTGAATCGAAATCGAACACAACTCTTGAACAAACGTAAAGTACAAATAAAACTAGGATATAGTAACGCGACCAGAACACGCTACTCTAGGGACGCTCGGGTTTCCAGTTTCCAAAAATCAAAACTTAATTTAAAATTTAACGCAAGCGGCGCACACTGGATTCTTGTTTCCAGAATCGCTTTCTAAATACCTCTCGAGATTGGACTTAAGGAAGTGGAACATGGCAGCGGCACTGGACAGACCCAAGCGATTCAACGAGCTGGATTCCTATAAAAAAATATACAACAATTATAATTAGTTACATATTACATATTAGAATAGCTATTCAACTTACCTTGAGAGTCTTTTTCTCGCCGGCTAAAATGCGATTCACAAAGCGATAGTTGCGCGAGAAGCGGTTCAGTCTTATGGTCAGCGTAACCAAGAATCCCTCGAGCAGTCTGATAATGGGATTGGTGTCAAAGTCCTCATCCGAATCCTTGGCCGTCACCTCGCCGCTGTCAACCTCCATTTTGGACTTGCTATCTGAAGTTTCCTTGGAGGTGGCCTCGCGTCCCAAGCCAGTAGAAGGTGGTGGTATCACTGGCACATCAGCCACATCCCGTGTGGGTGCAGGACTAGCCGAACTGGAAGCCGTGGCCGCCGCATCCCTCTCCTTGGAGATGCCCTTGCTGGTGGAGGGGAAATCACCGGAGGGAGCATCCTTGGATTTCTAATGAAGCCAAAATAATACAACAAATAAGTTTATTCCTGCTTTGTTGAGATTTCTTGAAACATTTACACGATTTAACGAAAAACCAAGCTTATACATTATGCAGATACAAGAAATCGTTTGTTGGTTGTTGATTATTGTACAATATACGAGTATTTTGAGGTGAGTGCGCCCAACTGCTGGTCGGCAGGTTGTTATTGCGGGCGCATTTGGAAAAACTTGAGCTCGTGGGCAAAATAAGTGAAATCAACGGGAGGTGCGCCAATTAAAGACAAGATATTTAGGAACTTCTGCTCGTTCAGACTCACAACCTCGAGCAGCGTTTGGCTGCGACGACCGAAGTCGAGTGGCTCTGACAGCGTTGAGGTGCGCATGCCCAGATCGCACTCGATGGTATCGTCGTCCTCATCGTCGTCGGTGGTCAGACCCAGTTCGTGGGCCACCTTGTCCTTCTCGTCGTCCAACTTCAGGGCAATACGAGAGCCCGGCTCTGAGGCATAGGAACGCTCGCGCATATAGAAGTGCCGACGATACTCGGCATCGTTCAGATCCTTCCACACCTTCGATCACAAGTCGGGGCAATTTTTGATATATTTTTTGTTTTGGGAATTTACAAGAATTTAAATACGGTTCAAAAGTCATGCGGACGAGGATGGCATGCAGCATGGTATGATCTCAGATAATTCCCAAAAATTAATGTTGGAACACTTACATCGTAGAGGGTCTTGCGGCGCTGCATCTTCATTTCGCTTTCGGTAATGTTCTCCTCCTCCAGGAAGTCAATCTCATCGTGTATCAAGTCGAGTTCAAACTTATCGTCCATCTCCTCGAACATATAGTAATCACCAGCACGAGTAGCTACGGGGTTACACCAGAAAACACCATTAGAACATATCCATCCATCATAAAGTTCGATAATAGTGGTTAACAACATTCAGATGGATATTAGTAAAGAGTGGCTAGAGGGAAAGGCTTTTCTTTACGCATTCAATTTACAGAGCAGCACACACAAAGTTTCATGCAGTTAATCGGGAATAGTTTATATACATGGTAAGGGCATCTTTATATATAGTATAGCGGTAGCTTAATATCGAACAAATAAGGCACAACAAACAAAAACTTTACCATGTGGGTGTAATTTAATTTCCTTCCTTCTGCGTACTGTTGGTGCAGGAAGTGGATAACCATGTTCTAAAAAATAATCAAATACAAATACAAAATCAAAACCAAAAAATAAAAATTTAAGAAGCGAACACAATTTAGACGTTTTGTTTTAATCGAAATTAAGATATAAATAACTCTATCAACGGCTCGCCGAAGTTTGAGATGTTGTAAATTGTATATTTCTGAACCGATCCCAAGGCATTCAATATGCTTATAGCAAAAGGATCCGAGTTGAGTTGGTAAATAAAATGAAATATTATAAAACTAGATTTCATAACGTTTTTAAAAAAATAAAAGAGACACTTTATTGAAAATATTATAAAAAGCTTTGGAGAAAATTTAGAAAAGTATTACAAATTCTTCATGCAGATCAAAAATCTTGATTTACAACATGAGTAAACCCCCCGAAGCTTAAGAAAACTGATTCTAGAAATCACATCAAGATCGAAGGAGATTTATAATACACTTGTAGATGCGCTCAGGCACTCTGATTGCGCCTTCATTCACCGATAAAGAAGTAATTGGGAGCAAAGTAGATCTAGATTTGTGTTATTTACAGGGCAGACTCGGAGAATCAGTTGCTTGGGGTCTGCTACACACGACCCCAATCGATTTTATTTGCTTGGAGAGCACGCACATTGAACAGTTTGTCTTTTTTGTACAGAGTTTTCGTTAAAAATTAGCAAAATTATTATTAGAGAGTAAAGAGTCATCCAATACATGGTCCATGCAGCAGTGTAGGTTCGTAGAAGGCGCACATCAGCGACTCCATGTAGGAGGCCGTACCCACGGGTCCCCAGCTATGTGGTCTCTGGGCGGATCGTAGAGCTGTTTCGTCCCTCGCTCCGGATAAATTACTGGACAGACGTTTCCGCTGCGACTGGGAGGGATCGTCCAGGGAGTAGCTGGCATTGCCCATGCTCTGGTGACGACGATGCAGCAGCTTGTGGCGCATGGTCACCAACTCCTCCGTATCCGCCGACTGTTTAGGGTGGTCGACACATAAAATATTTGGCAGGAAGGTTTTCTCAGGGATGCAAACCGTATTTGGACAATTCAAAATAAATTATATAACTTTGATAACCAAAAAAATATACAATTTATGTACTGGCACTGATTAATTAAATTTAATATATTTTACTTATGGAAAAAAACAAATTAAATAATTTAAAACGATTTGCATCCCTGATAATCCCACTTTACCATTTGCTTTTTCATGGGTGAACGCTTGATGGACACTGTTTCGTTCCAGGAAACAGCAGCATTGGTTGACGACTGGTGGCGATGTTCCCGGCGAAGATTCGGAGTCAGATTGGTGGACAGCACTGAGCTGGGGGCACTGGAAGCCATGGCTGTGGCATAGGCAGCCAAAGGAGGAGCCAAGGTTTGCATGCCAACCGGTGCACTGAGCTCGGATGAAGCCAATCCCAGGGAGATCCTCTTCGGTTCCAAAAATCCCTCGGTAAGGAGAGTGGACAAGGCATCCGTACTGGGAGTTGTGGCTTTCGAGGGATCCATTCTCTTTAATGCACTATCCTTTTCTTGGATTTCTGTTGGTTCCACTTGCTTTCTGGGTAGTGCCACCGTTGCTTCCTCCTCGCTGACCGACTGCACATCCACATAGTCCGCCATATCCTCACAGGGCATCACATTAATCTCCGGTTCAATAATCACAGCAGCATCTGCACTGTCCACGCTCTCCACACTGCTGCCACTGCTGGAGAGGATCGAAGCCCTCGCCGGCGACGAAGTGGCCGAGCTGGCGGAGCTGTGCTCATCGGGGGTCAGATAACCAGATCCCTGGCAGGAGGTAAAGCTGATGTTGTGGGCCAGAGGCGCCACCTCCGACATGGCCTGCTCCGTGGGCGTGCGTTGCCCTTCAGGAAGCCAAGGATTAATGTACAAAAACACACGCGACAATTTCCAACGTTCAAAATACAAAAAGGGAAATTGCAAAAAACGCGACGCGAAGTACGAAAGAAATGCAAAAAGCGCCAGAATGGGGAGGATGATGAAATCCTCGAAAGAATCGCACGATAACTTACCATCGAAGTGGGTCTGTTTGTCCAGGGGTCGCAGCATCTTCTGCTGTGTGGCACGAATGCGCTCCATCTTCCGCTTAATCTTGTGCAGCACCTGCTTTTCGTGGTCGTGACGATGGGCAATCTGCTTATGCCGCAGGCTCTCAATGATGTCGGCTCCTCTGTGATATAAAATATATTTAAATAGTAAACAAATTGATAAATAAATTAAATAATAAACCCACCTTGAGGCCAGGATATTATTTGCTTTAGTATCCGTGATAATATGACAGAAGTAGTGCGACTTGAAGATGCGCAGCTGGAAGATGATGAAGGCAAAGCATATTGTGTCCCACAACAAGACCACCTGATGTGTAATCTTAGGACATTCGCCAGGTGCAAGCACCAAAACAGTGTCCTCGGGCAGCATTATTTGCTCCTTGGGCGCATTACTCGTGCAGGTGATGCCCAACATGTGCACCAGCCAACAGCAATCGGTGGTGAGTTGCGTCATGAACAAACAACCAGCCATCTGGAAGGTCGTCTTGATGAGTATATTCGCCACATTGAAGGCCAGCAGCCACTTCCAGCGGCAAATTATGGTGTGGATGGGTCGCAGATAGAAGTCAGATCCCTGCCACAGGAATATAAAGGCACCGATCAGGTAACCCAGCGCAAGCAGATCCGCAATATTGGTTCCTGCGAGGAAAACCACCGCCAAGGTGAACCAGTAAAAGCCGCACAGCACTCCGTTCTTCAGGATATCCGAGTAGTTTCTTATGTAGGAACAGAAATCGTGGGTGGGATTGTCGAAGGGAACGCGACCCAGTTGGGCAATATCCGCGATCACACTGCGGTTGCTGCCCCCAGGATAATCATCATTGCTCGCATAACGCTGTTCAATGCAGAAAATGCTCTTCTGGCGATTGAGGATGATCAAGACAATGAAGTCGAAGATCAGCTTGGGCACGTGGTTGAAGTGCAGAGCTCCCGGCAGCATTGTCCAGCGTTGAATACCCTCTCCAAAGGGACCCTCATCCCAAGGATAAACTGCAAGAAACATAACAGAGTTATTTAAAAATAAAATCTAACAAAAAAATTAGTTTAATATTTTACCCAAACACGAACTTGGCGGCAAACCAACCAGCACAATGTACTGCGTCAATATGGAGATGGCAAAGAACACCTGGAAAATGCCCCAGATTTTGGCACACTGTGATCTTCTGAGAAGCAGGAGCACCACCAACCAAAGAGCATAGGCCACAGCCACAATATCCTGGCGATATGTGATGGTGGATACCAAAGCTATCAGCGATATCTCAATGCCAAACTTGTAGAAGCCAAAGTTGAGGAGGTACTTGACCAGTCCAACCAAATCCTTTTCGGCATCAGCTCGAATAATATGGGGGAACAACAGCTTGGTGGGTGGGGCATTCAAGGCACCAATCTTGACCCGCATTTGAAGCTGGCGTAGGGTAATCACTGCATGCATGGTCACAATAACCATGTAGATGATGTAGGTGCGCAGCAGACTCATCAGTCCGCCGGTTACTTTATCGGCTTTGGTCAAGCCAATCCATTCGGCATTGTTGGCTGTCCGATTGTCCGACTTAAAAAATAATTATAGATTAATTAAACAAGAAATAACATTTATCAAATTGTAAAATAATGACTTACACAAACCACATTGTACTGCGAGTGACTAAGGTACTCAATCTGATAAATCATTTTCGAAAGCACTATAATGGTAACAATGAACGAGATGAGCCGGCTGATCACCACCTGGATGGCCTTGCGCGATGTGGCGCCCAGCACACAGAAGCCCACGAAGACAATGTGCAGGACGCAGACTTCGCTGACGCTGCAGATGAAGGCTGCAATGTAAACCGCCTTCATGATGTGCAGCTCCAGGAAGCGCCAGAAGACGTCCTTGAAGTTCTTGAAGATGTATTCCGATTTGTTCTTGATTTTGCGGAACGAAATTCGCACCAAATCCCGCACAGATGTCTCGAAATCGGTGGTGGCTCCGGGTGCAGCCTCCGCCGAGGGACCCTGGGATCGACGCAGTGAAGCGGCGCTACCACGACGCTTCGATGGCGCCGGTTCCAAGGCAGTTGTCTCCGTGGGCTTCTGCTGTACCGAACCGCCAGTCGCCGGTTGCTGTTGCAACGAGGCGATGAAGCGCTTGTGGAAGTAGTGCACTTGAATCACAGTCAGGATCACAATTATCGTGGGTGAGACCAAGTGTAGGAACAGATCCTTCGTCTGATAGCGCTTAAGGCCAATGTCGTTTTGCCTGGAAATTATAAATCCTGATTAGCAAGAGGATCTAATATAGTATGTTAAATAATCCCTTACAGCGTCTTGGACACATTGAGATAGTCATTCCAGTACGTATCGAACTTATCAAATTGATATGTATAGATCAATATGAGTATGGACATGGCGTAGAAGATCAGGAACAGCCAGAAGCCGTACATGATCTTAACCCAGGCCTTGGACGACGATTGAAAGACCAGCAAGAAGAATAGGAACAGGGCCATGTAGCAGATGCGGAATCCGGTCATATTCTCGCCGGTGATTGCGCAGAGGAAAATCACCAGCACCAGTAGCCAGATCCACAGGCGAACCAGCAGATTCTTGATCACATCGCCGGCCTTCTTTAGGAACTTTGAGGTCTTCTTGCCGTCGTTGATGAGGTAGCTCGATCCAGCCGATCCCACGGTGATCTGCAGTGGCGCAATGATATCCGCCAGGGTGCTGTCCCTCCGCCGATCGCGTTTCTCCTTGAAGAACTGCCGTGATGTCACCCAAAACATCAAGACAAAGGCCGTCTTCACGATCAGCGGCACACACGGACGCATTTGGTTCTCGATGGGTCGCTCGAAGCCAATTTGCTGAAGGTTAATGCCCGCCGTCTGCAAGTACTTGAGCTAATTAAATTGAATTCTGGATTTAAGTGACGCAGCCTTACGGAAACCTTTGTGGGAAGTTCGTTGTTGTTCAGATCCATGCCGTATATATATTGTGCCACCAAAAGTGCCTCAGCATAGAGAACAATAAACGGACTAGACCGCATCATGGCCTTCCGCTGATTGGGAATCATCCAAAGCACATTGGCCCAAAGCAGCAGGATAAAAGTCAGCCAACTGTGATAGACTATGGACCAAGCCTAGAAATAAAATAACAATATTAATACAATTTATTAACACAATTCTTGAACCTAAGCACCTTTGTTGAATTGATTTTTGAATAGTAATAATATATTATTTTGCAAACTTACCATCATCAGAATATTTGTGAATATATAACTGTTCTGATAGATGAAACCTCCGACGCTGACGAAACCATACGATATCTGATCCAGAATCGAGGTGGTGGTGTTCTCCTGCTCCGATCGCTGTTCCATGGAGTCCATCTGGATGTCATTGCCCCGCTGAATCGCACTGGGCGCCACCGAGGATCCACTCTCCACCGGTTGGGGTGTTCTAGCTTTTCGCGTGCTCTGTCGCACCAACTGTTCATAAAGTTATAAGATTAATTAGCCGAGAGTTTAAGCCACCGAAGCAGACATAAAGTAGAGAGAGTTCAGCTTACTAATTTAAATATGTACATACAAAGAGGACTAGAGTTCTAGGGCAACTACGGGTTAGAATGTCGGTTTGGTTACTATCCGGGTGAGAGTTGCAAACTATTTTAAATCGCTTTCGGCGGTGCTCTTTGGCCCAGAACACACACACACGCATTTACACACACACTTACGCGGTTAGTATCATGTTTTGTTTGAATTTTGGTTAGGATTTCTCATGACTTGGAGGCGATTACTGGGGAGGTTAGTACATACTATAGAGCGCTAGAGATGTTAGACGAGAACATTTTTACATCGACAAATGGGAAAGGTTGGAAAAGCCAAAAACCAAATGATACACAGAAAGACAAAAGCGGAGAAGGGCTGTACAGGCTACTCTAATGATTGATTTGGGGTTAGGCTGGGAGGAAGATACACAGTATTTGGCGCAAAGAGGAGTTAGTTTACGTACAGGCGTCGTCTCAGTCGGTTCATTCAACGTTGCACGCTGATCACGGCGCAAAGAAACCTAAAGCGGAAGTAATAAAAGAGAGAGCATAAACAAAAATCAAAAGAAAACCAAACATACGTAAAGGAAAATGGCAAGAAAAGTCGCAAAGGAAAGTGGTCATATTTCAGCAAAAGCACACACAAATGGCCTTCATTTCGAAGAAGTTTTTCGGGGTTAATCGTTAAAAGCACAGACAAACATTTAATTGGATTTTAGTTGGGTTCACTAATTGTGTATAGTGTTTTTGCAGACATGTATGCCCTAAAATAACTATAATATCCCATATTTAATCGAACAGAAATACTGCATAGTAAATAATTATTTTAAGTCGTTTCAAATATGAAGACAAATTTATATTTTCAGCTAAATAAACCCCGAAAAGCATTAAAGAAGAATAAAGCAAACAAAATGTAAGGCAAAATAGGTTCTCCATCATCTAACTGATGGATGTTAATGGCTTATATTTTCCCGGCCATAAGCCAAAGCCGGCTTATTGGGAATTTGCTCCCTGTCTCCTCTTCCTGGCTTTCCCTGGCTCTAATACACCCATTCAATTCTTCTTTGTGCACACTAGAAATCCCCAAAAAAGACTGCATCATTCAGGAGGCAAACCCAGATCGAACTGAAAACCCTAATCCCAATCCATTCGCTCGCTTACACTCAAGCGCTGGTTGCGGATTGCGGTCGATGTGGTGGCGTTGGTGGTTGCGGTGGTGGTGGTGGTGGTGGTGGTGATGGTGCCACCACCTCCGCCAGGATTCGACCCATCCCGACGACCCCGCGATGTTTGCGAGGTGAGCAGCGATAGCTGGCGGTTGACCTTGTTGCCGGTGTTGTTGATGCTGCTGCTGTTGCAATCTAGCTGCTGCCCAAATGCGGTGGCGGGCTTCGATTCCAGCTAGGAATTTGTGGCCCAGCGGTTGGATGTTGAGGTGTTCAGGTGTTTGGTGTTCGATTGTTTTGTGTTAGTGACATTTTGTTGTTAGGTGTTAAGGATGTTTGTTTATGGTTTATTGTAGGCGTGCAGAAGTTGTTGTGTTAGTTTAGAAATCGAAGTGGTTTATCCGGATGCAAATGGCAGCAGAAGAAGAGCAGAAATATAGAGCAGATAAAACTATGTTTTTAAATAATGCTAGGCTTTAATAAGACTGAAAATAGCTAATGTTTTCTCAATTAAATTGTTATTCAATATTCAATGAACCTTACAGTTAAATATATAAAAGTAAGCTTTAGTTATACCTAAATTTTGTTTTAAATTACAATAATGGTTTTCAGTCTTATTGATATGTGTCTGTACTTAGGGTACACTACCCCATAAAGTTTCTCTAAGCCAGTCTAAGCGAGAGTTAGAGCCCCTAGGAAACTAAAGAACTTTAATTTCCAGTAATTGAAACTTACCCGTGGCTTAATGAGATGCTTGGTAGTCAGGGCCAGAGCGAAGTAGGCAAAGAACAGGGCAAACGGATTGAGGTACGAGTCCAGGGACAGCTTATTATTGTACAGAAAGACTCGAATATCCGGCGAGCAATAGGATTCAATGAGCGGCTCCAGTCCAATCAAGCTGATGGCCAGAGATGGATAAAAGTCAGATGATTTGCAGCACAGAAAGCCCCCTTTACCCCCCTTTTACGTACCGAGCTGTCAGGGTGGTGTGATTGAGGTGGCTCTGCATCCAGGGCGTCTGGTAGGACACAATGGACAGGGAGTGCAGCACGAGGACGACCATCACGCAGCGCAGCAACAACGCGAAGCCCCTGCGGAAAAAGGTGCGAGAATACAATGGAACGAGTCAGAAATTGATGGCGCTGATGCGCTGATGGGGCACGCACCGTTGCAGCGTCTGGCAGGTTGCCCAGTAGGTGCCGGCCAGCAGGAAGATGAGAAAGTAGAATCCACCCGGCACCGAGGGACGCAGCACCGCCGCGAAGAACAGCGTGGCCAGGCAGAACAGAGGAGCTGTCGATGGGGAGGCGATTCATTAGTTTTGATTGAAACATATCTCAGTCCCAATGGTGTTCCGATAATCTCTTAATTTAGTGGGTTTTAAACTAACTCCTTGAAATATTTCTAAAGAGAATTATTTAAAGCTCTTTACTTTTAGTGAACAATATTATATAGTTTGGTTTAAAACCATAGAGCATTGTTATGGGTAATTTATAGATTTGAAAGGGTTTAAGTTAATGTAAGTTTAATGTTCAGAATCAAACAGTTTAAATGGTTTCTAGGTCACTAAGAACCGATTTTCTTTAAAATTAGGTTAAAGGAGATTGCAAAATCTTGTGGTATGGCTTCATCCCCTTACCGATCTTGATCAATCCCTCGAAGTGGATGTGCTGGCTGATCATGGAGACGCGCTTCCTCAGCTGCTGCTGCTGCTGCTGCAGTGGCGTGGTGGCCGTGGCCTGTTGCACATCTCCACCATTGGCATCTGCGGCAGGTGGCTGATTAGGTTGGGCGTTTTCCGCCTGACCATCCACCACTTCGCCATTTTCCAGCTGCTCGACGCCAACGGGCTGAGAAGCCACTCGCTTTACAGTGAGATATGATCCTAAAGAAGTGGCGAAAACCAACACTTCGGGCACCAGCCACTCAATAATGGCAAATGGCCTGAAAAGATAATTTGATAAATTAATATATATAAGGTTCGTTACCCGATAAATACTCACTGTAGATCGATAAAGCTCACGAAGCCAATGTGCCTAAGCAATCGCTCACTGAACGAACAGTTGTAGATTGGCAGCGTGAGGCTTACTGCTAGAATCTGGAGCGTTATGTGACCCAAGAGCACTAGAGTACTCAACGCCAGCAGGATGATGAAGAAGGCGGTCACAGATCCTTTGAAGTTGCGTCTTGTGGCCAGCGGTACAAAGGGCGATATGAAGAACATCAGCAGGTACACAAAGGATATGCCCACTGGTCGCATCAGCGCAGCTAAAATTGTTAAATAAAACAATCAGATGAAATAATCAGATGAAATAGTAAAACCCCTTTTGCTATTTTGGTTTAACCCCACAAACTTTAAGAAAATTGTCTGAAATTTGTTTTGTTTCTGTATTGCAAGCTGCACATTATTTTGACTTTCTCATATTATTTTTAAACCAAAATTCAAAGTATTTTGTATGTTAAACCAATTACTTACCGAGTACCAGGACCGCTGGCACCACGATGCGCTGGAGCACCATGCACGCATAGCTGAAGACCATTTCGATTGATGCTCCCGCCCCTGTTCTCCTCCAGATGCCTCTCCGGACTCAGACTCCCACTCCGACCCAGTAGCATTCATAAAAGCCTCAGCTTCGAGTGCAATTTGTTGCCACAAGCAGCGCAGAGCAGCTGAAACAAAAGGGGAAACAAATACGAATTAAATTGCAGCTTAAGCAGACCCGGAGGCCCTGTTGCTAACACTTTAAGAAGGGCAAGTTTTATGGTCCTTAATAAAGCGGACTTAAGAGAAACCCAACTAATTTACGGATACAAACATTGACACACTTTTAATTAAGACTGGCGAAAAAAAAACAACCGAAATAAAATCAAGACCGTGCTAAGAAGTGGGCGTGGCAGTCGGTAGTCGCACGCTATCCTTCGTTGGGTTGGGTTAGTTTCAATTTTCCACTTCCGCTTTTCCGCACATTTCCCAGCTGCAAAGGGTGCGAGGAGTGGCCACGCAGCCCGGTCTTTAAGGAGTAACCCAAGTAGAGGAAGTGGGGGCCACCGACAAGATGGCTTATGGATAAATGTGTAATTGACATTCAATGGCACATAATGTGGCATTTATTCGAATACGCTTTAAACTAATGGGGCAGAAACTGTTGAAGACAAAGAAAGACAAGCAGAATGCGAAACGCGAATAAGGTATTTTAAAATGAAGAAGTTAAAGAATTGTTGTTTAAGGCAAGCATAATCCCTTTTAGAAAACAAATAGAATATGATTTAAACTGAAGTTATTTTTTTCTATTCTTCTATTTCAACAAGAGCTGATAAAATATTTTTTTCGTATTCTTTTTTTGGGGTCTATTTAAAGCCTTATCATTAAAATTTGTCATAGGGTTTTTGTTGAAGCTTTTATTCGAATGTTTATTTTAAGATTCGGGCAGCCACATCCGATCTATTAAATAACATCGACAAGTAGCATGAATTCCTGACCTGATGCCTCACATACTCAATGGCACAAGTGCAAAATACAAAAAATGCAAAAAACGAGAAAAAACATCAGCAACACTGCTAATTTTGCACACATTAGTGAATGGAAAAAAAAAAAAGATCGAGAACCATGACGTAATTCGGCATGTACAAAACTTTTTAATTCTTCATTTTTTTTTTGGCTGGGTTAACCAGAACAACAATGGAGCAAACAAAGAAAGCAACACAGAGTGAGAATTCGACGGGGAAAAGAGAAGCCGCCCACGCCTAAAACGCAAATATTTCCGACATAATGTCGGCTAATAAGAGAGGAGGAAAATCCAAAAAAAAAAAAAAAAAAGAGAGGGTCTGACAGTTGAGCCACCGAGCCGACAAACCTGAAGTGGTGCCACACCTAACCCCACACACCACCGACCACCCACCACCCCTCGCCGCCTTTGGGCAAACAAACAGATTCAACCAGACATGAAAAAAAAAAATGATGGAACTACAACAACGAGGCGGGAGAGCCCCCTAATGGCGATAAAAACTAGTAGTAGGCATATAAAAAACAAAAAAAAAGCACTCTACTATTTTAGCAAAATAAATGCTGGTAGCTTGTGGCAAGGCGATGAGGGGATGCCGGGAATTCCTGTCTGAGCAGATGTCTAATGGCACAATAATGCTGATGGAAGTGCGTCCGTCTACATGGGAGTTTAATGCACAATCACAGCAAAAAGTTTGCGTTCCACACACAGATAAGGATGTTTATAGCAAAAACATAATGGCACAAAGATGAAACAACAACAAGGTATAAGTCAGTATCTATTGAGTGAGCAAAGTTCATGAATCATAGTTTAAGTATTTCTCAAAAAATATAAAGTTAAAGGTTCTTTAGCCGCATATTGTTTTCTTAAAGAATATGTATTATTTTTAATGTACTTAAACTGAGTCTGCCATCTTAAGAAATGTAATATTATTTAAAATGTTAAATTTAGTTTAAATATGTATTGAAATTAAATTGGATATTGTTATTTTGGACCCACTGTTGGGAAATACCAAAACGGGGTAAGCCAATAATCAGAACTCTTTTCGCCTCCACGCGCGGGAAAAGAGCGGCACGTCGCATCGTTCCATCAGAATCGAATGAGACACGTGTTGCTCCTATGCTTTGTGGCTTGATTATGGGCCTAAGGGCATTCCAAAGCACACACCCCCTTTTTGGGGACCACCAACCCGCAATGACAATGAATACGAAATGCGAGGCGAGGTGGAGGGGACTTTAACCAGCGTGTTATTCGCTACTAATTCATTTGCCATGCACGCATCGCTGATTGCTGAGCTTCTGCTGCTGTTTGGCATTATAATATAAGCGTTATAATGTATACGGATCTGCAGATATCTATATGCCAATCGAGGGGCCAGCTGCTGTTGTCCGTTCGCCATGATATAAATGATATAGGGGTGCCTTGTTTCTTCTGCCTGTTGCTGCCACATATTGTGCTCCCGATTTCTGTTTCAATTTCGATTTGAAATTCCATTTTCATTCGGATCCAAATGTTTATTGTCTTTCCATTTGCCCCATCAGAGGAAGAATATCAGACATAAGTAGAATTTGTATGTGCTATTATTGGGTTATCTTGGCACACATATTGCAATGGACACTCCAATGCCGCTGTCGGAGTGGAGAACCTCAATGTTGTCCATTGTTTTACTTGGTTAATGCATGTGAAATGCATGTTTTGGCACTTAAAAACAAACATTAAAATTTGTTTTGCATGAAACTTAGACAGCTGGTTGCAATTGTCTTGGAGTGATACCCATGTGGCGTATACGGGATTTTAGATAGTTCTTAAATATAAATCACAAGGCAGTAAAATTGTTGTTGAATTCGTAGGAAACGAAATAATTCATATGTAGTTAAATGTTAAAAACTATTATTATTTTAAAATTCCATGTTATGTGATAAATAACCAGATCTAATGAATTAGAAGATGTAGTACTGCCTAAAAAATATTTTTTTTCTTTTTCTTCCACATTAAATCTTAAGTTTAAGTCCAACCTTAGCATTACAGCTTTCTTAAAGTTCCTGAACAACTCAGAGTCAATGTCTTATCTTAAGCGGCTTACATGAATAACGAAATTGAGCTGCAAGCGAGGAACTCAATTGCAAGTCTGCTATCATCTCGCACTCGGTGCGACCTTCATCCTCCTCGTCTTGGGGACCGCCTCCCAACCCCCTGGGATTCATTAGCGCAGCCTCATTGCCAAGTCTGCCAGCCACTTGAACTTTGTCTGGGCGTTGGCAGACAACTCTTGCAATAACATTTGCAATTCTATTTTCCTAAGTGCAATTGCGAAACAGAAAAATCGGAAAAGTCGGAAAAGCGTTGACAAAGTCACCTAATCTCTGTCCAGTTAGTCGGTTTTTAGCCTCCCTTGCCGCGTGTCTGTGGGCCATTAATTTACCATTAATTACAAATGTCCAACGCGAGTGGCTTGAGCTTTTCTTTTTGCTCCCCCCTTTTCCAACTTGCTCTATTTTTAGTGTCCGCTTTCCTGTTTGAGGTTTAGTTCTTTTTTAAAACCCCCGTAATCTGAGAATTATTGTGGTGGCTCGGAGACCTCTCCCAGTTTTTGTTTTTAAACTTTTTTCCTGCAATTGTTGCTATAAACACATATACGAGTATATCACATGGGGTGCATGTCACACGATTTTGATTCTGGTTCCAGTTTTCGAATGATGACGTCACTTAGTTTGAAGACTGTCAATGTCACAATTGTTAACCCCTTGTTGCCAGGCAAGAGCTTTAAAAGAAAAGCTATCCGAGAATCAAAGCATAATTACTTAAAAACACGCAATACTTATTCTGAAACGAGGGAGTAGCGAATATAATGAAAAAATTTCATTTGACATTCTTCGTGTGCGTTTGACAAGTAAGCGCGCTCATAAAAGGCCAAAAAGCGAAGAGCTTCACATGCCATTTTACTACGGAGAGCTAAAAGGAAACTAAAAATTGCGGAAGAAGTCGGCAGAATATAGTTTTACTTGCCAAGAGCTCTGCAATGTTTTGCTTGAAGTGAGTCCTTGTTTATAACCTTAAACCTGAAAGGATTGCATTTCCCCTCTAAAAGGTACAGAGTTTATATAATTTTTCTGTTAAGAAATTTAATTAAAGAACCGCCAGCAGTCAATAGTAAAAGGTCAGAATATAATTCATTGAGAATGACAAGCCGAATTAAATACTTTTCGAGTATCATTCCAGCCCGCATTAATCAACAAGGGTTAATTGAATCACACAAATTATGGTTAATGCGCGATAAATCCAAATGGAATCGTTAATTTCATATGCACAGTGTGCAGTTTCATCGCCATCTGCGGAAGATTTGGGTCACTTGCAGCGCTTTCCTCGCTCTTTTATTCAGGGCAAGGGAAAGGGCAGTTCTTACAATTACGTATACGTAAATTTCACAAGGGAAATTAATTTCAAAGTGGTTGCGACCCCATCCCCATGCACATTCAGACACACTCGCACTCGTACTCGTACTCGTATTTATGGCGAAGGGCAGACAGAGTGAGCTAATGGGCCAACAAGCTGTGGCCAACGCCTTCGTTTCACTCAAAGTGACAGTGGATGGCCAAGGAAGGAACGGGAGGCGGGAGGCAGGAGCAGAAGAAGGAGCAATGGGGGCGGAACGGCCGAAATGCATATTCGTCTCTGGTCTTGGCCTACATTTATCTTGGCGACCGAGCCCCCAAAACCGCTCCCACCGTGGAACTACTCTCAGTCTCTTAGTTAATAAATACGAATTTTGAAAATAAAAATGCGTTTGCCAACAGCCAGATTTAAATTAATTTGTTGAGCTAATAAAAACTAAAAGTTTTTCTAAAAATAACTATACAGTCATATAAAACAACACTTTAAAATGTATTATCTGCATAGTTTCAATATTTAGAACGCACCGAAATCTATGCATTTTTTATTTTTATAGGTTTCTACCAAAAAGTTTAAATTACATATTGTATGCTTACTCAACTAAAGTGTACAAAACTGCTTAGAAGTGAAGCATCTTACTTAAAAACCCTTGAGCACATTCCCTTAAAATCTAAGTTTTTGGGCAAACAACTTAATTTGACTCTTCATTTATTGATTTTAGCCCATGGTTAACTGCCACCAGCTGTGCACAAGAGCATCGACTACAAAGTGGCAGGAGGTGGCATGGGGCAAGTAGGCGGTGCGGCCTGTGGATACTCCATAGAGTGCAAATATCATAAAATGTGCAGCGCGCCTCACTGTTTGACCTGTCAGAGCATATTACACATCCGCCATGTGTGCCGTGTGTCTAAAACGATGGGGAGGAGCACAGGCATTGCTCCTGCCTGCCATGTTGTCCATTAACAAACAATTTCGCTGATGCATTCGGGCCAAAGGACAGAAGCAGTTAGTTACGGGTCCGTTTTTCACGGTTTATTTCACGGGTTTATATTTTTTATACCTATTCCCTTTTTGTTAATCTATTTGAAAGGCCAAAGCCCGCGGAGCACGTACACTCGACGACGTGTGTGCAATTACTCCGCCCTGAAAATTGTCGCGACCAGCTAACGCGACATTAATAGTGACAAATGTCGCAAAATGGTAATGGACTGGTCACGACTTTATCCTTTGGCACATCCATTTCCTTTCCATTTCATTTCGTTTGGCCTGTCGTAAAAGTCTTTTTTTCGTCGTTTTATGACAGTTGTCCTTACCTTTCACTTGCTAATTTCATTATCCGAAAAAAAGGAGAATCCTTTCAGTTGAAAGCACCATTAAAGCCAGAAAAATGTAATATTTCCCTCATTCATCATCATACATCGACGGAATAGTTTGGCCAACCTTCATTCCATTCCACAATCCCTCAGAGAAACACGCAACAGTTTTTTCCAGACACTTTTCTTCGGACTATCGGGGGAAGAAACGGGGGGCAGGCTGTCAAATGAGTGTCGTCCTGACAGGCGGTCCTAAGGATTATGGCCCGACATTAACATGCTTCCAAATAGTTGACTCAACTTGACTTCAGGGATATCGTTGAGTCAACAGGTTATGTCCCAAGTGCGGGGAAACTACATTTTCTTGGAGGTGGGGCTTGTTTGATGACGACAAAAGTTATCTAACAACTCTGTTTAAAAGTTTTGGGTTAGTCAAAGTTTTTCAAATGATATTTATTTATTTAGAAAATAATCACGCTTGCATTTTGTTGTTTTCAAGTTGATATATGTTTACTATGTTAAAGCAGAGAATTAAGTTCTTTGCAAAAACTTCCGTATTTCGACATTGACATATTTTGTGAGCCAGGCAAAAAAATATTTAATAAATCATTTTATAAAAGAATTTAATTACTACTAACATCTTGACTGTCTCTATCTTGGCTATCAAAACACTGCACTACGCTTCAAGCAATTCTGGCTTCTTTGCTTATCTAAAATATGATGGAGAAAAATGTTCTTTATAATAAATTCCTGACTGGCAGCGAAGCGTGGCCAAAAGCAGCCATACGCGTCGTTGCACACTTTGTAAAAAGGAATTCAAGATCGAATATGAAGACTTCAGTATATAGTGAACGATAATTGAGAAGAAAACTCAATGAAAACACTAAACCCAGATTCAGTCGCACTCTCACGGCCTTCAGAACATTGCAAAATAAACCCGAAACAAAAACATTCACGCATGAGAAGTCAACCAGCTAGGAATCATCTACATATACCCGATACCGAGAACTATCCAACGATATATCTGAATAAGTCTGTGTGCCAATACAGACGAATATTTATTTTATTTTCTGATTGCAGACCCCACACCCACAACGCGACGATAAGCAAAAATTAATTTTGCTTTTGAGAGAAATAAAACTGTCTGCGATAAAACTAAAATTTAATTAAGGCGTCTAGAAGGGGTGACAGCTAAATAAAACTGAAAACGTGGAAACTCATGCATAGAATATATTCTAAAATATGTTGTTGGTATGTGATCTAAACGTTGAAATAAAGCTAAATCGAAAACAAGTTCTGTGGTCGCGACCGGCAGATGACTAAATTCCAAACCAGACTCAAACAGTGTGAGAGTTGTGTTTTATTGTACCTAAATAGACGCTTATAAATATGTGACTTTGTGTTTGGCCGGCATATAGTATATATATGTATGTACCATTACAGTTCCGTGTGCTAGCGATGACGCAACAACGCACAAAATGTTAAGGAATTCGTTTGCTTTATATTATTTTTTTCTCGCTTGCCTCTGGCGGCAGCATTTTGTTGAAGTATTTCGGTTCAAAAAAGGCCACGACGGGGCAAAGGCCAAGAACAGGTAGGAAGGTAGGAAGAGGAAACAATAACAGCTGCTGCCTATCGCTTCATGAAAATGCATCCTTTTACCTGTAGGTGGTGGCCAGTAAAACCGGAAAGATGAGGGAACTACTAAGGATAAGACAGAAAGTAGACCAAGTTGTGTCTTTGACGTGGTTGGCAAAGAAGAGTTTTTAAAATACGAGTCTTTTTCACTTTTAAAGTCAATTAAGCTCTTTTTTATTACCCAGGATAAGGCATTTTTTATTAAGTTTATCAGCCATAAAAATCTCTTTTGTTTTGCGCATTCGATGATGCACATCTTTACGCTTCACTGGAATTGGACACCATTTTTCAGGCATTAAATCGAATGTGAATCATTTCTTCCATATGGCGTTTCAATATAACCCACGTAGATTGTTTTTTCTCAACGAGTTCTATGCAAAAATCGAAAGCCAAATATGTTAAGAGACGGAGATGGAGACGGGACGAATAAGGTACAAGGACCGAGTGAGCACAAAAGAAAAATAGCAGTGGCATCGACGAGCGACAAACAAAACAAGCTGAAAAATAACTGCAGCTGTTGCAGTTTTATAAATGTGGTTCCCCAAAAACCTACTCCCTCGGTCGCCCAACCAAAAGTGATACCTATCCTCCTCGTACACATGTGTACGGGTATAGTATAGTATATATGGGATATAGCATATAGAAGTGGGTAGATGTAACTGGTCTGTTGTCGCTCGGTTGGTTGGCTCTCCACAATAAAAGTGAAATTTTCCTCGTGCCAAATATTGCTGATGGCGGCGGGTGGATGGTGCTCGGTGGTAACGACTTTTAGGCACTGACACTGAAACAGTTGGTGGAGAACTTTTCCGAGGTTGCACAAGGCAACATAAACTAATTGCAACAACATTTCCGTCCACTCTGCAGCCAAGAAGTAATCAAAAAAGCTACTCTGATGAATGATATGAGAACTAATGATAGTGAACTAAAGGTTTTTTCTTCACTCGTTGGCAATTAGTCAATGTGGTTCTCCTTCGTATATCGCATCCAAGTTGAATGCCTTAATTTGTGTATTTCTCAGAGTTTTCATCGTTAAAATTTTATTGAAATTGTTTCGTAAACCAACTCAAAGGCGAATAGCCGCAAATCAAAACAAAAGGTTGTTTAAACAACTGAACGAATTTAATTCCATTAGAAAGACCTGGAGAAAACACTTTAAAATCAAAGTTCAGTTTCATTGATCTGATCGCAAATCAAATACAAAAATGAATAGTATGCATAAGTAATTTTTAAAAATATTCATGAAGTCATCAGTAGCATCTGGAATTAGTGTTTCATTGAGACAACAAATACATATATATTCCCAAGCCGTGATAATACGATGGGTCTAGACAAGCGAAAGTCGTGGGTCCCACGGAATGAAATGCGTCATTTATTGATTGCAAATAAATAAATATGGGAAAACAACAAGGAAGCCAAAAGCTAATCACAAATGGGATGCAATCCATAATTTCGAAATAAGAAAACAATCAGAGAAGCTGTAGTTCTAATTGTAATTGTTTTGTAATACTAGAAATAATTTTACAAATCATAATGACCCACTTTATAAGATTTCTGTTTCATGTATTTCAGCTCGCGTGCTATATTTTAAATATTTTAATTTGAGCAAGTACAGAACAAACAATTTCCTGATCATAATTGATACCCGTATCACCTGACTACCGCTCTTTACTTTAAGTGTTAGCAAACGCCAAGAGCTGCATTCCCCTAAACAACAAAACAGTAGGTCGTGGGCCTTTTGCCATATGTTCAAAGACTGCACGCTCAGGACTGATAACACTGAGCCCCAGTTGTTTACCCGCACTCATTAATATTTGTGTGTTAGACAACTGCAGTGGGTATGTTAGTATAAGTTTAAAAAACATAGAATATTAGAAAATAAAAACTGAATTCCCACTTCAGTTTATGGGTCATTTTGTGGCTTCTTATCCGTGACCATGACTAATCTGGCTTTGAAAGCTACTGGGTCAACGGCGTTATCGGGGCAAAAGAAAATACTTGTTAAATGAAAGGGGTGAACCACTCAGCGGCTTATCTCCTCACCGAAATGTAAATAAATGAAAGTTATTTACGCTGATTTGACGTTTTTTTGTTCCTGCGCTAATTCCTCAAACTAATTGACACAGATAACGCGTAGCAATGGATCTAAAAAACTTGCAGTACGTTAATGAAATTAAAAATAGATCAACAGCTGAAAATACATGGTGTGTGAAAGGGACAGAGCGAGAGAGCAGCGCCGATTAAAAGTAGCCAGAAAAGTCAAACAAAAGCAAACAGGGAAAAAACAAGAAGGGGGAAACAAAAACACAAAGAACTAGAACATGGGAAATCAGAATGGAAAATCAAATGTGGTATCTTCTTGTTTGTTTGCTCTTCACACTTGTTATTTGAAAATCTCGAATATGTTAACCGACGAAGACCTTCACTTTTTTTAGCGCCCTTTTTCGAGTTGCTAGGCAGTTGGAGTCGAGCAAAACAAAAAAATATGTGTAAGTTCCACGGTGTCTTACCACATTTGCATAAGCTCTGCGAATGGAGACCACAACAAAAACAAAAGAAACGATTTTTACCGATTTATCAACCAAACGCACACACTAAACCATTAACTTTCTTCTTTTTATGACCTTTTCAGATCTTTTTCGATCACTTTGCTAACTTTTCACCGGTTTTTGTTTCGGTCGGTGTTAAACTTTGATTATTTGGTAAGCACTGTAGCCCATTTGTTATTGTTTCGATTTGGCTTCGATTTTTACAGGCGTTGATTTTGTTTCGCGCGTTCGCTCTGTACACCGATTTGGATTGCGAATTATATAGCGTAGTATCCGTTTGCTATGCAGAAACCGTATCGGCGTTAATGTAACATGTTCTCCCGGCGATTTGGGCACTTTTTGTTACTTTAAGCGGAGCACCGAAAACACGTCCAGCTCGGATGAAAACATTTCGAATTGAGTGGAAGTTTGAGCATTGCGGGCGCCTTAAATACCCCGGTGAGAGCGACCCAATATGTTTCTCTCTTATGTGGCTCGCTCTCTTGACACTCTTAGCTCGTTTATACAATGTTGGTTCATGAAACTCTCTGTTAACATTAATATAAATTATAAATAAACTAATTGATAAATAAATAATAATATGTCTGGAAAACTAAATTAATTAATTAAAATGATTACGTTCCTAAGCTTACCAATAAATATTTGAGTTCTTGATATTTGCTGCATAAACAGATGCTGCTATTGCAAGATTCTCTTTTCACTTCGCTCTAAAACTCAAGAGAACGAGTGAGTGGTCTTTCTTATTAATAAATTCAGCACAAAACATTTTAGATATATAAATCCAAGCCTTAAAGACACCTTAAGACAGTTGAAACCTAACTTATTTTTATACCCATTATAATAAGATTATCTTGTTGTCTAGCCAGAATTATATTCAAAATTCAAAGCAACAGTTCGTCCGGGTTGCCAGACTCTACCATTTCCATTATTGCATATGGCTTATTGAACTATCCAACTTTTGGTCACACCTAAAATAGACCTACCTAGTTTTTGCAATTTTTTCTTAAGATCCACTTCCGCTAAAATAAAAACAAAACATGTCCGAATTGCAGGTAAGTCCTACTACTTTAGTCTGTATATTAAAGATTAAACCCCAATATGGTAAACCCACAGGAGTTCAACCAAGCGGCAGAGGATGTGAAGAACCTGAACACCACTCCCTCGGACAACGACCTTTTGGAGCTTTACAGCCTGTACAAGCAGGCCACAGTGGGCGATTGCAATACAGGTTAAAGCCACTGTCTTTACTGCATTTAACCTGACAATGAAGCAAACCCATTCCAGATAAACCGGGCTTCCTGGACTTCAAGGGCAAGGCCAAGTGGGAAGCATGGAACAACCGCAAGGGATTAAGCAATGCCGACGCCCAGAGCGCCTATATCGCCAAGGTGAAGGGTCTGATTGCCGCCGTGGGTCTCAAGTCCTAGACTAAATCTTCAAAAGATATTGCATTTTAAAGTCTCAGTTGTCGTCAAACGCACAAACTTTGATATTCTAGCTTTCGCACAAAATACACCACATACACGCAACGTTAAGCATTTAATTTGTCATATCGGGAATGGATACATAATTAACTATATAGGATACTGTTTAGGCTTCTGTGGGGGGAGGTGGCAGTGCTGCCTTGTGAGTGGCGCTGCCTTTCATAAACCTCACGCTGCAGCTCTCGAAGATTCAGCTCCAGTGTCTCTACTACCTCGAAGTTAAGGTCCTGGCGAGCTTGCTTAATATAACCCTTGATGATGTTGATCTGCTCAATCAACGGATCGTCGAGAGTGGATTTGCTGGCCGCCTGCGGTGCAGACCAGTTGGTCAGAGATTGGAGATCCGACTGAAAAATAAATTCACTTTAAGAATAGGTTATCAAAGCATTAGATTAATACAAACCCCCTGGGCGAAGGAACCGCTTTCTGGGCCAGGAACTGCCACTCCCGATTGATTCGCTGCCAAATTATTCCGCTCGTAGGCTTCCATGGCCATGCGCTGCTCGGTGAGTATCCGCTGCTGTGTCTCCATGCGCCGTCGCTCCTGCATCTGTCGAATGTGGGCCTCCTCCGGCAGTGGCGGCAGCGATAACATGCGCTCCTTGATCGCTTGGATGCAGCCCAACCTAATCGCTTTCTTTAAGGCTTCCTCTCGGCTGCCCGGCTCACAAAATATGGCTAAGATCCGCTTGCTACGTAGGTCCATGGTTTCAGCCACTTGTCCGATCTTTCCGCGAAGAGCACCGGCGTCCGCCAGCGTAAAGATGGTGTCCCCTTCGTTCAAGCTATTGATGATCTTCAAATACATGTCCAGATCGGGAGTTACTTCCTTTTGCAACTGCCGGATTTGCTCGTAGACCTGCATGAGAAGCGGGCGACAGGTGCGACTTTCGTGCATGTCCCGCCGCGTGTCCAATAACCAGAGGCAGTGTTCACAAAGCCGGACGGCGTTCTCGTGCTGATGCAGCTGCTGGAGGGGCTCACTTCTCGTGGTGGAAAGGCTGGCCAGTTGCACTGAAGAATAAGAAAGAGGTTCGCATTCATTTTGTGCTGAAAAATCAGGGTACATTACTTGCATCCTCCAGGGGCAGGAACTTAGAGCAATCGTTACACATGATCCCTCCACACAAGCGGCAGTGGTGTTGTCTACGGGCGATGTGAAAACTCTTGGCGCAGCTGGGGCACAACTTGACGGAACTTCCGTCCAACCAGGCCACCGTTTGCTGCTCATGTTGCCGTCGCTGGACTGAGTCCGTGGGCAAATCCTTCAGCAGGCGGTGGAGTCTAATAATCAACTTGTTCGTTTCGCTGGCATATCGCTCCAAACGCGGATTTCGGATGGACTGAAAATAATCGAAATGGGAGCACTCGGCGCCCGCCTGTTGCCTGGCCATATGGTTAAAAACATTGTTGCGAGAACGTGCATTACTGGGTCCGTTGCGATCTCCGTTGCCATTGGGATTCTTGGCAACCGCCGAAGAAGAGGAACCTCCCGGCGAGGCAGTGGTGGCTCCCTTTTCGTCTTCAAATGGGTTTAGAATTTTCTTTTTGGCCTTGGCAAAGATGTCTTTAAAGGATTTTAGAGCCGCTTCCTCTTCAGCGTGCTGGCGGGCAAAATGATCCGTAAGCACGTCGATGGACTTCAGGTCCGCACGGCAAATGGGACATAGGAAACCTTCCAGGATCTCCCCGCTGGTCGAACTTTGGTCGTCATCGCTGTCGAAAGGATTCCCAGACATTCTGACGATGAGTAATCGTGGATTATTTGGTGGGTGTGTTTTGTTGTGGTCTCCTCCCCGAAAAGCGGTCGTATTTAGGGTATTTCACTTTTACTAAAGCGTTGGCATGGCGGGATCTACGATACTGGAAGGCCTCACGTAATTTGCAACACAATAATTGTTATAAACTCGTTTATTTAATTTATTTAATATTTCCACAAAAATCAGTCAACTTGGTCTTCTTCTTGCCATACTGTAATTCACTTAATATTTTAAGTAGGGCTGCAGCAGGTGCTGGAAATGAACTCTTTGACAACAAGTGTACAACCAAATTGCGATCTGCGTTTTATTTTGCGGTAATTTCCTGAATTGATAGTAAATGTTTACAAAAAAAGGTACAGCTAAAAGTTCATCGTTATAAAATCCGCGAACCCATATTATCAACTTACTTTCATAGTCGTTGCAGCCCTGTTCAAAAGCTCTTCGTGGTGACTGTCTATCGCGGGAAGAAGCAGTAGTTGCCTGCCTGGAACTTTTCTCGGTTTTTCCGTTTAAAACAGTCGTGGGTGTGAAAATCCTGCAGTGATATAGTTCTCAAGTCAGTTGAGGACTTAAAGCAAACGTACCCATTAAATAAATCTAAATAAAAGCACCAGTTTGCCCGCTAACATGTCGGAAAGATCCAAAGGTGACGTGTCCGCTCGCATAAACAACAATGCAAACGCGACGCGTGTCGTTAAAAATCCCCTTTTGAGCGCCTCGGTGACCGGCCTGAGTTTTGATGACTTCCCAAACAAGCCGCAGCTGCTGCCTGCTGCACCGCCCGTGGTCCATGCCACGCCCCCTGCGCCCACGCCCGTCCTCATCGCTGGCATCTTGAACCGCGGTAAGTGGGTCACGGCTCGTTTGCTTGGGAATCCAACGGAGGGAGTGGGTAACCTGTTGCTCGGTTGGGAACATGATAAGCTGATAAGCCAGGCACTTGACCTTCTACCCCTACTTACTCCATGTTTTTTGAACATTAACAAAGATCGAGATAGTCCCAATTACCCAAAATATTTCGGGTAATGAGTCAGGTCAGCATTTGTTATGGTTTTAACTTTTAAATGTTGAAATGCAGTTTGGTTAGCCTTTTTAAATGCACTTTGGTTAATATAGTTACATGACTTAACGTTTCTTTCTAATCTAATGTGTGACACAATAAGCCTCTTATTTTGTAAGGTCTGGTTGAGTGTCACATTTCTGGATGGGATTGGATTTCCCTGATAACTTTGTGACATGTAAGCAACCTATAAAAGCTGCTGCATCCTAAGTTTTCTAAACTCGTATTATGGTAACATTTTATTTTTGTAAAAATGTGCTCATTTGAAATGTTTTTGTTAGGCTTCTCAATTCATTTATCGATGGCATATTTTATTAGACTCTTTCAAGTTATCTTTGACTCGTCTTAAGCGTTTGGCACAATAACATAACAACAATCTACTCCATACTCCTGGTGGAGTGAGACCTATATGTGGGCAGCTCCAGTATTGTCTTCCTTCGCCGGCAGCACCATACGATGCTCCAAATGAGGGCCGCAATAAGCAGGAGCAGTAAAATCACTCCCAGGCAAATGGCTGCAATGGCTGCCTCAGTCAAGTATACATCCCTGACATCGATGATGAGGCTCCTCTGATTGCCTGCCGCATCAAAGGCTACTAGCGATACCTTGGGTTCGCAGCAAGACGCCATGTAGGTGGCCTTTAGGGGCTCTGTGCTGCCGGCTGTATAATAGTTCCTATAGAAAAGACCCTCTGGCGGTGTGGCCTGCAATCTCAGCATGCCCGACTGCCAGTCCTGAGCGGTGACATCCAGTGTCCAAAAACGCTCGCCACAATTAAGGGATTCCGGTGTCAGATAATCACAGCGGCTGCCAAACTCCCAGGACAGTGAAGGGCCAGTTGAGTCCTTAAAAACATTAAAATCTATTTAAGTACTCGAATAATGTGTGAATCTGCAGATCCCAAACCTGAGCATCTATGCTGGTCACAACTTTCAGATTGACCGCGAGTGTGGATGTTTCGCGACCATAATTGGTGAAGGTTATTCTATCTGTTGTGCCTTGAGCTGTTCCTGTGGGCACCAAAACGGTCAGACGCACTATGGCCGTTTCCATTGGCCGAAGGTTTAACCTTCACAGAATAAAATTCCATTAATATAAACTAGACAGTTTTTATAAGCAATTTACCTAGTGGGATTTAGCTGCACCAGGAATCGCCGCTCATCGGTAACCTGAATGGTGGAGTAAACCGTCTCCGCTTTCATGTTGGTGACCTCAAAAAGCAGTTGGGCTGTCTGTCCAGCCGTCACTAAGAGTTGAGATTGTGTTCCAAGCTCAATTTTAGTTCCACATCGCTGAAGAAGCATGGAATTTAGAGTGCTTCTCGGTTGTCCTGTGGTGGCTGCTAATAAAGTTTGATTCAAACTTGGAGAGCTCTGTACTTCTTTCTCGGAAAAGGTTTCAATTTCATTTTTTGGCGAGTCCACATCGTCCTCCAGTTTCTCGGTGTCCTTTTCTTTGTCGGGAAACTGTATTTTAGCCGACTTCGGCTTCGTTTGTCCACTTTTGTAGTAGCTATCGATGCGTTTGATGATGTCGCCTGTGAGGAATTGAAGAAAGACATTAGAAAATCAGCTGCGTACACGTGTTTTAGGTAATACATATATGGAAATATTGCGTTGATGGCGTCAACGCTGACGTTTCCATCCAAGGTTGAAGCACGGTTATCAGTCGAGATTCGTGTTCATTCGGGCAAACAAAACAGATCACGGACTCTTATCACTCGAAATTGAGCGCCAGAGCAGTCAATTAGCTAACGAGGGCTCAGTTCTGTGTGGCAATCAATAGCGCCTGGTTGTTTGCTTTTAATTTTCTATAACTCACCCAAAAACACATCCGCTTTTCTTTCGGCGCGGACGAAAACATTATATTTCTCATTCAACTCGGGCTGTAGTTTCAATTTAAAAATTGCCGCGCGTCGCAGCTTGTTAAGTGGTACGTAGGCATCCAATTCTTGCTGAGTCGAAGTCTCTGTGTTGTTCACTCCACTGAATTTCGACAGTTTCTTCAAGTTGATCTCTAAAAAAAAGTAAACACAAAAATAAACAAAAATCTAACAGCTGTTAGCCATTCACAACGAATCGCGAATAAATGTTACAGGTGTTTTTACGGCGTTGCCACACGTTCGCATTTCGTTTCGCATTTAATTAAGTCATCAATTGTGCAATATAAATTCATTTTGTAAGTCACTAGTCGTGTTTCTTGAAACCGCAATCATAATTAATAATTAGCTGACATTAAATAAGCAAATCAGTGCTAGACAGGCAGTAAATGGAAGACCTTGGCAACCCTGGCCCTGCAGCTGCGCCGTAGTTGTTGTGAAAAAAACACGTCTACAAAAAATCGCGACAAAAACAATTGTTTTTCCTTGTGAAACCAGAGAATTACGAACGATTTAAAGCCGCTAAAGTGTTGGTCAAGAGGCCTTTTAATAGCCGGTCTAGATCAACATTAGCGACATTACTCACAAGTGTAAAAAGTCAAAGAAAATTGGTCATTTTTTGAACTTGCCCTTGACAGTGAGGCGAATTGTCTAATTTTGTTGTTAAAAAACCTATGTATGTATGAGATTTTAAGAGGAAACTCTTATTCAAAAACTAGTTAGCAAGGCATTAAAACTTTAAGTAAAACGGTATATTATAAGCCATAAAAACACAACATTTTGGTAACCATTTTCCTAGGCGTTTGTCCATCTTTGTGAATTTGCATATATTATTGCCAAATATCCAACGAGTATGTGCGTGTGTGATTTTAGTGTCTTTAAAGATTTAAATATTTTGCTGAAAAGGTCACAACTCATTTGGAGTTGAGGCAGGTAATAAAAAAAAACAGCCCCAAAAATTGATTTCTTCAGGGTATACATGTGCAGTGTACATCTGTATTGGTAACTTCCGGATGATAACTTTGTTTATAATCGGCAATTGAAAAGTTTATAAAAAGATTGCAATACTTTCCCCTGTTATTTTCAGTTTGTGCGATAAGTCGATGTTTTGACTTGAAACGTTTTGTTCCATCATTTTTGTTAGTCATAATTATTTTCTGTCTGACCCCGTACAATCTTCTTTTTATAGGCTATATATAAAAATTTGGACTTTGTTCAGTGGTTCGACGTGGCGTATGATTAATCTGGGGGAACGCTCGTTATATTTGATCCATTCTCCTAACCATTATACGTTCTAAGTTAGTCAACAATAATATTTTGTGCCAGACAGTTGAAAGTGCTCTCTATTAAAAGGAATTACAACACAATACAATAATATACAACACGTACTCACCTTCCAGGACGAAACAAAAAGGGACAAGAACACAAAGTGCTGATAAATAGTTAAGATGAAATACCAAAATAACATATTTTAATAGCTTGACAGACAATAAAACGATTTAAACATCAAATATTTATGTGGTAAATTTGTAATGCCTCTAATGTAGCATTTTAAATTAAAGTGACTTGAGTTTATAACTATAACTATTTAATATTTAAAATCGTTTTCTTGTATGTGATTTGGTGTTAAATCAGTTTGCTTTTCATAGTTTTCGTTTTATTTGTGGACCCTTAAAAAGCTAAAACATTTATTACTTTATATCTGTAAAACAGTAAACATATATGTATGTATATTGAAAATTCCTTTGTACTACAGTTAAGTGTTAAGTGTGGTTTTGTTGAGCATTATTATTATTCTAGCGTTTTGGTTAAGGAAAGCGTTTGGGACTTCGGCTATATACAAGGATCAGCATAGCTGATCTGGGATTAAAGAGCAGCGATTCTTCAAGGGTTAGTCAAGAATCTTACGAGCTAAGGACATAAATTACACAGTAGTACAGTTTTTGTTCTTTTCGGAAAGTTATTGGAAGCTAGTGCCATTATCAAGAGGATTAGACTTAGGATCTAGGTAGGTTTTGGCACAGACTCCTACACATTTAACTCGCTAAACACTAAAATACAACCCTGCGTTAGTAGGTGCGATAGAGCAACGGAGTCGGTGCTTGGTAACTCGGTTTTTTTTTTCGAGAGGGACTAACCACCATTCGGCGTTTCCATTGTGGCCCGTCTCATATTCGCATCGATGCGCACATGGAGACTGGACAAAGTCGTGTCCACCGGCAGTTCCAACTCTTGGACGCCCTGATATGAATCCGCCACCAGGGTGAGCTGAAAACAGAAGAGACAGATCAAATGACGTTATTGTATGAAAGTGTTTGTAATGAAAATGCCATGAAGGGCAACGATTTCACTTTAAATAGTGATTTAAAAAAAACACTATTTTAATTGTTTAGTGGTCTGAAATTCCTACTAAAAGCACATAGTGCTAAATCTCTAACCTCGAGGAACTATTTTATGGACCCCTTTGGTCTCCCATAAACACCTGAAACACAGGAAATCCCAAATTATGCAGATTGCTTGTTCCGCATTTGAAGAATTCGAGTACAAAATACTTGATTTGCCATTTTCGCTGTGTGGGTTAATTTCGGCATTTTTGTCTAGGCTTCCTTTCTATCAACAGATTTGCCCTTCACTTTTCTTTCCATAACCTAGTTTTGCAGTGGCCGCACAGCAACAAAAGATGCACCATCATCGACAACAAGTCGCGGAGTCTCGAATGCCCGGCCACTGGAGAGGTAATCCAAGTGGCTACGTCTCAGTTGGCTGCTTGGGCAATCTTGGCTGCTTGGCTGGATCTGGTTGCCACTTTCAGTTTCTCAACACTTAGGCCTTACCCGCCGCACACACACTTTAATTACCCCAATTGCGGGTCAGGTTTGCTCTGGCTATCATCGCGCTCATATCTCACCGTATTGCCAGCAATGTGCTGTCCGTGTTCGGTGCTCACGATGTGGATGATCTCGCCACCGGATCGGATGGCCACCTCGCCCAAAATGCCGCCCACAGCGTCCTCGGTTTCGTTCTCGCTACCCGATCGCTCTCCGTACCACAAAAGGAATAGCTAAAAAGATTTTAAAATGTTTTAGGGGGAATTTTAGTTAGATATCTAAGGTATAGCATGACAAGTTCTCACCCTGATTCGCTTCTTGAGCAGAGTGATGGCCGCATCTTGGACCAGTTCCGTGTGCGGAGGAATCGCTGCTGTCGATATGAAAACGGCACTGTCGTAGGGAACCAGCTCGGCGGCATGGAGCACGCCCACAAACGAGTTGCCGCCCTCGTGCTCCTTGGTGCTATTCAAACCAGCTATGAACTCGCGGGTATTGTTGAAACTGAAGGCAGAAGGGGCTCCTAAATGGGAAGAAATTATTCAGATTTAGCAAAAAATTATCGGTACAACTAGTTCTACAGCAATCAGTTTTCCTAATATAAATTATCTGTTCAGTTTTTAAAATGACATTATATCAAAACAATATGTTAAAGCAATATTAATAATTCAGCAACATTGCTAATCTAGGTATTCGATTTGCAAAGGCGACTAATTGACTTGTTATAAATTAAAAACATTTTCTATTGAGTTATAAAATACATTTAAATAACATTAATAAATCAGCAATTTCTAGCTATAAATAAATAAATGTCAATTCTAGTCTGAAAAACTTTGAATCAAATTAAAATATATTATTAACAAGTGAGTTCCTTATTCAAAGATATTTGATATAAACCTCAGGTTAAAACTCAATTAACTCACCTGCTCCATTAAGTGTTACCAAGACAATCTTGATGTCTATGTTCTTGTCCTGCAAAGCATCGATGTAGAGGCGCTTGGCCTGCTCCAAGGATGCGGACGAGGGATCCACGATGACTGCCAGGGGCATGCGAATGTACACATCCTTGATGTAGTTGCGCAACTGATCCGCAGGCAGTAATTCCGGCTTTAGGCCACCGCTAACTTGGATGTGCTTAGGTTGTTTCCTTGGACTCGTTGTTGTTGTTGATGTCGTTGTCGTTGTTGTGGTCGAAGTTGTTGTGGTTGAGCTGGTAGGACTGTCGGCTTGAGGAGTGGGTGATAAAGTTGTGGCCCAGGGAAAACCACCGAAGCGAGCCCTAAGAATTGGCAGAGCTGTTGTGGTTGTGGTTGTAGTGGGATTTGACTTGACTTCCGCCGGCTCATCGTAGTACTCATCCTCAGTGGAGTATTTAAACTGATTGGGTTTGTCCTTGCTAGGCAGCTGCTGAACTTGAGCCTGTGGAATGGGATCCAGATGCTCCACTTGATAGGATTGATCTGCGGGAGGTTGCTCATCCACCGATTTGGTGGCCTCTTCCTCCACATAATCGGATGCACTTTGCTCTGGATCTCGCTGGGGGAATCTCTCCGCCTTGGCCTGGCGAACATATTCGGGAATCATGGTGGTGGCAACCCTGGCCGTTGTGCTGGCCACCACTTCATCCTCGGGTGCGTCTTCGTAGTAGTAATCCCGCGAAGGCTTCTCCACCTTTGTCACTCGTTTCTGCGTCGGAGCATCTTCCATTTCGGCGCCTGAGGTTTCCTCGGAGTACGGAGCCATGGTGTTAATCCTACTTTCCAATGGCCTCATTGTGCTCATTTCTGGCTCCATGGCATGTGCAGTTTCGGTTTGGTCCTCCTCCAAACTGTTGCGATGCTGCTGCATCTCCGATTCCACCTCGGCTTCCAATTGTGCCGGATCGAAGACATCGTCATTGGGACCCACTTCACCGCCCATTTCACCGCCATAATCTTCATCCTCCCCAGAAACTGAGGTACTAATCAGCAGTGTCACCAGGAGCACACCCAACCATAACTGCGTTCTCAAAATCATTTTGTTGAATTGGCGCCTCTAGCAATCTTCACTTGTCACCATCAAAGTCTGCAAAAAAAAAACGAGCGAAAAAAAATGTCAAAACACAATTTTTGGAAAGCTTTTGAGAGTTCAATGATTGATTGATTGCCTGACTTCTTTCGCTTACTTAATTGACGCAATTATTTATTTTTATTTCGAGTTCACTTTTGTTGAACCGTTAAAATCATATTTTTAGTTTTTCTATAGATTTGTTACTTTTTATACTTTTTTGGCTGTCTGTCTTCTTTTCAACACTTTCGCAATGTGAAAAAGTGAAATGTTATGATTGCTCGTTGTGATTATCATCTTGTTTGTTATTAAAATCATTTTATATAATTAACCCTGACAAATCGAACATTTATGGCAAATTAAAAGAGCAGAGGCTTTTTTGGAAACTTCCGTTTAGCTACAAAGCTCTGGAAAATTCGTATTATTTGTTTAAAATTGTGTTTTAAATGTTAATACATTTCATTTATTTAAATATGTGTATTTTTGACAACCTGATGTGATACATCTGTACCATAAACACAGTTCTCTTCTATTTTGTTCAAGTAGCTTACAATATTTAAATGTTAGCAGTAAACACAAAATTAATTTGAGTAGGGAATCATTTTAACTTTAATAAAAATGAGTATCATAAAAGATTTTTTGCAGAGCCAAAAATACTTTGCAAAAGTCATGTTCGTGAGCATGCAATAATGTAAAAACAAGCCTTGATGCACGAAACTTATCCAAATTATTTAATGTAAACAGACATAAAAGACAAGTAAAACACTGGTATGTGATGAAAAGCTTGGCCGAAAATCCACTAAAAGTCGAAGTAGCTTGTTGGAAAAAAACCGGGTAGGGTATTAAAAATATATACACAAAGATATGGTCAAGGTTTTGTTAAACCTGCTGCAGGTGAGGAAAATAGAAACACAGAAAAAGAAGACGGCGTTGACAATAAAACAAATTCGCCACAAAAAACCGACTTCTCGTGGATGTGTAAGCTTATACATGTGAATTCATTTATGAATAAAAATAAATGTTTAAACTTGATTAAAGCCGGAGGGAACACGCTAACTTTTTGGCTTCAATTTGCTCAATTTATATTATTTGATTAAGCAAATGCAATTAACACATTGGTTAAGGCGTCATGCAAACGTTTTTATGATATGCTATTTTCCTCTGCATTCGCCATTTGTGTATTTAAACTTTTTGTTTTTGTTTTTGTTTTTGTTGCATCTTTGCAGCCGTTTTGTGTTGGAGTTGTTTGAATAACAAATTACCCACAAATCAATTTGAGTGATTGATTTCTTGGCTCTCGCCTCGTGATTTGCAGCGTGAAGAGTGATTTTGTGGAGGGGCGTGTTGGCTCCTCCAAAACGAGCAGCTGCCATTAATTAACAATATGCAAAGCCGCAAAAAAACAAAAAACAAAAGAAACAAGTAAAACGAAATGAAATATACACATTCAAGTTGAAATCCAAAATATATCGCATTGATGCGTAAAATGGAAATAAATTAAGTTAAAATATTCTGCGTTCGTTTTTCTCGTTTGGCAGGCTGCCTGAATCAACATCAAATTGATTTGTTCATTTTTGTGCGTTGCAAGGTCACTCGATTGGCGGTCAGAGGGGATCATGCAATTTAATGGCCAGAGCTTAGGCCTCTCTTGAGGTCTCCCCGTATTTGTATTTTCTCTTTTATGAAGCTTAGCCATGATTAATTCGTAAAAGACACGTTCGTCTGTCGTTTCCATACAGGGTTATTATCGGTACAGATGTTTAAGTCCATTGCACAATTCCCATTCACAAGACACCTTCGAGCGAATGCTGTGCATCGTTTATTTTTAGGTTCTCAGCTCGAGCAGGTCACGTAATTCTTGAGCAGATTTCATTGAACATAGAAAATCTTGTAAGTTTCCAAAAAAAACTGAAAGTTTTTCGGTAGAAAGAAAGTTTTTGCTACAAGAACGAAAGTCAAAATGTGCCAGAATGACACCATTTTTAAGTAACAAAACTGATTGACAAGTAATTAATTAAATACTAAAATAAAGATAAGATAGTAAAAGTCAGGAAATACAATTAAGAACCCGACATAGGAAACCAATAATTGTAAAATAACTTTAGTCGGTTGCTGATTGACAGACCGAGTACTTAACTATTTCAAATGTTAACAACCTAGAGCATTTCCTATTTAATTATCACTGCAAATTCCTGTATGGTTATAAATTAATCTCTAACCCCAAAAGATAAAAACTGAAACGTGATTGAAGTCACCTATAACGGTGCACTTCTTCATTATTTATAGGCAATTTATTTTGTAATCAAGGAAAAGTGCTCAGATGAAAAACCCAAAAAAAAAAAAACAAAACCCGCTGGGGCAGTTCATCAATCAGCCACACAAGCCGTCAGCAGCTGATTCGCTGGGGCTCATAAAAAACTCAAAAAAACTACACAGCGCCAGCAAAAAGGTTCTATAAACAAATTAGAGAGGCGAGCACGTTGTCGGTTTTATTTATTTACATATTTCTTTCTGTTTTTTTTTTTTGTTTTTTTTGTTGCTTTTGCAATTACGTGGAGTCGCCGAGATGTGATTAACAAACGCGTAAGCATTTATTTTCGCTATAATTTTTATATCACTCGGACGTTATTCTGCCGTTTTTATGGCCGCAACAAATTAATGAAAAATAATTGCGAAAATTATAAATTCAAATTGCGTTTGCTTGGCAGCCCCTTTATGCCCCTTGCGTTCTGATCAGCCCCTTCGTGTCAGTTGAATCTACTTGAAATGCACTCTAATTGTGGCAGCTTTATTTGACGATCATCAGCGTTGAATACTTGTGGATCGCGGGGAACTACGCGGGCAAACCCTTTAGAGAACCCACGCGCATTTATTGTTGATATTCTTGACATTGAAAAACCAATTGATTTGTTGATTTTAACGAGCGTTGATAGCGTTTAAAAGGGCCCAGTTGGGCTGGCGAATAGCAATTAACAACCATAAATCTAATGAAATTCAGTTCGTAGAACAAACCGTGTAAACCAGGTTTATACTTTTATTGCTGCATAATGGATTTAATTCTAATTGATTCGCATTTCATTCTTTGTCGAACTTCAACAATTCCGGCTTGCTTTTGCTATTCGTTTGTTTGTTACTCTATTTTTCGATACTATTTCCTACAGTTTTTTACTTGGTTTAGGTATTTTAATTAAACCCGCTTTAATTTATTCTTTCACTTGCCTTTTATGGGAACTTCTTGTCGACGTGGCCGGAGATCAAGTCAGCTTTCAAGTTTTTTTTAATACTTATTAAATGTTTTGTAAATTTTTGGAATTCAAAACAAATAACTTAGGCAACAAACTTGTTTTCTCCTTAGAGCCCGAACAAAATCTCAATGAATTTTAATTACACCTTAAGCGGTGCACTTTATTTATGAGTTTTGCCCACTTCTTCGCATTGTTTATTAACTTGGCAGATTATGCAAATCGCGACAACAACAAAACTCCACAGCACACAGAAATTCACTTGCAGCTGAAATTTACGCTCGTCAAATTGCAAGCGACCGAAGCAGAAAAAAAACGACGTATAAAATTAAGAGCGTTCGATTTTCGGCTGTGTATTGGATTAACCCGTTTAAAATATATTTTTCATGCGCGACTTGTAGTGGTTGGCTTTTGGATTTTTGCCTGGCCGCCTCAGTTTGGCAGCTGGTGTGTTTTTTAGCTGGCGATCGCGACAACGTCTCAAATGAAACTGAAAGCAGAAACACAAGCTGCGGCCAGCCGAGCAGCTCGTTGCTCATTTCCACTCCGATCGACTCAACGGTTCGGCTCTCTTCACCGTCGGCCGTCGCAGCAGGTATAATGCTATATAGCTATAAAGCTATAGCTATATGGGCACATTGGAATCTAGAAGAGCGTGCCACTGATAAATCGAAGCAACGTGCTGGAACAGCTGAGCTGCTGAGCTGATGCCACAATTGGATATGTTCATGACACGATTGTTCGGTGGCAGCGCCATTGGAAATATCTTTGGTCAGTTGGCTACTCGGTTCCCAGAGTATCGCCAACCTGTTATGCAACCTGTGCGCTAAATCATCTTCAACACCGAACAAGCTGATACCACTGTTGGATTGCCAAGATCTTATCTGGCTAATGTGTCATAACTACAAGCAACCAACAAATTTATCTTCAGCTTAGCACTTATGTAGATTAAATAGTTATTAACTCTTTCAGACCATTAAAGCTTAATATTTCATTAACAAACTCAAGATATTGCCATACAATTCTTTGATTTAAATACACATGTATTTTATTTATTACACTAGGCATACAAACTTTGTAAGTTTTTGATAAAGCTTTGTTTTCTTATCTAAGCACATTGATTTGGTTCCTTGAACGCCAAAATACGAGATGCAATGGTTTCAGTCATCTCTCCGATTCCCTGCTTTCGGTATTGATTGATTAGTGTAAAAAGCTCTCCTCTAGAAGAGTTATCTGAGAAATTTAGCACTCGTTCCAAGTCGTCGGCAGCTTTAATTATCTTTTTGTGAAGTTCTGAATAAACATTATTAATCATGTTGAATCGGAAAATAATCAACGGGCTTGTTAGCGCTTCCTTTTTGGCGGGAGACCCAGTCAAAAATGGTCTTTCAGCAAAGTTATTAAATCCGTTAAAATATTCCATCTTCTGTTGCACTGAACTTGACTTTTCTATAGTCTTTCCAATATCGAGATACGCCTTCATTCTTTCCTTGTAATCTTGATACTCAGAATAAGGCTGTAAGGCATCAACCATATTCGATAAGAGGCTCTTCATCTGAATAACTGAATCTTCCCACTGGTCATCTTGGAACGTCTCAACGTTTTGGAAAAACTGGCAAAGGGCTCCATTGTTCCGATTCACAGGATCGCTCCTAGCAAATGTCTGGGGTTTCAACAAGAATTACAAAGTTGAAAGGTTTTTCAAGAGAAGTACTCACTATTAATGCCAGGAATAAAAGAGTCCTAGAAAATACCATTGCTTTGTTCTTTATAATTTACTGAGATTTTTGCCAAGCGCTTAGCAGCTTTTATAGAAAATCTCGCCCAAGACTTATCAACATTTTCTTTTTATATAAGACCTTATCTGTTTTACAATATGAACTCAAGTGCTTTGAACTTTTCTGTATAAACACACATCATGAGAGATTATTATATGAAAAGTCTATTTTTTATAGGTTATGTGGCTGAGTCTCACAGCTTTAACTTAAAAAATCTTTAAAATTGTTTCAAGTTCAAAGTCATAAAATGTTGCTATTTTTTTCGGCAAAGTTCTTTGCATGTTGACCTTTTATTTAGGGATCATTATGGCAAAAATCAACCGTATGCAAAATGAATAGGTAATCGCCTCGGCAGTCGTCAAAATTCACTCAAAACAGACCGACTCTGAACTTGTGTAGGAAGTTCGACTACCCGACTGGCCGGCACATTAAAATGGAGCGTGGAATGAATTTAAAGACAACTCCGACTGCCAGTCGCTGATAGCATCAATAAAATCATATTAAGTACAAGCCCGTTTATATTGTGGGCTATTATATATATTTGCTCATTTAAATATTGTATGCGGAAGCGTTGAGGTTTTCTCCCTCCGATTTCATGGATAGCAAAGGGTTAAGTGGGCCTGCCTTTCCTACCTGAGCCTTACAAATTCCAGAGAAATTAGTTTTGCTAAACGTTTATTGTGGGGTTGTCACTCATGAGAAGGACTACCTGTACCTGTGAGTACCAAGAATGTTGAAAAGAACCAGCCTAATCCATTATTTCGCCTATGACTAATGTTTGGAGGTTTCTTGTAAAAGCACATTTTATTGTTATTCCAGCAGAACCCTTGGTTGCTTGAAAAAATGTGTAAACAACAACGACGGTTAACACAATGATTCTGGTGCTATTTAGCTTGTTTGACAAATTGCTGAGCGTCTTGAGCTCGACTTGACGTATTTTCCAGGCCGAATCGTGCCCATCTTGACCTACGTGTCTCAGTCGAAAACTTCCTAATGCTGTGGTGCTTGGCAGAAACCATTGAACCACTCTGCATTTGACTTTGAATTGCCGCACCACATTGCGTTGCTTAGTACTGTTTTGTGGTTTAACCGCGGAGACATGGGCATTTGGTCGAGGTTCTCGTTTGGTAAGAGGTCGATTCTACATACAAAAAAACTTGTTAAAGTAGTTATGAAATTTGTTAATTTGTATGTTATGTATAGATATAATATAACAATATCTTTTTTAACATAAGTAGTAGTAAATCCCCTGGGTATACAAAAGTCGCAAAAGTCCAACCAGGAGTTCCCCACATTTTAAAAAACAAATTTATCGCATCGAGAATTTATGCAGCTCACGCAATTTTCAATTTGCGAATTTTTCGCTTTTTTTTGTTTTGTTATGCTTGCTTAATAATTATGCAATCAATTTTTTTGGTCGCCTTCTTGTGCAGCTGCTCTTGCTTTCGCGTATTGCTTCAATTAACAACTTTCCGGCATCGAGCGCAAAAGAAAAACCCTTTCAATAAAACAAATTAAATATTTGGCAATCGTTTTGTGTCGATTTTTGTTGATTATCGTTCCATTTGCCGCTCGCTTGCCCGGCCTGTGATTTTGTTTGCGTTTTTGTTCACATATCGATGGCGAGGCTGGTTTAATTTTATGATGAATATATAAACACGTACGCATGTCCAAAGAGTGTTAATCAAAAATTACCAACTTGTTTTCGCAGTAGCGGTTAAACGAGCCTCTCGAAGAACGAACGAACTGGTGCAAGGCGGTGTCAGTTTATTTTAATTCGGAACTGTCACTAAAAATGCCACTGAACACACTTTGATTCACTGTTATCCTTAATTCGATTATCCTTTCGGTTTTACTTCACTTGCACTTGGTTCATACGGAACACCTGACTCCGATCGACTAAAGTAAGCTCCACTAATTACTGACCTTTTTGTACTTGTCGCCTTCGCATGTGGTGTGTGCTTTTGTGGCTCATAAATTGTTCAAATATTGAACAATTGGTTGCAAATGGATGTAGATAGAGTTAAAAGGGAACGCCACTCCTTGTGTCGCTCGATCGATAAGATAGAGTCATAGGAATCCGCGATCGGAATAACCCGAAACGAGCGAGATTGTGGCAGATGCGTCACGGACCAGTGGGTGTGGCAGTGGGTGGCTGACACAATTAGCATACCCGAAATTGCTGGCTTAAGTTCCCCGCACAAAAACCCAACGAAATACCTTCAAAAACATTTCGTGTTTCGTCACCATTTTTCACTTAAACTTGCTGCTACCTGAGTTTGTTTCCTAAGTCTTTTGTTTGGCGGTCCTGGATGACAAACTTCCTCTAAAGAGTATGACACAAAATTTGTTTTGAATGGATGTTACGGTTATCTTGAGGTGTTTATATAAATCTACTTAATTCAATTCAATGTGCAAATGCGGCAGATTCGTAAAATTAGTCGGTGGCTGCAATATTGTTTGGGTAAATTAGAAAAACCATTTTTTCTAAATTCAGCTACCTGATATTGTAGCCCAAACAATTTTCTCGGTTCTGAATACATACATCTTTGAGAGTTAGAGAAATCTTTGTACAAATTCTATGCTATTTTGGAGACCTTAGCCGAACTCTACACTTTAAGATCTCCATAAAAACGGCAGGACGCGTTTCGTGGTCTTTAGTTGTTTTAAATTCCTTCCACTATGCGGTTCTCTCACTTTGTAATTTTCTTCAGCGTATTGGTAAGCATCATTTTGAATGATATATTAAAAAACTAATTTGTTGTGTTGCCTTAGAATCTTATCAGTGGATTTCCTTCGCATCCGAAAAGTGAAGTCGACCTTTTGGATAATTTGGATCACGACGAGCCATGGGGAAATCTGTATTCTACGGTTAGGAGATCTTTGCAATATGCTTTTAGTCGTGCAAGCTATGAGAAATTTCTTCAACGCTGTGCAGATTTCACCGAGAGCATTGTAAACCCGAAGGAAAAAGTGGACTTTTCTCAGGAATACATGAACTATCATATAATAGAGAGCCAAACTGAACCAACACCCATCAATGAAAAGAGCAAATTTAATTTTTTTTCCAAGATATCGCAGATAGCCGAAAAAAATGAGTTATTCTCAACCCTAAACAAAAAACTTAAAACATTAAAAGATGAATTGTTTTGAACCCTAGAATAAAACATTTATATTTAAATAAAATTTCCGAATATGCGTAAAGACAAATAATTATTTATGTTTTACCAACTAAGATCTGCCGAAATTGGGAATACCTTTGATCTAGAGTATTGGCAGTCGTGCCCGCTTTATTTATATTTTTTAGCCGCTGGCAATCGCAGACTGCCCGTCGTCTCAAGCAGCTTCTTCAGCTTCTTCGCGCAATTTCCAAAAAGCACGCATTTTATTGAGATTTATTTTGATTCAATTTCGGCCTTTTTTCAGTTTTTATTTTTCTTTTTAATTTTTGCCTGAGGGTTCAATGCCAAGCATTTTTGCCATCTTCTGTTTGGCTTTTTTTTATTGTCTGAGATTTTTGGATCGTGTTTTGGCATGCGACCTGCACGAGCCTTTGGCCAGCGTTTAAATTCCCAAATTGATGGCAATCTTTTTTGGGGCAGCATTATGGTGGCATTGTTTGTTGTTGCCCGAATACCCATTATGCTTGGGTATCCTGCAAATGATTTCATCGTGCTTGACGTGCTCATGTGGGCCTTAATTGTTTTATTTGAGTGCCATTATGTGCAGGCACTTGGGACAGAAAGACGGACCAACGAGTTGGAGTTGAAGATCTTTCAGATGCTTCTTCTTTTGAGCACTGAAGTGCCCGAAATCTGGTTATGATGTCATGCCCAAAAGTAAAACAAAATTCTTCCACACTTTTATGCTTGTGTGTGTCGGTTTTTTTTTTTTTTTTTTTTTTTTTTTTGGGAGGGCAATTTGAATGAATTATGCTGTTCTACTTTTTTCCCCCCTTTGCGGTTAGTCGAGCGACCGTCTGTATTTATTTTAACACATTTGTCGTAATGCGTCATTGTCATTGCGAGCATTTGTAAATATTAAAACAAAAAAACCACCTCAGGCTCAAGCTGAAAACTGGAAATTTTTCGTCGTTATTTAACATTTTCCTAGCCCCACCTCGAGCAGTTGCCATAGCAAATCTTTGCCTAGTCGTTACAAATGACGACCCTAAAAGTGACAACAACAAATTGACGGGACGCATTCGCAACCAGCAAAGTCGACAATGTCAAGTGCTTTAAAGTGGCAAAAAATACGACGAAAAATAGCTATGGTTTATGTGTGATTTGAGGTTTTTAACCAGACATTTATTTATAAAAATGTGGAAAATAAATATTTTATATTTTCCCGTAAATAAGAAATATGCCTATTAAAGTCTTATGGAATCTTATTTATTTGAGCGTGTTCTGTTGTTTTACTTATAATTTTTTATAAATATTACGACGTAAAACTCAACCTTCTCTAATAAAATCCCCCATATTACAATATTAGCTTTAACAACTTACTAAGGTAAGTGATTAATAGACTTGACAACCAAATGGAAATTACTTTGGTAAAAGGAATACTGATATGCAAAGCAACCGGATTACTGCGAACGCATCTCTGTGATTATTAAGAATCTAAGAGCAGCTCAACCTCTCTCGCTTAATTCAAAGTCCGTAATTTAAATCCCATAATTTGCCATATCCATAATTCTAAATCATTAGACGGTGCTGCAAAATCTGGTTATGCAGCTGCGGCAAAAAAATTCCAAACTCGCTCTTAAGTATGTGAACAATGCAGTTCTTAAAATAGTCTCAATAGTCGAGGTGTGAAAACCATTTGGCCAGCAGTACTCACTTCGGGTCCAATCACGTTTCAAGATCGAGGTGAATTCTTTGACGGATTTGCTGGACAAACGACACGTTTGCCATGTTTTGCCTCTCAATTGCTTTCGTTTCACATCCATCGTTTGAGTTCGCAGCGCTTCTTCCACAAATGCCATGGCATTTGGTGCCGCTAATGTCAAGATTTGGCTTTTTATGACACCCCCGAGTGCAAAAGGAAAAAAAACCCGATTTGTATTTAGAGTGTGGATTAAGCTAAGTCCCCTCCAAAACGTTAACTGACTTGTTTGTTTGCCTGCTTCCCCGTGATTGTTGCTCTTTATTGTGGGTTAATCAAATGGTTGAACCATAAAAACAATATCAAGTCGAATTAAAGGCGGAAACGCTGCTTATTGGGGATTGTATTATTGCATTGCTCTACCATTGAAAAATAATAAAGAATGGCTTACCTGTAATATGGTTGAAATATTAGAAAGAGTGCTCAATAAATTCATAAATGTTACTAGAATTTATTTTTGATTTACCCACGATTTTGTATGGGTTTTAAAGGGTTTTTAAATTGCAAGAAAAATGAAGATGTGTCATCTATTGTGGCAAATTCCATTTCATCTAAACTTAATCTCCAAGTCCAATTCTTCCTTAGAATCCAAGTGCGAGCAAGTAAACCAGTTTGTAGCAGTTCCGTTTATAATTGTGCTTGTTCGCTGGTCGATTTCAATTTGCATTTATTACAAACCATAACTTTTTTTGTTTTCTGATTTATGCTTGTTTTTGTGCGCAGAATGTGAATGAGAGTGGGGAGCTGGAACCACCCACCTGGGCACTTCCGAGTTCAGATTAAGCTTGGGTTTTATATTTGATTTCAATTATTATTTTGGTTTTATACTTAATTGTTTTTTGATTTCCCTGTATATTTCAGAACCGAAAACTTTGGTTACCGTAGGCCAGCCATCGAGCATTGACGACAGCGAAGCCCTCGACGAGATTAACTTGAACACCAGCAGCGAGGATTCCACTGGCGCCGGAGGATCGAGTCCATATCAAGGTGCTGGCGATCTGAACGCCAATCCTCTGTTGGAACCACTTCAGGAGCAAGGCAACGATTCCTTGTTGAGCCAGGCGGCCTCCTCGTTTACCGCCCTGCCATCGGTGGCCTCCAATGTGTTCTCCACCTTCTCGAAACGAATCTACGCCGGCAGCAGGGAGTCCTCCGAGGAGCCCAAGTTGGACATTCAGCCCACTTACATTCAGCAGGCCAGCTACGCTCCTCCAGTAGCTCCTATACCAGCTCCATTTTACGCAGCTCCTCCAGTGGCCGCCAATGAAGTGGTCGCCCCCGAACCACCCAAGTTCTACGCACCCACTGAGGTGCCGCCAACGAACGTAGGAGTCCCTGGACCAACATCAGGTGCAGGAAATCCCAATACCTATCGATTCACCGCTAGAAAGAAGCTATACGCTCCCATTCCCGGTCTCTCGGAGCAGTCTGGACAGGCTTCTCAGTATCCACAGGCTCCGCAAGCAGCTCCATTACCGTTCCAAACGCCACCATATCCACCTCAGCCAACACCCGCTGTAGCTCCGAACCCTTCAGCCTTCGACATATCAGCTCAGTCGGCTCCCATTCCCACAGAGGAACGTAAGTCGGGAGGAGGACTCTTCTCGCTGACGAGTCTCGTGCCCACGGGAGTTCTGCAAAACATCTCGGGACTCGTGCAGTCCGCCACTGGTCGAAGCAGTGAGCCAGAGCAAGTGAATCCTCCACAAACGGGAGGTTACTTTGATATTTCAACAGGACCATCAGCTCCTGCGACCAACTATTTCGGAGGTCCAAATCCAGCACCGCCGACAGGAGGTAACTTCTTCGTACCAGGAGCCACTCCATCTTTGCCCGCACCCGAGGTAGCAGCTCCTCCTTCTGTAGGAAGTTTCTTTGCGCCATCAGTTCCGTTGCCTGTGGCTCCACCATCCGGAGCAGCATTACCATCAGCCGCACCACCAACTGCAGGAGGATTCTTTGCTCCAGCAGCGACTTCAGTCGCTCCAGGAATACCAACTCCAGTACCTTCTGTTTTCACGCCAGGATTAGTTCCACCTGTGGCCACACAAGAGGTTCCACCAGCAAACCTTCCTCCAGCATCGGCAGTAGGAGGTTTCTTCAATCCAGCAGCTGTTCCACCTGTTGCCACTCAAGCTGTTCCACCAAAACCTGAAGCTACATTAGGAGAACAACCAGATATCCTTCCTCCAACATCTTCAGTAGGAGGATTCTTTAATCCAGGAGCGGTTCCGCCTGTACCAGCAACCGCATCAGCAGTACCAGAAGCAAATCTACCTGCAACTTCATCGCCAGGAGGATTCTTTACACCAGCATCGGTTCCACCAGTTCCAGCACAAGCTGTTCCCCTAATACCTGCAGCCACATCAGCAGTACCACCAGCAAATCTCCCACCAACATCCGCAGTGGGAGGTTTCTTCACTCCAGCAGCTGTTCTACCTGTTGCTCCAACAGCTACAAATCCGAATCCCCTACCAGGAGCTCCGCCCGTGGCAGCTGTACCACCACCGGCCGCTGGACAGGCATCGTATCGCCTGCAAAAGGGCACTCGTCTCTACAGGAGTCCATTGACTGCGCAGGAAACAGCAGCATCTACTGGCTTCGCCGCTCCTTTGCCACCCACATCGGCACCTGCGGCTATTTTCAATCCATTCGGAGCAACTGTTCCAGGAGGTTTTAGTTCAGGAAGTCAACCAGATAACCAGAACAGCCAAGGGGTCCCACTCTTTGTGCCTGCCTTCACTCCGGCTGTACCACCAACAGGTCAGACACCGGAAATCGGACAAGGATTCTCTGCTCCACCATTAGGTTTTGCTGCAGGGGTTGCTCCTCCGCCACCAGCATCTATTGCTCCACCAACAGCAGCAACTACTGCAAGTTTTGCTCCTCCAACTTCAGCATCTACTGCAAGTTTTGTTCCACCGCCAGCAGCATCAATTGCTAGTGTTGCTCCGCCACCAGCAGCATCAATTGCTCCTCCGCCAGCAACATCAATTGCTCCTCCTCCAGTAGCAACTATTCCAGGTGTTGCTCCTCCATCTGCACAGTCTTTTGCTCCACCACCAGCATCATCTATTGCTCCTCCACCAGCAGCATCTTTTGCTCCTCCACCAGCAGCATCTATTGCTCCTCCACTAGCAGCATCTATTGCTCCTCCAGCAGCAGCATATATTGCTCCTCCACCAGCAGCATCTATTGCTAATATTCCTCAAGCAGCAAATATTGCAAGTGTACCACTCTTCGCTGCACCACCAACATTCTCCACGGGCATTCCCTTCTTTAATCCGCAACCAACAGAGCAAGAAGTAGCAACTGCTTTGATCCAAAAGGAAACTCCAGCAAGTTCCTTCTTTGCTCCCCAATCATCGGCAGAGACTTCTCTGCTTGAAAAGAGTACTTCAAGTGCTGCTTCGGAAATTGAAAAAGTGGTTCAAGAGCCGTCATCCAACCAAGGAATTCCGTTCTTTGCAGCTCCACCTCCAGCCACAGCAGGAATTAATCTATTTACACCACAATTCAATCAAGAGGAACCGGCAATAAAAGAGGAACCTGAGCAGGCACAAACTCAAGAAACATCTTTGATTGCAGCACCAAAAGAAACTACTGAAACTGCAGCCAGCGAAAATACATTATTTGGCCCTGGAGTAATTGAACCTGTTGTAGAAGATACTCCAAAGACAAGTGAACCAGAAGCAGAAGGAACTCCATCTGCGCCTGAGGAGGAAGAAACCCCATTATTCGTGCCAGTTCCACCTTCATCTGGACAAAGCCAAGGCGTACCACTGTATCCACCGCTGCCAACAGGATCCACCAACGCAAGCGAGCTTTTTGCTCCTCCGCCAGTAGCTTCAAGTGCTTCATTGTTTGCTACTGAACCTGCGACATCTACGGTTTCCTCATTTTTTGCACCTTCTCAAGAGGATTCTACCACCTCGTTATTCGCTCCGCCACCAGCTGCAATATTCAATCCGCTGTTTGCTCCTCTACCAGCAAGCCAATCCGCTCCAGAACCGACTCCGGCAACACCTTCCGAGTTAGTGGATGCTCCACCTGGTTTTCTTGGAACCCCAGAAGCCCTCACTCATAATCAGTTCCAGAGTAACTCCGATACCCAAACGGTTTTCAGTCCGTTTGCACAAACAAAATCAACACCTTTGATTCAGGAAACTGGGCAGGAATTAGTGCCACCTCCCATTGGATTTTTTGCCCAGCCAACGGAAGACGAAGCAGCGAACCACCCGCCACTTGCTCCCTCACCGCTGCAGAGCTTCTTCAGCGCAGCACCACCAGCAACTGCATCCGCGGACTTTAATTTCTTTGCGAATCCAGCACCAAGCAGTGTATTTCCGGACTTGCCAGTTCAGCAGGGAATTGCACCACCACCGTTGGCACAGGAGAAACCTCCACAGGCCGGTGACTTAAGTACTGCCTCAGCTCCTCTGGGATTCGAACAGCTGAACCAATCCCAGCAAGCGCAAGAGCAAACGGCAAGTCAGCCCGAAAATTCGTATCCAAATTCAAGTGTCAACTCTTTCACCGGCTTTTTTGGGGGCCACGGTGCCGCTCCACCGGCACCAGTTGCAGCTGAACCTGCTCCACTGACCAACAGCGATCAGGTCAACTTTTTCGACCAGGTGCCCCAGCCTCAAACTCAGTCGCAAATTCCAGAAGCCAACGAGGATCAGCGTATTCAGAACTTCTTCAACAATCCACCGCTGCAGGATCAACCAGCTGCACCGGGTGAACTCAAATACGACATCGTTCACAGCGGAGTGGCTGTGAAGCAACTGCAGGAGCGTTCGCAAACTCCCATCTCGAATCTTGTCGAGCCGCCGTCGTCCGCCTGCTCCGAGTTCTCAACAATCGCTCCAGTTCCTCCCCCAAGCGATCGTCAACCGGGCGAGGATCTACTTCAACAGCATCTGGGAGAGTTGCCCGAGGAGATTCTCAGAGAGCTCAGGATGGCCAGTGCCAGCAGCGAAAAGGTGGCGACACCTCCAGTCGCTATTGTAAGTTTCTTAAAATTGAGAAAATATAAAAATATGTGAATAATGTATATCAAATCTTATTAGGCTTATTCACCAGTGGTTGTCCATTGGTTCTACAAACGAAGCGTAGATGCAAAGTTCATCTGGACACCATTCAGTCACTATGATTCAGCGCTGCTGGAAACCAGTCTCAACCTAGGTAAAACTATAGATTATAATTCTTATTGATTAAAGGAAATTAACTCATAAGCAAATCATTTTTTCAGACGATTCTTCATTGATAATTCCCGTCGAGGGTGGTCGCTACGATGTGAACATCAAGGAGCGTACCAAGACACCCGTTTACTGGGAGGGAAAGGCCATCGAAGTGAGGCGCTGCTCTTGGTTCTACAAGGGAGTGGACTCCAAGTACGTGCCTTACACAGAGGATACGGCCGCCCTGCTGGAAGCGGAATACAAACGATCGGCGGAGACTGGCGAGTGGCACCAGAAGATCATGCTGGCCAATGGCGAGCAGGTGGTCTTCCATGGACCCACCGTCATCGTGCACTTCCTGCCGCAACAGAATGCCGACACCTGGGGAGCCAGCACGCAGAGCTCCATGCGACCGCGAGTGGTCAAGAGGGATCTGGATGATTTCACCATTGAACAGGGCGAATCGCAGCGCGTGGATCACCTGCTTTTCATGGTCCATGGCATTGGATCGGCCTGCGATTTGAAAATGCGTTCGGTGGAGGAAGTTGGTGGGTTATATAGTGAAGCTGGCAAAAAGTTGATTGGCAAATATAAACGTGTTTTTCTCTTACAGTTGATGACTTCCGATATATTGCCCAGCAACTGGTGCAGTCACACTACAAAAACTCCACCGACATGGGACTGGTGGGTCGCGTTGAAGTCTTGCCCATCTCCTGGCACGGTCACCTGCACTCCGAGGAAATGGGCATCGACGAAAAGCTCAAGTCCATTACTCTGGAATCGATTCCACGCCTGCGAAACTTCACCAACGACACGCTGCTGGACGTGCTCTTCTACACAAGTCCAAAGTACTGCCAGAAGATCATGAACACGGTGGCCGATGAACTTAACGATGTCTACCTTAAGTACCGAATGCGTCATCCGGAATTCAATGGAGGAGTCTCGCTGGCAGGACACAGTTTGGGCTCCCTCATCCTGTTCGATCTGTTGTGCCATCAGGAGCCGCTGAAAGAAAGCGAGGAGGAAAATAAAGTAAGTTTAACCACCAATTATATAATTGAAAAGCTAATAGTTTTTCCGTTAAGGAGAATCCCGACCAACTGCCGCACAAACAAGCCAGTCAGAAGGTTCAGCTGCCAACCAGCGACCTTCTGCCCAAGCAGGTCAGCTATGCGATGGGACAGGAGGGCACTGGTCAACCGGTGATCACCTACACGCAGCTGATTTTCCATCCGAAGAAGTTCTTCGCCTTGGGCTCGCCCATCGGAATGTTTGTAACCATCCGAGGAATTGATAAGCTGGGACTCGACTTCCACCTGCCCACGTGTCCGGGCTTCTACAACATATTCCATCCCTTCGATCCGGTGGCCTATCGCATCGAAGCCCTCGTCAACCCGGACATGAATGGCATTCGGCCTGTGTTGATTCCACACCACAAGGGACGCAAGCGAATGCACCTGGAACTAAAAGAGACCATGACACGAGTGGGTGCGGACATCAAGCAGCGGTTCATGGACACATTCAAGACCACGCTGGACAGTGTAAATTTCTTGGCCACGGTGACGAAGGTGAAAAAGGAAGCCGAGGAGTCGCTTGAGAAGGAAGCTAGCCAGGTGGGTGCATACAATATAAATTCATTTCAAGAGATTTAAGGGAAAACTAAACCTTTTTTATTTCAGACCTCTTCGCAGGCTTTACAAAAGCAAACTGAATATCAGGAGGAGAGCTCTGTGGCCAGTTCATCCTACAAACTCAGAAACCGCAGCGATTCAAATTCAACCACAACTTCCGATCCGGAGTTCATAGAACTCGATTTCCCGCTGGGCAAGCTTAACGACTCGAAGCGAGTGGACTATGTGCTTCAAGAAGCGCCTCTGGAGTTCATCAACGAATACATTTTCGCCCTGAGCAGTCATGTGTGTTACTGGTGAGTGACTTTGCTGCCAAGTTAGTAGATCCCTAACTAATCAACTATTATGGTTATTTTTAAAACAGGGGCTCTGAGGATACGATTCTGTTCGTGATGAAGGAAATCTACGCCAGTTTGGGCATCAGTACCGACAGCCAGGTGCCGCAATCCTCCATGACCATTGAGCGACCCGTTTCACATGAGAGCAGTGTCAGCCAATCGCTGTTGCCGATGTGAGTCTACCAAACCACACGAGCGATTAGTTGGATCCGCGGATCCCACGAACCTAACACACCATAACTATATATACTTAGTACCAATTTATTTAGATATGTTATTTGTTAGCCAAATCATACAAAGAATTTTCCATATGTGCAACTCTAACGTGGTTAATGGTATTATCAAAGTAAGAAGTCTTTATCGTTTGAGCGACTAATCCGTTGCAAGTTCTCGAGCTTTACAAATTGACCTAAATATCTACCGGATGGGCACTTCGAGTGCTGTTTGTTATTTTTGTAATATCGCCTGTGTAATTGAATTTGTAACATTTATGCTTAACAAAGTGTATGTCTAAAAACTTTTAAAATAAATAAAATAATCATTGTTTTCAAATTCGGCGGTTACCTTTTTTCAAAGGGATTATCGGACACAGTGCTGCCCATAAACGATAACTGACTACTATTAGCAGTATTTTTGTTTTTCAAAAATCGATAGTATCGATAAGCCTGTTGGTTTTTTGCATCTCCATCTCCGGCCACTCTGCCTCCCACTGCACAGCCGGTCACACTGCGGGCAAGTGGTTATTTTTTCGTGATAAAATTAAGGAAACGCGACTTTTGCGTTGATAAGCGATCTAAAATTTGCCAGCAAAGCACTCCATCGAGCTGGCAAAAAACTAGATCCAGCTGGATAAAAAATATAATATTGTGATGCTCGGCACTCGGCTGGCAATGCAATAACCTTCTGACGTTCGCTTTGCAGTCGTGGTGTTTTGTTATTGGGGCGGAAAACAAATTGCAAACGCGATTATAAATAGGCACAAAATGTGTGTTTTTGGGACGATGAAAGTTCTGGTGTCGACGAATAAGTGCTCCTGAATGCCAAAGACCCTAAATCAAATAGTTCCAATAAAACCCGGTCGAAATCTACAATTGGGTCGACACTTTTGGTAGGGGTAAGCATATTTCGCTAGCCTATTTCTATTTAAACAACATAAATTTGTAAAATTGTGAGCTAATTATGAGTTGGCTGTTTCAATTAAGCTGCAGTCGCTGATTTAAAAGCTAAATCAAGCGAAGCACTAGCCCAAAGAGGAGTCAACAACAAAAAAAAGCGGCGAAGAGAAACGTCGAAAATTGTTTCAACAGCACACGTTCAAAGTGAAGGTCAACGTCACAACGACTCGACGACGAGCGGCAAGTCTGGCGGCCAAAACCGAAAGACAAAGTGATCCACCGTCAGCATCGGAGGTCTCCAGATAGCCAGCACCATGACTACCTCATCCTTCCATTCCGTGTCCTTTGCTCCTGGCGAGCGGCTAATGCTGTCCTTCCTGGTGACCCTGCTCATCCTGGTGGCCTGTGTTCTCAGCACCGAAACCACCATGCCCACGCAGAACATGTCCCACAAGGAAAGGGCCGAACTCAGGTAAATAATTTTTAAGTACATAAAAACAGAGCTCACACCTGCCTAATTATAAGATACACTTGCAGTCTTGATTTCAAATAACTTATGGTGATTTACGGACATAGAGAAATACTTTCAATTTAATTAACTTCATTAAATAGCTGCCATACACGAAGGCTTGATTTGCATAACCTGTTGTCTCTGAGCGTATAAACTTAAGTGCTTATTATTTGATATATCTTGTTTCGTAGGAATTTATAAAAGATGTAAAGTTGTGAAAGTGTTCCGCAATTTATTACTATTTTTATTCGCTTCCAGGGAAGAGGCACGCGAAATGTTCTATCATGCATATCACGCCTACATGGAGAACGCCTATCCCGCGGATGAGCTCATGCCGCTCTCCTGTAAGGGACGTTATCGTGGAGTGACGCCATCGAGGGGAGACATGGACGACATCCTTGGAAAGTAAGTGAAAAAACAGTAATTACTCCGTGGGGATACTAACATTGTTTATTTTTGTTTTAGCTTTTCCATGACTCTGGTGGACACTCTGGACACTTTGGTGCTACTGGGGGATTTTACCGAATTCGAGCACGCGGTAAAGCTCGTTATCCGCGACGTTCAGTTCGACAGCGACATTATTGTGTCCGTGTTCGAGACAAACATTCGAATGGTTGGCGGCCTGCTGTCAGCCCACATCTTGGCGGAGTATTTGCAGAAACATGCGGACACGATGCACTGGTACAAGGGCGAGCTGCTGGAGATGTCACGCGAGCTGGGTTACCGATTACTGCCGGCATTTAACACTTCCACGGGCATTCCACATGCTCGGGTCAATCTCCGACTGGGCATGAAGGACCCACTGCTAAAGAAGTCCCGTGAGACTTGCACTGCCTGTGCGGGCACAATCCTTCTGGAGTTTGCAGCTCTCTCAAGGTTGACAGGCGATCCCATCTTCGAGGTGAGAGCTCACGCGGCAATGGATGCTCTGTGGAAGCTTAGACACCGTGGCTCCGATCTAATGGGCACGGTTCTCAATGTACACTCCGGCGACTGGGTGCGTCGAGATTCCGGAGTCGGAGCGGGCATCGACAGCTACTACGAGTACCTATTCAAGTCGTACGTCCTGCTGGGGGACGACAAGTACCTGGCCCGCTTCAACCGTCACTACAACGCCGTGATGAAGTACGTCAGCGAAGGACCGATGCTGCTCGACGTGCTCATGCATAGGCCACATGCCAAGTCAAAGAACTTCATGGACTCACTGCTGGCATTCTGGCCGGGCCTACAAGTGCTTTCTGGCGACCTGAAACCGGCAGTACAGACACACGAAATGCTCTACCAGGTAAAGTTATTATTTTCTTTGTAAAATACGCTATTCTGATGTAAGTTTTTGTTTTACAGGTTATGCAAATGCACACCTTCATTCCAGAAGCTTTTACCGTAGACTTCCAAATACATTGGGGACAACATCCCCTCCGCCCTGAATTCATCGAGTCCACATACTTTTTGTACCGCGCCACTGGCGATCACCACTATCTGCAAGTGGGCAAGAAGGCGTTAAAAACACTCCAACAGCACGCGAAAGTGGCTTGCGGCTATGCAGCCGTCAATGATGTGCGAACGAGAAAGCACGAGGATCGAATGGACTCCTTTGTTCTGTCCGAGACGATCAAGTACCTCTTCCTCTTGTTCTCCGATCCACAGGATCTGATAATCAATGTCGACGAGTTTGTCTTTACTACCGAAGCCCACTTGCTGCCCCTTTCAATTGCGCAACTAGGGAATGCCACGTTTAGTAAGTTTCATGATTTAAAACTAGTAACTTTTTGCACATCATAAAGAAAAAGGTCAACTGCCTATCAATATTAGGTTTTTTAATCTTTGCTGCCTTCAAAGCACTAAAGGCTAAGCACTTTCTCTTATCAGCAACTTTATCACAAAATTTGAAAACAGCCCCCGACCAGTCTGAACTATAAAACTCTATTTGCGTCATAAAAAAGAATAACTGACCAAATCATTTATTTCTAAAAAGTATTAATCAATAATTCTTGCAAAGCAGAAAGTTTTCTAATTTTACTCATATGTAAATAACATTGAATTTTCTCGTTAATGCTAATCTTATTTAAATTATTCTCTTTCTTCTCCAGGCTTTCGCCAGTCGGACGAACACAACGTACTCGACTTCATGCGCACCTGCCCCAGTTCAAATAAGCTTTTTCCTGAGAAAGTACGCAAACCACTGCGCAACTTCATTACGGGCTCGTGCCCGCGCACCACAGCCGGAAAGCGGCTCAGCGCTCTGGACTTTCAGGCAAGCAATGCAGATCATCTGCGAGCTGTTTACGACATGGGCATTACCATGGTTTCGGTAGGCGACCGCAGCCAAGGCAAGGTGCGACTGTTTCATAGTTTCTATAATGTAAGTTTTTTTCTGTTCTGCTTTTGGTTTCGTTTGCATTTCGTTTGACACTCTGATTGGGCACCTTGGCACTGCCGGTTTCCTAGAACTTCTGCTTCCTTCTATTCCTTCCCCCTATCGTCATCATATGACAATGCCAAACTGCGCATTTTAATACATTTTCGCTTTAATTCAGGCCAAGAGTCACGAGGAAGGCGAAATGGGACTGCAGTTCATGCAGGAGATGCTCGAGCTCACCAAAATGCAAAGCGTAAACCAGCTGGCGCAACTGCAGGTTCGTAAACAATCTATTAATAAATTTCCCGAATGTGTAACATATGTGGTTTCAATTTTTTTAGGCCGTGGCTTATGCCACCGACGAGAAAGCGCAGGATTGGGTCGCCCTCATGGCCGGACCCTCGCACTTTAGCCCCGAGCTAATCGGCGATCAGTTCGTCCAGGGGGATGTGGTGCTGGCCAGGCCGCTTCGCGCCTGCGATGAGCACCTAGAGAACGCCGAAGAGGCGAAGGGCAAGGTCCTGGTTGCCGAGCGTGGCGACTGTACGTTCGTGAGCAAAGCGCGGCTGGCCCAAAAAGTGGGAGCGGCGGCGCTGATTGTCTGTGATAATGTACCGGGCTCTTCCGGGGAGACGCAGCCGATGTTCGCCATGTCCGGCGACGGCAAGGACGACGTGCTCATTCCCGTCGTCTTCATGTACAGCGTGGAGTTCGGCAAGCTGTCGGCGGTGATGCAGCGACGAAAGCAGCCGCTGCGCGTTCGCGTGATGCAGATGGTGGAGTTCAAACGATGGCAACTGGCCAAGGCACAGCGGCAAAACCAAACTGCGACGACCACACAGAAACCGGACAAGGAGTTGTAGTGGACCGCTGGTGTTGCTGCTGGACCGCCCTCAGCGTTAACTATTGTTTCTGGGCTAATTCGCGCCTTGAAATGGTTCTCGCCAAAATAGAGATACATTTTCTATATCGTAAATTGTACAGTAAGCGATAGTAACTAAATTTTAAATTCTTGTACTTTACTAACAACATTGGAACGAAGTAATGCCGCGAGTTTTTGAACTCCTCAGATTAGGGATCTTTGCATTTCGTGGTTAGTTCTCAGGCTAGCAATTGGCTTCCTAGTGGCAATATGATTACATTTGCGTTCATTCTAAATGTATATTTGGTCCACCTCACAATTTTTTAGATGGCTTTTACTTTTTTGTGTAAGTAAAACCTGTGTACATAATACAGATCCTAGCAACTAATAAGTACCAATTAATAAATAATTTTAAGAAAGATTAGTTGATAATGTAGTGAGTCCGGAGTATGACCGACAAATGTGTAGTTGAAATTGTTTAGTTCTTATACAATAAAAATAGTCTAAAATATACGAAAGATAATGAAACCTAATGTTTTTTGGAATTCTGATTCTGATCGAAACAGATCGTGATGCTTTATGGGATCTAAGGTGTCTCCATCACAGCGCTGCAAACTTCTCACTGAAATTATAATTCCTTTTGCAAGGGTGGGTATTGAACCCCCACAACATTTTCGATAAAAATTATTCCCTAAAATTCAAAAAAGCTGGTATGCAGATAACATTACCGAATTATAAACATGTTTTTTTTTTTTTTAAATAGATTTCCTTTTAATGACATTCATTTGTTTCCATTTTGGTGTTTCCTTTTAACTAAAAATATGACACATCCACTGCTGCAGTTGATAATGGTATATCAAATATTTGAATTCAAAATTAAGTTAAAAACTACGGTGTCTTATGCTAGGGTTTTGATTTTCTTTAAGAAAAAATAAAAAGAACCAAAGAAACAAAAACACTTAATCAAAGATAGCCGCAAGCTAAGAAAAAGCTTTTCGGGTCTGACTTAAGACTAAAGCGAAATTTCGATATATGTAATCGGATGATGATGATGGTTAGGTCTACAGAGTTTAACATGCAACTTAATATAGTTTTGTTTATATTTGAACTACATGTTTTGGGCTGACAGCCAGAAGCATATAAAGGGATCTTACATATTACATTAAAGGCGTTATTCGTATTGTGTCTTGTGGGTGATTTTTTAACAAGAATTGTGAAGAGAAAACAAAAATATGATACTGGGTCCAGACTTTTCAAGTTCACTGGTACATATGTCTACGCCAAGTGTTGCTGCTGGACGGCCAATTTCAACATATGATTGGCGATGCTGTCGACCGTCAAATGTTGCGCCGACATCTCGATCACCTGGGATTTGTGGCGTGCGTAGAACCGCTGCGATCCATTGTTTTGCGGCGCCAAATAAGTGAGCTGTCGCGGATCGGCGGCACTTATCCAGACCTCGTCATTTGTTGCCGTCTTGATGATCAGATGATCCCCGGTATTAACGCCCTCCGTGGCGTCGTCGAATTGCGGCGATGGCAGGCGGTGAACCTGCAGCAGTCGGTGCGAGGGTGTCGCGTGCGACAGTTCGCATGCGATAATATGCACCTCAGCGGGCCTGTTGGGCTCCTTGAGGTGCTGGTAGAGCACCAGCATACTGCTCTGGTCCATGTCGAGGCTGGGATAGTGCATGGCGGCTAGGCAGCGACCCAAGGGACGACCCAAATCGTAGTTCATCAGGGTGTCGCCGCTGCGATGATCCCACACCGTGATCCGTGTCTGTCCATAACCGATTAGCCGGTCCTCCGAAAGGCACTCGATGTGGCGCAGCTCGTGGCGCAGCTGCTTGAACTCCCGAATGGAGGCAAGGGTGTCTAGCGTGGGTGTCAGCGAGTACTTGCAGATACCCGAGCGTGGCTTGCCCATCACCAGTTCCTGCTGCCAAGCCATTACAAAGTAGCGAGACTCCGCGATAGTTGTATATATGACATGCGGCCACTCACTAAAGAAATGAAAATTGACTATTAATAAGTTTTGATGGAATTATTTGTTTAAACCTACCAGCTGACTGCATCCAAGTGGACAGAGTGCATACGTGGCCTCAATTCCTCCTCGCAAAAGTAATACACATTAACATGCAGCGACGTAAGCTTCACTTCCCGCTTATGATGATCCAGTGGCCTGCTGCGCATTTCAAGGTAAACGGGCGTTGAGTTGTGCACGCAAATGCGGCTGCCAAATGGCGTGAAGATCTCCTTTTCTGTAAAGAATAACAAGGATAGTTAAATGCCCAACTATTTTGTAATCTCAAAAAGTTAAATTTACCATTTGTAGGGCGACGCACTCTGCCCAAGTACACCCAACGGGGACCACTTTCCAGCTGATTCTCAGTGTCCCCAGAATTACGATGATACTGGTGCTGTGGTGCTGGTGATTTCCTAATCCCCTCGAAGAAAGGTTGCTGCCGCGGTTGGTGCAGCACGTTGAACACCTTCGAGTACTTCCAAAAGGTGACGCAGTTCTCTTGCAGCACAATAAGCTGTTCCAGCTCGTAGTACATATAGAGAACCTGGCCGTGCTTCGGGGAAAGCGGATTCGCCAGCGTCGAGTGTCCCTCGCTGAGTCGTAGAAGGCCACCAGGAGGAGTAGACAACACTGGGTTGGCATTTCCCGCTTCCTGGCGCAGGCGACGTGGCTCCGGCGACTTCGAATTCAATGGCGGTGATGTCGGAGAAGGCGGGTAAATCAGCACGGGCTGGACATAAGGCATTTGAGCGGGGCAAGGGGAATGGAGTTGAGCTTGGTCTGTTGCCTCGACAACAGTGGGATTACTTAGTTGCTTGTGGGGATTCACAATAGGATCCTGAGGCAACTCTGTGATCCTCAAGGCAGTGTTACTAGGAACGACTGCAGTAGAGTGATCGGGCATTGTCTGAAGATTAACGGGCAGCGAATTGGCGCGAAGCCTTTTGGTGCGTTTGGAGAGGCGACCTGTGGCCTTCGTTGCACTTGTGGCTGCGGCATTCTCCTTGACGCCCTTCACCTTGCGGGGCGTGTTGGGCGGTGCCACTTGCTGCTGCTGCAGGCGATGCTGCAGGGGAAGACTCTTGTCTGCCTGGTCGGGTCTTTTTAGCTTCGCCCGCACAGTCTTGGGCAAATGGGCCTTGTTGGAGCTCTGTGCTGTGCCGCCACTCAGCCGCTTGGCTCTTCCTTGGGCCATTTTGTCTGAGAGGGCGTAGCTCTTGAGCAGACTAACCTTGCGGTTCCTCAGCAGCTTCGAGTTGAGATGCGTGGTGGAGCGGGTGACCAGATCCCGGACTCGTGCGTGCTTCACTGAGCTGGGAGCACCCACGGTAGTGCGACGGCGTTGGGTGGCAGATACTGGTTTGATAACCCCATGGGTCCTTCTGTGTTTTGGTGTCTTTGGCGCCTGAGCTGCAGTAACTGGGGATGAAGCACTTTTAACTGGCAGATGGACTGGGGATGAAGCACTTTTATCTGGAGTGGCCTTTGGGGGACTCGTCTTCACAGGTCGAGGAATCACTGCAGATGGATGCGGGGCACTCACGTCACCAAATCCCTCTCCCAGGTGAGGCATCGTTGGTATACGATTCTCCTGTCGGGGTGGCATCGCAGTTGGCGGCGAGGCGTTGTTGGTAGCCTTGATGATGTAGATTGATGGCTTGGTTTCGCGCGCCTGGCGCAAGCGCTGCTGCATGCTCTCCAACAGCTTCGATTGTGCAGGAGCGGCTGCCTCGTAAATCTTGGCAAAAGCTGCCTTAACGGACTGAACCCGGTCTTCCACCGGCATCTCCTGCTCCTTGCCCGCCTTTTCGGTTTCTTTAGGGGATCGGCAACGCTGGGACTCCTCTTCCTCGGGTGATTTGCACCTCTCGCGCTCCTTTGAAGACCTGTGTGTCCGTTGTTCTTTGGGAAATCCAGCTCGCTCTACCTCTTTGGGCATTTTGATTGACGAGCCAGCTTCCTCTTCACGGAAGTAGGAGTCGAGCAGGCGCTTCGGTTGGCTCTGCTCTTCTGAACGCATAGCAGGCAAATTATGGATGAAATTAAGCTCTGTATCCACTGCTCCCGGAACAGAATTAGTTGCCTGAGGAAGGGAAGTTTCGTCTTTATCAGTGCTCAGCTCACTGCTGGTGGTTAAAGGCATCTTTTTGTCCTTATCCTGCAGCCGCTCTCGTTCCCTCTCCCGCCTCTTTCCGCGCACATTGCTACGCATTCTGTCCAACTGATCTTGGGGTCGCACCCGTAGAGATCGACGTGCCACCGTGCTGTTGGCCAGTTCCCGCATCGCCGTAGCGACCGCATTGGCTGTGGCCAGTTCGGTGAGTCCCAAATAGTTGCAGAACTCCTGCTGCTCGTACAGCATGCTGTCGTTGGCCATTTGCATAGGCATCTCTGCAAAACAAAAGTTGAATTAAGGAAAACAGAACTACTGAACTTAATGAACTCACCTTGTGGCGGTTGTGGCATTTCCTGGTAGTGATACATCTGTTGCTTTTGCTTCTTGTGCTCCATAAACATCTGCTGTTGCATCTTGACCTCCTGACACATTGCATCGTATACAGCATTAGCCAGCTGACGACCATCCGAGCGCTTAACTTCGCTCGACATCGGCTGCATAAAATCGCCAACTACTTGCGAAGCAACCGCAGGCTGGGCATCGGAAACTGATGCCAGTAAATTGACTGCTGCAGAGGACCCAGCCGTTAGAGCAGCCGCGCTGCTATCCAAGTCCGTGGTGGAGGTTTTCTTCGTAAGCTGCCGCAGCTCTGAGATTTGTGTTTCAGTGGTCTTAACATCAGAGGCGTCGTTAGGTACCACCTCCTCTTCTTCGGGCTGCTGTTCCACTTGCAGCTCTTCCTCGGGAATCAACGTAGTGACGGAGGCGTTGTCCATGCCCACCACCTCGTAACAATCGTCGTCCTCATCGTCCAGGACAATGGTTTCCTCGGGTGGCATAATGTGCAGGCAGCGACGGTGCACCGGACGCTCTGCCGACTGGGAACTGGCTAGTTCTTGGGTCGATTCATCTGAGGTCTGCATTATGTCACGCGTAATCTTCCCCAAATTGCGGGCCAGTGTTTCGCGAAACTCCAGGAAGCTGTGCTGCTTGAGCGGCGCCTTGGTAGCCTCGTGCTGGTCAAAGGCGGCCTCAAAGCTCTCCACATCCTCGACAGCCGCACACTCCTCGCTGGCCGCCGTGTTCCAGCTGGAAACCTTCTCAGCGGGAGACATCTGCGGCTGAGCCTGGCAGATGCTGGCCAACCTTCGATCCATAGCCTCTCCATGGAGCGTGTTCTTCATCAGTGGCGGATACTTGCGTTTTAGTGGCGCCACTTTGGACGGAGAACGGCCGCCCATCAGCTCGTCTTCAAAGTCGTAATTGTAGCTGGCGTTGGGCATCGAAGAGGAACTAACTGGGAACTCTGTCGGACTGCTGTGTTCGCGGGGCAACTTCCTGTGCAAGTTATTTTGCGGCGGGCCCTGCTCTTCAAGTTCGCGAATACCAACCGACGTCCGCTGCATGATGCCTTCCTCGTCTTCTTCATCGTCATGGTCCTCTAATTCGTGTTCGTACACCTGACAAATATCCGGACGCTCCTCCTCCATCGGAGTGTCGTCTAAAAATGTAGCGTTCTCGTTCTCCTCGTTCGCTTCATCTTCGACCAGTTCCTGATGCACTAGTGGCTGCTCCAGCGCTGCATCACTGAGGTATACGTTGTTTCCAGCCGCAACACGAGCCTCGTCCTCGCCCAAATCCTGCACCACCTCCTCAATATAGGCAGTGCCATTGAGGCACTCATTTTGACCACCTTCCTCGGGCAGCAGGCCCAGAAAAGCACCGGTGCCGTTTTCGGACATTAGAATGGCCCTGGCGAACTCCTGCTGGCAGGCTACTCCTTGGGTGGCTACAATTATCTCGCAGCAGTGCTCCTCTCCCAAAACAACCATGTTTTCTCCATCTACGGCCTCGTAAATAACACACTCTTCTCCCTCTTCTTCCATTTGGAGTTCATGTTCCTCGTCATCTTCATGTTGCACCATGGCGAACTGATCGATGTTACCGTTGGTCAACAGGATTCCGGGACTGTTGGCCACTGCCTGCATTAGAGCAATAGAAGGATCCTGTGCTGATTCAGGAGAGTCTGAAAGAACATTTAAAGCGGTTTATTAATAAGCATAAATTATCTAATAAAAATGTAAAACTTTCTTAAGCTAAGAATCGAATTCTGTGCTCTCAACCCACCATGAATCTCGATGACCTCCTGCCGGCTGCACGGACGCTTGGCAGGCGTGCAGCTGGCCCATGTAGGAGCTGGAGCGGTCAATTCCTCGGCTGTCACCATGCGGCGGCACACTCCGTAGACATAGCGATCGCGATCGTTGACAAATGTAGTGCTTTCCGGGCTCTCATCCGGCCAGCCCTTGAAGCCGCTTCCACTCGAAATGAGGCTGTGGATGTCCGAATCATCGGATATCACATGAAGCATGCTGTCTACGGCCGGGTCCAGACAAGGCACCACTTCTGGGGGTTCTGCACAGGATTCAATCGTATCCGCCATGTCATCCTCATATTCAGCCACGCCCGTTCCGGCGACTGGAGCTTGAATCGCCTCCGATTCCACCTCTTCGTCGCCTTCCAGCGGCGAGTAGCAATCCAGCAGGTGCTCCTCCGCCGTCATGTAGGCCATTAGACTGGCGCCTCTCTTGGACATTGCAATGGGGATTGGATTACCAGGTCCTGACCCGCAGTGGTCAAATGGTCGGTTCGTGTTGCTATTGTGGTAGGATTTCTTCTGAATTTAGCACGTGAAATTTATAAAATATACTTGATGCTGTCTACAAAACAATAACCGAACTGATTGTGGTCGTTCATGACTACATTATCGAGGCCTGATCGGTTTGCTCGGATTGTTATTTTATGTATTTCTGCGTGCTTGTTGTATATTTCTTATTTGGCAGGCCTTATTTTTTTTTTGATTAGCAGCAGGGTTGTCGAAATTATAAAACTATCAATATATCGATGCTTTTCGAAAATACATCGTAAAACATTTTCACTTATAAACATCGAGGTATCGATATTATTAAATCTACACAAGATGTTACTTAGAGCAGTAACCATTAATTAATAGATATAAATATTTTTGGCAAAACGTTAAAAGCTACTAAATAAAATAAAATGTTCTCTAAGAAGTTTCCTAAATCAGCTGTTGTTGGTTTCACAGCGCAATACTTGGAATTTATTGTGGGGTTAGCGGGTGTTGGTTTATTTAACAAAACCGTTTACGGTCACTCTGCTCTCACGGTATTTGCGATTGCGAGAAAAAAATGAAAGAATTGAAAACCATCCAAGTACACCGCTCAAACGCCCCGAAGAAGCTCCCATGCGCCCGCGCGCTGATAACGCCAGTCTGAGAATCTGACTCCCGATTCCCATTCCGATTCTATTCCGTTCCGAATCCACGAAAACTGAGTAGCTCGGGCAATTATATTTATATAGCGGGCGCCGTCGTAGCTCAGAACAAATAATACACAGCTCTCGAAGCGTGAACGTCGTCGAGTTTCAGTTTCCGCCTTGAAAAATCAAACAAAACAAAAACGCCTTTCGTTTTCGCTCTCAATGTGTGTCTTGAAAACCGGGTTCTAAATTGAAGATTCGAAAAGTCAATAACAACATAATAAAAGCAATCGATATGGAGGACAAGCGGGCAAATGGCGATACCAGTTCCTGTAATGGACACTCCAAGAAGAAGGACGTTCGCGTTTGGTGCGACGGATGGTAAGTTATGAGTCATGTTCTTGGGGAAGTCTTATTTTCTGGCCTCCAAATGTCTGACAACTAACGGTTTCCATTGCGTCACGTCACTCGTTACTCAGCGGTAACGGTACAGTGAGTCAAAGTAGAACAATTCCACGTCGGTCTTCCCATCAATACCAATAGCGGTAATCAGCTACCGATAAATAATCTTCATTTGTTGTGAGGCGTGCAAAGTGTTCAGGGTTTTCTCAGTTGATTAGCGAATATGTGTGGAACTGTTTGAAATAGTCTCAGTTTGCAGCTCTAATAGGCACTCATTGTCATCCGGCTAAAATGGCTATTTCAGGTTCAAGGCCTCCCAGTTTTGAAATATCTGTACTTTTCACAGAACATTAATCTTTGGGTATAATATTTATTTTTATCTCTGCTAATTATGTTTTTTATGAAAGTAACAAAACTTCCGTTAATTCTAGTTTATACAGTGATAATTTCAACCAATTTTTAGATCTTTAAACTTTACTGTTTAATATTTATATATAGTACAACTTTTTATGCAATGCTATAGATGTATAATAAACCATATGCCACAGTATTTTATAAACACATAATATATACTTTGGGTGCTGCCTATATATCCATTGACGCACTCCATTGTTTTTGGTGGCCATCAAATTGTTCTATATGCACTGCGCTCTCCTATAATTATTTGATTTCGTGCAATGCAACGTCGGTGGGAACCGGTTTATCTTTATCGGGAATGACGCATTAGACAGCGATATGGATAGATGGCCTACCATAACAAGTTTGTCTGCTCTATCAGACGGCAGGAATTTCCTCAATTGTGGCTTCCGCCAAACGTTTTATAAATAAGAAAAAAACCAAAACATACATATCTATTGTTTATGCTCGCCCTCTATTTATTCTCTTTTTTCTCTGAGTTCCACTCACCATATAAACAATGGCATACGCCCAACAAACAAAAATATAATCGTACGATTCTCTGTATGTATGCGATACATGCTGTAGCTAACCCACTGTACCGGAGCAGCCGCGTCCGCTTTCCTTATATTTTTTGAGGAGCTTTACATTTTTGAGGGCTGCGTTTACGTGGCCCTTGTTGACTGTGGCTGTCCGCCGGTTGTCCCAAAACATCACGTGATTTTAGGCCTGCGCATGCCTCGTCTTAGCCTTTCCCACACCCAGTTTGCACCACCATCATTGCCATTGCCATCGGCATCGCCATTGACCCACAATACACAGTCGTCATCGTCTGGCGGTCTTTTATTTGCTTAATTTAATTGGCATTTTGCCGGGCTTCCCTTTACCCTGAATTATAATCGTAAGGGATCGGCTTATTTCAGGAGGTAATTTAAATTATAACCGCTACTTGTCAAGGGAGCGGAACTATATTCAGTTCGTTTTACTCTGTGAGAGAGGAAATTGTAGATCAGCGTCTAAATTTATTTCTGTATATAGTCATGTAAATAATTTAGGTACCTACATACAATGTGCTTTATTTTCTTTAAACCCTACACTATGTAGCTAAGATTGCTCTTGTTAAACTATGACCCCTACTTTTGTACTTGTTCCAGTCTATAAAAAAATGGAAGCCATAGCTTATACTGACAGTACTTCTGTCACCTAATTTATAGAGAGCAATTCATTAAAAACATAACATAAAACATAGAACATAAATCTATCAACTTCATAATCGTTTCCGGGTTTTTTGTCGATCTACTCTCCCTTAGCCTCCATAGTCAATAGGTCACACCTTGCCAGTGTAGAAGTCCTCCAGCTGGAGCTGATAAGGCTGACCGAGAAAGCACCGCATTAAAACCAGATTAACAAAGCTGAACAGCCACATCAGCTGCTTCTTCGGCGAATAACAAAAACAAAAAGTATAAACAATATTTTTGTGGAATCTGCCCATTAACCCATCAGATGGGGAGCACATGTGTATGACTTGGACCCAAATATTCTAATCAGCAGAGATTGATCATTGACGCAAGCAAATGCTCTTGCTACTACCTCCTTTCTGCCAGAGTCAATGAACCTGGTCTCTGGCGGCAGCCAGTGGGGAAAAATACAAATGAATGGGGCTCTCGTAATACTGTAAGAGAGCTGTGGGGCCTCACACATCTAGTGGGTCTACGTCGAACGACTACCCCTCGAACTCAAGCCTGGGGTCCGTTGTCAGAGCACAAACTCTACGGAGAATCGCGTGATATTTTTTAATCAGCAAACGGGCGTCGGCGTTGCTGTCGCTTGTGTGCCGCTACTTTTTGCCCACTCAATTGATTAAGCGGCCCCTGGGTCTGTTCTACATATAGAGTACAATGCTATATTGTATGTTATGTACGTACATTCGGCACAGATTTATTTATACTGCAAAAATCTCCGGGAGCAAAGGTTTTTGCTTCGATTAATGAATGGCCCACGTTTTTACTAGATGCTTTCTCGTCTTCGATTTGTTACTATCGGGACAAATCAAGCTTGTTAATCAATTGCTTATTTTTAGGTTAGTACTAGTATTGATGTCGATGGAATTTTTACTAAAAATAATTTCATTTCGACATAAATTAGCTTAACTTTAAAATCTTAGTAGAACCATTCCTCCCGCCTTTTAAACGGAATTTCCTTATCTTTTTCGACCAAATATTTCGTATTTCACCCTTAATCGATAACAGTAAAAAGGCGGGCCTGATAATGATGACGTTTTTAGTCTTATCATAAACAATTTAGTAAAGTGGTTACGTTTTGCATCATGTGTTTATTATAATAGGTCATTGTGATATTTATATTTGAAATCAATGAATATTGAAGCTAAAAATAATACTTCTAAAGTAATGCCTATGAATGCTAATTAATCTGGTTATAAATAAACAATCAAAAAAAAAAAGTTTGCATAACAATCAATCATCTGTTCTGACAGCAGCAATTTTAAAGTAATATATCTTTTGGAAAAAAAGCCAATAAAAAGTAATAAACAACCATTGATTTGCGTAGTGCAATCAATGAAGCACAATAAAAAATAGAAATTGGCCCGACTATGCGATTGTATTAATGACTCGTAGCGTCAAAGGGTATTCTATCCAAGTTGATATTCAAGTTAAATTGTAGTAATATCAATTTGGTAGCCTAGTAATATTAATTCGATATTTTAGTAGTATTTTTTACACTTTACTAGTAGTTACCTGTCCTAGTTATGACTAAGTAGCGATAAAAGTTGCTAGGCCCATTTAAAGCGTTAATCTTAGCAACTGGTATCTGACAGTCGAGGCGATCGACTCTCTTCGAGTACTAAAATTCGGTTCCGTAGTAAATACCTTCATAATTGGTGTTAAATGCAATTTGAGCAGCGGCTCACGTCCCCCAGCTGTATTATCGCTTTCCCAAGCCAAACAAAATTCAGGCCAGGGCACGTGTGCCTATAACCATAATGCCTAGAATCGAGGGAGAATGTAAACAAGCTGAGTGGCGCTATTTGCGAATATGTGGCCACTGAAAACGCTGACGTAGCGTCGTTCACAATTGCAATTAGAATTGCAAAACGCTGAGAAACACCATTGAAATCTCCCGTCCTGGTTGCTCAATCTCTCAACATTGTTTGGTTGTTTTCTTTTTTTTTTTTTTTTTTGCGAACCAACTCTGATGATCGAGTCCAAAGATCAATCTTGACCAATGCACCGCAAAAGTGGAGCACGCAAACCGCCTGGGAATTGCCACCAGTCAGGCGGAGCTACTGGTCATTAAAAGCACTCGACCAGACATCATTGACGCGCTTCGACAGCGGCTTATGTAAATTATGTAAATGGCTTGGCCGAATGAGTTTATTGCTTTTTGCACTGGGTCATAAGCAGTACAACTCGGCCAAAGGTTTCATCCGAGGGTACCTGGTTTTTACCATTACCATTATCAGGATTCCAGCAGAGCGTGAACAAACAAACAATTAAGATTTACCAAAATATTTGTAAACCCAATGCTACACATTTTGGTTGCATCCAAATACGTACATAAAGTATGATTATTTAACAGCAGCGAAGAACATAACTGATTACGAGGTATTATTTATGCCGTTAAACTAATTAAGGGGATTTTCCGTTGTCAATTCCAAGCGAATATTGTTTTTTTTTGAACACGCCTCGACTTTAAGCGAGGCTTATCTCGCACGCTCACAAATTCGCTAATTTTATGAAATATGTGCCATTTTCTGAGTCATATTCGTCAAGGTCGGACGTTGCCAGTGCATGTTACACTTATCTCAGCAATTGTTTAACTTCCCCGAATAGGAAACTTCGTTTCCGGCGACAATAACCCCGTTCATGTCTCGATAATGGTAGCAAATGAAGTTTGTCTGCTTGTTCGTGGCACACTCCTGATAAAAAGATTGCTGTATCTACTTGTTTCGTCTGAGAACTCTAGTAATTGTATGTTGTTTCATTTTTTCTGAACAGCTATGATATGGTGCACTTCGGGCACGCCAATTCGCTGCGACAAGCCAAGGCTCTTGGCGATAAAGTAATTGTGGGGATTCACACCGACGAGGAGATCACCAAGCACAAGGGACCACCTGTCTTCACCGAGGAGGAGCGTGTCAAGATGGTCAAGGGCATCAAATGGGTGGATGAGGTCGTCCTCGGAGCTCCGTACGTCACCACACTGGAGGTCCTCGACCAAAACAACTGTGATTTCTGTGTACATGGCGGTGGGTACAAGGAATACTTATATATCAAGACAAATTCTAAACATAGCATTCTTTGCAGATGATATTACAATGACTGCGGAAGGAGTGGACACATATCATTTGGTCAAATCAGCCAATCGCTATAAGTAAGTATATACAGACATGTTTTCTAGGTATTAGAAATCATAATGCTGCATTGGCAAAATACATCTTATGTCCAGTTACTTTTCTGTTTCGAAATTAAAGAAATGAATTGAATATAATCTTTATCTTTATCGATTTGTTTCACTTAACATTTAATGCTCTTCAAGCAACCGTAAAATTCGTATGACCTTTGACTTTCACAAACTAATACTTGATTTTCTTGTGCTCTTTTCAGGGAAGTCAGACGCACAGCTGGCGTTTCGACCACCGACTTGGTTGGCCGCATGTTGCTCCTGACACGAAACCACTTCCGTCAAGGATCCGCCGAATACGACATCGAGAAAGAAGGTAATTACAGCTTGTTTCAACGCTTTTTTTTAAGCATTTCATTTTAATATTCCTAAATCACAGCAAGCACATTTCCTGTTTTGTGCACCATCTTCATTGTTTTAATTTTTAACTACTTAATAATTAACAAAGACTAACTTTAGTTGTAAGATTTTAATTTTTTTGCACTCCTCCCTCCTGTCTTTCATCTCTTACTGTTGATCTTGTATATTGCTCTGCATGCTGTGCATAAAGTCAAGACGATCAATCAGTTCTAAGGATAAACCATTCAATACTGATATGTTTAGTTTATACCTGGCCACGCACGCTTAGTTTATGATTTTACTGTGATAGATTTCCTCCAACCGTTTCAACTTTTGTTTGCCATAGTTGAACGTAAATAACTTCTTGATTTATGTTGCTCTCTACAACTTTACTATTTCTCTTCTTTTTATTTCTATGTACGCACTGTTTACCACTAACAAAACTATAATATAATGTATGAAACCTATGAAAACTATGCTAAAACCTCAATATGCCAAATGTTATGTGCGTGTGCGCGCCCGCGAAACGAATCCAAAATGCCAAAAACCCAACGACCAACCTGCAATCAAATTATCCAAATCCGAATCCAAATCGAAATCAAATCCTAAACGTAAATGTTGCTATTTAATATACACACCTGCTCATTTGTCTGCGTTGCTTTACAATACCGATCAAAAACAAACACAAAAAACAGTGAAAATTTTAAAAAAACAAATGAAATCTCATCCAGGTTCTTCGAACATGGGCCAAGATTCGGCAGCCAAAAGTCCATGGACCGGTTGCAGTCAGTTCTTGCCAACTACACAGAAGATTATTCAGTTTAGCGATGGCAAGTCACCGAATCCTGGCGATAAGATCGTGAGTATAAAACCCTAATATATAGGAAATATAACATTACTCACCAAAATCTGCTATTTCAGGTTTATGTAGCTGGCGCCTTTGATCTGTTCCACGTTGGCCATCTCGACTTTCTGGAGAAGGCGAGAAAACTGGGCGACTATCTGATTGTTGGCCTGCACACAGATCCCGTGGTGAACTCCTACAAGGGCAGCAACTATCCAATCATGAATCTGCACGAGCGCGTTTTAAGCGTTTTGGCCTGCAAAGTAAGATTAAATCGGCTATTTTAATTTGCCTCCTGATGTATATTTTATTTTCTTCCTCAGTTTGTCAATGAAGTTGTAATTGGAGCTCCTTACTGCGTAACCGAGGAGTTGCTGGAACACTTCAAAATCGATGTCGTCTGCCATGGACGCACACCCATTGCGCTGGAGGACGGAAAGTGCGATCCGTATGCCATACCCAAGACGCGAGCCATCTTCGAGCTAATCGACTCCGGCAACGAGATGACCACCGAGCGAATCGTGGAGCGCATCATCTCACATCGACTGGAGTACGAGCGACGCAACCAGGCCAAAGAAAAGAAGGAAATCGAGGCCTTTGAGGCTCTTCAACGCCAAAAGCAGACCCAAAAGGCCGGCTAGCCGGAACTAGATTCCGACTTCTCACACTAGACGGATGTTTTTATTTATATTTTAGTTGCGTTTTTTTAGTTTGTTTCGTTCAGTTGTCAGCTTTTAAATAATGGCGATTTTGGTTTGTTGCGTTCAAAGCGATCCGACTGCTGCCAAATCGCGCCGTGAGGCCATCAAATTTTTTAACTGGCCCCGACCCAGCGGAAAGCTCGCTCGTTTTCTAGTACAATTTTTAAACTGCTGCGGGTCGCACAGGCGGCTCTTAGCAAGCCTTATTGATATCAAGTTATATACATCTATATATATATATTTGTAACACCCTAATATAGCATATTTAAAATCTAAATTTTATGTATGTAAGCTCAAAATTTGTAAATTCTACTTTCTATGTATGTAAGTGTTGTGAAGCAAATTCAAGTCATGATTGAAATAATAACTACAAAATTGTACGAAATATATGTAAGGCGAATAGCAAAGATACACTGTGACATGTTATCCAAAAGGCGAGGTTGGCGAGAGCGAACTTCGTATGAATTGTATATAAAGTACAGCAATGTAACGCGAGTAGGATGTCCGGATCAGGAAATAGCTGCTTTTATCAAATGTAATCTCCGATACTTTGTCCTTATTTATTAACGCATATGCTAAGTGCAAGTTCAAGTTTTATGTTTCAATGTTTAATCTTAGACTAAATACAAGGCCAAAAATATTGCAAACTCCAATTTATCATTTTCTGGTATTTGTTTTATCAAATTCTTGATTCGCTGATGACCTTTAGTTCCACGGTAAGCAGTTGCTGACACACATCCAGATCCATTAGTTCTCGGAGATCCTCGAAGCTAATGAGGATCACATTGCTGTCCGTTTTGATGAACTCGCTGCAGGGTTGGTTAGCCGACCAGGGAAAAATAGAGCGGGCCTTGATGAGTTTGGAGTAATAACGTGGGGATTTAGCCGGTTGGACCAGTAGGCGCAGCTTGATGGACACATCCTGCAAAGGAGTTGACACCCAAAGGGCCAGGACATCGCACTTGACCCGTTTCTTTTGCCACAGCATCGAGTGGGCGGTGCGGCAGGCAAAGACCATTAGGGCACCGTGCTGTGAGTACTGGCGATATTCCGCTGGCAAATGGGTGTTCCGGTGGCATTTCAGGGGATTGAGTCCTGTGCGCCGATAGCCATAGACACCCAGCAGCGAGTTGATATCGCTTTCTAAGCTGCTGAAATGGCAGGTTAGCGTCGCCTTTTTACCCGCCTCCAGTTCAAAGAAGGGAACTCCCATTCCCGGCAGATGGTCCCTTAGATAGTGACCCAACAGACCACAGGGTTCCATAAAGCATTTGCATTCCTGACAGGGACATGGAACCAGAGACATTCGTGCCCACGGTGAACTGCTGTGCGGCAACACAAACAGCGGGATTCGTCTGCTCCTCGGCGTTTCGGTGAGGTTCTCTAAGCGCTTTAGGTGGAGAAGTTGCTCCTCGGAAGATGAAGCCACCGGTATGGGCAGCCGGCAGTTGGAAAAGTGCTTGGTGTACAGTAGACTTTGCATCTCTTGGAGGCGCTGCTTCCGCCGCTCCTGGCGTTTTTGGCTTCTGCTTCTCCTATCTCCATCTTGGTTTGCTTTGGAGGTGGATGCCGCAGACATGTTGGAAAAGAATTTTAGCCAAACTTACACAAATAACATAATTTTGAAGCCTAAAAGTCTAAAACTGACAAAGTCTAAATTACTACTAATTTTAATTCAGTTTCGGGCTGAGTTATGATTTGGTCCCTGCAGTTTTCGGTCATCCCAATCACCGAAAATTTTCGGGAAAATCTGACATCCATGCAAAGGAGACACTAATCGACTTTCAAGAAATCAAACATTTTAATTGCAGTTTCCTTAAGAATCTTACTAAATCAGGGCAAAATTGCCGATCAAGTTTAACCTGATTTCTTTTTAAAATAACATTTATTATTAAGTTGGGCCGAAATCCCGGCGGTACTGCAATACCGGGCCCACCCGCGACAGAGGTGGAGCAAGCTCCTAGCACTCCGTCTGATTCCAAAAATCAGTTTAACATTTGTTGTCCTCCAATGGAGGAACTATCAGATGTTAAGCTGATAAGAACAGATACTACACTTTGATCTTAGCCATAAGGCCGAGAAGCGATAACTTGAAACGGAAAATCAGCAGGCTCTCAATGAGCAAACTGTTAGAACATGTTGAGAATTGTATGTAGAGAAATTTGAAATTAAGGATGTAGGGAGAAAGTGCAGTCTACCTGAATGGGTGGAAGGGATGTAGGTAATGTTGGTTCAGGTAACAAAAGGACAAGAATAAGTTCACCCTACTGCGGGGATCGAACAAAATTAGTCATGAAATTTAATGGAAAAATTAATTTTGTTATTCCCAATATCTCTTTTAACTTTAAATTAAAATTTTTAGGGAATTATAAAAACTTGATTAATTTACTTTTAATTAAAAGGCATCACCTAAAACTTTATTATTTCGTTTTTTGTTCACTTTTAGTGTGTGGGCTAAAACACTTAGAATCATGTAAATAAATATTCTTATAATATTTACGGTTTAAAATACATCAATAACTACCAGAAATAAGGCGAGGTACATTTTTCTTGATTATGTATCAAGTGTGAATCTACTAAATCCTTTTTGTTAAGGACTCAAAGAGGTAGGGTGTGACGTTGATGATTAAGATTCCAAATCCGGGGACAGACTTAATTCAAATGACATCGGAGGTTATGGTGGTTTTGCAGCTGTCGGTGGTTTGACCATGTCGGCTGGGTAATAAAAATAAATTGGCTTTTAATTTGTATTTAATTCTTTAGGAATTCTCACCACTACGAGACTGCCGTTCCTTTTTATTGCTATTATCATTTATTCGAATGCTGCCGTACTTTTCCTTTAGGTACTTTTGCACATTGGTATTGTACTTGCTGCGGGAATTAATTTTTGATTGGTTTGGTGGACCCGAAAGTTCTTCATTGTTTTTAACTATGTTAAGGGCAGTGGGGTCATTTGAGGACAAAAGGTCCGGTTGATGTTCATCGATTTTGCCGGTTCTTTTAGAGCTTCCTGTTGAAATCGTACAACTCTTAACATCGAAGCTTTGAGGACTCCCATTGAGCTTGTCTTTAAAATTAAAAAAAAATATATTTAAACAAATAAATATTAATTAAATGACCTTTTTACCTTTCGGTTTGCGCTCTGCGTTGATTTTAACACCACAATTGTCTGATGATGTGTGAGCTGCCTGATTGTCAAGGTATTCAAAGTAACTATTTCTATTTAATCTCACGCCTTCATTTCTTCTCGTTGTAAGTTGATCGTCTTGGTACATTTCGTTGTCATTAGAACTTGGGGATTTAAATAAGGAGTAGCTTTTACTAGATGCTCCATTGGCAGCATTCAATTGATCTAGCCCCATTTTTCTTCCTTGAATAACTCCAGAGCTTAAGGCGCTAATTCCATTAGTATCCTCGCTTCCGAACTCCTGGGCGGGAAAACTGGTTGGTTGCAAATACGGATGCTGATTGGGATGAAATTGCTTGAAACGCTTGAAAATCAAGCATGTTACCAGCGACAGAAATATGGACATACAAAGAAATCCTATTGCTATCATACAAATTATGGCAAAGATGTTGGTGTCGATCAAAGGAATTCGCGGCATGTCCTTTTGCACCACCACGCTTATGTGCACCGAATCCTTGCCTCCAGGATTCTCAGCTAGACATGTATAAATGCCCTCATCGCTTTTCTTGGCATTCACTATGGTGAGACGTGATACGAACACATGGTTTCCGAAACTCTGAACCTTTGGTTCATTTTCCCGCAACATTTCTATATAAATGTGCTGCTTTTGTTGAAATTTTGCCGGCTTAGAGCGCGACTCGTATACTTGATTGTTGTAATCCCAGGCAACGACCGTATTGGGAGATCCATGCACCCTGCATATCAGCGTTACATTCTCCTTGGAAGTGTTGATGGAAGTACCGAGTGTGGGATACACTATCTTGGGCTTACAGGCAAATGCCTCTGGTTCATCCTCGATCCACAGTCGACCACGAAGTTGCAAAGGATAATGGCAGGCTGTGGGTGGGGTATATAGATTCATGTCTATAACGTAGTTGCGAAACAACTGAAGATCGCAGGTACAATTCCAGGGATTTTCGACCAAAGATAAAGCTGTTAGTTTACTGAGCCCTTGAAAACTTTCCACTCTCAGTTTCTTCAGCTCATTATTGTCGAGATATATCTGTGATAGAAGCGGAACTCCCACGAAAGCCTGTACATCGATACTCATCAGGCGGTTACTCTTCAGTTCGATCTTGTGCAGATACTTGAGGTTACGAAAGACCCCACTCCGTATTGTTTGTATTAGGTTGCCATTTAAGAATAAAGCCCTCACTTTGGACAGACAGTCGAAGACATTGGGTAGCAGTTCTTTAAGTAGATTATGGGACAAGTCAAGCTCAATCAAAATATTCAGTTGGGTGAAACTTTGCTGGTGGATGTGTTTCAGTGTTCCATTTCGTATCAGTAGCTTCTGCAGATTCTGCAAGTGATTCGTAGAAAAGGCGTTCTCCTCCAGATAAAATATGTGATTGTGTGATAAGTCCAGTACTTGAACTTCCGGACTGAGGTATTCTGGCACTCCACTGAGACTCAAGTTGCGACAATCGGCCGTCTTTTTACCGGAGTTCCATTTGCAGTTACAGTTTCCACAATCCATCAGCCAGTCCGCACTGGCACTTCGAAGTATAAGAATCAAACAAAAACTCTTTAACAGGAAGAGCAACAGGTGTTTACAGGAAGGAGTTAGTAGATCGAAGTTTTGTTTGTTTTGGCTTAGTAAACTTTGAATAGCCATTGATTATTTGTAAGAAACTTCTACTACCACTTTCCCAGATCGACTGGGTTATTGTTTGCCGCACATCTAAAATACTTTAATTAATTATTCTTCATGTCCAATGTCCGGAGTCATTTATATTTTTGTTTTTCATTAATATTCCGAGATCCATCCTGTATAAATAAAAGAAAATATGTTTTTATTGCTGTTTGCATAAAGACATTTTTTTTCAGGTTTATTATTAGCTTTTAGGTATCCTGCGAGAGAAAACAAAAAATAGAAAACAAACAAATCAAATATTCTATGTGTGTCTGCTAAATATCGAATTCCCATGGCGTCCATTACCTTACTCAAGGGAACTGCAGCTTCAAGGCCACTTTTCCTGTTTTCATGGTTTCAGTTTCGAATGAAAACATTGGAAAATGGCGTGTAGATGGGTGCGTGACACTGGCCGTAGCAAAACAAAAAAAACTGCACTTTGTTGGCTTACCAGATATTAAAAAACAATATAAGTTTACTATACCGTCACGCCTAGACCTGCCGTTAAAGAAATTCACCCAAAGACCTCGGCGTATATCCATCAACTGTTTTTATGATTTTTTACTGCCCCATTTACCAGAGGGTTAACAGTGATACTGTGCTCGCGCATGTCCAATAGGCACCCAACTTTTGCCTCCTTTTATGTAAATTAACATTCGGTAGTTGTTCTAATTATTTTACTTTTAGTTGGGCTTATATTAGAGACAGATGAAAAGAATATGAAATTTAAACAAATAAAAAACGAATTTTTAAATATGTACTTATAATAAGCACAAATTATTTAAATTATTTTAAAAGTATTCCTATCTCGTATTTATAAATAAAAGGTTGATAAACAAGGAAAAAATCAAACGCTACCTCCATGCGATTTACAGTAAACAAAGAAGCAACCCCCTAAAGTGTGCTACAGCGACTGAAAAAATATTTCGTGTGCGCGTACTTATAATTCCCAACTGGTTTTAACAGTTTGCTCATGGAGAGCCTTGTGATTTTCCGTTTCTGGTTATCGCTTCTCGGCCTTATGGCTAAGATCAAAGTGTAGTATCTGTTCTTATCAGCTTAACATCTGATAGTTCCTCCATTGGAGGACAACAAATGTTAAACTGATTTTTGGAATCAGATGGAGTGCTAGGAGCTTGCTCCACCTCTGTCGCGGGTTGGCCCGGTATTGCAGTACCGCCGGGATTTCGGCCCAACTTAATAATAAATGTGAAACTTCTAACTCTTTAGTGAGTTTGGTTGGATGGAATGTCCATTGGAAGTGTGACGTGGTAATAGCAAATCGGCCAAATATCCGTGTTGTTTTAACTTTTCGGTTTCGTATTAACTTTTTCGGTTCAGGTTGGAATGAAGAATTTGATCGCCTCCATATAAAGAAAGAACACGGAATGTTTAAGTTGTTAGTTAATAATTCGTATATTTATTTCGATAATACACCTATTATGAATACAGTTCGCTTTTTGATTGTTTGTATTATTTTGCTTCGTACAGTAAGGACCTTTTCTCAACTTCAGGCTATAGATTCTTGTTAAATGAGGGGAAATTTAAATCTTAAAGGTAAGTTGTCTTAGTTACGACGAAATATTTGTAAAAATTGACAACAAAAGATTTGTTTTGGAATAAAGTTGAATTATGGTATAATAGGAGTTAAAAAAGTATAAATCAGGGGAATATATTGCAATGCTGTTGAGCCAGTTTTGACTTTACTGACATGAAGATGAGAAAACGCCCCCGCAATCCATACAATTACAAAGTTCTGTGGAGATACGCTCTTCTCACGGGCGCCGCAATCATTGTTCCTAACACTCCAATCCGCATTCAACAATAAAAGTAAAGGATTTGAAAGTAAACAAAAAAATCGATTCAAATAATGTTCAGCAATTACGATACGTTAATATACTTTTTTCTCAAGGTGAATGCTTAGTTTTTCGGTGTTTGGTTTCGCTTTTTTAAAGGACAACTTCAACTACGGAACAATCTGAGGCTGGCTGTCTCCTTCGTGGCTAACTATTAGCATCTGTACTAACTGGCGAATAGCTGTGCTATGCTCCCACAAACAACATCAACCGTAACAACGCGCTTACATATCTTTGGCGAGAGACCACTACGTTCAATTAAATCGAAAAAAGGGAAGAGATTTGTGATGTGTGTAACGTATACAATGCCATAGAGCTACAGTTAAAGAGTGTTTTACGTGTGGGTTATGCTTAAAACGACGAAAGATTTTGTGTTTGACCATCTCGATCCAGTCCACCGGCCTTAAACGACCACTGCCCCAGCCTCCGAACGGCTAACTGGTAGATCGGGGCAATTTTTCCAGGTGTCCGACAGCGGATCATAGCATTCGACAGCGTTTATGGTCACTTGTGCTCGGTAAAAGTTTACCTCACAGGGCTGATAAAGAAAAAATATAAATTAGAGGTGTTTTGTTAAAATACTGTGGTATATATTTAATTTGATTATAGTAACCTGATCACCGCCAGCTACGTAAAGGAGCCCATCGGCAGCAGCCACGGCAGGAATTGCTCTGGGCACGTTAAGTGCACACACGGTCGTCCATTTGTCCTCATCAAAGCTGTAGCGTTCCACAGAGCTGAGAATGTCCTGGCTAATACTGCTGCCGCCAACCACATACAAGTAGCGATCCAGAACAGCCACGCCCATTTGGCAGCGGGCCGTTTGCATGCTGGCCAGCTCGGTCCACTCTTTGGTCACCGGATTGTAACTGCAATTATTACATGAATTAGCTAAATCAACTCAAATATTATTTCGATAAAAACCTAATCAGATCCGGAAGATGACGTGTTGTTGTTGTGCAACCACCCACGATGTAGATGAGACCCTCGAAACTGACGACACCCATGCTGAATCGAGGCTGCGGCATGCTACCCATTAACTTCCAGAGATCCTGCTCCGGATCATAGCATTCCATAGAGCCACCAATATCGTCGCCAATCCAACCGCCAACGGCAAATAGATTTCCGCCCATTGTGCATAGACCAAACTCGCATCGAGGCACAATCATTGGGGCAATCGGTTGCCAAACGTCGTTCTGCGGATCATAGACCTCGCCATTGGCCAGAATCTGTGAACCACGCTCGCCTCCAACCACGTAGATCTTGCCATTCAATGCCGAAACGCCCGGCAAGATGCGTCCCACTTCCATGGGTGCCGTTTCCGTCCACTCGCGCCGGAATATATCGAACTTGGCCACCGTCTCGAAGATGCAATCAGCCGAGTTCCAAGTGCGCGGCGTGTCCCGATGAGATCCGCCAATGATATAGATGTTCTTCTTAGCCAGCTGGCGGGGACAGACGCGCAGTGGTACCAACTGGCCGCGCTTCGACGCAATGTCCCGGCAAATGGAGCGCAAGGCGATTTTCACCGACATGTCTCGGCAATCATCCTTCAGAGCCTTATCAATCACTTTCACGGGTACCAGGGCCATGCGAACGTGGGAGAGGATGTCGAATACGTAGCAACGGCGCTGCGTAACATCGTGTTTGATCCAGCGAAGAGCCGCCTGGAACACCTGCGACTCGGAGTCCACGCGAAGCAATTCGGAGTTCAGGAGCTGCGACAACAGAGTCTGTGGCGTTTCTAGGAACTCATCCTCAAGCGTTATCTGATTGGGGGAGGGAAAGTACAATTTAATAAATAAGACATTAACAACAAAAATATTAGTCCCCTTAAATATAAAAACCTTATAGTTAATAATTCTTGAAAAACATATATAAGTTGTAATTGTTAATTGTCTTTTCCAAGCATTAAACCAAACAAAACAGCCTATTCCATTAGTTTTAAGCTTTTTACTAAACCCTCTTTTAGTTGCCCACACATAAGCCCCTAAAGTGCTTCCAACTCACCGCTGGGAAATTGGCGTGGACAAAGGTCAGTGCACTCTTGGCCAACGACTCGCAGTTGTGGGCCTCTGCGAAGCGTAAAATGCCCAATGCATTGGAGGCGTGCAGCTCCCGGCAGAGGAACTCGCAACAGCCATCGACCACCTCGTTCAGCTGCAACATGTCGGCGGCAGCGAGGAGTTCCTGGACATTGGACTGTTGGAATATAACAAGGATTGGGGATGAGGGCGAAGCTAAGAAGACAAAGAATTAAGACTAACCTGGGTGATTTCGCAGCGACCCGTGTAGATGAAATCGAGCAGGATGTTCAGAATGTCGCCGTCGATGGTGTGCAGCACCACGGACTTTTGCTTGACCTCGTTCAACCCGAGTTCGGGCCGAAACATGGCCTCGAAATAGGCACTGGCTGCACTCAGGACCGCTCGGTGGGCACTCAACGTGGCCATTCCGGCGATGATCTCCACATCGCAGAATCGCGACTGTTCCCGCAGCTGGTTGAGATTCGAGAGCACCTTGAACGGGTACTGGGCATTGCAGTAGGAGGGAAGATTTGTGCGCTGGCTGGCCGTTGAGGTGGCTCCCAATCCCATATTTTGGCCAAAGAAGTCACCATCGCTGCCGGCGGTGGGACTCTGATTGGCATTCTGATTGGCGTTCGCATTCGGACTGGGATTGCCATTGTATTCGTGGTGGTGTATCTGGTATGTTTTCAACGGTGGCATTTCGTCGGCTGTTCTTTACTTTTCAGCGGATATGGGATATCGCCTTTATAAATGCACTTTTCAGGGGGCAACAGCTCAGACTTTTTACATTCAATTGTTTGGCTTAATTAAACTTAATTGCTGCACTCTGCACACTTCATCCGTTGTTGTTGTCCGTTCATTTTCCTCCAATCAGAAGGGGAACACACACACACCCACCCGCAATTCGAAACGCCAGCAAGCAAAAGAAGTTGGCATTTCACGAACGAAAACAACCGAAATCCGATTTTATTTTCTCTATTTCCCCATTAATACTAATCGGATAGTTTAACATTTACAAAACTCGCATATTTCTTTCAACCTTTTCAATGCACTTTTGTATGTAGAGCTGGAACAAAAATCGATGTTTCTCGGAATCTATCGATGTGCTCTGCAACTATCGATTTTCTTTACTCAAATATTGTAGTGGTGAGTTATACCGTTATCTTTAAAGCCGAGATTCGAAACAAAGAAATAGGTTCTACAAAATTCCCATTGTTATCATTACATTTTTCAAATACTTATAAAAATTTTAATACCTACCTCAAATAAAATTTAAGTTATCCTAATTCCATGGAAATAGAAATTATCTGATATACCAACTAAAAATATACCAAAATTGTTATCGCTGTTTACTCTTATCGTTTTATGGTCATCTCTTGTTGTTATTTAATTTTTACTTTTTACATTTTTCAAATTTTTCAATGAAAAATCTGACAAAATGCTGTCGCGTAAATTGATTAACCTTCGGCTGGGATGTATAATACGTCGATGGGCCAGCACAGATCCACTGAGCATCCAGAACGAAAAACTCCAGGCTTATTTGGAATCCTTACGGCAGGAGTACTATGCCGTTCGTGTAAGCGCCGCAGGAAATAGCAAATCCTACGCCCGCCTTGCTCAGCTGGAGGGCGTGGTTAGTGCTCTGGAGCAGCGACGCGTCCTTGAGCGGCACATTACTAGTGCAAAGGACATGGAGCTGGAAAAAGACGAGGATATGCGCCAACTGATGAAGGAAGAAAATGAAGTCTATGTGGATCTCCTGGACAAACAGGATCAAACGCTCTTGAAGGAATTACTCGCCCTGTCAGATGACGAGGCGTATCCAGCTTTGATCTTTGGCCTTAATGCCGGCGCCGGTGGCCAAGAAGCCATGCTCTTTGCCCAGGAACTTTACGAAATGTACACAAACTACTTTGACCACATGGGCTGGGATTGGGAGGAGTTCGCCAGCGAGTCCACCGACATCGGAGGCCTCCGTCACGCCAGCCTGATGGTCAGTGGGGAGGACGCCTACCGCTGGTTGCGCTTCGAAGCTGGAGTCCATCGGGTTCAGCGCGTTCCGGCCACCGAGAAGTCCGGACGCATGCACACCAGCACCGCCTCGATAACCGTGATTCCGCGGCCTGCCGACGTTCAAGTGAACATTGCCGAAAAGGACCTAAAAATCGAGACAAAGCGTGCAAGTGGCGCTGGTGGCCAGCATGTAAACACCACCGACTCGGCTGTCCGGATTGTTCACCTGCCCACGGGTCTAGCGGTGGAAGCACAATCGGAGCGGTCACAGCTAAAGAACCGAGAATTAGCCATGAAACGTCTTAGGTCGCGTCTTGTGCAGCAGCAACTAGAGAGCGCCGAGGCCAGTAAAATGGCCACTAAGAAGGCGCAACAGGGGAGTCTCAACCGCAACGAGAAAATCCGCACCTACAATTTCGTCCAGGATCGGATTACAGACCACAGAGTTCAAGGTGGTACGCTGCACAACCTAGACGGGTTTCTCAAGGGCGGCGATCAACTAAGTGGACTTATTGAGAAGCTTCAATTGGAGCAGAGAAAGGAACGACTGAAGGAACTCCTGGAAACGTGGCAGCCACCAAAAGAAGCTATTACAGAAAACTAGAAATCTTCTACTTTTGTTTGTTACTAGATATATATGTCGGCGCCTTACATTTTAAAGTCGTGCTAATTTTACAAACGAAATACATGGAAATTTGTACAGTGTTTTGCATTTAGATTTCTACACATACAAAAACTTTCCTTTTTCAAGAAAGCAAGTCAAAAACTATAAATTCAAGTTAAGAAAGAAAGCAATTTATTTATTTCAACAAACTCTCGCCCAATCGGCAGCACTGCCCATATGTAGTAGGTGCTCCTTAACTGCCGCCTCCAGAATATCTCGGATTTCGCGGCAGCCGGCCATTGCAGTTTCGATTACTGTCTCCAGGTGGTCGATGTGGAATCGCTCGCTCATCTCCAGAAAGGCAATCTTTTCGGCGGTGGGCAAAGCAGCCACTGTCAATTTAGGACCGCCAGAAACTTCCTCGAAGTGGGAGATGTCCGTTAGCGGAATGTTCGACTTGCTCAATGAGGCGGTGCAGGCAACGATAAATTCGTTTAGACAGATTCCAGCATCAATAAGTGCCAGAGTAGCCGCATTAAGGGCCACTGCGTAGTTGGCTCCGTCCGCCTGGAGCACCTCCACATAGATGTCTATCTGGGAACGAGGATAAAGCTCCGATTTGATGGCCGCACTCAACGCTTGCTGCAGGTACATCTTGAATTCCAAGGACTTGCGATCACCGCGTGGTCTGTTCTTTCGCTCCGCCGTGGAGAAGGTGGCCTGACTGTACTGGCAGTTGATGAGTACATCGTTGGACTCCGTCTTCTTGCCTTTAGTCTGGTGGGGTCCATAAACGGCGGCCAAGACCTTAGTATTGCCTTGCTCCATGTAGGCGCTTCCATCGGGCTGTTCAAAAACTCCTAATTTGCACTTGATGTGGCGGAGTTCGTGAGGACGACGACCGTCAAGACGAAGACCCTGCTCACTAAGCAGCTCAAAGTTGCCGGCCATGTCTTGGTTTAAGGAAATGTATTTATTTTTAAAATAAATAATGCACGTGCAGAACGGTTTGTTTACAATCTGAGCAGTGTTAGGAAACAAAATAAAGGTACATACCTTTGTTTGGTATTTTATACAAACTTAGAAACTTCAATTAAAATTTTTAATATATTAAATTATGTGAAAGTAAATCTGTAATTATATTTATAATTTTATAAATGTTTAAATAATTTGAAAATACCTTAACAATTTTAAGGCCGTTGAAATTTACCAACACTCTTTCTTTTGTCATCGATTTTTCGATAGGTAGCATACGTGTGGCAACCCTAAAATATATAAATAGCTTGGAGTGCAAAAAATATGTTTTTAAAGAAATAAAATAGATAATTATTAGCTAAATCGTGTGGAAAATAGTGCTCGCTAGCACAACAAACCCGCACAATGTCAAAGTCAAGCGCAGGTGGGTAAAAATCAGTTTTAAAAACCGCTTAATCAAGGTAGACGCTTCCGGGTGATCGCAAAACAAAAATAGAGACCCAAAAAGTCTTTAAAAATAACTGACTAACTTCCGGATTTTGCAGCACGCTGGGTGAAGTTCTTCAATGCGGCGGGGATACCATCTCCTGCGGCCGCGGGATATGCCCACGTCTTCGTGGAAAACCGCATTCAGGACGACATGCTGCTAGACCTCAACAAGGAGTACTTACGAGAAATGGGCATTACTTTGATGGGTGACATAATTGCCATCCTGCGGCACTCAAAGAGTGTCTGCGAACAAAATGCCCGGGATCAGGTCCTCACCACCGAGGTGGTACAACCCGTTGCCCGTCCGGCATCGCCAAAAGTCAAAACACCGGTGGCTGCCAAGCCGAAGACTTCTCCGCCCGCCAAACCGGCGAGACGGGTGCTCCCAGAGCACGAGGGCAAGTACAAGGTAACACTGCCCTCGGGAACCACAGAGCGTAGCAAACAGATCTTGGCCAAGCGAGAGAAGCGTAAGATTAAAGTTTCCTTTATACTTTAACCCAAAATGTAACCACTTTTGGAAACCCTTTTTAGTATATTCCGATCGCGTGAGCAGCTCCAAGAAGCCGGATATCTTTTCACGCCTGCAATCTGGCGAGGATGGAGCCCAGGAGGGCATTGTCTCCAGCTCCGGCGAGAGCAGTGTTCGCGTTCACGTCAGTGGATTGTCAAAAACGGCGGACACCTCCAACAGCTCGGTATTTGCACGACTTGGCGGCAAACAGACTCTTCTTTCGGGAGACGTAACTCTTACTAAGGAAATAAAATCGATCCTAAAGAACACACAACGCACGGTTGGAGGGGGAGTTACCAAAAACTCGCCCATAATCAAGGCTAAAAAGGTGGCTTCGTCTGCTGTGCCGCAGCAGAAAGTTATGCTTGTGCATAAGGTACCTCTTAAAAGGGGCGACGACGAAGAGGATAGCATGGACGATCTTGGAAGCGATGAGGACGATTACATTTCCAGCGGTGAAGACTACGATATGGGATCCACTGAGAAGATTGTAAAGTTCGCATCCACAGCAGAGGTTCGGGAGATTGCACCCGAGTCATCTTACAAAGCAAGGCACGGCAAAAACTTTGCCAACAATATTAAATCGAGGCTGGGAATTGGTATGTATGATTTCATCCCTTGAGACAGTCTCAATAAAGTTATTACCCTTGATATAGTATCCAAACTTCATGCCACCAAAAAGACCTACAACCTAAAGGCATCGCCTTCAAAGAAACCACAGACTCGCATCAGTCCGGTGAAGGGCAAGACCATACGCATGCGCAGCGACGAGCTGATGACTCGCCAGGACATGCTACCCGTTCACAGAAGGTTAGGAAATAACTCGTCATCCGCCCCAAACAGGGCTCCGCCGGCACCACCGCATCGCCAGCAGAGACCGGAACCACAGCAGCAGAAAAGAAGTATGTCCCGCCAAGGCGGCACAACAGCATGAATGCAGGTCACAAGCCACGAGATCAATCTGGATCTGTCTTCGACCGCCTGGGCTTCAACAACTCTATGTAAAAATAAGTAATGTGTCTCATAAATTGTTTTAAGTTCAATTGCGCCTAAATAACTTTGCGAGTAAATGTTCGAATTGATTCAGAGTCATATTTTCATTAATGAAAGGGAGAGGGACAATGAAATGGATTTCTATCCTTCTAAATCGGATGAAAATTGGAAAAGGTATGAACATAGAATTAACGAATTTAAATAAACCTATTATTTGGAAAATATAAAAATTGAGAAATATCTGCCAAATGGAAATGGCTAAAATCTTTTTTTTTCAGAAAACTTACAACATTTTAATTTTACTATTACTTTATGGTGATAGATTGTTTTCGAGGCTTTTGATCCCTGTACTGTACGTGGAAACCACCCATGGAAAATCACCAGTGTTTTAATTTAACCAAATAAAATTTAATGATTAATATATGATTTATTTTATTTAACATTAGGGTTTATTTTACAATTAAGCTAGGGCTTTGCTTTCGTTCATATTGTACAATTTGTCCGCGGTCACTTAAAGGGCTATATCACTGGTTGCTAGGCAAATCACTCCGTTCAGAATCTATAATATGAGGCTCCATGGCAATGCTCATTGTTGGAGCAGCGCCTGAAGGGCCTGTCGCCATTCCAGTGGCCAGGTGCTGGCATCCGGATTGATGCTCAGCAGTTGGCGCATTTGGAGCACGGCACGCTGCTTCTGGAGCATGTATGCGTAGGCCTGGTGATTCAACACAGGTGAATGAGTAGCTGGAACTTGGGTGACCGGAAATTGGGTGGCAGGCATCGAATATTGCTGCTGCGGCGGAGTTGTAGGTGGCGTGGGTGGCAGTGAATGTGGATGAAATTGCTGCTGCTGTTGCACTTCCCGCTCCGTTCCTTGACGACGCTTTCGTGGAGTGTTCTCGCTGAGGGCGTATGGCCGGAAAAGAGGCGTGGTCGTGGCAGAGGCGGCAACTTCCTTGCTGTTCTTCTTGCCAAACTTTTTGTGCGTGTAGGCGGAGGTCTTGAACTTTTTGTGGGTATAGCTCTCACTGACTTCCTCCGACTCGTTGTGGTAATCCATGTTCGAAGGTGCCATGATTGCTGGTTTTCAATGTAGTTTTGTTAGTTTCGTTGGGTAAAGATGTTTTCACGACGGCTGGTAAGGCTCGACTGTGCTCTAGATGCTGCGCAACCTGGTTTTTATACCTCTGAGCCGAGATGTCCTACCTGGATATTATCATTAAGGCCGACAGCGCCTTGTTTATGGGAAAATCTTCGTTGACAAAAGGTTGGCATTGTCGTAAAGAGAAAAGGATTTCGGCAACACCTACACTACCTGCCGCAGACTACCTGCCTGAACGAAAGTCCTTTGTAATTAATTTTTCATTTGCTGCAACGGGCTCGCACCTTCTTTTGTGTCTGCCTGGCCTGTCCGGTTTTTCTTGGAATTTTCCCCAGAGCGTTTCTCGAGAACAATCTTATACCTCGAGATCTTGCAGCGCCTGCGCTTGCCACTCTTTGATGCTGGCCAAGATCGACGCATCGACGCACTGGAATTTCGAATCTTATCTCGCTTACCGCTAATCTGCCTCATTAAGTTCTCGTCCAGGGTACTCGGGGATACCTTCGAAAGAATGCCAGCCGCTGCTTAGTCACAATGGCCATTGAATGGAAATTTATTGGGATTTTCCCGAAACGTTGCGTGCGTGTCTGTCTCAGTCCGTCTGAGGGATTTCTTGCGCAGTTCCAGCTTCTTTTCCCGGGTATCTGAGATTTGGTTTTAAGTTATTGACTATTTATTGATCGGTGCGATTGGTTAAATCAGATTTTACTGTTCTCGTTTTAACTTAACTTTTTAGTAAGAAAATTAAATATAATGTGATGATCATGCCAAATAATTATTTGTTATTAAAAGTTATAATGAATAAGAAGTCTATATTAATGGAAAATTTAGATTGCGTTTTTAATTTATATAAACTAAATAAGCCTTCTTAGTTCGAAGTACCTTTACAGCATATCAGCTCAAGCTTAGAAATATACATATGTATGTATATAATATTCCCTTTTAAAGTCTAACAATTAGGCACTACACTTAATTGCTACTCCATTAATTTCATAAATAACTACGCTTTCTTTTTGTTTTAATGGAAACCGTTTTAGTTTCATTGAAGGACAGCTCCCACTTATACCTTATTAAATTTATGGTTGAATTAATATTATAATCATTTAAATACTACTCTATTTAATTAATTAATTAAAACCGCCACTTCTACCTAATTAAATCTAAGGTTGAATTAATAAATAATAAAAATGTTATATCTAATATGCGTATTTAAATTGTCCACAATAAGTCAACATTAAATGTTTACTTTGAGAAAGCGATTTCTTAAAAGCAGATTAATCGCTAAAAGTATACCAAACAACAAATACATGGTACTATATGTTTCATCCCAAACAAGTACAATCCTATATGTTCCATTGTTCATGCCATGGGAAAATTTTTCCTATCCACCGAACTATAGATTCAATATGATTCAATGTAACGTTTAATTGTATCATTGGTGAAAGCACTTCCTGGTAGAGAGTTGTCAATTCTCGTCCCAACTAAGGTCATTCCCCCTGCAAGGAGGAAACACCTCCGAGGATCCCTTGCAATCGATTCTTTCCGTTCCAGAACAGATGGAAATTGATCAATATAATAATGGGAAACAATCAAACAATGCGACAATCTTTCACTGTAATACTTCAACCGAACAAATAGCAACTCCCACTCCGCTCCTGCTTATTGACTTTGTGTTCATTTCTTGAGGGCTGGTCTCAAGCCCACCTGAAATAAATCCGCTTAGGCGAACGCACAGTGAAATGTGAGAACCAGCCAGTTTTATATTCCTTCGCTGACTGCATAAATCAATGGACAAAAGGCATTGAATGAAACGAAAAATCCGACATACTGTCAAAGACACGAAACCCAAAGAGCAGAAGGAGCATTCAGTAATTGCCGAGTTTCTAGGATTTGGATCGATCCGCAGACAGTTTTCAGTTTTTCAGCTGGCCAAGCTGAAGTCACAAATGGATGTTTTTCGGATCGGTATCATCGGGTATTGAAAGCGGGACCAACATGCCGCGTCTGCTATTCAGGTGCCACAAAGAAAGCCGAAACAAAAGCGGGACGACAGACAGCCCGTCCAGAAATTGAGCGCCAGGATTACACAGAGAGATCCTAGATCGCGGTCCCTTGGCCCAACAGGTAATTCCGTTGAAAATCGCCGGCCATGTAAACAGACGGAGGAAGGACAACAACTGGTTTATGACACCCTCGAGAAGGAATCGAACGGATCGAAAAGACTGCCAGCCGGCGGATTAGGGACTCCCTATTCAGGTACCAAAAAAAAACACCGATTAGTTCGGGACAATATTTCGGGAATGAATGAATTGCGTTTGGGGAAATACCTGACCCAGGTGCTCCGGTGGGAAATCCTTCGGGATTAAAGGGCAACCCATTTTGTGGGAGGCTGTGTGATTACCTAATGTTGCATAAAAATGGTCGCCAGGAGGAGGGGCAGCACAGTCGTCTCAAAGACAGCGAAGCAAACACAACTCCCTGCACATCAATTAATCAACATAGTGATCGAACAATGGAGAACTACAGCCACAAGAAATTCACTGGAGCTCTGAAGCGGAAGCGCAGCCAGGATGCGGATTCCGATGATGATGTGGTCTTCATTATGGAACAACCAGGACAAAGGACTCCGGAGCAGCCACAAGCCAAGCGTCGCTTTTTCCGTCCCTGGATGAACGAGGAGTCCGAGGAGAAGGAGCAACCACAGCCTCCTCGAAAGATTGTGGCCACTCCTCCCGCAGTTGATGCCTCCTACCACGCCAACATGGTGAGGAATCACCCCAAGCGGAGGCAGCGCAGTCCCCAGGAGCAACTGCGTCGGGATCGGAACACTTTGGCCAGCCTTCGCCATCGGCGCTCGCAGCAGCAACAGCAGCAACTCATCGAAAAGCAATACCTGACCAGCAGGATCCAGCACGAGGCCAATCTGCAGCAGCAGATCCGATTGAGCCTCTACTACGTGCGCTTCCTGCAGCAAGCGATGTCCTCCATGGAGCCACTGCCTCCCACGCAACCGAGGCAGGTGTTCCCCGCCCACCAACCGACCACCACCCAGCATCCTTGAAGGGTGGCCCTCAGACTTGGCGCTCTCCAAGCGCTCTAATTTATTCTAAACTAACTAGCTGGATAGCCTTGTGATTACTTTTAAAGTTATAGTTATTTATTTGGTTGACTAAGCAATAAACACTTAAATTGTTATCGAAATTATTTGACTTTTTCTGAAATTTGATTTTCTGAACCTCCTCAATTTTTTAGCGCTTTTATTCCAGGGTTATTACAATATAAAGATTTATTCCAGTGGCTATATTTTGTCGACATATTTAACCCAAAAAGTAAATACTTTGGTGCTTCATTGATAAAAAATTTTTCGTTTTTTAACTATGATTTTACAATTGTAAAATCTGTTAGAATATGGGAAGGATATTCTTTTTAAAATATATGTTAGGGCTCTGGGGAATGTTATATATATATTTCAATTTTTCATTAGAAATTTAGTAGACTTTATTCTAATCTGAAAAGCCGTTATTTAATGTGATTAATCCCAGACTCAATTAAGCGGAAGGTGTTTGGCATCAGATTAATGCATTTAGATAATTTGCATTGTTCAACTTGAAGATTATATAATAAATTTCTAGAGAGCGCAATTTGCAATGCTAATTAAAAATAAAGTAGACATACATGAAGTAATGCCAGTGATTCATACTAACAGTAGTATGAGATTCGGACAGATTAAACTTATGTAATGTAGTGTTGAGATTAGGAATAAAATAGCTATTTATTTCAGTCACTAAATTTATTATCAAATCCGCATAATAAACATGGTTGACGAACTGGAAAATAGTTAAAGGGTTGTAACAATAAGATCCGCCTTGGTGATTGATATAGGAAATTAAATACGTCATTGTTATTGTTTAAAAGTTAAGCACAATAACAGGAAAGTAATTTATTTAATAGAGAATAGAGAATAAAAAATAGATCTATTCATTTTGTATGAACCTTTTCTTTTAAAAATAATTGAAAGTACCTAAAAAAATAATTCATAAAATTACTAAACTGGAATCAATTTATTTACTACCAGTATCATATATCCATTAATTCATTTCCTATTCTTTAGTCATAAATCACATCTGGCAGAAATTTGAAAAGATCCTCGGTAGTCTGTAACCAAGGATTCGATATTTTTTCATAGTCATTCTTCGGGAAAAGTGTTTGCAAAAAGATCCTCGAGAATTTCCAGAGAATTAAGCCGAAAGTGTGGACCACACGCACAAACAACCAATTGTGTCAAGCAGGTCAATAAAAAAAGTCCCAAGTCTGCCTAACAGTTGTTTAGTACAGAACTTTCTTGTTCCGGTGGCCACCTTTTAACCGATGATCCAGGTAATCCACCAAAAAAAGGATAATGAGGCAGTGCTGCGACGGCAATTAGCGATGGCGATAGAGGAGGTCATAAAATACGGCTTAATCCATAACGATTACCTAACACGGGATGCGCTAATCCCTTTGTTGACAGACCCAAAACCAAATGGGTATCCCTTTCGGCTACCTGTGATTCTACCTATGTGTGAATATAAACAGGATATCAAGCTCGGTGACAATCATTCAACAAGCGATCGTCTAACGAGTCACACCACACGAAAATAATATTGGAGTTCTATTTTTGACTTGCAATAAATAACAGCAATGGAGAACACAGCTACTTACACCCACAAGAAGTTTGCCGTCAGCAAACGCAAGAGGAACTCGGATCAGGACAAGGAGAACTACACTCAACAGTTGGAGCAACCCATTGCCAAGCGCCGCCAGAACCAAGGATTCTTCCGACCCTGGTTGGATAATGAACAAAATCAGCAACAGGAGGCAATCCCCACCATTCCCGTGGAGAAACCAAATGCTCCAGGATCTTCAGTTAGCCAATACCATGCCAACATGGTGCGTCGTAGCCAGATTCAACGCCAGAGAAGCCCCAAGGAGCAACTGCGTCGGGATCGGAACACTCTGGCCTGCCTGCTCAGTCGACGGGCCAAACAGGCTCAGATGGAACAAATGAGTCAGCAGTATGAACAGTATAGGAATCACCACGCCGCCATAATGGAGCAACAGGTCCGCCTGGGCCTCTACTACCGACACATCCTTCAGCAGGCGGTGTTCCAGAGGGCCATCAACCCGGCACCAGGATACGTTTTGCCACAACAACAACAGCAGTTCCTTCAGCAGATGGCTCTCTCCCAGCAAATGCTCATCTTTGGTGGGCAGCACTAAACCGACGAACAACGCCATTAGCCACTTTAATTGGCCAAGTCATGTGATTTAGTTTAATAAGCCTTAATTATTACTATTTATTGTTCACTTTGAAATAAAAACAAAACGCGCATTTAATGAAAATTACCAGCCTTTTGTATTTCCCATATTATTAACCAAAAATCATAAAATCAGCAAAGGGGGAATGACTTTATAAATTAAATTTATATTTACTATGTATTTGTGGCTATAGTTAAACTGAAGAGTTGCAGTTCAAATAATTTGATTTATTTGGTTTTTTTTTAATGCTGGCCACCAAACACACCCTTTCTGGTTAACCAAACAATATCTAGATGACTAACCTTTTGACAGATTTTTCCCAGAAACAATTTACCAAGAGTCATTACCCGGCAAAGTTCAACTAATTGTTGGTTAACAGATTTTCATGGCGTTCTCATTTCGGAGCAGCTTTCGTCAAGGTTCAAGCGCGCTCAAAGAACAATATGATTGCCGGACATAGCTTTTGCCATCGCCTTCAAATATTGACAGAGATCGGATGTGGTGATATGGCCAAAGTCCGTCCAGAGATCTCGTAGTGCCCCAACTTCAAGTTCAATTGGGCAGCGAGGCGGAGTTTTGCAACCGCAACACTCAAAACTCAAAAACTCAAAGCGCAGAAGTGCAATTTTCAATGTTAGAGCGACCGGCCAAAAAGCCAAAAGAGTTGGCCAAAGCAAAAAAACTAACAAAAAACACTTGACAATTAACTGAAATTGAAGTTGGCTGCATGGTACAAGTGCAAAGTGGTTTACTGGGTTGTTGTGGCCGCGACGGAAAAGTTTTCTGCACTTGGATTTTCCATAGGAAGTCGCGCCGCCGCGTATTATCAATGAAAATTAAAAGTAATTAACTGCGCTAGCTGCGATTGCGCAATTGCAAAACAGAGTTAATTACGCGGAGGGGCATGAATACTCGAATCGGCAGCATGAATACTTGAATTAAGCAAAGCTCTTTTTATTTACCTACCCGTACTCGTACTCGTACTGCCTGATCTACTTGAGTGCACTCGCGACGGGTGTGCTCTTGGCCAAACATAAGTCTTGCCAATGCATTTATGTTTTGCTCATCCGAACGCCTGAACTTCCTTATAGACCGTTGATTTTCTACTTGGTTAATCATTATGCAATTGCGTTGGCTGAGTGCCCAGCCGTTAAGTAGAGTGAAAGCACTTTTTAATTTACTTAATACTGTAAGATTGTCTTGAAAGTATAGAATATTGTTTTTACTTTCTGTTAGAAAAAATCTTAATATTACACAACGAATAAAATATTCAAATCATACATTAGATCAGTTCCCAAACATTTTACATTCAAACTGAACAAAGTTCTTACTATCATTTTAAAAAGAATTTATTTATAGAACACATACATATTTAAAGGAATTATTTCAAGAGCTAAATCCATACCAGAACAATGTTCCGGAATCAGTATGATAGCGACACGACGGTGTGGAGTCCACAAGGTCGCCTCTTCCAGGTGGAGTACGCCATGGAGGCGGTGAAACAGGGAGCTGCAACCGTGGGACTAAAGAGCTCCGATTACGCTGTGCTCATTGCTCTTTGCCGATCATCGAAGGACACAAACACTCTCCAAAGGAAGATAATGCCGGTGGATTCGCACGTGGGCATGTCGATAGCTGGTTTAACCGCAGATGCTCGTCAGGTTTGCCAGTACATAAGAACCGAGTGCATGTCCTACCGGCATTCCTACGATTCCGAGTATCCAATTCGCAGATTGGTGGCCAATCTGGGAAATAAACTACAAGCCACCACTCAGCGCTACGATCGTCGTCCTTATGGCGTTGGCATGTTGGTGGCGGGATACGATGAGCAGGGTCCTCATATTTACCAGGTGATGCCCACCGCCAATGTCCTCAATTGCAAGGCGATGGCTATTGGATCTCGTTCTCAGAGTGCTCGAACCTATTTGGAGCGGCACATGGAGAGCTTCGAGAGCTCCAGCAAGGACGAACTCATTTGCCATGGAATTCAGGCCATTCGAGGTGCTTTAGGCCACGAAGATAGCTCCACTCTGACTATTAATGTAGCCATCGTGGGCAAGGATGTGCCCTTCACAACATTCACGGATAATCAGAACAGGGTTTACCTCAACATGGCCAAGGTTCAGGGTGATCCTTTGTCAGGAGAAGAAGATATTTTCTCCGATGAGGGAATGAGCGATGATGACCTGATGGACCAGGGACCAAGTGGCAGTGGAATGCCGGCCGAGGATGCAGCTGATGTGAATTCTAGTCCCTCCACTGGTGGCATTTGAAATCTATTCCAGTAGAAGCAGGAGCTCTCGCAAAGTAAACTAAATTTGTTGTTTTTTGTTTTTAATGTTATTAAAGTTTTATGAAATATAAAAACACGAGGTATTAATTACTAAGATATACGAGAAGAACCACAATTTTTAATTTAATTTAACACAGGCAGTTTCCCATATATTATTATTTTTGTGATGACCAGATTTTCTTAGCAGTTAATCTAGTGAAATACTAGTATTCTGTATTACCATCTTTACAAATTTTCCATTTATCCATAAGGGTGTTATGCAAGTCACCGATTTAAGCGTGACCAAATCGATTACCATGGACTTTACAAAGTTTGTACCCGCAACTAGTTAGGGTGTCTAGCCAGTTTAACTTTAAGTACGACGATGACAGGTGAGTGATGGACGGGAATGGGAGTAGTTAGCTTTTAACCGATGTTCCCTTAGTTGCGGTTTCGATCGGCTTATTGTTTTGCCAGTGGTTCGTCCGGATCGAAGGGTCAATTCGCAGTGAACTTTATCCGAAAGGCTGGCCAAATCGTCAATATGCCACAACGCTCCACAGGGCAATTGCAGAAGGTGCTTCCAACGATATATCCCCTGGAGTGATGATCGCACACGAATCTCTTAAGACGGCATTTGGAGTTCTATTGGCCAGTTCCGGTGGATCCACGTCGGACGAGATTCGAGAGGCAATGACTTTTCGATTAAGGGATCACCCCCATTCTGAGAATACAAGAACGAACCACTTGAAATCTGACTTGGATAAATTCAAGGAGTCCAGTTATGTAGGTGCTTACATACCTTCTGATCTGAAGATATCGCCGGAATTTGAGGCAAAGATTCAGGATATGGGAGCGGAAGTGATGCATTCTTTTGGCAGCAGCACTTTGGAAGAACTTTCTGTTAAACTAGAAGATGTTAGTTTCAAACTAAGGGATTCGGTATCCATAGATGATTTACCCTTCAATCTGTTTTGGCCAGAGTTATTCATTCTAACAGCGGATTCATTTAAAGCTGTTTGGGCGGATGCAGATTTCCACCAGGAGAATCGCAGGATGAGGGAGTTTAATGTGGACAAGCGAAGGAGAACATTTGTGGATACCTTATATGGCTTGGCAAAAAGGCGACAGGTTGCCCATCTTCATGGCTTAAGAGCCTCTATGTTGATATTGCCACTAAAAGATAGTCGAGTTAAGTTCATGGTTTTATTGCCGGATAGAGTAAATGGATTGAAACAACTCGAGAGTGAATTGGAGTTTGTGGATCTGCGCAGTTTACTCGAAAAGAAAATGGATACCCGCATGTACGATGTTCGTTTGCCGGTGATTAATTTATTAACCAATCTTGAGCTGGCCGACAATTTGGGACTCCTTGGCATTCGGCAGGCTTTCAATCCCAAGCAAGCTAACTTTAGCCGAATAGCGGGTATAAACCAGCATCTCTGGATTCGCCGATTTCCACATTTAACCTATTTCAAACTGGACGAGAATGGCATCAATTCTCAGAAACCAAAAAAACGTAAGTTTACGCTTTTTTCATTCATTTGAAGTGCGAAACTTTGAAGATTTTTAAACACGCGTAAATCATAGGATAATTTATAATTAATCTAATCATATCTCAAGAGCACTTACATGTTTCTTTTTTTCCACAGAAAGCCAAGTTCGTTATGATGGTGACACAACAAATCACTTTTATGCTTCACATCCTTTCTTTTTTGCTCTGCTGGACAAGCACAAGATATATGCCACCGGTAGATATGGCCAGTTATCGGTGGACCCAGATGATATGTAAATTATTCTTAAATAACAGATAAAGACTGCCATTAGATTCATTTCAAAAACCAATTTAAATTGTTTACTATTTTGGGAAATCCTTGTATAATATTTTATAAAAGATGTATGATTTAAGTAAAAAATCATTTTTATTTAATAAGAAGTACCTGCTTAACCTTAAAGGGCCCTTAAATATAAATGGCATATCTTAGCATAACAATTTCTTAAAGAAACTTAACAACGTTGATTAGAACTATAACCTATATAACTATATAGTACAATCTCCACAGGAGGCTGGATTCTCAGGCTTGCTCCTGTTTAATGCCGCCGATCAGGTAGTCGATGCTAAAGTTCCTCTTGGCGTTCTCCTCCGGGATTCTCCTCGGAGTGGCCTGCGGGTGGTCTTCCTGCTTCACCAGCTGCTTCAGGTGATTCAGATAGACCTTGGCGCGCAGACTCTGCTCGGCGATCTTGAGGTGTTCCATGGAACACTCCTTGTACTGCTGCTCGATCTGGAGGTCATCGAACTTCTTCTTCCGGCGACTCATCCTGCAGGCAATCGTGTTCTTGTTCCGGCGCTCCTGATCCTTCGGCGATCGCTCCTTCTTCGGGAATTTCCTCACCATATTGACGTGGTACTTGAAGATGTCTTGGATGGCTTCGGTGATGATTGGACTGGCTGAGTGGTAGGAAACGCTCGAAGATGAGGAACCCAGACGTCGGCGCTTCGGAAGTGGTGGAAAATCGGGATCCTGGTCACTGAAGCTCAGATTGATGGACATATCGGCCTCATCGAAGGCACTTCGACTGGTGCAGGGAGTTCCACTCCTGGAGATCAGTTCCTCCTTCAGTTCCAGCTCGACTTTTTCTATGTTTCGACTGACGTCGAACTTTTTGTGGCGATAGATTTGATGGCTCTCCATTTTCGCTGAGATGCTGATGCGTCTTTTCTTCTCGAACTCTCTTGATCGAATGCTGTCCTGTGGCCTGCTTCGCTAGTTTATATGGGGAAAATCTTATCTGCACCCTCGCCGTAATCCCCCAAAAGTTTTATAACTTTGTTTACACAAATCGACGCCGAAATTTTCTTTTTGCAAAACGAAAACAAGATCATAAAACCGCTCGATTTGCCTGCGCACGCGTACACGCCATCCAATCTTTTACCTACATTCAGATGCAGATCCATAAGCCCACCCGTTGGGCATCCGTATCTTTCAGTCATGTTTGTTCTTGCGTGCGTCCAGTACGTATCTTTGAGTTTGCAGATACAATGCCTTTTCGAATCCCCACGGTGCAGTAGGTGGCGAAATGCGCGCCCATCGATTGTCCCGGTTCATTCAATTCGTGTTTGTTCCTCTTTGAAAACTAAGTATTATCTGCAGACTTTTCCAATGTCGCCGCCTTTTGTCAATTTTCGTGGGCTGCTCTTGTTCAATTGGTTTCTTTCCCAAAAGTATTTTGCGGGCTCATTTGTCCAACTCCTTTTGTTCTCGGCTCTTGATAAGGTGTGTGTGGCACTGATCTTTTGTTCTTTGGTTGTTTTTTTTTAGGATCTCAGTTCTTGGAACTGAAAGTGCCATTTTCGGGTTTGCAGTATTAATGGTAGAGATGTTGATAAGATGACTTCTATTTGGGGTTGCAAAAGGGCACATTCTTCTGGGCAGACGACGTCTACTGATTAGGCGGTTTTATCTATTTTGTGCCAGGTTCAGTGATAAATGGCTCATCTGAAATTGGAAAGTGGCCCTTTAGCAGATAAGATTGGAAAATGGCTTAGGTAGAATCTCAGTTTAGCCTTTGCTTTTTATATTTAATATAATATTAGATTCAATCCGATGTAAACTAGGTTCGATATGAGACATAAAGTATTTAATATTATAAGAATCAACGCTGAATCAGTGACATCTATGTACTAAGATATTGGCAGTGTCGTCGCAGTTTACTTAAACGTGACTAAATATTCTCTAATCAAGCCCTTCAAATATTGTAGTAAAGTGCAAAACCAGAATTAACATTATAAACTGGAAGCTGTTAGCACATCCACGGTTGACTGGCAATGTTTGATTTATATTTCCATTACCCATTTAAGGGCGTGTGATTAGCAATTTAGGAAATCCCATTTGTATAACTTAATTTAAGGTGATGGAAATTTAAATTCTCTGTAAAAAAGGATTAGAGTGTATAATATAATATTATAGTTATTTTAACAATGGGGTGTATATTTAAAATATTTGAATTGATTGGTAAATAATTCAGTTTTATAATTAAAAGGTAGAAATTAAAAAATAAAATTTTTTCAACTTTTTTTTTTTATTGTTTTCTAGAAACTTTGCAAAAGGTGACAAGATGAAACATGATTAACCCAGGTAGTCGTTGGAAAAGAGCGAAAAATTCGCTTTAGAAAATATAATTTATGAAAGAGCCAAGACTATATTTTTACACTGTTTACTGCATTCAAATTACTAGGGTTAAGTTATTTATATAACAGTAATTTTGATAGACCACTCAGTATATGGACAGTCTTTGCTTCTGTGGTAATACGTGTGATAATTAGCTAAGAGGGTAAAAAATTGATTGGCTGGCTTGTTTTAATTGCGGTGTTAAGATCTGGGCAAGCTCTTTGAGGAAGCACTTAAGGCGGATCGGATCAACTGGGACAGCTGCCGGTAGCTTCAGCCGGGCTCTGATGGGTAAGTCGGGTCGAACGCGGGTCGCGATAAGTCAAATCAGATGGCTGGGTGGCTTCCACTTCACGACTCTACTCTGTGGGGGAATTTAATAATGTCGTTTGTATTTCTCTGCTGTCTATTGACTTTTGCATTTGCTTTGTTTTCAACTACTGCGACGGTGACGGCGATGTACTCATCATTAGTTCCAAGCTATTTTCGTTTTCAACCCACCGCCCACCGACCCGCCCCCAAATCCCTATTATTTATAATGCTGAGCATCTGTGTTTGTTTGTGTCTCTGTTATTTTTTTGCCTTTGCCTTTGCGATTTCGATTTGATTCGATTGGATTTGTTTTGTTTTCTTCCCATAAATAAAAGCCCGGCACCCATCGCAGCTCTCAGACGTTGATTCGCATTTGCATCGTTGAGGTTCGACTACCTGACAGCTCGTAAAAAACCATTTCACCGAAAGGAAAAGGCAATAAAATATTGCATTTTTAAGCTAATTAAAATAAATAGAAAATCTATATAATTAAAATGTTTCGAGTCTTTTGCGCTGCTTTTATAATTTCCATTTCGGGATTATGTTTGACTGCCGATATTGAGTTGCCGCCAGCGGAGTTTAAGCCGGTCCGAGAATTGCGTGAGTGTTGAAAGCCATTAATTGTGATAAATAATTAAACTCAATATTAAATTAAATAAATTATTTTGTGCCAACACATGTTAACAAAACATACATTTATAAAGATAGATGAGAAGACAGGTTAAAAAGTGTATAAGTACTCATGATAAATAATTAAAAATTATCCTAAAACTATGTTTTAGTTTAAATCATTCCGAATTTTTTTTTGTGCATTTTGTTAGTCGCATTAAATAGTTAATAAATACCTTTTTACTTTTAGTTAAAGAACTCAGTTCAAATAAATATACATTTAAATATAAATCAGGTTTGCATGTTTACAAAACAAAAAAGTTGAACAAAAAAATATAAATACAAAATATGTGTCGTAGTAGTCGTTTAACTAGCGTTTTTATCAGCTAAATAGAAAATTTAAGATACAGAATTGGCTTAATGATAGCAATAATCATGTGAAGCACGCAACTTTGTGTGAATTTTATAACAAAGCGAATTAAGCGTTCGGCAGTCAAAGTTTATATCCAGTTTTCCTTTAAACAATGGCATTGCACAACTACCATAAATTGTCACAAATTACATGAAGTCTTTTACGGAAATAAAATAAAATTTTCGAATTGATGCTGGCCTTTTAAAGGATTTTTTATAGCTAATAAATATGTAAACGAGGCAATACTTCGAAAAGGAATAATGAATACATTCGTATGCAGAGTAGAATATTCCAATAAAATAGTGTGTCGTAATAGGTTCTTTACTCCTTTTTTGATAGAAACAAATATTATATATTCTTTATGATTAACCTCCTCAAACAAATTCAGAAATTTTTTGGTAATGGTTAGTAAGATATTATTTATAAATTAAATCGCTTTGTTTATTTGCATACTGGTTCAAACGTGATCAGACATTTGAGACCATGACAAACATAAAACTTGGATTGTCATGCTGATAGGAACAGTCTTTAAACAGATTTAGCCAAAAATAAGCACTTGTGGCAAAAACATTTGAATTACCTCATTGTCCGAGAAACAATTGTACATGCTATTTTTATACGTTTTTTTGCCGACCGAGTCATATGTTTCTGCAGATATAAATACAACTTTTTTATGGGAGAATATAAAAATAAAAGACAAGTTTGCCGCTTAAGTCTTTTGTCCGGATTTGTCACTTCCGCTAACGACCTTCTCCCAAGGTAGACCAATGGGAAAAGTTTTAATTGCCGGCGTAATCAAACCGAAACGTACTTGAGACGACAGTTCATAACTCCTCTAATTAAATGCAGGAATTTGAGCCTATCTCACTGGAAAAATCAATTCTAATCAACAAAATAAATTGCGCATAACGTTGACAATTATGCGAGCAGCGAAACAGAAAATTCTCAGCTAGAAAAAATGTCACGTTCTGAACATAGACACATCGATCTCGATCTCGGCTGAGATATGACTAATGTCTCATGCTGAACAGCATAAATATGTCAAGGTTCGTAGGCACTAATTTAATTTATTTGGCATTCGGCAGCTAACGATATTCCGACTTGTCGAGAGGGCGACATCAACATCAACGAGTGCATCAAACAGGGCATCCAGCAGATAACGCCACGCATGAAGTATGGAATCAGCGAGCTGAACATCCCGCCCCTCGATCCCTTCGAGATGGGCAAGAGCTCCTACAGCTACAACTCCGGACTCCTCCAGGGTCGCATCTCCATGAAGAACGTGGTGGTCCACGGCCTCAGCACGGGAATCGTGGACAAGGTCGACTTCCGGCTGAAGAACGGAAAGGTTCGCATGGAGATCCTCTCCCATGTCCCACAAATGTTCGTCGAGGGTCTCTACAAGGCGGACATCAAGCTCAACGACCTCAAGCTGAACCCAAAGGGAACCTTCAACATCACCATGAGTGAGTAACCCAGAAGAACGCACACCAAGAGCGTTCCGCTTTTGTGTATCTTTAAGGTCGTTTCAAGTATATCATAAAGGGGCAGCTAGTTCTTCCATGACATTAAGACTTACAAAAAATTAAAAAAATTATAATTAAAATATTTTTGTAAATTTATTTTCTTTTCCTTCCTTTAACATTTACTTTTTTTTTTTTTTTTTTTGTACTATTAAAACTTTTTTGATTTATACGTACCTATGTTGTTCATTTTGATTTTTAAAGTTTACTATTCCCAAAGATTTGAAGTATTGCCCTTTTTTTAAACATTTTTATATGTTTGTCTACCTTTTACATTCGTGATATTTCAAAAAAACGTTATTAAAACTATTTTTTACTATGTTATTTAGAAAATATCATGTGATATTGGTCTATTATGACATAGTAATATCTAAAATTTAAATGACTTTTATTATATATTTTAATGGTTTGTTTTGATTTACAGCTGATGTTGCCATGAAGGCGAGACCCATTGGCGAACTTTATGAGCGTGATGGACACACCTACCTGCGTTTAACCAAACTGGAGACTGAGCCCAAGGTGGGTGACCTGAAATTCTACGCCAACGGACTGGTTCCCGATCCGGTGCTCAGTAAGTGTCTGCTTCCTAAGTATAATTACATTTTAACTAAAATTAAATCACTTTTAGACGATGTTATCTTGGACTTTATCAATCAGTACTGGCGTCAATTGTATCAGGCGATGCTTCCCGAGACTTTGTCCGCCTGGCAGCCTTTGCTCCTTAAATCCTCGAATGATTTCTTCGCTGCATTACCATTTGATATGCTTGTTACCAAGAATTGATATCCCGACTTAAATACTGTTATTCTATTTATAACGTTAGGCTTCATCTGTTCTACTCAAGGTGTTAGCATAGTTTTTACCGAAATAAAGATGAATTTACTTAAATGTTTCCTTGCATTTAATACTTCTAAAAGTAGTTTAAATATATTGCAGAAGTATATATATATAGTATGACTGTTGAACATTAAGTTTCAATTACTTTCAATTAACGTTTGCCAAACAACATTTTCCTGTGCTAATCAAAGATTCAATTTACCCTTAACCCTTTTAATGATATCGAATTAAACCTTTAAGTTTATTGCTTTATTGTAGAACAAGTCTATAAAAAATATTTTACGGCCCAGTCATGGATAATAAATTAAACCGATTAAAACGTTTGGGAAGACTTCGAGCTTCCGTATAAAATTAATTTTCATTCGTATGACAATTGAGAAAGAAAGATATGGTACAGATGAATGATACTATAAAAAACTTGAGTAGTTCTCTATGCCATAAATCGGATAATGCAAAAGTATAGGGCAGATTATAAGAAAGCTTAATCAATTATTCCTAATTATTTTCTTAAACATTTCGTTGTACTTACGTACTTTAAAAGTTCGAAGTGAAATTAACCTAAGCCTTCCTTAGAATCCAATGAAGCTAATTTCAGTTTTCGCTGTGAAGTCGTCGTAAAGTTCATAGTATCACTATGGAAATGACTCACTCAATGTGAAATTCTGTTTAGGCTCGATTTGGTAGCCCTTCGACTTCGACATTGTGCGACTCATCAAATAGCCAAAAATCAGCAGCCCATTATTAGTATACGTACTTGGTAATTAGTAGAAGAATTTATCGCAAATCATCGTTCGCATTTTTTTTCCATTTAATAATACGACATTATAAATCAGAGATACGGAGCCGGTTTGACGTTCAGTCAAAGTCTAGCCGTTAGCTGGCTAATGTTTTACTGATTTAAAAGTAAAATGTACTTAGCTAGTTACTAAGTTTCTGAGTTTCTCACTTGCAATGTGCAATGGTGTGCTAAATCGAGAATAAAATAGCTCGACTTGGAGTCTGGGAGCTTCAGTTGTTGTTTAACGTTCTAGCAGCAGGTTCAAATCGGTTTGAGCCCAAAAAGGATATAGCTTTGTAGTATAGTAGAACCAACGAAATGCATTACGTTATTGGATTGCTGTGCCTGCTGGCTTTTGGTGCCAATGCAGCTCCTGCGGGCACTGATTACTTTAAAGGTATGTCAAATAAAAAATACTTAGATTTGATTTGTTTTATTAAATATTTTCTTTATTAAAGATTTGCCAAAGTGCTCTACCGAAGAGGACCAACTGGGAGAGTGTGTCAAGGAGATATTTAATACACTGACTCCCCGCTTAAAGGACGGAAATCCCGAATTGAGAATTGAACCCTATGAACCTCTGCGTCTCAATAGAACTAGTTTCCAGTACACCAGTGGTACGGTCAACGGTCGGATTACAATTCGTAATGCCAAAATCTACGGATTCGCCTCAAACCGGGCTAAAGAAGTATCGGTCAAGTTAACTGGCGACAAGGTGAAGCTGCGCCTGGTCACCAAAATGCCCAAATTGAACATTGTGGGCAGCTATAAGGCCGACATGCAAGTGAATCAGCTGAATTTAAAACCCAAGGGGGATTTCAACGTAACGCTTTGTAAGTAAATGAAACTCAAATTTTTGGTTTATTTAATTAATTTTTTACCACTCCGTTTGCAGTTGATGTGGAGGCAACCACAGTAACTGATGGCGAAATCTACGAAAAGGATGGTCACCGGTATTTCCGATTGAAGAACATCGATTCGAAGCCAAAGATTAGAGATTTGGACATCAAGGCCAATGGAATATTCGCAGATCCTGAATTGGGTGAGTTTAAGGGTTTAGTGTGAGTCAAATATCAACTGATTTAAGGCATAAAAAATATACAACCTAAGTTTTATTAATAATACGTTGATGGATTTTATGTTAAATCATTTCTGACAAGAAAACAAAGTTTTCAAAAATATGAAAAAAAGCTAGTAGATTTTATTATACATACTAGGCTATTCATTTTATCGAATAAAAAAGTCATAAATGTTTAAAAGCAGGGACCCATAAAGGCACTTTTATGAGAAGTTTTTCTATTACATTGGAAAGTAAACCGCATTAGTATATTTGCCAATCATTAAATGAATCTCCGACGTAAGCTGGCTAACAAATTAATTGATTTAGAATCAATTACACCGTAAAGGCAAACAAGTTGTAACGCTATAGTAAACATTCTATTTAATCGATACAATGTTGAACGCTTCTAATTGTTTCTCGTTGCAGATAAAGTGGCTCTGAACGTTGCCAATCAGTATTGGCGCGATATCTACGGAATAATGCTGCCCGAGACCCGTCAGTTTTGGCAACCCCTTATGCTGCGAATGTTCAACGAGGCTCTCGAACTGGTTCCCATCGACCAGTTTCTCAAGGAGCAGCCCAATTAGCTGCTGAATTCAAAATGTGATGATTTTTTTAATGGAAAGTAAATCGTTTTCATTATCCGTTATTAACTGGCAATAAATTTTATTTTATAAAATATACATTTATTCTTGGCGCCGTTTGGATTAATTGTAAATTAAATTCCAGATTTATTGCTCTTTGTCATGCCCTAGTTGGAAATGTAACACACATTTTTTTGTAAAACTATGCCCGGTGGGTGATTTAATGATAATAGCGTTAATAGGTTAAGTGCTCCCCGACTTTTGACCTTGACTCGGATTGTGGTACAGTGAAATTGAGCAAGACTAAAGCGCCTCTTATGACTATCTCCGAACTTTAATGGTGTGGGAAATTTATTATTCAGTTGGGCCGAAATCCCGGCGGCACTGCAATACCGGGCCAACCCGCGACAGAGGTGGAGCAAGCCCCTAGCACTCCGTCTGATTCCAAAAATCAGTTTAACATTTGTTGTCCTCCAATGGAGGAACTATCAGATGTTAAGCTGATAAGAACAGATACTACACTTTGATCTTAGCCATAAGGCCGAGAAGCGATAACTTGAATTAAAAAGTAATGAAGCTCTCCATGAGCAATTGGCTAAAATCAGTTGGGAATTAGAAATGTGAAAGTAGGGAAAGCATAAAATTATCCATTGCATATCTTAAGGGTTCTGATGACTAATTTCACATATTTCAGGTAGTTTAAAATAGCCAAAGAAAATAAGATGAAAAATGACTAAACGCATACATACTTTAAGGGTGGCTTACATCACAGAATGAACGTTATAATTCCCAACGAGTTCAAGCGCGTTCTGAGTGAAAGGGTAGGTTTTTCGCATTCAATAATCACTCTGGTTTCTCTTCAATTGTCGAATAAATCTTTCGCCTTTTACTAAAGATTTCCGTGGAGAGGAACACTCTAATGAGTCTAAACACAATTTTTAGTAGTGCCTAGCGACTCCGGTTGCAGGGCCATAATAAATACATTTTATACTTCTTTTAATCAGGGGCAAAGTATCATTGCATTCGATTTATTTTCTTATATTAAAGTTTACCATAAAAGTGACGAAATTTTACTTGGCCAAAGTTCAAACCATTGACGGCGCTAAGCATGCCATAAATCAGCTTATTATATTGCATTCAATTATATATATATTCTTAATGCCTATGATGTCTGGGCAGTTCCGTGCTGGGAATTTAAATCAGCAACAGTGGCAACTTTGTGGATACAAATTCCAAGCAAACACGCGACTGTCGTCGATCCAAAGAGAAGCCCGTCATATTGAGTAGGTATTTAAACTATTTAATTATATATATTTGGCTGGGAATTTGTGCAAAATGATTAGATTGCTTCCGTAGCAAAGTTCATTGCTGCAAAATTCTGATTTTAGTTTTTTGCACTAAAATCTTGCGTTTGGTCAGTCGAATTTTCAGAGATGTCACGTACCAGACTACCTTGAACATCGATTTGTTCACTTGCACACCCACAAAGTCACAAGTTCATGAATAATTTTATGTGCCATAAAGAGCTGTTAAGATTTATAACTGACCCACATTTTACATGAACACCTCGGAGGGCCTCACTGTTGAATGCTGAATGTTGAAGTGCGTCTCAAACTGGGAACTGGGAACGTGCCTCGCACTTTGACTGAAAACAGGGATTGGAGGTTGTGGATAGGAATGGGGAAATGCCTTCTCGATTTCCTCATTGTTGGCTATGTTTGACAGATTGGTGGGAACAATCATCCGACAGATGCAAATCCATGAGTTATTGCATTGGTATCTTTTCTATACATTGCCTAAAACTTTTACTTAACATTGAATAAAATACAGAAAGGCACTAATTAAACTTGTAAAAGTATAATAGTTTTCAGCAAGTTATTAGTAGTAGTTATAAATTAAAATTAAATATATTATAAAAAGTATTCTGTTCAAATCTAGCTCTATTAATGATTAAAATAAATATTGTTTTCCTTGAATATGTCACTTGATAATTATCATTATGATAATTGATATAATTATTTATAATTATTTTCTGATTGTTTGCATTGGCTTACAAATTTTAAATCAAGTGGCAGCAAAAAATAAATGATTTGTATCATTTTACTAAATATATAGGTATTAATATTTTCGAAAAAAAAAAATATAACACACTTACCTAAAAAAAGAACCACATTTAAAATTTAAATACATATATTGAAAATAAAAAATATATTAAATATCAATATGCTTCAAATTGTGGCTCTAAAACCTCGAAAAGCTTTGTGTTTTTTGGTGAGATGAGCTTTTGAGATCGGCTTTACCTTCGGCTGTGACGGCCCAAAGCCTTCGAAACGACCGATTTCGTGGGGCTCTTTGGCCATATGTTGTTGCTGTTTGCTTTGGCTTCGGCAGCCGCATGGAAAAACTTTTGAACGAGCACAAAAATCGGACAGCTTGAAAACTATAAATAAACGTGGCTTTTATGCAGCGCTCATTTCAAGATTTGCAAGCAACGCGCCGCCAACTGAAAATACAATTCGTTTGTCCATTTTTTGCGAATAAGTTTGGCAATTAGCTGGCTGAGATTGTGTGCATCCCTGTGTGTCCGTGTGTGTGTGTGTGCAGCAATTGCAGCAACAATTGCAGTTAACCGAGAAAACCGAAAAGCCAACAAAAAAGCAACTGTAAAAAGCGCTCGTGAAGAAATAAAAGTGAAGCCGGTTTGCAAAAAATTACGCAAATAAAAAAAGGAAAAACGGAGACAGCCGAATTACCGTCTGCACTGAATTCGTGTGTTAAATCAAGTCACACGAAAAATAGTCAATAGAAGAAGGAGTCCAGTAATCAATTGAAACGAGTTTTGCATCGGCCGCTTTGTGCTGAGGAAATCGGAAAAACGGAAAAACAGCCACCCAAAATGCAGTTGCTTTGCATCTCGCTCGCCGTTTTGGCCGCCTTGGCACTCGGAAGTGGATATGCGGCCACGCTGCCCACCAACTCCGCTCCCAGTGTTTTCAGCAGCGATCCCAGTCCCAACTCGAATTCCAATCCGAGCGAGGAGTTTGCGGACAGCGAGTTGGCTTTGCCAGCGGGGTCAATTGATTTGGGCGATGCAGGTAAACGGGCTTATGCAACCGAGTCGAGAACTTGATATTCAAACAAAATGTCACTCCCATCCCACGCCCTCAAAAGTACACACACTCCTTATTCAATCAGCAAGAGATAAGAAGTTCGTTGTCTAAGTCTTTTGTTTGCCCAGTTGGTGCGAAAAATGCCTGCAAAAACTCAGCCGCGTGTGGCATTTTGAACCAAAATTTACTTTATATATATTATTTTCGAGTTTATGTATTTAGTCGCAAAAATGTTCTGAAGTACAATGTGGTGGAATTTTTTTGATTTTTTGCCAACTGCGGTTTTCAGAAAGATATTGATTTTTGTTTTGGTAATTTACTGGTTTAGCTAGATTTTGCAATACTAGTTGATTATGTGCTTTTTGCAAAAAGATAAAATAACAAGAAAAGCAAAATGTGTAGAGTAAACAGATCCATTCAGATTTAATTATTATTTTCTTTCTTATTATATGATTTTCGATTTTTAATAAGTATTCTATTATTTTTTTAAATTGTGTTAAAAAACTTAACTGCCAACTACGTCGTACTTTTGGTTTCGCACTCTCACTTCCTGTTTTCAAGAACAAAACCTTACATACGTTCTTTATTTGCTCTCCACTGTTAACCACAATAAGTTTTCTTCGTTTAAATTCAGTACAGACCTTGTGCGGTGTGCCTTCCATGCCAATCTTTTGAGATTACTCATTGTAGGCTTCTTGAAAACACTTACCTGAGCTGTGCATAAACTTAACACCGCTTTTATAGGCCTGTAACCTTCAAAACCAAATGAAATTGGGAAAAATACTGAGTAACTGCAATCGTAAAAGAGTGTGTTTAATGAGATTTGCCAAGAGCAAAGTTCGGGATACAGAAAAATAAATTGCAATAGAAATTAGCAAGTGAATTCGCAGTAAAATCTTTATGTTTATTTGGTTTTTAACGCTTTTGAAATGGCAAGTGGAATATGTATGTAAAAAGAGCGACAAGCAAGTCATCGCCTGTGCCACTTGAACTTGACACACTTACACCTGCTTTTTGGGTAAAAGTTATCAAGTCGCGCCGAAACGCAAATCTGCCAGCAAATAGAAATTGTGACGCAAGTCGTGGCGAGTTATAAATGCAGAATAAACACGAGATAATGCAGGCTCGAGAAATCCGTTTGAGATATTGGCAATTACATTAATTTAATCAAGCATGAGGTGTTGGCTGGCCAGTGTGCGTGTTTGTATCGCTGTGTTGTTTGCGCTCTTGCGAAAAGAGTTCAGCGTCAACAAAAGCGAGAAACGAGGCTTAAATCCAATACGAAACCGGCTGCTGTTCGCTGACAAAAAGCGAGAAGCTGAAAAACTGACCTACATCAATGCGTAAGCGGCGCTGCTGGGCTTGTGCCAAACCGAAAGCTGTAATTGTAACTTGTAACTTGTCTCTAATTGCGCAAAGAAAACCGTCAACAAGCTACGCTACGAACTACGTACTAAAAAAAACTTGTCCAGCGGACATTTATTGACATTTACTTGTGCAAACAAAGGACTTAGGCAACGAACTTTAGTGCGACCCAACCCTTTTCCGTCACCTCTCAGTTTTGACATTTTGCTGATTCGCCGATTTGCTTCATGCCATGATTTACCGAGGTTCGGTTCACCTTTGACATTGAACTTGTCGGGCGAAGCAAAAAGGAGAAATATAAAACAAAACAGTGGGAAACAAATTCGGGCACTCAAGCCAAATGACTTAATTGGCGGCTGTTCACGTGCGTAATTCGCCTTTGGATTGGCCAAAGTTTGTCTCGTTCTTCAAGTGCTTAATTGCAAGCTTTAAATTTGTTTTCATATCTTTAAATGTCGAATTGCCTTGCCAGGGAACATAAAACTAATTACTTTCCGCTTGTCATAAGAAGGAGAAGAAGAAAACAAGTGGCGTGACTAAATATCATTTCAAGTAAAATTTAATTTTAACAACAAGTTTTTAGTGAGAATAGGCTACGTAAGCTTCAAATAAAAAGAAGCAATTAAAAAACCTTTATTTTTTTTATTTTTTAATATGAATATGTAGTTTCAACAAGTATAAAAATAAATGTGCAAAGAAAAGTTGACGCAGTTTGCAATTTATATAAAGTTAAAGTTCATTTTATGTTTCTATTTAAAAAAATTTTTTTTTTAAATAATAATAATAATTATAATAATAATAATAATAATAAGTAATTAAAAATGTAATACTAAAATTTATATTGGTTTTAGATCTAGTTGAGCTAAAAATTTTGGAAGTTTACCTTTACCTTTAAAAATTATGCAAATTTTACGGGAAGATCCAATACTTTTTAGGGTTTGTTTAAGGTATAAATTTCAGTTCATTTCCTTAACCCTCAATACCTTGTCACCGAGTGTCACCGTGACACAAACCCCAATTGCATTCAAGAGAAGACACGTGGTGACAGGGACACGTGAACTTGGTCATGCCTGGTTGGCTGCCGCAAAAGCCGAAAAACGAAATAAATATAATAGCAATAATGGTTATAAGCTCCCCTCGGCTTAGGCGCTTATGCTATGCCTCGACGAACTTAACAACTGGGGCTAGCCATGACTTAACCGACTTGTGAACTAATCTCGCATCACTTTCGCCTTTCAGTTGCACCATCGCCAGCTTTGCTGTCCAGCGACTCGAATGAGGTGGTACCCTGTAGTCTCAGTTCACCGGAGCTGAATGAGTGCATACGCGGTTTAATACAGTCGTTTGCCCCGAAGTTGAGGTATCGGGGAGTTCCTGAATACAACATGGACTCCATTGATCCGTACTTCTACAAGAGGGGAATCTTCCGGTACACGAACGATGGCATCCAGGGAGGACTACTGATCAAGAACATGGAGATCTACGGCATCAGCCAGTTGCAGGTGAACTCTGTGGCTGCCAATTTCACGGACAGTGGCTTCATAATTAAGCTGGGCGTTGAGCTGCCGCAACTGAAGGCAGGCGGACACTTCAAGGCGGACGTGAAGTTCGGCGGATTGCGACTGGTGCCCAAGGGACCCTTCAACATCACCATAGGTGGGTTTTGGCTTAAAAAAAAACTTATTGGAACACCTGCCTGATACTTTTACATTCCCCAGACAACATCAAGGCCACCATTCTGACCGACGGCCACATCGAACAGCTGCCCAGCGGTCAGCAGCGTCTCAGTTTACACCGCCTGAATGCCAATGTCAATATCGGCGATGCCAAGGTGGTGGCCAATGGCATTTTCTCCGATCGCAACCTGAGTAAGAATATAGCCCTCCATATATAATTACCCTTTCTGATTGACTTATTTCGATTCTAGATGCCATGATTCTCAATCTGGTGAATGAGAATCTCCCGGAGATCACTCGCGTTGGAATTCCCGCCACCCGCGAACAATGGGCTCCCATTTTAATTGCCCATATTAACGAGTTCTTCGCCAAGGTTCCCATCGAGAAATTCCTGGTTCAATGATCCACTTGACCCGTTCTCAAGCAACACTTAGCTCCTAGTTAGTTTTAGCCTAATGTTAACGATTACAAATTTATCTTAAGCGCTGTTTCCAAATAATTTTCTATGCACCAACGATTTGGCTAAAATTTGGAATGATTTTTAACAATTACCAATTTGTATTTATTTATGTCGTCCATTCTAAACAAAAAAAGAAGCTATGTGGAAATTTGAAAAAATAAATTCTCCTTTCAAAGAGGCTGCTTTTTTTGGTGGTAATTTTTTTTTTTTTTTTTTTTTTATTGTAGTCGGAATTGTTCAAGATAATAAAAGAAAAACAGGGGAAAAGAGAAGGGGGGAGGGAGGGGAGAAAAGAAAAAAAGGGAAAGGGAATGGGAAAAAAAAAAAAAAAAAAAAAAAAAAAAAAAAAAAAAAAAAAAAAAAAAAAAAGATCGCTGGGGTGGAATCTTTTTAGTCGTCTGAGGGTTTGCGGGTCGGCCAGCCTGCCTGCCAGTGGATTTGGGTGGCTCGTTAGCCTATCCGAGTAACGCCGGCTGTGTTGGTTTAGGAGGTCGCCCACAGGAACAAGGCGTAGGTCGTTTTGGATGGCCTGGTTTGTCACATACCAGGAAAGTCCCGATGCCCGTCGAGCAGCACGTGCCTGCACTACCCTCAGCCTGTTTAGCTGGTGCTTGGATGCGGTGCCCCATACTTCGATTGCATACGTCCATGTTGGCGTAAGGATTGCTTTGATGAGCAGAACTTTCGTCGAGAGCTGGAGGCTTTTGGAGCTCAGCAGCCAATCGAGCTTTTGGAGTTTGCGAACGCATTTGGCTCTGATCCCCGTGATGTGGGTGTTCCATATGAGCCAGTGATCTAAGTGTACACCCAAGTAGCAGTGAGAGGTGGCGTTTTCACTCTTGTCGGCCGAATCAATACCACCACGCAAACAGCCACACGAACAACTACTACCAACAAATCATCCATAGCCTCAATGCTTTCGGCCACCAAATGCGTTTTGCAATGAGCTGCGCACAAAATTATGCAATAGTTTTTTACGTATTTTAATCATTTTGTCGTGAAATTCCAATTGAATTTCTCGTTCCCGCTTCCCTTTTGTGCTTTTGTTTTTTAAAATTTTGATCTCTTAATGCTTGAATTATTTTTTGGCTGCAATTATTTTTTGTCTGCTAAAATTATGTTGTTAACCATGCTTAGTCCACTAATGTTATTATTTTAATATTATTTCGTTGATTTTTATTATCGCAATTTTATTTTTCCTTTCTTTTTAATTTTTTACAGCTTAGTTGTTAGCGAAAACAAAAAAAATGTTGTTATAAATTAGCTATACAAAACTATTAATGCTTTTTTAATTCATTTGGCCAACGATCTGAAATAAAGAATATTTAATTTCCAAAATGTATGTATGCGAGTAGTTTTGAATAATTTAGAGAGTTTTGTAATTGCTTATATATTTATAGGTGCGAATATAGTTACAGGTAAGTCAACGAATCACACTTTACTTTGGGAAAATCCAAACAATTTAGTAGGAAATATTCTATTTTGCATAAACAACCTTATCAATGTGTTAGTTATACTTTGACGCAAGATTTTCTCAGACCTCTAAATTTAATCTGTGATCTAAGCCTCAGCTGATAAGCTTATTTATTGAACAGCGTAATTATTGTGTTACAAAGTTCGGTATTATTTGATTAAAGCTTTTGATTTACTTGGTGGGTTCTTGCTGCTTGAGTTCCTCTCCGTTTCCCTTGACGGTGCTGAGAACAAATTTGGCATGCAGAATTCAACCATTTCTATCCACGATTGTCTTGACTAACTCGCCGTTGTTGTTCTCAATGTCCGAAGCAGTGTGGTCCACCTTTTGCAGGAAATCATCTATGGTTCTGTCACTTCCGTCGATATTTGAGGGCGAGAGCGTGGGAAGGGGCACCAAAGTTCGCTGGGTGGTCGAGGTTGAATCCACAACGGGAACGAAGACAGGATCGCGTTCGTTTTGGCGGGTCACAAATATCGAGTTGGTGTCGAAGGGTCCAGCTCTCGATGAGGGGAAAAGTGCACTGGGCGGACTCGGTGCAAAGCCGGGATTAATGGCACCAAGTCCCTTCGAAACATCGGGGAATATCTGGCGGAAGACATTGGTTCTTAGATCAAGGATGCCACTATAAGTGCTCGTCGTGGTGGTCACATTTCGTCCTTGACCGTCCACTTCCGTTTTAGTCGTGACTTGTGGCGTCAGACCAGCAGGCACATCCCAGCTGGAAAACAGTGAGCACAGACGATCGGGATTGACCACGTACTCCAAGTCTTCCTGCGGCTTCGCGCGGCTATTATCCTCCAGCCTGGCAGGAACTAAAACCAATATGATCTAGAGCCTCGAAAGGGAAGTGCCATCCGGACTGAGATTGTAGGTCACCGTGATCAGATCTCCCGTTGGACTCAGGCTCCTGATAACCAGCGGCTGTCTGCTGCGCCACAATTCACGCAAACCCACTTAGTCCAATCCCAACGACCTGGCCGACTCTCGAAGGGACTCGCTGGGTCCACTTTCAGGCATGTATTCCACGTCTTCTTGTGGCTTCGCGTGGCTATTATCCTCCAGCCTGGCAGGAAGTGTACCCTCTGTGACCTTGCGCCTCGAAAGGGAAGTGCCATCCGTACTGAGATTGTAGGTCACCGTGATCAGATCTCCCGTTGGACTCTGGCTCCTGATAACCAGCGGCTGTCTGCTGCGCCACAATTCACGCAAACCCACTTCGTCCAATCCCATTGACCTGGCCGACTGTCGAAGGGCCTCGCTGGGTCCACTGTCAGACACGTAGTCCACGTCTTCTTGTGGCTTCGCGTGGCTATTATCCTCCAGCCTGGCAGGAAGTGTACCCTCTGTGACCTTGCGCCTCGAATTGGAAGTGCCATCCACACTCAGATTGTAGGTCACCGTGATCAGCTCTCCCGTTGGACTCTGGTTCCTGATAACCAGAGGCTGTCTGCTGCGCCACAATTCACGCAAACCCACTTCGTCCAATCCCATTGACCTGGCCGACTGTTGAAGGGCCTCGCTGGGTCCACTTTCAGTGGCTCTCGTTGCTGCCATCTATTATAGACGGAAAACGTTTTGTGTCTTCTAGATACACAGAAACTTTCATGACGTACCTCTAGTTGGAGCAGCAAAATGCTGGCACAGATTGCCAGAAAATATGCGCTATTCATTTTCGAGCTTTTCACTTCAATTGCCTGAATCGAACTGAGCTTGGGGTTTATAAGCTTGCCGAGTTTATATGCAGTTGTCGTCTGAAGGTTGTCGTTTTGTTTCGCAAAATGTAGAGTGCATTTTGTGGAAGATTCGCACATTATCTTAAAGATTAAGAGTCGATTTGTTTTTTTTTGTTTATAATCATGCTGCTGATTACTAAGTACCCTGCAGTTCTGGAGGTGGCGATTGGTCTTGCGTAGGTGCTTACTTCGTCGATTACCATATGGGTACTTACTCTACTGACCCTACGGTAAACGAGCTGCGAACCAGCTTCTAGCTGGATTCTACATGGGTACTTACTTTGGTGACCCTAGGGTTATCGAACGCCGAACCACGTAATAGAAATATGTATGCACACGAAAGCATAAACGAAAATTCATAATAAAAAAAATAAAAGGCGATGTTTTTGATATTTTGAGCAACAGGGCAAAGTAAATGTTGAAAGCATAATTTCGATTACAGTTAGATCTATTTATGTTGCGCCATTCTTTCGCTGAAACGCATTTGTGTTTGCCGGTTGTCAAAGTTATTCTAAGCATTGCAGTTGAGTGGAGAGAAGCGGAGCAAACGCAAATTAATTGGTAAGTAAAACTAATTATATTAAATGTTTTGGCTAATGAGGTGGTTTTGGCTTATAATATAGATGGTGTTCAGGGGAAAGCGGCCTTAAAAATGAAAATAGATTTCTATGGTGTCATGATTGGTAGGTATTTATAATCAGGCCTGTTAAATTTGAATTAAGATTAATAATCATTAAATTTTTCTTATTCCCAGATTCCATATATGCTGCGAAAGGCCTTGCAGCTCCAAAAAAAGAGGCACTTTAAAAAATTCTAGCGTTAACAAAAAAATTAAAAAAATGTATTTATTTAAAAATAAAAAATAAATAAATTAATAATGCATTTCAACATTTGTTACTTCTATTATTTTAAAATTAATAATGGGTACTTACATTACCGACCATTCCATGGGGTCCCATGTAAGTACTTACATTACTTCCCTATGGGTTCTAGGAGGGGTATTTTAGTTCTGGTATACGACACGGTGGCGACTGACCCTATTTGCGGACATTTCATACAAAAACGGAAATGAAAGATCGCATTGCTTTGGGCCGATGGGTAAGTAGGGGTGGTCTGCTGGTAAGCGCTTATTTCACCAGCTACGAACCAGCGCGCAGTACTGCAGGGTACGAACCAGCGCGCAGTACTGCAGGGTATGTTTACTCAAGATACCCAAAAGTATACTTTAACTTTTGTTATCTTACGTAACGTAAGACAAAACGTAAAAAAAACGTAAGCAAAAAGGTAAATTTAAAAGATGAGACACATTGTCGTTTTGTAGTTAAACCTTTCTGTGGAAAATTTAAAACAAATATTTAGATCAATTAATTTTGTCAAAGAACAATTTAAATATATTTATATTATGATTTTTTTTTAGTTGATATTTTTTTGGCTAGAAACAAACTAGAAGGTGGTAAAAGCTAAAGTATTGTTTAGATTGACCTAAAAAGAGGATTTAATTTATATTATTTAATCCACAAAGAAAGCGATGAGAATTATAATTTAGAAACATCAGCTAATTGCCCTATAAATAAATTTCAATGTTCAATGGCTCCAATTTTCAAGTGGCTCATTGAGCACTTGGTGGGCGAAGTTCCCTTGTCAGAACATCCAATTGACTCTCAAACTGAACGAGCTTGAAGACGTTGAGAACTGCAAACTCGATCGCAACCAATCCCACTGAAGCGTTGTTAAAAAACAATATTCAATATTCAACACTCCCACTTGCCGATCAATCAAAGGGGGCGAATGTACCCCAAGGCTCCCAATTACAGACAATTAGTTGGCAAAATATTGAAACACAATTATCCCAGTCGAAAGGTCCAGGCCGTGACACTTAACTTTCCATCGATCACCATTTGGAACTGGATTCGAGTGCCTTTCATTGAAATGATCTGACCGATTCTCGGGAAACAATTGGATTAAATTGTGATATTTCTAACACCCAAGGCGCCGCGTAATCCTACCATACATAATGTGATTTCAACAAAGCCCTGATTAATGTAGATTTTGAATTCAATCCTGATTTAGAGGTGCGATTCCTGTCGCCAGTTCAATGCTCGCCGAGGGTCGTACATTTTGCATATTATTTAGTAAAAACACTTACATCAGCCGATCGATTCAAACGAGTCTACTTCAACTGGCCGAATGGATGGTGAAGAATCAAATGCAATGTGCGCCACGGAATTTAAATGGAAATTCAATCCAGCCATGCAGTGAAAAGTTTTATAGGTAAGTTAAACAGGGTTTTATATTTTAGTACCTATCTTTTAGATATAGATATTTAAAATGCAAAATGTACATTGAAATTTATATTAAGGGGCAATTTATATTTATTGTTGAAGGATATTAAAAATCAAAAAAGGTTATTTTAGGTAAATTGTTAAAGAAGGAAAAAATTGAAGAATATAATGACATCTTTATATAGCATATTTAATATGGATCTTAGCAAAAATATTTTTACTGAATAGTTTGGTTTTTCTTTTTGATCCCAGTCATTACAAAATTTCAATTTCTAATATGAAAATTGCTATCAAATAGGATTGGTTTTCTGAGTGCATTATAATAACCAAGTGAGCCAGAATGAGAAGATGCAACCGCAGCTGGATCTTTCATTTAGTAAGTAGTATGCAGTCGCACAACTTCCCGGCGGCGGCAGAAAGAGTAGCCCGCCCTGTTCAGTCTGGATTTGTGCGTGTTCCGGATCGGATTCAGGATCGGGTTGGAAGAAGAAGAGCACTCTTCAGGCCGGCTGCCTGGTGGGCAATCCAAACGGAGGCGTTGCCGCAACTAGTTTAGTTTAGTTTCAGTGGCCATCGCGATGCGCATGTGTGCATTTGAAGGCGGCCCAATAAGTTGGCCAAAAGTGAGTCGTCGGCCGAAAGAAACGCGTTCATAATTGACATTTTTCGGCTGCTCCGGCTGTTCAACATTTTCTGCCGGCTTCGCAGTCGCAGTCTTCTGCTTTCGTCGACGTCGTCGTCTTCTTCGTTTGGCAACGGAGCTGTTAACCAAAGCCCAGAAATTCTGTTGCCTCAGAAGCGATCGGACCTCCCAGCCCAGCAGACGGTCCTGTCCGTCTAACGCATCGAAAATCAGAACCGAGAATCGGGAATCGAGTATTGAGTATCGCGTATCGAGTATCTTAACTCCGAGAACTTCGTCTCTTCGCGATCGTAGTCGTGGTGGTCAGGTGAATGCCATCGGGGCAACGTGCCTGGCATTCGAAGAGATATATATTCTGAGTCGCGGATTTGTGGTCGCGGTTCCCTATACTATATAGCAGCCAATTTATATATGGTCTGCCCCGTTCAAAACGAAAACAAATTGGGAAGATATCGCCGCGCAGCGAAAGCAACAAATATCAAAATGTTTGCATTTTTGCAAGTTTTATTACTTTGTGTGCATTTGCTGCATTTTAAAATTGTATCGGGAGTAGATCTTCCCTCGCTTTCGGGAGGAGCAGACGTTCCCTGAGTGGCGAATTGGTGAAATAAATGTGGAGCCCGAGGCAGGATTGTTCAAAGCCAATGCTACAAATGGGGAAAAATTCCAAGGAGCGGTGGAGGGTATGTAAAATAATTGGATTTGTGGAGTGTTATCACTAGAGCAGAAGGCAAAATAGGAAATATTTTATGAGACTTTTTCAAAAGACTTAGGACACAAACTTTTGATATATTTAAACTACAAGTAAAAAGAAAATCTTTTGATATGTATTTCAAAAATGTCTTGATAAAAAATCTTTAAAGATTTTTTTAAATAAGATTATAAACTATTATTTTTGTTTTTTTTATTATTAGGACTTTTTAAGTTGCCAAAAAATTAAAATATAATTACTTATTTATTCTAAAATTTTTATACACTTAGTTATATATTTTCTGGGCCTTAAAATGTTTCTTAAGGAATGGCAAAATAAAAGATATTCCAGCTCTATCAATAGCTCTTCTTCAGTATACGTCACAATTGTAGATCTAAGTTCAACGACATCGAAATAACTTTTTCTGATTCAAGAGTAGAATTTATGCGAGGCACGCACCAAGCATTACTTGTTTGACCTTCAGAAATCTATAAATCGCTTATAGAAAGAGGGGAAAATGCGAAATTTTGTGCTGTGAGTGTTCTCAACAATGTTTACCTTATGGCTTCGAAGGCTTGTTTCTAGGCCCGGCCCTTTAAGCCAGTTGTTGAAAACTTTCTAGTGCAAAAAAATAGAGCTCGTGTAGGCGTCAACTTACAGATCAACTTCATCGGTTGTCGATCGTGTTCGGTCGCCTGTCAATGTACCCGCCAATCTATTCTCCTTTATTTATGGCCAACAATTAGACAATTAGACAGCACTTTTGATGGACAGGCGTGATCTGCGATGATGTTCTTTTTTTTTCGGCGCGACGACATAAGCCAATTAATTTGGGATGCCTTGCAGATTGGGCCATAAACATATACAGTATGCAAAACAATAAGCCGACACCTTTCGCAGATTTAACAGGCCATATTCATTAAGAATTAATTTTTATTTGCATTTTGTCCACTTTGCTCGATCGTTGTTAACAACGCCAGCAGTCGGAATCGCGATAAATATCGTTTATATGAGCGCTGCTCGTATAAAATTTAAGAGCCACCATAAAGTAGACCTCCAGATCGAGTTCCCTGCGATCCTGCGTTGCAAATCAGGTTTTCAGTAGCAGACTGGCTGTAACGGTCTTGCAGACCTTGAACTTGTAACTTGCCCCTGATTCTCATTAAACACTTTGCAAGTCTTTGGTATTAAGAGTTTGCTCTTGGCAGAAAAAACAAGTTGCATATTGAGTAGGCTGTAAATTGAATTTCAAGAAAATGTAAACCCAAAGAAAATATAAATCAAGAAAACAGTATTCCTAAAATAAACATTTAAAAAATTAAATTTTAACTCACTTTGTGACTAACATATATTAATCAGCGACTAAAATGGTTCTTGCCTCTTGAAGTTCTTAAAATATTTATATGATCTAATTTTAGGTATTATTTATTAAAATATGTTTTAGTATAAAAGGATTTATTGTAAGTTGTTTATAAAAAAATTAATAACATATATAACACATAAGATTCTTAGTCTTGCTAAGTGTGTCGAATTCCAAGCAGGATTAGCGATCAATCAAAGTGAATTTGCTGCGCTGATTTTTCGGTTGACAGCTTGTCATAACAATTTAAAAAGAATCAAAGTAATGTCCCATAACAATGAACATGAAAGCACCAATTTAAGACATTATTTGGGGCAAATGAGTAATATTGCGATGACTTTCTTTGGGGATCCACACAAACATAAGTTTCGGTTAACATTCCCAGTCGAATGAATCACGAGTGGAATAACATTTTTGCGTTGGGTGTAGGCTTTACTTTGTAACATGAAAACTTCAACAAAAAAAAAAAAAAAAAAAAAAAAATGATGTATATTTATTACCGATTCGTAGCACGCCCTGAACGTATTTTTCATTACGAGTTGTGAAGCAGAAGCCACGTGCAGATTTTCAAGACTTCACTGCTCCATCTTCCGCTGACAAATCGGTTTTATGCTCGATTTAGAATCCATAAAACTTACACCTCAACAAAGGCACTAAAGTTTAGGGCTGTCAAGAAGCTCGTTTAAATTAATCGGCACTAGAGCAAATTGCTCGTTAAGAATAAACCCCCAGAAGATCAGAAGCACTAATCGCTTATTTAGTCAAATTTTATGCGCTGCCGAACGAATCGAACTATTTATATGGGCCAAAGCAGACCAAAACATGTGTAATAAATTAAAAATATGGCAAATTCATGCTAAATAGCAACAAAAATATATAAAGCGAATAGAGCCGGCGAGCTAAACAAAGGCCTAGACCAATTTTAAGAAGCTGCCAATGGACATGACAAATATATGACAATTGACAGTAGAAAGTTGCCGCAGTGGGGGGCAAGTCCCATTCCGAGTTCGATTCCAGCATCTTGGAAATGGCACAGCAATTGTCATTCCGTGTGGAAAGAGCTTAAGTTTATTGTCAATATTCTGGGCAGCGAAATATGTCAAAATATTGAGTAATCACTCTCGACTGGCGGAGAAGCGTGGACCCGAAACTCGAAACGTGAACGAATGTTAAGCAAATATTGGCTTCGTCTTTTCTCCACTCATTTTTTTTCTTTTTTTTTTGTTATTTGGGTGCTTTGTCAATAGCGCAACAGATTGCCAAAAAAAAATGGGTTGTAAAGTACCATAGTTTTGGCTAGACAATTGCGTATGTAGCTCAAATCTTTCCGGGGGGTCAATAAACTCTGATCTCGAGTGTCGCCATAAATGATCGCCAGTTCCAAAAACCACGGAGATTAATCATCATTTTTTATATATTTAATTTATTAAAAATACTTAAATTATATTTTATAACTGTAAGGAACCGTTTTTAAAAAATATCTATTACTTCGTTAGAAAAAAGTTTACTGATATTTTCAGTTTAGTTTTGTTCCAATTTTGGCTTATATCTTTATTAAATTAATAATATTATTTATACTTAAATCTTTATACTTATATTTAATAGATATTGTATCTATATATTATCTTATTTCTCTCTTGCAGAATCTCCTTCACCAAATCAGAACCGCCAGCGACGACAGTTTTTCTTCGACCCAAGTATTTTCCTGTGGCAGGGAGCCCTTTCAGGATCTGGTATTCCTGGTGGCTGGGGTCCAACTGAAGGATCCAAGATGCCTGACATCCCGCGGCCAACCTGGTGTTTGTGTCCGCATCGAAGGATGTCGACAGTACTTCAGGGTGGCCCGTCAGATATCCATCTTCACCCTGCGGCAATGGCCACAGAACAATGGACTTGGCCTGAATGGCAACATGTGCAACTTCTTCGATCCGCTGGGCAGAGTAAACAATGGAATCTGTTGCACAGACATCGATGCCAATTACCTTTGGAGTGTTTCCATTGCCGGGAACAACAACCAACGACCACGACTACTGAGAAACCTTCGATTTCAGCTGATGAAGAGGATAGAGTGGATGTGAATCCCGAAGGAGATGTGGAGAATCCGGAGGGAGATAATGAGCAGCCAGTGGATGCTCCTCATCCAGAGTATCCCATTGATAACGCAAATAGTGTAGAGGACATGCCAGATTTCCAGGATCACAACACCATTGAGGGAAATAATCCAGACGGGAGAAAACCAACCTGAAGGAGATCCAACCCGTGGATCAACCAGTGGTGCAGCCAGTGGAGCAACCTGTTCCAACCCAACCAGCTTCTACTATTTATCCCTACCAGTGGCCATTCGGTTCCTTTGCGGGGGAGTGGCTCAATGGCCACCGGCTTTGCCCACTCATCCACCCACCACTGGTGGTTGGCCACCACCACTGCCCACTCACCCACCGAACCATCACTATCCCACTCACCCCACTCACCCCACAACCGTTGGAGTTCCGAGTACAAAGAGGACCACTCCGAGACCAATTACTCAAAGACCCACCATTACCAGCAGACCCACCACCACCAGGCGACCCACTTATCCCAGTTATCCTGCCACCACCACAACGACAACCAGAAGGCCATCGAGTGGCAGCAGTCCCGAAGGACTCCCCCTGCAGTGTGGCAACAAGAATCCCGTTACCCCGGATCAGGAGCGGATTGTGGGTGGCATCAACGCCAGTCCGCACGAGTTTCCCTGGATCGCGGTGCTCTTCAAGTCGGGAAAGCAGTTCTGCGGCGGCAGCCTCATCACCAACAGCCACATCCTCACCGCCGCTCATTGTGTGGCACGGTAAAGGGAGCTACTACACCTTTTTGGGTATTCTGTATCATCTCTGTATCCTTTAAGCATGACCTCGTGGGACGTGGCGGCCTTGACTGCCCATCTGGGTGACTACAACATCGGCACGGACTTTGAGGTGCAACACGTGTCGCGCAGGATCAAGCGACTGGTGCGCCACAAAGGATTCGAATTCAGTACCTTGGTAAGTGTAATTATGTAGCCTGATCTCACCAGTAAAATTCTCTACCAAAAAATACATGTTTTCAAATTTTAAAAATAAATTAAAAACTTTAATTTTAATCAGCTTTTGATGTGGCATACCTATAAATGTGTGTATTTCAATTCTCTAACAAAACTGCATCATTAGTTAATTTTTTCTTTTTTGAACGATTTTTTTTTAACTTTTATGATACAAATCCTATCCACATTTCAAAAAATTTGGTTTGCTGAAAATTGATCAAGATTTTTTAATTCGAAGTCCGTAACTTTTCTTTTTTTTTTTTTTTTTTTCTTTATTTATTTATTTAGTGCAGAATCTGTACAGCAAATTAAAAGTACTTAACAACACAGGTGTCACCAATGAGAAAAGTAAACCAAACCTCAGCATTAAGAAGAGGATTATATATAGTATTTTCTTATTGATTCCTTATCGTCTTGGCAAAGCCTTGCCTTTTGAGACGCCTCAAAGGTCTCGCTGGGAGTAGATTCCTAGCCAGTAAGCTGCGGTGTCTTTCTAATCTATCTCGGTATCGGCTTGTGTGTCTCCCAATCTGTTCTTCCACAGTGTGTAGATTTAGGTCTCTGTGAAGTGTCGTGCCACGCACATACCAGGGACAGTCAGTAATGGTACATAGAAACCCCTTTTTAAACCCTTTTTACCTTTTTTTTTTTTTTTTGGCTGCGATCCCCCAAATTTGAATACCATAAAGCCAGATTGGCAGGATACAGAATGCATATACTGCCCACTCCGCATCCCCCCCCCCCCCCACCCCACTCACCCCACAACCGTTGGAGTTCCGAGTACGAAGAGGACCACTCCGAGACCAATTACTCAAAGACCCACCATTACCAGCAGACCCACCACCACCAGGCGACCCACTTATCCCAGTTATCCTGCCCCCACCACAACGACGACAAGAAGGCCATCGAGTGGCAGCAGTCCCGAAGGACTCCCCTGCAGTGTGGCAACAAGAATCCCGTTACCCCGGATCAGGAGCGGATTGTGGGTGGCATCAACGCCAGTCCGCACGAGTTTCCCTGGATCGCGGTGCTCTTCAAGTCGGGAAAGCAGTTCTGCGGCGGCAGCCTCATCACCAACAGCCACATCCTCACCGCCGCTCATTGTGTGGCACGGTAAAGGGAGCTACTACTCCTCTTTAGATATTCTGTATCATCTCTGTATCCTTTAAGCATGACCTCGTGGGACGTGGCGGCCTTGACTGCCCATCTGGGTGACTACAACATCGGCACGGACTTCGAGGTGCAACACGTGTCGCGCAGGATCAAGCGACTGGTGCGCCACAAAGGATTCGAATTCAGTACCTTGGTAAGTGTAATTAAGTAGCCTCATCTCACCAATAAAATTCTCTACCAAAAAATACATGTTTTCAAATTTTAGAAAAGTAAATTAAAAACTTTAATTTTAATCAGATTTTGAAGTATCATACCTCTACATGTTTGCATTTAAACTCTCTAACAAAACTGCAACATTAGTTAATTTTTTTATTTCTTGAACGATTTTTTTTTAATTCCCTAATCCCTTATCTTAATTTCAAAAAAATTGGGTTTGCTGAAAATTGACTCAAGATTTTTTAATTCGAAGTTCATAACTTTTCTGTTATTAATCCGTTTTTGAAGTGGCATACCTCTAAATGTTTGTTTCTCTAACCAACTGCATCATTAGTTAATTTTTTATTTTTTGGCCAATTTTATTGTGGCATATCTCTTTAATTTTTTTTATTGAAGCAAGCCTCCTTATCTTGACTTTTGTTTTTATTGACTTTGCTTAACAATTTTTGCTTTAACCTAGCACAATGATGTTGCCATACTCACTTTGAGTGAACCGGTGCCCTTCACCCGGGAAATCCAACCCATTTGCCTTCCCACTTCGCCTTCCCAGCAATCGCGATCTTATAGTGGCCAAGTGGCCACGGTGGCCGGATGGGGAAGCCTTCGGGAGAATGGACCTCAACCTTCCATTCTTCAAAAGGTGGACATTCCCATCTGGGCAAATGCCGAGTGTGCCAGGAAATACGGAAGAGCAGCACCCGGTGGCATTATTGAGTCGATGATCTGCGCTGGTCAGGCGTCCAAGGATTCGTGTAGTGTAAGTGGAACTCCTTCAAATATATACATGTATTTAACTTCGGTAAGTATTAATTAATAATTTAACCTAAAGGGCGACTCTGGCGGACCCATGATCATCAACGATGGCGGACGCTACACTCAGGTGGGAATCGTATCCTGGGGCATTGGCTGCGGCAAGGGTCAATATCCTGGTGTTTACACCCGTGTCACTTCGCTGCTGCCCTGGATTTACAAGAACATCAAATAAGCATAGGATTCCGATTAGTCTAAGACGTGATATGCAGCAATATAAGAGCGAACGATTTAATAAAATGATAAAACCATTATAGACGTAGACCTTAGAAATGCCTGAAAGTATGCCATATTAATCTTACAACTATTTCTACATGTTAATAGCCATACTTCAAGGGGTTCAGGTGAATTTAAAAAGCCAGCTATCGGCATACAACTTGTATTGTAAAAAAGAGAGGATGACATAAGCCTAGTAACCCTTTCTTGACATAGATTACATTAATTCTGTTCTCTAGCAAAAATTATTCCCTTTGCATAATGACTTCACCACGACTTTTCGTTTTCGAAGACATGTTCAAGTTCAACAGCATTGCGATGGATCCTCTGGTGGAAGTTTATTCCCTGCCCTTCGTAATCCCCAAGATGTTGGAACATCCCGAAATGGTTCTTGCTGTAGATTCACCAGATGATCGTCTGATCGGTTTTGTGTTGGGAACCCGCGATGAGGATTGTGATGAACGCATTGGCGATGGGAAGGATTGCAGTTGGAGCCATGGACACGTTTCTGCACTGGCTGTGGATTACAAATACCGAAAATTGGGAATTGCAACTCGTTTTATGACCACTCTTAGGAATATGATGGATGATCAAAAGGATTGGTATATGGATTTATATGTGCGTGAAAAGAATGAAAATGCCATCAGGCTTTATGAATCCCTGGGGTATGTGAAGTATTCCTGGATGCCAATGTTTTATCCCGATGATAATGGCTATCATATGCGATTGCCCTTAACCCGTGATGTGAATAGAAACTGCCTTGATGGGATTTTGGTTAACAAGCTCTTTAGTTTCGTCAATTTGGTGTACTATATACTAATAATCTATTTTACGGGACTCAAAAAACTTATCTTTGGTGATCGATTTTCAAAAAAGGATTGAATACTTCGTTTAACATAATCCAACTATAACCACAGACATTTTTATATTTAAGTCATTAAGGCAAATGCATTGATTGTTCAGTTTGGCAGCAAATAAAAAATTAAACCATTGAGGAAACATCTAGAAAAGTTCATTGCACTCGGCCAACGAAATTGAACTAAAAGTTTGAGCAAATCGCTCAAAGTAAAAAATGAAAACTTGAAAATATATGTCAGAAAGCATATGGAAACAAGATTTGTTTATATGACAACATTGAACCAGAATTTTCAAATGCTGTGCGTTTCAAGTTGCGCAAAATGCCAAATTGTGAAAATCATTGCGCGTGTTTCAGACACATGCCCCGACCAGACTACACTTTATATTTATATATATATTTTCTAATTTGTTTGCTTTGAAAAATGTAGCTAATAAAAAAGACAACAGCGAGAGCCTTGACCATCTCGAAACGGAAATTTGCAATTGGATTTGTTTGGCAAAGGAGACGAACATCAATGCGTTTGGGCGAAAGTATTTGCACTGTCTACATTAGAGTGGACCTTTTGCTTACATATTATATATATTTTATATATTCATATTTTTTTTAAACATTTTTTTGAGTCATTTAATATGAGACATACAATAGACACTGCAGATTTTCTCAAGGCAATGAGTCAACATTTTCTTAAGCTTATTTTTTCCTAATTTTGAAGAAAAATATCTTTTGTGCTCTTATTTATTTATGTGTTGACCATCAGTTTATATTAAATAAATATATAAATTACTTTTGAAATGCAACTCTTTAATACTGTCAACACTGCGTATGAGTAATATGCATACCTAGTTCCCACTTTTTTAGTATTTAGGTCCGCCCTATAGTTTGGTTGTCTGTACTTGTACTTATAGTTAGCTTTGTGCGTCAACGGAAACTGATCTTTAGTTAAAAATCCACCTCAATTGATTTTCTTTAATTAGCTGTGCAATCGAAAATAAACTAAAATTTATAATGAAAACACATGTGAGGAAGTTCTGCTTAGTAGACGTCCATAGAACGGGGTATATACTTTCTCATCTCGTAGGCATTCTCTGGATCTGGGTTATCTGGATAGTAATCCAGCAAAGTCTGGCAATGTGCATAACCCAAGAAGCAATATAATTTATAGGCTGCCTGATTACTGGCTCTCATAAAAAGGTTTACAAAAGAAGCTCCTTCGAGATCGCTCATCGCAAAAAAATAATCCATTAGTGCAGTGGCCAGACCAAGTCGTCGATAATCGGCAGATACACTCAATACCGAAACATGACCATGTGGCTCTTCATTTTGCTTGGCTTTATAGTCGCCGAATATATATCCCACTCGTCGGCCATCAGGAGCCTCAGCAATCTGAGAAAGTCCTGGAAACTCCATCAAATGCTTCACAAAGAATTTAAGGCTGTAAACCTCAGTAAGTGCATCGAATACTAAAGAATTTATTTTGAACAAGTCATTAAAACATATTTCCCGAAAGCTAGTCATTATTAACAACAAATTTTGTTTTCTATTTCTACTTTACATATATAATTACAAGCATTTGTCAAAATCGTTTACATTTATAGGCATGCTTTTTAGGCTTTTATTTTAAACATTTCTCTTTTCCGTTCATTGTCAGGGTTTTTGGTGGCTATAGACTATAACCGATAAACATAATCAAGACTCTCCGGCTGTCCGGCTTCGCACACAAGAATTGAACATCGTTTCTCGATTCTCTAATGAGGTTAATGTTCGAGGCACTCGTTGACTCAGCGCCCTGTGCGCTTTTCAAAGATCTATTTATACAATTTAATGGCGCATTTTGCACAAAAATAAATAAAAGTACAAACCGATATTTGTCTTTATATGTATCTACATTTATATGTAAGCGTACATTATATCGGCATAGATGCTGAGTTCTATTTATAATCGGAAGCAACAGCCAACTTTGTTATGTTTTCCTTTTGGCCTGGACAGGTGGTCCAGTCAAAATGATGGAGAACTTGTAAATGTAAAATACTAGATGGAAATATGAAAACCTAAAAGTCTAAAAGTCTGGCCGGCTGAAGATTAATGATTTGCTAATTCCACAGCAGTGCTCCTTTTCTTTTGTTTAGGGTACATACACTCTAAATTTACACATATCCACTGAATGTTTGTTTAGCGGTCTTTTTCCATTATTTATTTTCCAAGCATGTGTGATTTATCATGATTTATATCCACATTTGTCTGCGAGAAGCGGCCAGAGCAGCCAAATGGAATCATTCACATCGTCTCTAGATTTTTTGTGTTGAAAACTGTTTAATGGGGCATATATAACATTTAGGATGCAGTTTTCTATATCTGTTTTGACACTCAATAAATTTATCACAAGTGCTGCTTGCTTGTAGAAATTAACTACAGTCGGGGTAATAAGTCTTGAAAAAATAATATAGATAATTCCAATTCAAATAAAAAACAGTCTTCTGGTTTTTATAATATTCTTTTAAATTATTTTGATATTAGAACAAAGGAAAATTGTTAAAAAATATGTATAAAAACATATGTGCAATAACAATGGACTGGAAATCGAAATCTTAAAACCAGTCAAGTGTGAAATATCAGCGTACCAATAATTTATTTAATGCTCTGAGTGCATTGCACATCAAATCGAAGACTGCTGTAAATTCATTTGAATGGTTCGGCAGATCGGAAAATAGGAAAACAATATAGTAGGTAAGTACAAACGTTCGCGGGCTTTCTCAACTTTTAGATTTCTTTTAAATAAACTCAAAATTCATAGAATTTTCCAAGCAAACGCACTTTACACACGCTCACAATTACCCACACACACTCGGAAATTAGACCACTACACCCAAATAAATAGAGACACGGACATGACCGATGGTCGAAAATAATATGTACGGAACGAAGAAGAAGGAGAATTTATTTCGAAATGTGAAATGTGCTTTTCGGCTTTTCGGCCGAGAAAATTTCGTGTGCGAATTCAGTGCGACTTGGGCTGCTAACTTGAACGCGTTGCAAACGAGAAAACCATCCGAAATAAAGAAATTTTCAACTAGAAACTAACACATAGATATATCTATACCATCTAGCTGGGCTGTCTATATATACGGATATATATAGATATAGATACGAGTATTTTCTCTGGCAAAAGTGAGCAATGCGTCGTGCCGCGTTTTATAAATAGCAAATTACAAAATTTTCAAAAGAACATTTGTGAAAAAGGGTTTTCTTTGCTTCGAAGCGAGTGCGAAACCTTTCTAATTTGAGATAATCTCTTTTCAAATGCAACGATCATCACGATCCTGAACATATAATATACTATACGTAAATGTGAAAAACTATTCGCTAGTGGATCGAAAATGATCGTGCCGCAAATTATATAAGAACGCGTGATATTCGGTGCACAAATAATTCTCGAATTTATATTCATAATTTCCCTCTAATTTTCCATAAATTTTTCAGTGCTTCTGTGTGCATAGGCGTCGTTTGCAAAATCTTTTCGTAGAACTTGCGTGCAAAAACCAACGCCTACGACAAAATCTATAGAACGCGATTCCTTCCGACTGTCGGCTGTGTGTAGGCGGTGTGTAAAAGTGTGTTGAAGTTGAACTTGAAATACATAAATAGCGGCTAAAATGAGTTCTGGGTAAGTCAAATATAAGTATGAATATCTTTCAGTACCCAAAAATTACAAACATTAAAACCGAGTGCATATACAACGAATATATAGATCAAGCACTTAAAAATTCTTTTAATATTGATGTTAACACAAATGAACTGTGGTAATTTACAAAATTCTATATGGTAGTTGGGTGGGCATCTGCCTTATTTTGAATTATTATTTTTTCAGATGCTTATTGAAAACTATTAAACACACGCACAAGAAACTATGCCGGGAAAATATTTTAAATTAACATAAATAAACATGAAAACTGAAGTCTACACAATTAAGTGCAAAACAATAGTACGACTTTTTGATATTTTCTTAAAATTAATAGATACTGTATTGTAATTTCTTATTTATTTTAATAGAATAAATATATTTATCACTAACAGTTTGCCTGATAAAACAAAAGTTTAGTTGATAAGGTTTAAATATTTTCGAATATTTTGTTAATAAAACACAATCAAAAACTGATTTTACGCGATAACTATTATCTTGGCTCCAGCTGTATGGGCCTATACATACAGTCGGAAGATCTTTACGATCTCTTCCACAATTAAGGCTCACACATGAGCGTTTTGAAGGCCACCGATGGCCCACGCCCACGCCCACGTTAACGCCCAAATCTCTTTTGGCTGGCCCCATGCTGCACGCGCTTTTTGGCAGGCGACACTTTCGGTGTTAATGCCTCCTCCCTCCCCCTCCCCTCCTCCCTTTCCCACCATTCCCCCTTCCACTTCCCTTCCCTCCACTGTTAGGCGAATTAATTAATTAAATTTCGTATTTTTCAACAACATCTCACTCTGTTCTGCTGCTGGGTGCACAGTTTTATGTTCTGGCCGCGGCCAGCAGCTGTCTCTTGGCTTTTGTCTAGAAGCAATTGGCACACGTGTTGGGAATTTAGACGGTTGACGGCATTCACCGGAAGCTTCTCTCGCAGCCACGCACATCATAAAGCAAATTCCCAAGAACCTTTCAAAACAAAAAGCCAAGAATTTGGCATAAAATGCATTTATTTCATTTTTCACTATATTTTTTTTTCTTTTTGGTTTTCTTTCCTTAGACAGAAGGTATTTTTTTTTTTTGCATTTCTATGTTGACGTTGATGTGTGGCGCATAAATTTTCAGCACCCACGGAAATCGGCGATAATATATTGACAAAATTGGGTCAAACAGCAGAGAAAAATTAGAAGTGTTTGTTAAGAAAAACTAGGACCACTTTATGAATATTCAATTTTGAGTTGTCTAAATTTCATTGTTTCCTCTTCTTATACCCAAAATTTTGAATGCATATCTAAACATGAACATTAAAAAATATCAAGTATACGCCACGAATAAAAAATAATTTATTAATTTAATTTTTTTCTCTTTTCAATTATAGAAAATATTAAGACCTTTATAAAATTTAGAAATATATAAAATTGTGGTTTGTAATTAATATTACAAGGTAAACATTGAAAACTATACGTACTTAAAAATTTTACGTGTGAACCTGAAGCAAATATTGACCATGCATAAATTAAGTGTTAACGTTTATTTTAGCTTACATTATTTTTCGCATTTAAATGTCTGTGAGTCTGATGCATTACCAGACATGACTTTGATTTTTGTCAACGACAATTATTTTCACACTTCTTTGTCGGTTTTTTCCTTTTCTCGATTGCGTAAATCAGGTGTGAGTTTATTTATTTTATACATTTTTGCATTTTAAAATTTCGTAAACAGATTTCTTGCCCCGAAGTTCAAGTTGGTCGCAGTTGACCGTGAAATTTGAGTGTGAAAAAGGGAATTAAAATTAAAGGAAGATCCCCAAGTGGATAAGACATCAAAAATAAAGCCCAACCCATATGACAGTTCAACAGCATTGGGAATTGATTATCGGACGGAGCCATGTGATTTGACTAAGATCGTTCCCATGATAGTTGACTTAATGATTCACACTGCTTCTAGCTTCTCTTTACTTTACACTTTGAATACACTTTGAATAAAAAAGTAAGAAATTATTCAAATTTTAAGTAGAAAAAAATATAAGCAAAAATATAAAAATTTCCTGGTATTAAAAAAAGTTTTTTTGAGTAAAATTGAAGTGTTGATCTACCAGTTTTGGTTTATTTCCCATTCTTTAATTATTTACGGAAAATTCCTTGCCGGTCCAAAAAACCTATACCACCACACTTTCTCCCCAAATCAAAAGAAAAATTTCCTGTTTTTACTTTTCTTTTGTTTTCTCAAATCAATAACATGGCCATTTTTCAACCAGCACCAATTCGGGCTGCAAGGAAAAAATACGAAAATCGAAAAATCGAAAAATGGAAAAAAGGCGCTGGCGGGATTCGGTTGCCTGGTTGCCTATCTGGCCGTAAAAGACCGACGATGAATGACGACATGTGGTCATGGGTAGGAAAAATGTACAGAAATTCACGTTTGCCTGGGCATACGATATATACGAGTATGTATATCCCGCAATCAGCTGGCGAAGAAATATTACCGCCATCGATTGTGCAACGGGCTTTTTGGGGCCGAGAGCCTGCGTTTTCGCTTTCACCTGGGGATCGCATAGCGTCGCGCCGTTGACCCAGGCCAGATTAATATAAATAATTACGAGTGCGGACCCAGCTACAGCCCAATATATAATCCCATGGCTTCCATGTCTGATGTGCTCATGTCATGCAATCAACGCAGCGCCACTGCCAAATGACAAATGCAAAACGAGTTGCACACTCAAGTGGTCGTAGAAAGTGATGAATGAGTTCCCTGATTGCGTTTTTTTTTGCTTGTTTCAAGAGTATAAACTTTTTCCCCCGCCTTTCGGGCCATTTTTCAAGGTCAGTTCCAACAAAAAAAACTACAAAAAAATAGGCCTGATATCATAGTTTTTACACACGCTCGTGTCTTTTATCGTGGGCGTTGATGGGAAAAGCTACTTTATTGGATTATCTTTCTCTGTTTTTTGTTTAACTTTTTCCTGAGAGATCGCTGATTGGTGTTTTTGTATTTTAATGGGATATAAATTTGGTTCGTTTTATGTTTGCAAAATTAAGTTTCGTATAAATAGGATTGTATCGTATGTGTGTGTACGTGTTTATGTTTTTTGTTTGCGTATCTTTAATGCCCATATAGTTTGGTTTAATTTATGGGACTAATCGCTAGACCCATAGGCGTTAATCGTGGCATTGAGTGTAGAGAAGTGTGTTGTTTTCATGCTCAATCTCGTAATAAAAACCTTTTACTTGGAAGATATTCTCTTTGTTTTGTCATTTATGTTTAAAATAATTAGAATTAAATAATATACCACTGCAACAAACTGGGTCATTGTAGAAAACAAAAGTGAAAGAGAAATATAAAGTATAAAAGAAAATTGTTTTCGAAAAGAGCACAGGCACGTTTAACACATAATTAAAAATCCAATTCTTCACGGTCAGAAGAAGTGTAGAAGATATTCTAGTTTTCCCACGAAGAGAGGCCTGTGGCTAACTAATTAGATGGCCCTGATGATTGATGTCTGCACAACACCGAATATCTCTGTCTGACCCAGTTTCCTCCCAGCCAAAACAGAAATACTGAATGAATGGGGGAGACCAATTTTTCTGACAGTTTTTTGAGCAAAGTATAGGTATACATTAGACAAATCGAATATTATTGACAGCCACTCGGATTTCAAGTGTGCGTCAATTGGTGGCGCGGCACTTAAGTGTTTATCGAACCAAATGAGTCATTTTTTCATTCAGTCGGGCAACTTTGGATGGGTGTCCACTTCGAAGATGTCGGGTTCTCCATGGAGTATGATCTTCACGAAGATCCTTCGCTGTTTTCCCGAGAGAGACAGTTCCCTGATGTCAGTAGCCGTGTAAATTAGATAATCCGTGTTGCAGTACATCAGCTGCCTGTTGGCCTCCAAAGGACTGTCCAGTGAATTTCGAAGGCATCGCAATCCTGCCTTTTCATTGGCAAGCGAACCATCCAGTAAAGTGACCCGAGCACTGACCTTCTTGGAGGCCACCGGACTCACCAGATAGAAAATGTAGGTCTGCTCCATATTCAGAAAAGGCGGACTCACGTACAACATGAGGATAATGGGCAGATGATGGAAAACCTGCAGTTCCGAAGTGACTGGATAGCTGAGTTCTAGATTTGGGGTTCCCGCGTAGGCAATCACACCCACCGAATGATTCCGGCCCGGTGTTAATTTATCCAGTTCCACCTCGTATTGGTTTGGTAAATCAGCTCCGATTTCGGTCATCGAATCCTGCGGATCGTGGCGCATCAACAGATGGGCGAGCATTTCAAGTGGAGCCATTTGCGACTGGCACTTTTCCACCGGACAGAGCAGCGGAATTCCAAAGAGCGCCTCTAGATCAAATTGGGCGAACCGGTTGTTCTTTATGGGATTAAATGGAATACTTAGAGAGAACAACTTATTTTTTGTTTTTAACTTACCATTGTTGAAGGATAGATGAAATTGTATTTCCTTTAATTAACTCGTACAAAATAGAATGACATCACCAATTGAAAGCTGAGAAATCATAAGAAATGACAGTGACTGGAAAGGAAATGCCTACTGTGAAAAGTGTTAAAGCTTGGAAAAACCTGAGAATATATTTAAAAAGAGCAAACAAATTGCCAGTTATTGCAAAAAGCAGTGCAAACAAATATACTCTCAGTGCGAAAATGATTTGTTTTCTTCTGAAAATTTTAAAGAGTCTTCATTTAATTACTAGCGAAAAATTATAAAATATTGTAAGGGTTAGATGCTGTGTGTATATTTATAGTTTGTCAAACATTTTTTAATTGCCAACAATGGGATCAAACGAAAGTTAATTCGATGACCAGAACCATCGACAATAATCGTTTGTCGATATTGTCTTTTAACTTTCCCCTTCTTTGTGCCCGTTTCGGTTTTTTATTTCGTTCAAATTGCAGCTGTCAAGCTGGCAAAAGAAAATGATTTTCAGCGCAGTCATTCCGCGTTTTAAATTCCTTAACGCTTTCTTGCCAATTATTATTTAACTGGGCAAAAAGCAGTCGCAAAAACAGCGAAACACAACGGGAAAGATAACATCTTATTTGTCTGTCAAGGCTAGTGGGCCACATTTCCGCAGATGCTTGTTCGAATGAGTTAATTAGAGCAAACCAAAGTACGGGGATTCGATAAAGAAATCCCCCGAAGTTAGATAGTGGGGTGGGAGATAGTCGCTAAAAGAATTTTGGCTTAATTATGGGGAGCGAAAAAAGTAATAAGCAGACGACACGACAGCGAAGTGAAAACAATTAGCTGCACGAGATAAGAGATGCAGATACAGCCAGAAGATACGGCGAATCCGACGAATGGCGAGATAAACGAAAGCGTCCAATGTCTTTTGGCGTTTAGCTGGAAATTTGTCGCCATCATCGAACCGCATTGACAGACGTATAAATTGCCGCACAGTCCGCGTGCCACTCGACCGTTTGTCAAGCGATCGGTTTTCCTTTTGCGGCAGGCAGAGAGGCAAAACAGGCAACCCAGATGGAAATGTATCTGCAACAAGTTGCCGAACCGAACAAGCCGCCGCAGCTGAGTCGAGCAACCAGTCCGTCCAGCGAACCCGACTTCAATGCGCCCCGAGAGTCTGTTGCGTTCAGTCGCCCAGTGCGCTCCTCAGATACAAAACGCAAACGCTAACCTACGAGATACTTTTTCCGCTGCGCGTGTGTGTCCGGTCCGAACTTAGTGAGTGATTAAAGTGTGCAGAAAATAAATTACACTTTTGATATCTGTCCCCTGCGGCGGCCAAGCAAGCAAATGTTTGCCTAATTCAGAGCAACAATTTAGCTCATGCCTAAAAATATAATTAACGTGCGTGAGCGTTTTTCTCTCTCTTTCGGCGAAGGAAAACAGCTGGTCTGTATTTGATTCCCCCGAAAATCCAATGATTCTTCTCCTCCGACGTGAGTCATCATCCGTCGGATACATTTGAGCATTTGCCGGCTGCCCTCTGTCAAACCAAATAAAAAAGGTTAAATTGACTTGCCGCAATCGATCGATCGTTGAGTCATTCGACCACCTAGCAATCCAAAATCTACAATCCAGCACCTTTGTTTGCCTCTCAGGCGATCTGACAAATGTAAATCGATTGTACAAGCCATTATGCCTGGTTATATTGCCAGTCTTTGTTTTGGCTGCGTTTATTCAGTGCGCATTTGCTGATAAGGGCCAGTTGCAAACTGGCAAATGTCTTGTAAACATTACTGTTTCAATTGTTTGAGTTCTAGTTAAAACAACAAAGGAAACAAACAGAGATACTTGACTTTCCTAATATAATTTTCCTGTACAAAAAGAATATTTTAATAGAACATTTTTTATTTTAAATTGTTTTTGTTACCCGAAAAGGCAAATGCTTTATTTGGTTAGCCCATTTTTATAGTTGTGTTGTTTACTAACAACAAATATAGCAGTAAACTAATAAAATAAACTTGTTGTTTATTGAACACATGCATAGAAAAATACAGAATACAGAGACCGAATCATCTAGATTTCACTGTTTAAAAATATTTTGCATTAGGTCACCTAAAAAGTGTTTCTATAAAAATCATTTGCTTGGATCTTCTGAAGACAGAGCGGCAAATCAAAGAGACTCGACTCATTTCCGCGGCAGTGTAACTCAAAAACAAAACTGAGATAAAATAGTGAAGCGAAAAATAAGAAAATAAATATAAATAAACAAAAAAGCAAGCAAGCAAGCAATGGCCACCTCAACGCTGCAATCTCCTTCGCCGTCTTCGACGGCCAAGAATCCGCAACTGAAGCGCGTCGTCTACTCGAAGTATCGCGAACTTCTCGGCTCGTACAATGATAAGGCCAATGCCATCATCGAAACCCTGCCGGCCTATATGGTTCGTCAGGATCGCGGCTTCCAGCTATCGGAGCTGCCCGTGAATGGGGATGCCAAACTGAACCTGGAATCGTCGTAAGTTCCCCGCCTAAAACCATTTCAAAAGCAAATCACTTAAAACGCAATAGCAAAGGCAGCCAATGAAGCCAGAATGCCAGTGCCAAGTAAATATTTATCGCTAGATTAGCTCAACTGCGGTGCGGAATGTGGGCGTTTGGCCGGAGGAGCACCCTGTAAACCGAGTTGGAGTCGAGCTATTTATAGCCAAGACGGGCGGACAATGACTATCATTATGTCATGTTGCATGTGGCAGCTTTCAAGTTCTTACTTCTTCTGCTGCTGCTGCTGCTTGTTGCTGCTGATGTTGCTGACTGCCCTTGATCTTGAAATATGCGCGGCCAGCTGCAACTGCAGATTCTTCTAGGCAACAAGTTTGCTTTTACTAGAGGGAAGATGGGGGTATGATGAACTGGCATTCAAAAAGAATTACACTTTCAATAAAATGAGGTTTAGTCCTATTAAAGATAATGATTTAACCTTGATCAACTCTCATAAAATGGCATTTATTATTAGTATTATCTTATCTATTATTATCTATTCTTATCTTTGAATTTTAATGGAAAGTCTTTCTTTAATATCAGGATAACTCTTAATACCCTCTACTCATTTATGTTAATATTGGTTTTATATTCATTATGTGAACACATAAGTGAATATAGCAGATTGGGGCCTAAATATTATATTTGTCTGATAATATTAAAAAGGCGGAAATTCAAACAATTTTAAATATTAATAATTTGGTTGCACAAACATATGTAAAGGTTCTTAATATTTAAACATGCATTAGGTAAACATTTAAGAGATACAATCGAGTTCATCACTCGCTTCTCTCGCACTTTTCCTGAAGACATCTCCGGTATCTTGTGGATGCACCGGGCTCCCAGTCAGTGTCAGTTGCCTGCAGATACATTTCTGCACGCTTATTTGCATGCGGCGAGGCAAAATCAAAACCGAAAAGCAAATAGGGAAAAAAAAGTGAAAATGCGAATTGCCCAGATGTTTTTCTATCATTTAATTTTTAAATTGAGTTTTTTAGTGACCGTTGCATGATTTCAAATCACGCACGAGCAGCTGCGAGTTCGTGTGTTTCGCATTTATTTCTGGCCAAACATAAAGCACAACCATCAATCAGCAGAATGCTTTACATATACCTACTTATAAAAATATATCAATATTTATTTAAGGCGCAAAGTGCAAGTAGATTGAATCGCATTTGCTTATGAATCACAAAGAGTATATGTAAAATGCGCCAGTATAATTAGTCATGTGGCATTATGATTATGGGAAAACTATGCCAGCTGATGGGGCATGAACTTGGTGTGTTAGTGTGTTTGTTTCCTTGTTCCACGTAGCTGGGGGTCTGACATTTTAATTGCCACATCTGTCAGAGGGGCAAACAGTTGGCGGTCTTGTCTTGTGGTCAATTGCTGGCCAACCGAATCTCCAAGTACCAACTACTGACGCCATCTCCCAGCCATTGACGTCATCAGGCGACATCTGTGCTTTCAGCGCGTGTATCTTTTAGTTTTTAATGTTTTCCCCATCTTTTATTTTTTATCATTTACCCTGGGAAATTTGGCAGCGATTTTTTAGTTCAATGTGCGTGACGATCATTGGAATTGATCGGTGAGAACGAATGAATGGCGGGCTTTTTGCATTGCTGCTGTTCAGGAAATGTTAAGTGCACAAAGTGACATTTTTCCAGGCTTGTCACGGTGTTTAATAACTTTCATAACCGCGCCGAATAAGGCGGGCTAACATTTAGTGCTGTATAAACGGTTAACCAAACGGTTGTGTAAATTGAATTTCCTACCCGGCCATAAAACAATCCAATCGAGTCAATAAACGGAGGGGTAATTCAACTAAACCGATCCGATCCGATCCGAACCGAACGACCTCTCGATTTTGGGCACGGCTCCTCAATTATGGGAAGCTGTTGATGCTATTTAATTCGCACATCATCAATGGCAAGTTCAGCGGACACGGTTATAAATTTTGCCAACCTGCTACGGGAATATCTTTCCATAGTTTTCGTTAAGGAGCAGACAACATTTCTTTAATCCCCTGCCAAATATGGTGGCAATTAATAATTTGCTATTTTGTCGTCTCGACTCGACTCGATTTAAATGCGATTCTGTGAGCAAACCGCAGTCGAGTTACGTCATTTGCATTTGACTTTGATGCACGCGCTCCAATTTGCATGTAAGCCAGTTGTGGGTGAGTTTCGCAACCGTTTTCCCACATCTTTTTGGCCTTCGCATTTGCGGTTTAGTTTTATGTAGCTCTCAGTGTCTCAAGAGGACAACCGCAAATGCTTTTTTATTATCTTAATAGATCGGTCGAACCGCAGGGGTTTCGGCCGTGTCAACTTTGTGGAACGACCGGGCCAAACAGACACCACCTGTTCCTGTTCGCCTGACCCACTTGAGATGCGAATCATCCACGCCGAGCAGCATGAGGCATCATCATGAGGCAAACGGGCCTGACAACTTTTCAGAACCCGAACTCCATCACTTTCTTTCTTTCAGCATAACAGGCTTTCAGGCTGAGCTGAGACGACAGCGTTAACGTTAACGAGAACGTCGCCGAAGATCTTCGATTTTCGCTTTTAATTAGCGAATTGTTAACGCTTAGCGCATTTAAAATAAGCAAATTATGCGGAGAAAAGTCGACGCCAACTGGGAAGTGGGATGTACGTGCAAGAAGCTACAAATTTTAACGGTACTGAGAAAGTGCGAATGGGAAAGTGTGGCCAGCTGAGATCCATATCTAATAAATACTGCACTTTAAGGCGACTCACACTAATTTATATATTTTTCTGTCACAGAAAGTATTTAGACAGTCTTAGAAAACTCTAGAGGTTTTAATGATGCTTGTGTTCTGTGTAATATTTTTAACATAATTACTACAGATTATCTAGATTATTAATAATCAGTGACCATCTTAATTTATTGTTATTTTCAATTTAGAAAGTACTTTTTCTCAAATGGGTTCCAATCTTCATTTTGCACAAAGAAGATTACTTAATTTTACGTTCAAATTATTTTAATCAAACTAATTCGCATAATTTTTTCAATGGAGCATTTTTTGCCATGATACGACCATATCTTCTCACTTTCAACCTTTCAAATTTGGCACTTCATCGGACGTCTTGCCTTTTATGAACGGTCGTCCATACAACAACTTCAAATCACTTTCCCCCTCGATCGTTAAAAAATCAAAACATTGGCTCATTGAACTATCGATGAGCGACTCATTATTCAAGCAGCGGCAAAGAAAGGAAAACAACACAAATGAGTGTTTTTTTGCCGGCGACCAAAAGCCAAACAATAAATTACGAAAAGATTTAACAAAAATTATGATAAATAGTCCGAGCAATATGCAGATGGACGCCAGATTAGCATGGCCATCGGGGAGTAGCGAAAATTAAGCTATACTCTTGAGAAAACCTTATCTAAAATCTATATAATTTGTCAAGCTTTCATGGTGTATTTATGATAAATTATCATAATCCAACAAGCTAATTCTACGGGTAGCAACGAAAGTCTTCTTAGGTTTATTTTAATACAATTTACCATATTTATTTATAATAAATTGCTATATATGGTATGTTAAAATGGAATACATTTTATATTTATTAATGTGTTTACACCAATATAAAATCAATGAAAAAATATGCATATGGTCAAAACGAACATGTGTTTTCAAACGAATAATCCTGTTTTATAAATCATTTATTGGACATATATACATATGTTAAAATGGAATACATTTTATATTTATTAATGTGTTTACACCAATATAAAATCAATGATAAAATATGCATATGGTCAAAACGAACATCTGTTTTCAAACGAATAATCCTGTTTTATAAATCATTTATTGGAAATGATTTGTTAGAAATTATATGATCTAATTCTAGAATTAATAGTGCTATATGTTTTTATTTTCCCATGTTAATGGAGTTTGTTTTATTGCCTTCCTTTTTAGGTATGGCCAACGCGGAGGAGGCGGATCCGGAAACGGGGGCTACGAGGCGCCCGCCTGTGTGCAGAATGCGATGATGACGAAGGACAAGAAGCCATTCACCTACACGCCCGGCGGCATCGATCTCTCGCAGATCCGCTCGGAGCGGATGGCCAAGCGACTGGCGCGCAATGCCCAATCCGAGGGAGCCACCGGTGCCGCCCAGCAGAACAGACCCGCGCAGCCACAGTCGCCCGGTGGTGCAGTCGTCGGTGGGGCAGCCAGCACGATTGGAGCCGCCGGCATGGGCATGCCGTTCCAGGTGCTGCCACCACCACCACCACCGCCGCAGCCACAAGCACAGGGTAAGAATGGCGCTGCGAGTGCCGCAGCTGCTGCACCACCCCCACCACCCCCACAACAACCCAGCTCGTTAGCGCCACCCGGTCGCCTCAGTGCCCCGGGTTCACCGGCTGCGGCCCGTAAATCGCCGACTCCACAGCGCTTTGAGCCGCCGCCACTGGGCTTCCGGCCGGAGATCAAGATTCCACCGAATCCCATGGCCGCTCTGCGCAAGGTGGCTCCGCCGGTGGAGAAGAACACGTTCTGGAAGGACGAGTACCGCAAGGATCGCTCCAAGAGCCCCCTGCCCGAGGTGGCCGCCAATGGAGGCCAGAACGATGGCCAGAACGGAGGATACAGCCAGGCGGATGTCGTTGATGGTGAGAGCAGAGCATCCAAGGATTGGGCTCGCTTTACTTTTGGGTGGTTTCATGGTTCCGCTACTGATCCCGAAACGATACGATCATCATGCATCGCCAGCTCTTACTAAGCGGTTGAGGTTGCTTCTTCTAAAACCCCCATTCGACTAACCATTCGACATCGAAAGGCCCAACAAAATGGCTAAGAAACCTCCCACTAACTGCACTAAAATATTTATTTATTTAAATAGCTACGAAAGTGGTGACTATAATGAGTGTTTCTTTTTAAATTTAGGTCCTAAGTCATCAGCAACTAGTGTGGAGAGCAGCTATAGCCCCTACACACCACCCCAACAAGCTCCTCCAGTGGCCAAGAGTCCACCGGTGCGCAGCAGCAACAGCCAACGCCGCCGGCAACACCACCGCAGCAGCAGCAACAACAGCAACAGCCGGAGCAGCAACCTGCAACACGGCAGGAGTTCCGCAGTGTTCCCATGCCAACATCTCCGGCTGTGAATGTCTACACTCGCCAGTCGGACAGTCCGCGATCGCCTTTCGAGCAGCAGCAACAACAGTTGCAGCCACAGCAGCAGCAGCAGCGATCCACTGAAAGCCCCTTCCGATTTGCACAGCAGCAACAGCAACAGTCGCCGCAGCAACGGCCGCCAACAGCGATATCGCCGCTGGCTCAGCAGCAGCAACTTCAACAACAACAGCAACTTCAACAGCAACAGCAGCAGTTGCAGCAATTGCAGCTGCAACATCAGCAGCTTCAGCAACAGCAGCAACAACTGCAGCAGCAACAGCAACAGCATCAACAGCAGCAGCAGCAGCAGCAACAGCAGCAACAACAGGCAGCCCAATCAGTTCCGTGGCGCACTCAACGCGCTCAACCTGCCGCACAGCAGCAGCAACAGGAGTCGCATCCACAACCCATCTACAACAATGTCCAGCAGCAGCAACAAAGATCTCGCGATGTTTTCAGCCCGGCAAGGAATGAAGCACCAGCAGCAACCAGCAGCACGTTCAATTCACAGCAGCAACAGCAGAACTTTGGCACTCAACAAAACCAGTTTGCAGGAGCAGCAAAGCCAGTGAGTTACCTTATAGCATATTGTATATATATATATATATAATATATATAGTATATTATTATTATTATATAGTATATAGTATATTATATTTATCCTGACCTCTTTTCTCTGTGCTTAGTCAGGGGATTTCTTGTTTGGCAATCTCAAAACATCTCAATCCTATTTCTCAAGATCAGCAACATTATTACACACGTTTATTTACATGCCTCACTAATTTTTGTGTTATTTCCATATTGAATTGACCTCTAACTTTATTACTCATACGCCTCATTGTGCAAGCCTCTGATTGGCCTATGAGTAATTCTTAAAAAAACTGACCGCTGCTAATTGGTTACAACTATAAAGGTTGTGACATATTTAATACGCACGATAATTCAATGTAAATAAATGGAACTCTTAAAGTTGACAAGCTGTTTTTGCGGAAGTACATTTAGTTATTTTTAAAACAAGATCTGCAGAAGAGAGTGTGTTCGATTCACACATAAAACTGAACATTGAATGTATTTACCAAGTGCAGTGTCTAAAATTAACCAAATGTAAAGGCCAAACACGAATTTTGAACTTGAGGCGATTGGCAAGTGAGAAATCTCTTGCGGAAAATCGAAAAATTTAAATATAATTGTTAGGAAAACAATGCTGATTGGCAAATGTAAGCTAAATATTTGTTTATTTTTCATGATGAACAGACCAACGTTGGCTCGCTGTACATTGCTCCTTTGGCTCAGCCCACAGAGCCGCAGGCTCAACGGATCCTCTTGCAACAGCAGCAGCAATCTGCTCGGGATTCCCCAATGCGCCAGTTGCCACAGCAACAAGGATCGCCACAGCAGCCACAGGCCAACCAACCGATGAGGTGGCTCAGCTCCCAGCCGGCCAGCAAGGAGCAGGCTCCGTGGGCTCGTCCCGAGGAGAACGGCAATGTCCTGCCCTCCACCTTGCGACAGACCACTCCGGCTCCGCAGCCCCAAGTTGCACCTCAGTCGCAACAGCAACAGCAACAGCCACTGCAGCAGCAACAGCCACTTCAGCAGCAACAGCCATTGCAGCAGCAGCAGACGTCGTTCTTCCAGCCTCAGTTGCTCCAGGGGAATGGATTTGGCCCATCTTCTATTGGGTCTCCCATCAGCCTGCAGAACTTTCGGATCGAATCCGCAGCCAGGAGGACTGCGTCTGCAGATCAACCTGAACACCAATGGCAGCAGCAACAATGCCAATCCAAGTGCTCCAAGGGTGAGTTCAAGGAGTTAAAAACTATTAAATATTATGGAATAAATAATAATATTAAATTATAAAGGAAACCATAAAATTGAAAATCATTGAAATTCCAATAAAATTAAAAAAAAAAATATATTCCCTTTTTAAATACGTAAAATAGTGATTAGATTACTGTAAATAAAAATGTATTCCTTAGTGTTAGTAGTCTTAATAAGTGTTTTATATTTGATCTTTTATTTTATTTTTTATTTTAGGAGCGTATCATACCCATTACTTTAGAGCAGACACCCACTTATGCCGCAGCCCAGCCCAATTTTGGTGGTAAGTTCTGAAGCAAGCCCTAAGCTTTTTGTGTTTTGTATAGTATATGTGGCGCTTTCCTAAAAACCCCTAAATGTTTGTGACTAAAATCGTATGTAGTGTACTCCCACCCGAAACCCGAAACCCAAACCCAAAACTCCCGTGCACTCTCCGCTCCAAAGGAATGACTTTCACCCGTGTATGATTTTCCCAACCCCCGCTCTCGTCCAAATGTGTAACTCTCCAAGTTCTTCATCGATATGTGTCTATGTATACTCTTCTTTCCCACGAACAAAGCGCCTGCAGGTCACATAATACGCTCAGCTAATCAATTTGTCGATCAAGGTTACCAGAATTACCCAGCTCAATCGCAGCCGCAGCGAGTCCTGTCGCCCAATCAGCCCACCAATGCCAACAACACCAATGGTAATGCCAGCAGGATAATTCCCATTTCGATCGAGGGACGCGGAGGTCCTGTTTCCCAGTCCCCGGTGCTCTTGCAAAAGTGAGTTGAATCTAATTTGGCAGTAGCCTTCCGTAAGCTATTTTTGTGCTCTTCCAACACCAAACAATTGGCCCGCACTAATGCGTATTAATTTTGTGCTTTTCTACCAACTAATCCAACGACTATTTAGTGGCAATTACAATTTGTATGTGCACCAGTGTCCGCTCGAGGCGGAGATACTCTACAGAAAGAATCGTCTCAGGTAGTACGAGAGCACTGTGCCCACCAAAACAATTCGAATAACATTTGTAGTTCATGTCATGCACCTCAGTGTTGTCAAATCCCCAAATAATGGAGCAGATGAGTTAGGGGTTAGGGCAAAATTCGTAAAAGATATATTCAGAAGTTACGGTATACACAAATTTATACAATGTATTAACAGAACATGGATGGCCAATGTTATTTATTCTTTCAAAAGAGGTTATTAAATCAACCGAAATATACTTAAGCTAAACTCCTGTATCTGAGGTTGACTTCGGAAGTTTCGCTTTTTGATGTTTTTATATTTAATTAAAGAAATATCAGGTTAAACATTTTTATGGTAATTCAATTTATAGCTGAACAGATAAAAAAAAAATAAATCAGGATATACTATATACAAATATAAATATTTGGGTTAAAGATTTTCCTGCTCCATGTTTAAGTGTTGTAAACTGTTATAGTTATTCTTCATCAATTGCATTTGCATTCCAGCTTAAAGTACAGTTTCGTACATCTTGGCAAAATTTAAAAATATTTGGTTTTTCGTTAAGCTGCAATCACCAATCCAAACCGGAGCTAACCATTAATCCACACGTTTCGTTCGCACAAACACAAAATCGTTGTAATTTGGTTGATTTCAGACATTTTCGACGGCATGCTAACCAACAACCTAACCTAACACACGGCTATATCTACTTGCAGCGATCCACGCTCACCGCCCATCCAATCGAAATCGTTTAGAATATTGCAAAAGATAACCGACACCGTGGACGATGGAAGCGGGAATGGTAACGATATGCGGCAGGATCTGCAGCAGACGCCCCAGGAGGCGGAGTTGCAGAGGCCGCAGTTCGCCCGCCAGATGAGTGCCCAGCAGGCCAGGAACAGTCCGACCATCGAGCAGATGCGACGCCTCCAAATCTCGCAGGATCAGCAGAACAACACTTATCAGCAGTCGGGTACGCCACTAGCTTGGTCCCCGCAAGGTGAGATCCGATAGGTTGTCCCCGCATCCCCTGGTTCATCCTCAGATATCTCATTACTCGAATCCTTCGGTGGGAGAAAGTCGGGTGGTGGTGAAAGTGCCTAATCCTCGGGGAGTGTCTTGGGTCCTTGGGTAGTCTACTACTAATACCTAAACACCGCTTTAAGCCACAAGAACACCTCTTGGTCGACAGAAACTAACCAGCTTCCTGTGACTGTCCTCAATAGATTTACAAATTTTGGTGCCACTTGTTTAAATCGAAATTTTGCAGCACTACTAAGTAGAAAACTAATCTTATATTTATTGAAAATTACATTCATTAAGTTTGAGTTGGGTAATCATTTAAATATTTTTTTCAGGTAACGGCGTTTCTCCTCAAAATCGATTCACACAACAACGATATGGTAAGAAATGATAGGAGATCATAAATATAGTAATTAGTTAATAACAACATTTTTTTTTTAAACAAAATCTTATAAATTTATATACTTTTTTAGATACCCCCCAACAACAACAGCAATATGTGCCGCCAAGTGAACAACAAGCTCCGGAACCCAAAAAATATACTGGCAGCGCAATTCCCAGTCGATCATTTAAAATTCTACAGGCAATGACAACACCTGAAAATGCCGGTAAGTACAGTTGTGCCAAAGACTCAGTGTCCCGAAAAACAGTTACAAGTTTTGAATCGAATACATTGCATCAGACAATATCATGGCTGTAAATATATATACTCAGAACCCATTGAGCATTACTAATTTTAATCCCAATCTCATCGAGACACAAAAACATGGAGCATTGCATCAAGGATCGTAATTTTTAAAAACCCTTTTTGAGAGATTTCACCTTTTTTGCTGAATGGTGTCGACACAATAGTTTGACTTAAACCTAATGGCTTTTATTATTAACTTTGAGCATCCCATTTTGCATTTCTCATGCGCCATTAACTTGTACATAGCTTGCGTAACCATATAACCAATCAATCGGATCAGATATTGATCGGATCAATTTGACAAAAAATAAAAAAGATTACATACCAAACACAACATAATGTTCGCACTCTCACCGTGTCTATTTCTCTTTTCTTCTTTTATATTTGATAACCGTGTACCACAAAACCGACCTCAGACCATAAAATTCACACCGAGCTGGACTCGGATTTGGAAAATGTTGAACTGAACGAATCCCCAAATAATAATAATAATAATAGTAACAATGGAAATACTGAAAATAATAATAATAATAATATTAACAGTAAAACCAACAAACGTCATAGCTACACCTCATCCACAGCCACACCCACATCATCATCCTTCGCAGAACCCAACACCCATTCATCAAACTCATCCCTGAATTCGGATAGCTCTTGTCCACCACACTCTGCTCGATCGCAGTCGGTGCCACCACAATATCCCTATGCCTATGGTTATCCTTATCCCTGGTATATGCCTCCTCCTCCGCCGCAGGTGAATGGTGAAACTGCTCCCTGGCCATATCCATATCCGTATCCCCCACCACCACAATCCGTGGATGGCAAACCGGCCGAGGGATTTCCCCCGTATCCCTATTACTATCCTTATTATCCACCACCGATGCCACCCTACGCTCAACAGCAAGGGGATTCCCAATATCCCGCCGGTTATCCTCAGTTCCATGCCATGCCACCCTATGGTCATCCGTATCCCTATCCCGTGGCTCCCAGCTATAGCCAGAGTTCCACCGAGGAGAGCAGGGCCAGTAGTGTTCTGCCAGACATAATTATCACCCCGAGTACCGATGATATCCCCTCGCAGGTGATCATGAAGCATCACATCCGTGTGGAACCCAGAGAACCACCAAAGAGAGCACACTCCGTGGAGATCGAAGAGTTGGTCAGCAGACCGAAGGCCCGAAACATTTGCACCAACAAACACGAAGTCATCGATGTGCTGAGTCAACGGTTGGCAAATATCAATAAGATTGCCAGTGGAAATACCCAGGCAAATCTCTCAAAGCAATTGCACAAAAACTATGTGGGTGAACAATCCAAGGAACTGGGTGAGAGATCTCCCAGCGAAAATGCCTCGAATTCGGATAGTGAATCTGATGAAGAAAGTAGCGATGATGACGAAGAGGATACCCCCAAACTGGGAGCTCGTCCAGCTCCATTGCAGTCCATTAAATCAGTGACCAATGTCCAAGTTTACAAGGGAAAAGTCCTGGAACAACATCTGGATTCTGAAAGCAGTGAGGATGAAGATGATGTGACCACTGCGGATGAAATGTACGATGAAGAGGAACAGATCGAAGAAGAGCAAGAGGGACTGGTCGAGGAAATGGAGGATGATTACATTGTGGAGGAGGATCTCAGTGTTATTTACGAAGAGGAAAGCGAATTAGAACGTAGCAGTGATTATGCCAAGACAGTCATTCGAAAGGATGACTCCAGATCCACAATAGTCGATGAGATCGAAAACCAAATCGAAGAGAATGATGATGATGACGAAGATGAAGATGAGAAATCCAATTCGGTTACAGTTCGTTTGCCACTTCGATTCTCATTTAGCCGGAGTTCCAATGATGAAAACATTGCCACTGTAGAAGTTGGAAATACTACTCAGTATGAGGAGAAGCAACCCAGTATCGCTAGCACCTTCAGTGTGGCCAAGGTGGAAAGTGAAGATGAGGACGATGACTGCGAGGTTAGTGTGACCATCAGCTTGTCAAACTCTTCGCGTTCAAATTCCGTAGAAAAGTCAACACAACCTTATAAGACCTCTACTGCCTATCCCGTGGAAGATATTAGCACACCAAAAGTCAGTAAAGAAGATGTTTCTGCATCGTTTTCACTGGGCATGCGCAACAAATTCATGGGCGAAACAATTGACCATGATGTGACGAACAATATTTCCCGAGATCAACCAATAGCAAAGATCGAAGAAGTGAAAGAAGTTGCCAGCTCGCCCAAAGAGGAATTCGATTTCTTTGCCACATTGATGGCCACCAAAATGCAGGCTCAGAAAATGATGGAGCAGTCCAAGAACATGTGGAAAACTCCCGAGTCTAAGCCAGAGGAACCTGTAGCTGAAGCACCAAAATTAAGACCTAAAGAAAATGTGGTAGCGGCCAAACCACCAAGACCTATTTCCGGTGATATGTCTAAAACTCAGGCTTCATTGGAAGCCGCCAAAAATAGTTTTTGGTCAACATTCGCCACCGCATCCAAAGAAAAAGAACCTGAAGAGCAGCCCGAGGAAGAAACTGAGGAAGTTGACTTTTGGGCTAGCATAGATAAGAAGGAAACCTCAGAAAAAGAGGAAAAGCAATGGACCAAGAAAAAGAAGACCGTAACCTATACTCCTCTGCAAAAAGAATCAGTTACTAAAGTGGAGCACTGGACAACAACACTCAGAGCTCAGGGGAAATCTCTTCCCACTGCCCAAAAAGCTGAGGTGCACTTTGTAGTTGAGGAAAAGCCAACGGAAGTTGAGCAACCTCAAGAGGAAAATCAAGTTGAAGAAGAGGATTTCTGGGCTTCGGTAAATCAAACCAAAGTGGAAAACACAGTCACCTCAAGCTGGGAACATACTACATACAACCCAGAGCCTCAAAATGAACGACAGATTGATATCTGGCCCACTCAAGAAAATGTAGAGGAAATCAACCATCAGGAAGAAGAGGATGTGGACTTTTGGGGGAATATTGAATCAACCGATAACTACCAAGGCGAGGAGAAACCCAACAAATTTACCTACGATCCCACAAAATATCCAGAAGAACCTCGAGAAGTGGATACCGATGAGGAGATTGATTTCTGGGCTGAGATCGAAGCCAAACGCCAACCAGGGGAAGAGGACGATGAAGATGTTACTTTCCATAAGTCGGCTACTTTTTGGGCTCGCAAGGAACGTCAAAATTCAGTGGAGGAGACTCCTTACAAACCAGTGGAGATCAAGGCTTTTAGAGCCAAGTTACCCGACGAAGCCGCCGTGGAGATTGATGTTTGGGCCACTTTGGAGGCGGCCAGAGGTCAAGAGCCAGAAATAGTTGATCCTGTGGTTGAAGAGGAAAAGGTACTTGCTCATAAATACGAGGAACTCGAGCACGATATTCCGGAAGAGGAGCAACCAAAGGAGCAGATAAATGAGAAGCCACAGGAAGAGATTCATGAGAGCAACCTACACCATGTGGATACCATGTCTTTGGCTTCAATGCACGAACCAGCCACAGTTTACACCTGGAATCCACCACCACAGGAAATGGAGGATAAAGAGACCGAAGAAACCGATTTCTGGGCAGATTTGGAACAGGAAAGAACCAAAAAGGAACAAGTCGAGGAGGCGGAACAGAAACGACAAAATTACCGACAGGCCATGGCCTTCTTTAATACCTCAATTGATGGACAGCAATCACCACCTCAACAAAATAGCAGTCCCAATAGAAGCAGTACTATCCTGGAAGTTGATGAGCCCGAAGAAGTGGACCTGGGTCCTCCTGGTGAATACGAGATAGTTGGCGAGGATGGTGTCGTTGTTGAAGAGCACAAGCCAACAATAAATGAAGTTGAAGAGGAGGAGCGAGGAGCTGCTACACCCACAAACATGGAGCCACAACTACCAGAGGTTTACGTAGAACCCGAACCGGAAGTAAGGCGACTGTCCAACGGACTTCCCGATCTTGGCGTGGAAAAATTCAGCGAAGCTCCTAAGATATCGGTTCGTGATAGAATCAGTGCCTTTGAGGTGATACCTTCTCCGCAAAGCGAAAGCTCCAAGGGATTAACCAAGCAATCCCTTTCAGTGGACAGTGCTTATGGCAAGGGAACCCTTTCCCGCAACAGCAGCACCCAGCGATCCGAGTCTGAGATTGAGGAGGATGACTCCGGAGTGACAGACATGAATCGCCAGCTATCCGAAACGGATACGGAATCGGAAAGTTTCCCTGAGCTGCGCAAGATGACCAGTTACCAACGGGCGGCGACACATTCCAGGCTGTTTAAGCTCCTGCAGGATGAGAATGATGTTCCCGAGGCGGAAGCAAATCAAGCCGATGAGTTCCAGTTTAAGCCCAGTCGCAGGAAGATCGTGCACAATGTATCCATCACCAGGCGACAGAATCCTGGAGCCCTGAATGATGCGGAGACCATGACTCAGCGCAGGGAACGTCTTTCGTTGCCTCTTCGCAAGAACACCAGTATCGATGCGGACAACCCTTCGACACCAAATAGCCCTGCTTCACCCATCATGGGTCCGTCGGCCAAGAATCAGCGTAAGGTGAGCGACAAGTTGGTCAACGAACTGGTGCAGAGTCTGCTCCTCAAGAGCGACAGTTCGCACTTGAGGAATCTGCCTATGGAGAAACTTCAGGCAGCTGCAAAGAGAGCTCTGGTGGAGGAAATGGACTCCACCCAGGAGATCAGCTCACTGGACAGCACGCCGGCTCCCACGCCCAAAACGGATAAGGAGTACTCCGACTACTACAACAGCTGGTGCGAAGCCAGCGGAGATGAGTCGGTGCCCTCCAAGAGTTTTCGTGCTCTGCAGGATCCACGTCGCAGCCCCTGGACGGCGAGATGTCCTCGGGTTCTTAGCTCCAAGACGATCAACCGGGATTTGGCCCGCGTTACAGAATCGCCGGAAATCGCCAATGGACGAGGCAGCAAAAGTCCGGAATGCTTCCGCCAGAACTCACAATCCCGGGAACGATCCGTGAGCAGTTGGCGGAGAGTCTAGAGAAGATGGCAAAGGAATGCCTATTGTATATACCAGGGCGGGTCTTTAGTCTTTAGCAGGGATGTGAGACCGGTTCAAATGGAAAATCGAACCTCCTCAAATTCGAACGAAACTAAAAAGCGAACTCAAATCGATACAGGAGAAGTACTCGGGTACTAAAGCCTTGGGCTCAGCCCATTTCTGGTTGAATAAACCAGAATTTAGTGGGTTATGCTTAAAGCCAAACCATTTTCGAACCGGATTTCGCTTCCGAACTTTTGGTAAATTAAGCACCTTCTGCATTTGGCCTCAACCATCACTGCCTTTAAGAATGGGTGATAAAAGAGCCAGATATTGCATTTCTCATCTCATTTTCATCAACCCCCAACCATCCACATTGTACATTATGAATATCGAACACACTCAATACATTAATAAACTAAATCTAATTAAACATGTAAATAAACCAATTGAAACCAATGAAAGGAAATCGTTCATTCGTTCGTTCGTTTGTTACCTCAGTAAAGCGCAAAAACCAAAGAAAACCAAACCAAAAAATCACTTTCTAATACTACATGAGTATTTCAAAATTTGTAAACCGTAACTCATGAAATCGAACCAAATAATAACCAGCATATGAAACTGAAAAAAATCTACCAAACGCCACAATAAACAACAAAATAAAAACCAATTTCATCTCAACTCAATGATTTTGTAAAACTCGTTCAAAATCCTAAGGTACCTAAAAATTGCAATTTTATTAAAAAAAATTACCCAAAAACAAGTTTTAACTAATTGAATGTTTTCATAATATTCCAAAAATTGTCCTCTATCTATTCTGTGTATTTACTTTTATTTTCGCCGCTATTTGATTCTAATTCTGTGTGCCGTATTGTTTATTATTTGTTCATAAAAATATTTGCGATTGTTTCTATTCCATTTTAAATAATCTAACAAAGGTTTGTATGTATGTAATATATATCTCGCAATCGTTTAAATAAATAATAAATAAAAGCAAATAATAAACATCGCAAATGTTTTTATAGAATTGTTGTAGTTCCTTTCCCAAATGCTTCCCTAGAAACTTGAGCTTGGAGAGCTAACTCCACCTTGCAAAGAACAACGAATGAAGATTACTTTTTTGTTGTTGTAACCATAAACAAATACAATAAAAATAATAGAGTGGAAAAATATAAAATAGAAAATTGTACAATATAACTTGTCGAAAAGTCGTTCGTTACATTAACCATTCATGAGTTTACAAATGCATAATTAAATGTTCTTTTTCTTCTACTCAATTAACTTGTTTTATACACACGATAAGGAATATATATTTTTAACAAAAATTAATCGTTAACTTTAATAATGACAATGAATGGCTTTTTCCCCCAAACTTAAATTGAATTGAACTGACTTTAATTGAATGAACAAATCAAACGAAAGTTGAATAAAAAAGGTGAAGTTTTCTCTCAAAACTGATTTGGCTGCCTGGCACTTGCACTTTTTCAGTTGCTGCTTATTTTTTATTTCTTCTTTTTATTTACTTTTGACGTTTTCTTTATATTATATGTAAGTCTGAACCTGGATCAGTGTTCATGGTCAAGTCAAGACTTGAAAGTTTCCACAATTTAGTGTTAGCTTTATTTGTTTATTTTCTGATTGTTAAAGACATTCCAAAGTAACACTCTTTTTGATTTGATCTTTTTCAGGGCCTGGACAATCGGATCTATAATTATTTCTCAACGCCATAGAAATCAATTATAGCAACTCAGCAGCATCATATAAACGAAACTGAAAATCAGATTGCTTGTTATAGTTATCTAGTTTAAGTACCAGACACTCTAAGGATCGCCACAATCAAATAACTTGGGAACGGGAACAAGTTTTTAGTAAAATTTCTTTACACTAACAAACACCATTGTAGTTGAAGAGGAAAGTTTTTTTTGTTAAACGCGATTTGGTAGCAGCACTAAAACCAAACAAAATTCTAACACAATTACGAAGCAACTAGCGAGAGCGAATATTTACTAATCCTAAAAGTTAAGAAGAAGAAAGCAGGTGCAATGAGGTAACAACGAAACGAAACAAATCCAAGAAATCGACTATGCTTGATATGTATCCGGATAACACGAAAGCGCGCATCAAACACGACTAATAAAATATTAAATATTTTTGTTACTTGCGAACATTATAATTTCATTACTGAATATTATTTTTGGTTATCATCTATATTTATTCATTTACTCAGTTCGTATGCATACGAACAGTTTTTAAATTTAAATTTATTTGAATATTATTATTTGATACATATATAAAATATATTTTGTGTTGTATAATTTTTTATGCAGTAAATATTTTTAGTAAATAAAGAGAAGTAAAATCAAACCATATTTGTCTTTTAAGTAACTGAAATAATTTTGGAGTCTTTGGAAGGTTTTGTATATTTTTCAACAGTTGATTATATAGGTGAGGAGATCATAAACGAAGATAAAATTCGTAGAGGTACAGAAAAGCCAAGTGTAGCAAAACCATTTTGACCTAATTTAAATTCGATATACGCGTATACATGTATATTATTGTGTATACAGTAGTACATTGAAGAAGTACCTACACCTCTCTAAGCACTTATTACTAATCAAAAACATTCGATATATTTTTGTATGTCAATATTTCATAGTTTGGACATGCTTATCGATGTAACGCAAACAAAACTATTGAATTCTCATCTACAAGCGTTACAGTCAACGAACATTAAAGTCTATTTTATATTTGTATATTGCGTAGCCACATATTTCTAATAGTCAGATAAGCTATTTCAACATTAAATGCATACAAGTATGTTAATAGTTTACGTATTTTATATGTAAATACTTTCAACAGTACGTTTTTTTAGTTAACTTTGAGATAATTTTCATTTGTACAACATATCTCAATTGAGATCAGTAATATAAAAAGCTCCAAAACTAAATAATTAAGGATTTTAAAAGTAAGGACAACAAAAGTTAAACATGAGTTTGTATAGTTATTGTTTACAATATTGCTTGGTTAGATTAGTGTACCTTAAACAACTATGACAAACCATTTAAGAGGTTGCGCTGTCCACCTGCACTTCCATTAGTTCTTGCACAATCCGATACTCGTGACAGTCGGAGCACAGCAGTCGACCGTTGGAACGGCTTGAGCGCTGCACCTTCTCGTGGCAGACAATGTGAACCAGTTTGAGGTTCTTTAATGAGAATATTTCGAGGAAGTACTCAAGTACGGAGATATCAATAACTTGCTTCTTGTGAAGTGGGCACTTGCGCTGCGGATAAGAAACAAGTTCTTCCACATTGGCCACCAGAGCGGGCAAAATCGTGCGACACAACTCGATTTGGTGGTCCAGGTTCCAGACCTGGAATAATATTAAATTCTCCCGGGAGGCGTAAGGATTGATAGTGTGCTGCATGGAGCAGCAGTTTCCATTATCCGAGTAGGCGCCCTGGCAATAAAAGTCACCTAAGTCGGAGCACAACGACACGGACCACTCGTCGAGTATGCAGTTCTCCTTGGTGTACTCCTTGATCACCTGCCTTAGTCTTTTGCTGGGCAGATTGCCAGCATCAGTTTCCTCGCCGCCCAATTGCTGATGCAAGAACTCGTGCTTTTGCTGGCACCTACGGTCAAACATCATGGAGAAATAGTCGCAGCCGATGAGCAGGTAACGAAACTGCTCCAGCACCGAATTTATCACTTGTCGAGCCTTAGCATTTTGACGGTACAGAGGATTCCGGGTCAGCTCCTCCTTGGCCTTATAGTAATAGCCGCGCACACGTGTCTGCGCCCTCATGGCCATGGCCTCCTCCTTGGAGTGGAAACGCTCCTCTCCGCCTTCGAACCACTCCACGTGCTCGGCCTTCAGGCTTAGGTGGGCTTTTGTGTTGTCGAGGACACGACGTTGCTTTTGATGCTCGTATTCGGTGATCATGCGACGGAACTTTTCCGGATGCTGTTCGATAAAGTCGTAGAAAATGTCAGCCACCTTCAGCAGTGGTGATTGCTGTCGCATCTTCTCAAACTCGAAGTCGGCATCTAAGTAAAATCCAGAATATCGGTCATAAGCAAAACAATATAAACTAATTAGAACCCACCTGTTGTGATGACGGCATCCGGACCAGCCACAATGAACAGCGTCTGAGCTGGCAGACTGTTCAAGTAGTCATCATCGGAGACTTCGAAGCCATCAGATGCCAAATACAAATGCAATTCAAGCAGCTAAAAAGAACAAATTGAATTAGTTGAACTGCCCTTGACATGGCCCAAATATAACAAGGCCAGGGTGACGAAGTGTCTCGCCCAAATTCCTGGTTCAGTGGCCTTCAGCAAGTGTTTGTTTTTTTTTCTGGCTGGGCAAGGACGCACGAGCAACAAGTGGTTAGCACCTAAGTCAGGACATGCGCAGTGGTGGTGGCATTGAAAGAGAGCCAAACAAATGCGGAAGCCACTGCCAGGGACATGGCCTTGAAACTGCCAGGGCCAGGAAATTTCTGATTTTACGTGTGTGGGTGTTTGTTTCCTGGCGCTTTTACGCAGGAATTAATTGTTATTTTTCTCTTACCGGAAACTTGCTTCTGGTCTTGGTTATTAGCATTTCCAGGGAATTGGCTCCAATGCCGTATTTCCTTGTCCGTTCGTTATCAGTAACCTTGTATCCACGCATTGGAGCACCTGCTGTTTCCCTTGGTTCAGATGAGCCCACATCCTTGAGAACTTCACCTGCTGCCTGATTGCTATTGTTCTTCTTGGGACTGCTACGTGTGGTTGGAGCCATGATTGCGTCTCTAATATAGTTGAGCATCGTGCTGGCTCATAATAAAGTCAATTTTAGAGTGGAGTCCTTGCAGCAAGTTTCCTTTTGGGCGGACAAAGCAAAATAAACGTAGGGCCAGTGTTGGATAACGGCTAAGACCTTTTGTGTACTATAAAGCAATGGTGCTGGCGATTTGGATTTGGCGGCAAGAATTAATTTAACACTTCTTGTTGACTTTCTATTATACAGTTTGTATATTTTTTTTTGGTTACTTAAAAAAAATACATTACTATCTACCATTACTATAAAAAATTTGTATTATAAAAAATCCTTTAATATATAATTTTTATTTCTTAAAAATTAGCCAAATCAGCTTTAAACGTTTCTAGCCTTTACCAATACTGTTCTCTGCATCAGAAAACAGCTGTTCGGGCCAATAGTTTTTTTTTGGAAAAAGTTATTGCGGAAAACCTACAACAAACGTAGTTTTAGTGAACAATGAGCTGGGCTGCGGGCTCCGCGTAATCCGTACTCCGTCCGGAACCGCGTATCACGATGAATCTGCGGCCGCGCTGCCGCAAGTGGCTGCCATTGGCCACCCAGCAATTGCGACTGCGGAACCTGGCGCGAATTCAGGGATTCAATATTGTGTCCGGGTCGCAGAAGCATTCGTTGGAGGAGGTGGAATCGGAGGACGTACTCCTCTACTACACTTTGCACACGGATAAGGCCAGTGAGGCATTCTACACCAGCGAGAAGCTGCCGCAGCGTCACCAGCAGCAAAAGTGGGCGGAGATATGTACGGATGACGAGGCCTGGCGGAAAACCAATGCGCAGTGTGTGTGTGTCAAAGTGTGGAAACACTATCCGGCGGAAAAGAGAGTTGGCCAACCGGCTGAGACTGATCACAGGGATAACGAGATAAGCGGGTACCTAGAAAACCCATGTTAAAATGTTTACCCTTTTCATGCTTTGCCTTTTCCCAGGAGATCCCAACTAACGCCCAGCAGGCTGCCACGTCCACCCGAACTGCTCTTCAGCTGGGGCGTCTTCTTCTCCGGCCTTATCCCTCTGTCACCCCTCACCCTTTCCCAGTGTGGCAAAAATTGTCTGGTTTTCCAGCTTAACGGAGAGCAGTTTGCCTCCCCGTCGAAAATAAGTGAGCAGGGTTTGCAGACGCAACTCCATTTGCACTACCAAAACTATGCGGCAGATGAGGAGCGAGAGGAGCCGCAGGACGAGGGCATAAACTCCCCGGCCGTCAGTCGCAGTTCCAGTCCAGTCCTGCGGATGAGCACTATGCGTTATGCCCAGCTAAAATGCCAACAACAGGAGATCCGGCGCAGTTACAACTTGGACAAACTGCTAAAGCTACAGCTTCTGCAGCGCCTACACCAGCAGAAACTGCGCCAAATGGCCGAGGGTTGCCGGGAGATTGCCCGACTTAGTGTGCACTGTGTGACCAGGAACGAGCTGCGCCTGAAGCCACGCACTACATCGTTGTCCGGCGACCACTCCGCCCATCATCACCATTCCATGGGTCGTGCCCTCAGCGTCTTGCTCGCCGAGCAGCAGCAGATAGCGCCCCTCACGCTTTACAATGCCCAACAGCTGACCAGAAGGATCGAGGGGCTACGCAGTCAGCAGCGACTGCTTCAAGCGGAGCGTGAGACGATTCGGCAAAGAAACGAGCGGGCCCGTCAGCGTCTTGAAGAAATGACGGAGCAACGGGAGGCACTGCAGCAGCAGCTACACAATCAAAGGCATCGACTGGAGCAAGAACGCTTGGAGCTGCGCACCCTGGCACCCCAGCACTTGGCACAGCGCGAACAAAGAAGACAGATAGTTCGACAGGTGAGGGAATCTATTTATAATATACAGCTTGAAATTGTATAAAATGACTAGGTGGAGCGTCGAATGTCAACTCTGGTGCTGGAGCTGCAGGAGATCTACAATATCCAGAATGTCGGCGGGCAGCAGTTCAGCATCTGCGGCATTGCCTTTCCCCACATGGAGCAATATACAAGTGAGTCGCGTCAGGCGGCCAATGCCCAGTTGCTGGAAAACGTCTCGCCGCTGGCGGTGAGTGCGGCTCTGGGTTATGTGGCCCACTTGGTGCAAATGCTAGCCATTATCATGGATCGACCGTTGAGAAACCGCATTCTGTACGAGCCATCGAGGGCACGAATTGTCGACGACATCAAGGAGTTGACCTACACAACCAGAGAGTAAGTGCTAAGGGTTAAAGATACCAAGGCTTAAGTATCACCACATTGCATAACTTAAATTAGGAAATTCTTATAATTATTTGAATCATTCCTTTACAGATTTCCTTTGTATACGCGCTCCATTTTGCCGTCGCAGCAGACCAAGTATGCAATCTACCTTCTGCGCCAGAACGTTTCCCAATTGTGCTTCGACATCACCGGTCACTGCGACCTGCGTAACACCTTTGGCAATCTGCTGGAGCTATTTAGAACCCTTCGCTACATCGAACGAACGCAGCGCGATGAGGTAGACGAACGGGATGGACCTGAAAACGGTGCTGGCAGTGGAGGAGCACGCCTGGCAAATGGGCTGACTGCACCACACCTGTCGCAGTCGCACTCGTCGGTGGACATGAACCACGTGCCACTGCCAACCAGCGTCAATGCGGTCAAGGATGCCCTGCTACAGCAACTTTTGCCCCCAGGCGTGAGTCAGGCTCTGGCCATCGAGGGTTATGCGTCAACGCAACGGTAATAAACATGACTATATCTTTAAGTATGAGGTTACGAATAAACCTAATTATGTATACATTTGAGTAATTGATTTATCGTTATTAATATAATAATAATATTTAGAATTAAATATTTTTTATTTAGTTGAAAAATTCCTGGAAAAAACTGAAAATAATTTTATGAACTTCTTGCAGCATCTGCCGCTCGGTTGGCTCCTATTCGGATGGTGAGGATGAATTTCGACCTCGGCTGGAACACAGCTATTCCAACTCGGACTCCAACATACCGCTGCAGACGGAGCGAAGCTGAGCAGAAGCAGCGCATCCAAATGTGTAATATTTCAAGCGGTTTATATTTATTATCCCAAAACATAGGTTTTCGGATTGGTCGCGTATTAGTTGGAAATCATTTGTGTACTTTTAAATTATCAAAGTCAACGGTAAAACATGCAGACCGCAGTTCATTGCGGGCATATTATTTTTAGTTGTTTAAGATCTCTGTGTAAATTCCCGTTTATTGTTTGTTTGCTAATGTAAGCTACGAATAAACATTTAATATTTTATACACACCAGAGCTATTTCATGCGCTCGGACCACCAAACTTTTTATTAAAGCAGATGTTCTTTGGTCAACTACTACTTATTATTTAAGTTAAGTGTTTTGTTTAATAGGAAATAAGTTGAGTTTAAATTTACCGCCAACAAGTGTGGAAAACTAAGAAAAGCAATTGTTGCTTTATCGCAGTTATTGGAGAACGAATATCTACTTCTTACATGGTTGTATTCTACGTATTGTTATTGTGTTCTTGCTTACATTTTTAGTTAATATTTTATTTAAATTATTATTTTTGCTCCCCGCTTATAAATTTAAAATTCCCACAGCCACGACTCAGCCAGTGTTGCTCAGCGCACGATTAAGTTAACAGTGCCCTGTAAAGCCAGCTGATTACGGTTTGGCCAAATTATTTCGCTGGCAAGTTGCGTGTGGGAATTAAACGTTTTTCGAGCTACATCCTGGCTAAAAATAAATAAAAAATGTGCTGGCAAAAGTCCAAAGCAGGGCTAAAATAGGTGCAATTAACGTTTTATGAATGAAAACGCGGAAAGCTTAAAACTCAAGTGGCCAATGAAGAGTGTGCTTGTGTGTGTGGCCCGGGCCTTGGCCTTTTATTTATCGAATTCGTATCAATTTAATCGCTGAGCAATAGTCACTTGGCATTTATTTTTATGGTGACGATGTGGTAGCCGGCAACTGTTCGACTGATAAGCCGACTGACTGTTGGAATTCCACTCCGGGGAATGCCTGTGATTTACGCGTATACAGTGTTTACCCTACCTGTTTACCGCTCAAAAAAAAAAAGTCTCAGGTGTGATAAGACTTTTACACCTGAGTGGCTCAATGGAAACGTGGCAATAAGACTAAAAACTTACTCCGCATTTATTTTTATTTAGAAGACAAGAATATACAATAGTGTGGAGAAAATTTCACATCCAATTAGGTGAGGATCAGTTCAATAGTTCAATTCAGGCGCCAAAAGCCAAACACCTGCATGCAGCTCCCTTTACTTAAGTTAACTTAAGCTATCTACGTTCGCGCTCTCTGTAAAAAAATAATGGCTGAGAACAATGTGTCGCTACGCGATTTCGACGAAGAGAGCGAAACGGATTCGGAGACGGAATTGCTCATACGCCGCGATGTCCCGAGTGGGAGAAACAGCAGCACACAACAACAACAACCACAGAGCTGGCAGGCGGCGCAAAAGCTCAACGGGCTACAGCGGCGCCGACGTCGACGCCGGCGCTGGCAGCTCTGCCGCCGGTGGCAGCTTTCTGGGCAATCTCTTTGGAGGCAACAGTTTTGGCTCTGCCGCCGGACAAATACGTTATAGAAATGAGCGGAGTCGCGAGCGCGCCAAAAACTCCAACGGCAGCAGCAGCTACAGCATTTCGAAACTGGCGCAATTAACGCACACGTCAGCGAGCGGGGTCGCGGGGGCGGGGGCGGGATCGGGGGCTAGTGGGAGTGGCAGTGGAGTAACAACTGCGGATAATGCAGCAGCATCGGCAGTTTCTGCGGGGGATCTTGGCAATGGCGGTACGCACAGTACCGTTGTCGATCCCGAAAATGGTTCCTCAACGGTCTTCTACCAACACAATCGGCGGAAGAGCAAAAGTCGCAGCATTGGCAACGTCTGCAAGCTGTGCTTGTGCAGGTGAGTTCAATTTTCGATGCAACCAACGTTGCGTATGCGCAATATTTCCATTTCACTGCTGCAATAGTGGCGGCGGGAGTTATGGGAAAGTAAATAGCGAAACAACAGCTGTTCACTAGTCAACAAAACATCGGGAAACACAAGTGTTAACGTCGGAAATCTTTCCCAAGCATCCAGACTTTTTAGTTGAATTAATATATAATGGAAGTGCTTTTTGGAGGTCTTTATTGCCTCAACCTTCGAGTGATTACAAGTTATTTTTTCCTGTGATTTTAAAACAAACAGTGCTTTACCGAAACTAGAGAGTTTCAAGGGTAAAATGATTTATTTACATAAAAGTTATACTGTCAAAATACGTTTTTATCTGAAATCGTTTTGTAGCATTGATAATCAAAACTAAAAAAAAATCATGGAAATAATAACAATAATCGAATTTCCTTACAAGTGAAATAAATACGATACTGACTTCTAAAAATACATTCAGAATATAAATATTATTGCCGAATAAGCAAAGAAAAACGTTGACCTCTCTCGGACGTTCTATCACTTTCACAATTCATCAGCTTCATGCCGAACAAGTTGTTGTTCTGTTCTGGCCACTTGGAATTTGTTTATTATTTTTTGGCGTGAGCAAAATGTTTTTGAGGGTGAGCCAAATTTTGATGTGTTGCAATTTTATTTTTCTTCTTTTAAATTAGATCTTTTACGAAATGTGGTTCCAAGAAAATGATTCTTGCCGAAAGGCGAGTGGAGAGTTGTGATGTATGGTCCACATATGTATGACATACACAATGAGTGCATCTGTATAGACCGATTCCTAGATATATTTTTAATTTACCTAATTAGAGAGGGAAACACGAGAGAACTTTTGAGAAAGGCCGCACATGCGAGCTGGCGAACAAGCACACACGTCTGTAAGTGGATCGGCGAAAGAAAATGGAAAAAATTTCGGTTTCCGCGACGAACTGCAAATCGATAAACGTGACGGGACGCACAGACGTCTTCCAGGTCTGGGGGAAAGATTTCAGCCAATGGAAATAATAACAAAAACACGGCTATAAATAGTGGAACAAGACAGGCAGCCCAGCAGCGAATCGGGTGACATGGCATGAAGTAAACGAAAACATTGGCCCCCACATTTCTTTCTGCTTGCACACCCACTGAGCGTTTTGATGGGGTCTAATTGCCGCGAAACTTTGCCCAAAAACACACACAACTCCGCCCGTTACCTGTGCATTTTTAATCGATGTTTGCCGTGCGACTCGAAACCCGATTGGTGGGCGAGCAAAAAATAAAAATAATCGCTCCAAGAAGTCACCAAGAAATGCTAAAAATTCCGAAACCAGTTCCCCGACGGTTCCTCAGCTGGTTTTGCTCTACACATTGTTGTTTTCAAGGTTTCTAAAAAATACAAACGTGTTGCAGAGAAGAAGTCGCTTTAGGGGTTTTTTTTTTGGTCAAACGTTGCTTTTTTGCGTCGAAAATTGAAAGTTTCTCTGCTGTCTGGTCGTGGCTTATCAGAATCAGGTCGATTGCCGACCAAATACAAAATGAAGCCACGAACTCTGCAATGCGTCATTAGATGAGAATATTGATACGAGGCTTAAACTTTAAAATTGTCTATGTCGTGTCCAATAGCCCTTCAATACGCTAAGCTTAATCATGTTTCTGTCAGTGTATAAGTTAAACGGTTTCGCTTTTGGGAAGTCTAGACTTTGACAAAGCAAAACCTTTATCAGAAGCGCAATAGACTTTTGAATGTGTAATTTCTTGTTTAACTCCAACGTGGGAAAAGTAAACAATATTATCTTTACTCAAAAGCAAATTCTCTGTCTCAGCTATTTCTAGAGTATTTAAGAGATCGTTGGGAACAAGGAAAACTTTAAATACTGTGGCTAAAACGATTTTATACAAGCAGGGTTCACAAAAACCACAATAGAGGCTGATGAGGTCTTTATAATTTCATAATTCATAATTTCTACCTTAACGACGCATTATTTTATTTTGATGATTATTGCATAATATTTTTTCTCCCAATCCGATGCTCCAATGTCATCGTTATGTTCACAAGTGCGTGCGTAACTTTTCATATGCCACTTATCGCCCCCATGACCACGAAAAAGACTTCAAGCCTTTGCTCGTACTCAAGTTTTTCTCAATTTTTCGACACCTAGCTTGGGTTTTGTGAGGGTTTTGTTACCCAGAGCCTAACCGTCCGCCAGTTTGAAACTTTTCTCGGGTTGTTCGTTTCATTTTCGGCGCTCAACTCCAATTGCCGTTTCGGTTATATGAGGCTCAAAGATTTCGACAGGCCGATTAGAATTGCAAAGTGAGGCGCCATGCGGCACAGTTCGTTGTTGCGTTTGTTGCTGCCACGGTGGCCAGCGTGGTGGAACCAACTCGCCGTTTATGTTTTTCTATATACCATTTTATAATATTCCACTACTCTCACAAAGAATAAGTGTAGCTGATAACCTTATATTTTAATATATTTCATAATCAAAAATATTTCATTTGATTTATGATTTTTAACGCTTGCATTTATTTGGAATTCTACAAATACGTTAAACCAAAATATAATCTCTACATGGGAAAATTATATAATTAAAAAAAACTGTAACGATTTCCTTCCAGGAGTTCAATCATATGATTAATCTTTTCCATCATTTTTAAATCTCTCAAATTAATGACTGAATTAATTGTAATTGCATTAACTATAGCCATTGCCAACTGACGACAGACTTTTCCCAACCTTTTTTCAGTTTGCCGCATGCAAATTAGTCCGCCACGCCCCCTGTCCCCCCTGTCCGCCCCCCTCACGCCACAAACTGTCAATGGTAACGCCTAATGTTATTATTTTCTAGTCGCCGTTAGCTGTTTATCTAGTTTGCTGCTGTTTGCGACTAAATGCAAATGGTTGGGAAGAGAAAAGCGATGGCTAAGGGGTCTGAGCGGTGAAATGCGACAACGATTGACGCCCGCAACTTGGCCTGGCATTGTTTTCCACCCACCGGCAATGTGGGTTAATAACCAAAAGCCAGAAGGCAGCGCAAGTCACACTATTCATAGCTCACCTATTTCCATTCCGGTTACCCGTGAAAGGGTATATTGCACACGTGTCTCCACTCCCAAAGTAACCATATTTGTTGTCTTTTTTCGAACAACGAATTTTACGTTTGTTTAAACAAGTTTCCCTATATGCTTGGAGGCTTTATATTTATTTTATACAACAAAATTGTATAGAGCTGATTATTTAATAACGTCAATATTTGAAGATATTTTTAAAAAGAAGAATTAAAAAATTAAATGGATGGATGGGAAAATCTGTCATTACAGACATCAACATTTTGAGTCACAAAAGAATGTTTTCAAACCGTTTTGTTTTTTGTCTTTTTATTTTTAGTTTCTTTGCTTTGTGGGTGATAATATTTGAGTTGGTCCCTACTCAATACTTCCGTCCTGAAAGTTCGACTACATTTTTTCAAAAGACTTCGCAACTAAAAACTCATAACTAAAAACTTTAAATACTTCTGTGCTTTAATTATGTACTTTTAAATATTTTCTAAAGACAAAACAATTTACTTTGCTCTTATCTTTGGCAAACAAATTGTTAATTAGTTTCTTTGGAAAATGACACATAGCCGTTAAAAGGAATTGGTTGCGGGAGTTAAAAAAAGATGTGAAAGACCGCCATTGGGTGATGCATAAATTACACAAATCATTTACTCTGTTTTACAATCGCTCATTGGAGGAAACTCTTTTCAGTGTGATCCAGTTTTCTCTTTTCCGCTTCTGTTTTTTTTCTGGCTCGCGTTTTTGTACGGCAAACTTAGTTTTTCGACCAAGGTTTTCTTAAATAAATCTGAATAATCTTAACTACAGCTAGTAAATTTCATGAAGTGTTTTATGAACATGCACCTTCTAAAAGATGTTTATGTCATATTGCTGACACTATTTTATTTCCACATTGACAATGCAAATCAGATCTTTCCTGCGGAATGGTTTATTATCGTTTTATTCTGGGTCAAAGATAACCGTTTGTTTTCTTTTTAATCAACCACAGTCCACTTAGCTGATAAAGGCATTTATCTAATTACAATGTTTAATAGGCAGGTAAAGGCAGTAAATTAATAAAAATATTTATTATCTGCATTACCTAAAAAACAATTTTAAGTTGGATATGACGGATTGTTTATTCGTTAAGTTCTATATTCAAAAATATATATTGCAGAGAATTGCGCACTTCCCCAGATTGGTGCAATGGCAGCTGTTTAAAGGCTAAATTTAATGGGAAAAGCGGAAAACAATATTTGCTTGAGCTGTACTATGCAATCAAATTTGCTGAGGTCTACAAATCGTTTTGAAATTTCCAGTTAATTACTCAGAACGAAACGAATCGCTGCATTTGTTTGTTGTGGACGCTGCAACTGTTGACGAGTGCATTTCAATTCAAACAGTATGCAGCAAACCTTGGCTGAATCACACTTTGACCAATAAATGAGGGTTTAAAATGGAAAAAACACATAAAAACGCATCTAGGCGTATATTTAACTAGGGTGACACACATTGGGAATATGGAGATTCATACACCAGAAGGCTTCGCCGGCAAAAGCGCTGACTTTGAAGTGCAACGTGAGTCACTCAGGTGAGCCAATTCTGCTGGCCCTTTCTGTTTTTATTGTCTCTGTTTTGCAGACAAGTCGTTGAACTTTCCCTTGAGCACTTTTGGCAACTTTTTCTTATGAGATCATGACACGAAATCGTCTCACCGGCGAATGTGTGTGTTTCATATTGACAAAACTTCGAAGCGCGCTTCATTCGCACACGCCTAGCACAAGCGGCCAAGTAGAATGGCCGTAATATAAAAAAGCTGGAGAAAAACAAGTTTGCTCGTGGGCTAACAAATAAGAGGAGCAGCAATGATCTAAGCAGCTGAAGCGTAGACACCCGGCAAGAGCTTATTTAATTAACATCCGAGTGCTAACGAAAGCAACGAGCAGAGCTGCTCGGTGAGCAATAAAGAGGTCATAAACTACGCAACGTTCATTTGCCAATTTTGAATTAAGCGCCAAACGTAGCGTTGCCAGACATAGAGATTATGGAATAGTGGTATCCTTGTCAAAAAAATAACTATACAGTTGTCCCTTTCTTGCTTATTGATTTCTCCTAGGCCCAAAAACAGGGTTGTTAAACACGTAGACGACGCAGTTTTCATACGGAATTTTCACATTCGCGTTTGTTTTGTGCATAAGAATTTCACCTAATTAATTTGTATTGCGGATTGCCAGTGAATTATGCGTGTGCCATGAGCCGCGCCTGTGATTATGTGAGAACGGCAGACGGAAAACCGCGAATTGAATCTGACGCTGCAACTGCAGAGAACAAAGGCCAAAAAGGCTGCATAAGACTTCGAAATTAAATTAGCACAGCTAAATAATCGCAAATCTCGGCAAGTCAACATGGATGATGCCACCTCCCAGAACTCGGCTGCAACGCCCATGACTCGAGAGAATATTCCGTTGCTGAATCGCCAGCGAAATCGCTGGTGTCTTTTTAGGTGTGAATCATCACTTTAATGGGGTGGATTTTTTCAGGCTTTCCTTATCAACTTTTTGCAGTGCATTCATGTTAATCAATTGCGGTTAATCGGTTGGGTTGCGGTGTGCTCCCTTCTCTTTCTTCAACTCGTAAAGCCAGGCTTTTCACCTACCACTTGCACACTCTCTCTCACTCACACACACCCACACACTCATAAAGAGATGCATACACATTCAGTTGATTGTTGTTGTCGTCTGAATTTTCACTTTTGTTTATTTTCGAGTTTTTACTATTGATTTTCCGCTCAAGGTCGCCTACTTTATGGTCCCATACACTGTGTGACTGAAATTTTAATTCGCTCGGCCATTTACTTGCTACCAAATAGGGTTTTCCCCCCATCGGTTTATGAATATTAGGTTCTATAGCTAATTGAGTATGCCGTTAAAAATTTATGGTTCCTGGGAATCGGTTTAAATGTGGAAAACAAATGTTTAATTGTGGACTTTTTATTAAGTCAACATTACTTGTTGCGGCTTGAGAGTAAAACCAATAATAATTAGAAATGTTTAAAATGTCCATAAATAAAAAAAAAACGAAAAATTAGGGCAAACATTTTTTTCATATTTTTGACACACTTTTCGGATGTTCAAATTTAAACAAAATTCTATGTGAAAAACGAGGCAATTCAAATCAATTGATGTTAACGCCGACCGAAGCTTGAAGCTCGCTACTCTTCGGATTTTCAATTATTTCTGTTTGAGACAATAAGAGGGTTTTATGGGTGCCTGGGAAGATCGGCCAGAAGGATGTTCCTGGCTCACACCCTAACTGAAAGCTGCGTTATACTGATCCTTCTACTCACTTTCAGTTGCTGGCGAAAATGGTTCCGACCACGAGAGCTGAGGGCCCGGACCGTCAACCTGGGCCGGGTCAATACGGAGAAGTTCCCGCCGAACGAGATCCGAAATCAGAAGTACAATTTCATCACCTTCCTGCCGCTGGTGCTGTTCGAGCAGTTTCGCTTCTTCCTCAACCTGTACTTCCTGCTGATGGCGCTGTCGCAGTTCATTCCGGACATCCGGATCGGCTACCCGTACACCTATTGGGGTCCACTCGGCTTCGTCCTGATGGTCACCATCTGCCGGGAGGCAGTCGATGATCTGCGACGGCATCAGCGGGACCACGAGGTCAACTCTCAGAAGTATAAACGCCTGTCGGCCAACAACCTCAGCGGCTACGAGATGGTACCAAGCTCGAAGCTGAAGGTCGGTGACATTATCATCGTAGAGAAGAATGAGCGGGTGCCCGCGGATCTGATCCTGTTGCGCACCAGCGACCGCAGTGGTTCGGTCTTCGTGAGGACAGACCAACTGGATGGTGAGACGGACTGGAAACCCCGTCTTGCCGTCCCGTACACCCAGAAACTCAGCCGGGACTCGGAGCTGCATACTATCGATGCCAGCTTTTATGTGGAGAAGCCCCAGAACGACATCCACAGCTTCATTGCCACCTTCTGCATGGCGGAGGGCAGCGAGGACACCGGCCTCAGTGTGGAGAACACTCTGTGGGCCAACACCGTTGTGGCCGCAGGCACAGCCACCGGAATTGTCATCTACACAGGATGCGAAACGCGCAGCGTCATGAACAACTCACAGCCGAGGTCCAAGGTGGGCCTGCTGGATATGGAGATCAACGGATTGACCAAGGTGAGTTAAACATTAGGATTTGTAGGATATCCAAGTATAATTATGTGTACATTGCATAATCATTGTTTTTGTTTTCTTTTTGATATTTATTATTACAACGAAAAGTAATCAATCTTATTTTTCAACAGGTTCTGTTTTGTGCCGTGCTGGGACTGTCGCTAGTCATGATGATGCTGAAGGGATTCGGCGGCCCCTGGTACCGATACATGTTCCGCTTCGTGCTGCTCTTCTCCTACATCATTCCAATCAGTCTGCGCGTAAACTTGGACATGGGCAAGGCCTTCTACTCGTGGCAAATGCAAAACGACTCCAATATCCAGGGAACCGTAGTCAGATCGACGACCATTCCCGAGGAATTGGGCAGAATCTCGTACGTGCTGACCGACAAGACGGGCACTCTTACCCAGAACGAGATGGTCTTCAAGAAAATCCACCTGGGCATAGTGTCCCATGATGCGGACACCTTCCATCACATTGGTCAGATGATACAAAAGCTATCTGGGAATATATTGCAACAGCAGCAGGGTAGCGTATCTAGCTCGAGTAGCAGTGCGGAATCTACAAAGCCAATTATGTTCGCCGGCAATCGGATGCGCCGTCCCGAGGGATGGCGGGAATGGGAGGCAGTGCGAGCACTTGCCCTTTGCCACAATGTTACGCCCGTGAGCGATGACGAGGACAACCGATCCGTGTCCACGGCTTCCACCGTCACCGGCGGCAACAACTCGCCGACCAAATCTGTGATAAACATCGAGGCACCCGGCAGCACGGACACGGAGCATCAATACCAGGCCGCCTCTCCAGATGAAATAGCGCTGGTCAAGTGGACTGAGCAGGTGGGCCTGACTCTGATTGCTAGGGATCTCAATTCGATGACGTTGCAGGTGAAAACCCCCAGCGAGGACAGTAAGTAAAACTAAAATATTTCGCTTATCATCGAACTAATGTAGATATTTCCTGTTTACCCAGATGACATTCTGCTGCATTATCAGATTCTGCAGCTGTTCCCCTTCACCAGCGAGAGCAAGCGCATGGGTATTATAGTGCGCGAGAGCAAAACGGGACAGATAACGTTCTATCTGAAGGGTGCCGATGTGGTGATGTCCAGCATTGTGCAGTATAACGACTGGCTGAGCGAAGAGTCGGGCAACATGGCGCGAGAAGGCCTACGCACGCTTGTGGTGGCCAAGAAGGTGCTTACCGAGGAACAGTATTCCGACTTTGAAACACGTTACAATGCGGCTCGTTTGAGCATAACCGATCGCGTGGCCAAGGTGGCTGCAGTCACGGAATCTCTTGAGCGTGAGCTGGAACTGCTTTGTCTGACTGGCGTCGAGGATCGTCTGCAAGAGAATGTGCGTCCCACTTTGGAATTGCTGCGTAATGCCGGCGTTCGCGTTTGGATGTTAACGGGCGACAAGCTAGAGACTGCTTGCTGTATTGCCAAGTCCTCACAGCTGATTGGCCGGAACCAGGGATTGCATGTTCTGCGCTCCGTCAAGACGCGTACGGATGCTCATCAGGAGCTGAATAGTTTCCGACGCAAACAGGGTCATGCGCTGGTCATCTCTGGCGAATCGCTTGAGGTCTGCCTGCAGTATTACAGACCGGAGTTCCTGGAACTGGCCACAGCTTCGCCAGCCGTGGTCTGCTGCCGCTGCTCGCCCACTCAAAAGGCCCAGGTGGTGGCTCTCATCCAGAAGCACACCGGCAAACGAACCTGCGCCGTGGGAGATGGTGGCAACGATGTCAGCATGATTCAGCAGGCCGACGCCGGAGTTGGAATTGAGGGACGCGAGGGAAGACAGGCCTCGCTGGCCGGTGACTTTAGCATTCCGCAGTTCTCGCACATTGCCAAGCTGCTGCTCATCCACGGCCGGAGGAGCTACAAGCGCTCGGCGGCCCTCTCACAGTTCGTAATCCACCGCGGTCTGATCATCACCACCTTGCAGGCGGTATTCTCGGCGGTTTTCTACCTCAGCTCGGTGGCCTTGTACCAAGGCTTTCTCATGGTCGGATATTCGACACTGTACACCATGTTTCCGGTGTTCTCACTGGTGCTGGATCAGGACATCACCTCGGAGACCGCCGTCACGTATCCGGAGCTTTACAAGGATTTGTCCAAAGGACGTAGTCTCAGTTACAAGACCTTCTTTATATGGGTACTGATAAGCATATACCAAGGCGGCGTCATTATGTATGGAGCGCTGATACTCTTTGTGGATGAGTTTATCCACATTGTGGCAATCAGTTTCTCGGCTTTGATCATGACGGAGCTCATTATGGTGGCACTCACCGTGCGCACTTGGCATAGGTTAGTTCTGGCATCTTTTTGAAATCCCGTTTTTTTTATAAGTTTGCTAACATTTTATTATGCTTTATTCGCAGGTTAATGGTGCTAGCGGAACTATTTAGTTTAGCGCTCTATCTCATTTCATTGGCCGTGTTGCATGAGTATTTCGGTAAGTAACTTTTTAACTTATTTAAAGAATGATGTACAACTTGTTATCCTTTATTTATAGACTGGGAGTTTATCTGGTCGTACGATTTTCTATGGAAGGTTTCCCTCATCACGCTGGTCTCCTGCTTACCACTGTACATAATCAAGTTCTTGCGTAAAAAATGTTCGCCGCCCTCTTATTTGAAGCTCTCTTAAATGGTGGCACGGCAGACAACTAACAAATTAATTCTCCAGATTTTATAACCTTCATTGCGTTCTGTTCACAATAGTAATGTTTCTTATCATTAAGCACTTTATGGTTTGTTTATTTTTTTTCGATTGAGGAGGCATCCCACAATTATCCCTCGATTTGCCAATACCCGCACCAACCCCAAATATACGTGATATCAGGTTAAACGCCCCTTCCTCGACACTACACTTTCGTTTGATGATATTTTTGTTGATTTTGAAAGATTCACAAAATACCAGAGAGAAAGTGATTCGATTATTATAGTTAAAATGAAAACCGATTCTTATTTGTAAGCTTGAGGCGTAACTGTTTCCATATATTTCAATTTTGTATACCTGTGTGTATTTGATAAATATTTAAGTCGCAGAAAACCAAATTATGTTACTAATTATTTAATGATAAAATAAATTAATAATTGTATCTATGACTAAAAATTAAATCAATTACAATGGTATAAAAAAGAATGTGAAAGAAAAAAAATAGATTTTGTATTAAGGTTTAGAAATCGCATTGGATTGTGAAATAATTAATATAAATAAATTAACATATATAAATGAACAGATCGTTATTTAATTATTTTTGAAGCGGCTCCCGAAATACGGCAAGAAATAAACTAAAGACTTCGTTTTTTTTTGTATTGTACATTTTTTATTTACCATTTTGCTTGACATTTTGTTTCTGTTTATTACTAATTCACAATTCTTTGCTTGAAATACATAATAATTTTAATAATATATTATATTATGCATGTACGCACATACAAACATACTTACGTACGCAAGTTAATGAATTTTGTGTTGTCTTCTTGTTGGTAATATAATAGTTTAGCTTTTGCTATGCTTTTAAAATGCATGACATCCATTAGCGTTTACACTTTCATGGTTTTCTAACAATTTATTTATTTTTTTTTCGTTTTCGTTTTGGTTTTCATATTTGTTTTTTGTTTATTGAAATCTTGTTTCTTTACTTTGTTTTTAATTGCTTAGCAAAACTTCGACTCTTTATAGGTTGAAATGATGAAGCACTGTTTTTCGATTTTGCTTAAATGCGCAGAAATACTTTTGAAGTAAACAATTTGCATGTCTTTTTTTGTTTTGTTCAAATTTCACAACATTGAAATTTTATTTCTCCATAAACACATGCAGTTTTTTAAGGTATTATTTTTGGTGTGCTTTGTTAATAACATTTTGATTTCCTTTTTGTATACTCGCCTTGCCTTTTGCTAATACTGAATTCTGTTGAGCCTTTCATGTACTTCCAGTTGAGCCAACTCCTCGCTAAGAACTCGTTTGAGCAATTTAAATAAACTTTTATGTCGGTGTATAAAAGTTTCCTCCAATCATTTGGGTTTCTTAAAGCTTTTCCATTTCTTCATTTGTTCAATCAACAACTTCAACTCTAATTCTCAACTTGGGTACAGAGAGCTGAGCTACATTTGTTTAAAGGGTATGGGGGGATGTATATATTTGGGATAAATACTTTGTAGACATATGCATGTGTGTTGACATTTGGTTTCGTATTCGCTCACTTCTAATTTACTAAAAATCTACAAAATATAATATTTGAATTTTTTCTCTGCTAAATATATTCTGCATATACATACTTTATAATGATTGTTTAACATTTATACATTGTTTTTTATGCAAGTTATAATTTCTTACTCTGCGTTTTTTATGTGTGGTTCTTGATGAGGTCAACTTTGATTTGTTTTATTTGAAACTTCTGGTTTTCGTCTATTTAAATATTTTTAGTTTTAGAATGATCTTGTCTAATTGTTGATATGTGTTTACTGTTTTATGTTGTGGCTAATATGAAATTGTTGTTTTTGGTTTACGTTTTTACAATTCCAAAAAGGTTTAAACGTTTTCTTTTTACCTGTTATGTTAGTTTATTTTAATTTTTTTTAAATTTTTTCTTTGTTTTAATAATATTCAGTCTATATAAACATTCATTTATACATTTATGCTAAATTTTTGGAAAACAAATCGGGAGAATGTGCGAAACTGATCTAAAACCGATGCACATTTTCAGTTCCTCAACCAAAACTGGTAAAATTTGTCTAAAAAGAAATCGGATTCAAATAATGTAGAAATAAGAATATCTGAAGATCTGTGGATGATCGGATTCATGTTGGAGAAAGTGTTCAATTCATGTAAATCTATCAAAAATTAATGGTTGTTCGCTTTACCTCGCTATGCTTTACATGTATATATGTATTTAATTATGTAGGTATAATTAGGGCATGCTATTTGCTTGCATTTGTTTCTGTATATTTAGTTAAATATTTTGTTACTTGTTTGCTATTATTTTGCTTGTTAACACATTCCTCTTGACGAGTTTTATTCAATGCATTTAATTTTTAGTTGTATTTTTCATTGCTGTTTCTGAATTTTTACTCAAGTTGGCTATACCTTTTCACGTGATCTGATTTGTTTACTCAACAGATTCCCTAATTTTTTCCTCTGCATTTGAATATAGATAGAAATCGATCAACATAAACGAAATCAACTATTTACATACACATAAATATACTTAAACCCGTATACATAAAGGTTTCCGTTTGGTTATAAATCTAATCACTGACCTCAGTAACAACGAAAGCAAAACATCTGGGTTCCTGTAGGGTTCAAGAATTTCGGTACTTATTCAGTTTTGAGTCAAAAGTAAATCTTTTTGCAATATACTTTTCAACATCGTATGCTAAAATATTTATTTCAGATATTGTTATTCGTAATATTTTACGTCGTGCCTTGTAGAATAATGTTTATTAGAGTGTTGTAGCAGCGATTGAGCTTGCTGGGAAAATATTCATATAAAGAAACGTATTTTATGTTATCATTCACTAATTACTAAGCAAACCAATGCCAAGCATATCCTAAAATTAATGTTTTTTGCTCTACTTCAATTTCGGCGCCATTTAGCTCCTTTAAAAAACTGCCAATTTAAATTACCACATCCATGCTCAATAATCCAAGGTTTCGAAAAGAGCCATAACACTTCAATTAAATCAATCGATAATTGTTATTTTACCCTGGATGTTGATGCATGAGCTGGCTTTACACCTGCACCGATATATAAAATTTTAGTGGATAAATGGTAAAATTATCTATGTAAAAAAGTTCCTAACTTAAATCATTGTAGGCAGTATGTCATTTTGTTTTCATTTTAACTTTTTATAGGCCGAAAGTAACTGTTGATAGTGTGATAATTTTTTTCTGAACACAATTGCGTTTTTAAGACGATAACTATAACAGAGCTTCAAATAAAATACTGTGTGTCTCTTAATATATATATATTATGTTCAACTTAGTCCATTAAAACTTTTTAAACTGTTGGAACGACTTGCCGAAAGGATTACCTCCCCAAAATAACCAAATTGCGAAAAACACTCAACGGTAATCCTTCACTTAAAGGAACATCTCTAATGCTCTAGAGTCTAGACCCTTGTGGTGCTATTAATATACGTATGCCATTCCGGCACACTGAAAAGCGTCTACACATTTAAAAAATTGGCAAAGCTTTTACAAAATTACGAAACTACGATTACAAACTACTTTGCCAAAAAAAAATGTAACATACAAGCAATACCCAAGTGCAATATTTGAGCTGATTTGAGCCGGATCAAACGATTTGGCCTGGCAGGTAGGTAAACTCCGGAGAACTCGACGCCTCCGAAAGCAACTCTAAAAACTAACCACTGTGCTCAGGCCAAGTGGCGCTGCTCCTCGCAGTTGGCACTGCGGGTGGCCTCGCACTGGGCACAGTGCTTCTCCAGAAACTTCATGGACAAGTGGAACGTATACCGGTGCCGGGTGCAACGCCTTTACATCTTGTACTCGACGATCTTGTTGGGATTGAGGAACTGCTCCCGTTGCGACGCCTCCAAATGGGCCACGGTGCGCGTCAAGGCCGAGCCCGAACCGGAACCCGAACCGGAACCGGAACCAGTTACCGGTCCAGTTGCAGATCCCGTTACTGATTTATGCTTGCCATCAGCTGATCCCCCTCCCCCGCCTCCTCCTCCTCCTCCGCCGCTGGTGCGTCCTGTGTCCGTGCCAATGGGTTGGTAGACCCCCTGGTCACTGATCACCCCGACATTCACCCCGGCCACAACGGGCTGTTGCAGATAGCCGGAGTACTGAGGCGGCAGCTGGTAGCTGCCCGGTGGCTGCTGCTGCTGCTGTTGGTGGCTGCCCGCCCGCGGCTGCTCCGTGTGGGCGATTGGGTACTGCTGCTGGTGGGCGTAGTCCTGGCTGCTGCCCACAGCGCCAGCGGAAGCCACCGAGCCACCAGCTGTTCCACCTCCTCCTCCTCCCACTCCGGCCAGCGATCCACCGCCAACTCCGCCTCCACCCATCCTCGAGCCGGAGTCATCGTTGAGACCCTCGCCCATTTCCCCGTCTCGATTGTGGCGTCCCCGGATGCACAGCTTGGTGAAGAGCCACACGCGTCCGCGGTAGAGGAGGTAGCAGCAGAAGTGCACAAAAAAGGTGAAGATGATCGCACAGGCCGTCACTATAATGGCCTTTCCCGGCTTGGTCCAGTCCATCATCGGGTAGATGGCAGTTTGGTTTTTCCTGAAGAAAAATATTATATTAATCTAATCATAAATATAATTATTTAATCTGCTATTTAGTGAGGACTCACCTATCTGTTCCCCCGGCCAAGAAGTAGATGCCTGTAAATATGGCATAGGCCAGGCCAATTCCAGTGGTAAAGTAGGCGTGGCTCATTTTAATCGGATGACCCACTATGGCCAAATCGATCAGCATTATAATCGTGTTGAGCACATGGACCATTATATTTAAAGCATCAATCTTGTGGATTTCTGAAAGATGAATGCCATTGTAAGAACAAGAATTTAATGTATTGTAAAAGTATAATTTTTATAATGTTTATTGTTTACAGAAAATGTCCTTTTGGTATTTAAAATAAACTTGACTATAAGTAAAAATATATATCCCTTTTTATTAATTCTGTAATAATTTAGAAAATAAATGATGTAGTAAAACATCCTTGTCAAAAATCAGTAGTTCTCGGGTTATATTGTACATTTGTTAAATTTCACTCATTTTCATAACTACTCAAAAATATCTCAGCAACTATTTGCTATGGATTGCTCTCCAATTTGAAAGGAATCCCCATTTGCCCCCTTCACATTTGGCTTTTTATGACTCTGCCGAGAAAGTCAGACGTTGACTTTTTGCTGAGGTAGTAGTACTCGTAAGCAATGTCATCGGCGCAGTCCAGGAAGACGAAGCAGGCGAGAAAGTCGATCAGCAGCACCGTGGAGCACAGAGGTCTGTCCAGGATGGGCGGCAGGTTGTCCCAGTGGCCGGAGATGACCTGCGCCTGAAATCCGATGATCGGAAAGGCGATCTGCCAGAGCACAAAGTGAACGGCTGCCTCGAAGGCGTATACTTTGCCCGGCAGGTGGACACAGCAGGCGACCATCAGGACACTGGTCATCACCACGAACACGAACCAGGCGAGCAAGAGGTAGGTCATCGCCGGACAGCCGGGCAGCGACCAGGAGCCAACCACCTGGATCAGCACCATCATTACGAGTACCTCCAGGCTGAGGAGCAGTACGTGAACAACATGTCCCTCCGGGAGAACCGTGACCGTTCCAAAAGCCAGACAGGCGGCAATCAGGCAGCTGATGATCCAGTTGACCGGGAACTTTCGCCTCAACCAGGTCGTATTTACGTAGATGCAGAAGATGAACAGGCCGATGATGAAGAAGCAAATGGTGGCCGTGGCGTCCGGAAGGAGGACAACTCGAAGGAGATCCGGCAGGATGAGCAGGAAAATCGCCAGAGCGATGAAGACGAGCGCGATGCCGTAGATCCACAGACGCACCACGTTACGGAGGCCATCGAGGTTGTCCTCTTGCAAATCAGTCATGCCCTCTCCAGGTTTCCAGCTTTTTAGGTTTCCGGTTTTCCAGCTTTCCGGGCTTCTCCAATTTGTCCGGTAATTCTTTTCGGGCGAGGGGCGTGTGTCGAAGTGTCAAAGGTGAGAGCTCGGCCTGACAGCCAGTATGTTAGGTCTAACCAGATCAGTATCAGCCCCGAATTTTAGCGTGCGAACCGTTGAATCCTCCCGCTCGACAAACCGCTTGGAGGCCGATTCCAGTGTGTGGAGCAGCCAGCTGCAGGAGGAGGAGGCCTCCGTCTCCAGCCTCGGGCTCTCGTTCATCCGCCGAAAGCAGCCGTCGCGCTTCGTGTTCCGCACCTACGTGTGCGTCCTGCTGGGCATCGAGGTGTCCCTCGGTTCGCTGCAGTGGCTCGGCTCCACGTACCGCTGGCGACCGGACCTGAATCCGGCCAACCGCAGCCTGTCCGTCCTGCTGCTCCTGCTGTCGTGGATCAACCTGACGCTGGCCTTCATCGGTTTCCGCCGCCTGCAGTTCACCTTCCCGCTCAACTGGATCATCTTCGGCTGCATCTTCGAGAGCCTCACGCTGCTGGTCGTGTGTCTGCACATCCTCGAGCTGGATCTCACCTGGCCATTCGTACTGGTCGGCATCGGGGTAATGGTCGTCTATACGCTGCTGGGGCTGTGGGTGCCGAGCTTCCTCACCGCCAACCTATGGATCATCATCCTGGCCAGCTTTGTTGTCTTTGTGGTGTCCGCCATTGCGTTGTACTTTCACCTGCAGATGAGCTACTATGTGCCGGCCAGCCTGTGCCTGGTCTTCTTCGGCCCGTGGGCCATGTTCAACTCCCAGAAGCTCTTCCTGCCCCACATGCGCACCGGTTACCTGCCGCACCAGTACTTGGAGGCATCGGCCAAGATGTACATCAACTACGCCTTCACCGTCAGCGGCATCATCTTCGCCCACCGCCTGGCGGTCAACACCTTGGATTCCCATGGATAGCAGGGAGGTGGAGGAGGAGCAGGAGGTGGAGGAGGAGGAGGTTAAGTTACTTTCCTGGTTGAGTTTTGAGTGGAGGGAAGCTGGGGCTGATCTCATTGGTTGTTTTCGTTTTTTGTAAGTCTTTCATCACTGAATAAATTGTCACGTGTTTACTTGTATATCTTAAATTATCCGTTGTGTCATTTGTATTTTTCGTGATGAAACATTTTCTTTTAGAATATATTTAAATATATTTGAACAGAGCTACGACAACTATTCGCTAATAAAATGTAAAGACAACGGTGCGTATGAGTGATAATCTTTATGTGCATTGCGCAGCATAAAACCTCGTTTCTAAAATGTGTTTTCTTTTTATGAGTCATCGCAGGATCCCTTATTTATATATTATTACTTAGAATATTGAGTAAAAGTGATGTTTTTTTTTTAAATAAAAAGCAATTTATATTATACTCTATGGATTACTATAACTGAAAGGATAGTTACAAATGAAAGGGCAGTTTAAGAAACTCACCAGGATTGTGGACCAATAGCCAGTAGCACATGGTCACAATGAACGCGTAGACCGTGGCACAGGTGTAGAGCACCCAGTACAGATGGTGCAGTCGGCTCTTCTTCGCCTGGCGCACAATCTCGAAGTCCTCGCGCTCCACCATCATTCCCTGGGTGACAATCCAGGCGGCCAGCCACGCCTGCACCGTGCAGAAGAGCAGCCCCCAGTGGGTCAGGTAGATCCACCACTTGGCGTAGTGGTGCTCGAAGTGCTCATCCGTGCGCCCGATGTCTAGCAGGGAGCAGACCAGCGCCGCCAGGCAGGTGATGGCCGTTATCCAGCGGTAGAACAGGTACACGATGCGCACCTGCGTGTTCCGCTGCCACTGAATAATTAAAGGGGATTTTTAATATAAATATGTATCTAAGTAACCTAAGCAATAGCTAAGTGAAAAGATTTTCTAAGTTGTTGTATTGGAATTTAACAAATTAAAGGATTCAAGACTTCATTTAAATGCTACAAATTGAATGTAACTAGAGTTCAGAATTCTAGTTTATTGAAGGAGCTAAGGGTATAATTTAAAACGTAGCGATATGCTTTTGTAATTTCTAATAACAAGGGTACAATATAATGAAATTAATCCAAATAATTTAATTTGTATGTAAAGAAAAATTCTTTTTCAGTAAAAACTATTCAAATTTAACCAATCAGTTGCTAAAGATTCCTAACTTTTGGAGAACAACTCTGTTCAAATATTCCCATATTCCATTTCCTATAGATTGAACTACCCGCTCATTGCATAATAAAATACATTATTTATATATTTTAATTTCTTATTATAACATATAAGATATAGTAAGGGTTATCTCACCTGGCACAGATAGAAGTTGTGGCGGTGGACGTGGTCCGGGGTGAACTCCGGGAAGCAGCTGTTCCACAGTTTGCTAACCATCATTCTCTGGTTGCCCAGGCAGCTGCCGGCGTTGGTGGCGAACTGGTTGAAGCCCTCGCAGCTGTCCTGCGAAGGATACTGGTAGGAGTGGTACGCCTGCTGCTGCAGTTGCTGCTGCGACCCCAGGAACTGCTGATGCTGCTGCTGCTGGTGTTGCTGCGGGTAGTGCGACGACTGGTGTTGCTGCTGTCGCTGTTGCTGATGTTGCTGATGTTGCTGCTGCTGCTGCTGCTGCTGATGTTGCTGGTTGAGCAGATGCTGCTGTTGCTGCTGCTGTTGTTGCTGTTGGGTGTATTGGTAGGGCTGGTAGCGCTGATCCTCCAGGATGCGCTGCGACTGGCTGCCCGCTGCTGAGCCCACTGCTGATCCTGATCCCGCTGCTGCGCCTCCTCCCGCTGCGGCTGAGCCGTGCTCCACTTGGTACTCGTGTTGCGGCGGCGTCTTGTGGCTGTGCAGGCTGTCCCGGCCGCTGCCGCCGTAGGGATGCAGAAAATCGGGAAGGTCAAGGATGCGCGCCAGCTGCGTGGCCACCTCCTCGTCGTCCTCGTCCTCGTTCCTCCGGCTGTTGTTGTGGTTGTGGTTGTGGTTGTGCTCCTCCTCGTCGTCCTCCTCCTCCTGCAAGTGGAAGAAGCGCAGTTCCTCGAGACTCGAACAGTCCGTGGAGAGCAGTGCTTGCGGCAGGCACTCCTCGAGCAGGTCCTCCTCGTCCTCAGTGGTGCTGGCGAAGCCCGGCAGATAGCCGTAGTTGTCGTAGGCGTCGTACCGCCTTCGGGGCGTGGCCTTGTAGCGATAGCCAGCTTGCAGCTCCTCCGCCGCACTCCCGTACTCTCGGAACGGCGAGGTGGATACCGCTGACGATGCTGCCGCTGCCGCTGCTGCTGCTGCTGCCGCTGCCGAAACTGAGGCCGCCGCTGCAACCGCCGCCGGAGTGGGCGGGACGGGCGGTGGAACGGTCCGGGTGCTCCGGCTGCTGAAGTAGTAATCGGTGGCTACGCTCGGCGCCGGCGGTGGTGGCGGTAGAGCCGCCGGAACGGCCAACGGTGGCAAGTAGCCCGGTGAACTTCCCGCTGAGGCTAGCAGCGGCGTGGGCGAGGCATCGAAGTTGATCAGTGCCGCCGCCGGATAGCCGCCGCCGGAGTATCCGCCCACGCTGCGGTACGGGTACGGGTAGGGAGTCGCTGCCGCGCCACCACCACTGCTGCTGGTGGTGCCGATGTAGATGTGCGCCGACGTCGACGGCAGATGGTACCAGCTGCAAAGACATTGCAAAAAAAAACATTAATTTCTAATTCATTTTAATTATTATAATTTTAGTCCATTTTTTTCAAATTTTGAAAAGTCGGGGGTCATAAAAAATGACAAAACATCGACCAAAAAATCGAAAATAAACTAATGATGCAGCTCATTAGATATTTTTATAACAAATTTAAATTAAAAATGTTAAAAAATTAGAAAATGTTTGCATTTCAATTCTCTAACGAACTGCCTCATTACTTAATTTTGTGATTTTTAACCGATTTTTTTCAACAACAAATCTACCAAAGTCGTTAAATAATCCGATTAATAAAACCCCATTGATTCTATTGATTTTAAATGGAAAGTAACCAGCTAAAATAATATTTTTAAACTATTAAAAATGGATAATGTAGACACAGGTTAATTGGGACAGATAAAGTGATAGTGATATTGATCTGATTAATAAAACCCCATTGCTTTCAATGACTTTGAAATGGATAGTAACTAGCTAATATAATCCTTGATAAATTCTGACAAAAGAATAAAGCAGATATTACCTGGCTAGGTTGCCGCTGCCCAGACCGAAGCCCAGGCCCAGTCCGAGACCCAGATCGGTGTTGGTGCTGCCGCGACTGAAGTAGTAGCTGTACTGCTGCTGCTGCTGCTGTTGTTGCTGCTGCTGCTGTTGCTGCTGCTGTTGCTGCTGCTGTTGTTGCTGCTGCTGCAGTTGCTGGTGGTGCAGCTGCAACTGCTGGGCGGCGAAGAGCTGCTGCTGGGCCAAGTGCTGCTGGTGCTGCTGCTGGGGGGCTGCGTAGCCGGTGAGCCAACGTTGCCGCAGGCACGAGTAACTCTGCTGCAACTCACGCTCGAGTCGCTGCAGCAGCAATTGTTGCTGCAGCTGCTGGATCTGCAGTTGCTGCTGCTGCTGGGCTAGCAATTGCTGCTGCACGAGCTGCTGGTGCTGTTGCTGCTGCTGTTGTTGCTGCTGTTGGCCACTAATTGGCACCGCTCTAAAGTAAAACTGCGCGTAATCCAATGTGAAGGCGTTCCTCTAAACCTCCGACGCGCGTCTACCACATTCACGCTTGGCTTTTGTTCGCGTCGCTCCCTGCTGCTTTTTTTTCCTTATTTGTTCCTCTTGTTGCTTCTGTTGTTGTTGTTGCTGTTTGTTGTTGCCTTTGTCCTATGTGTCCTTTGTGGCTTTGGCTGCTGCTGTTGCAGTTGCAAGTGGAAAGACGTCTGAGCCTGTAAGTGGAGCAGAAGGCAAAAAGAGATGAAGGCATTGAGTTGAGTCGACGACTGCTTTTCACATGCGAGTGCATAATGTACTAATTAGGCAGGCGTTAAGCATACGCAGTGTGGTACGAAATCAGAGGCGTTACCTCTAGATGGCTAAAAATTATACCTATTTATAACAGAATTTACTCCTTTTAAGTTGAGTATTTAAATGGTATTAGTTTGTAATTTAAATCTGAATTAAATAATTTTTAATGTACCTATATGTAGCTTTATTTACCGTGTAGTATAACGAAGGATATTAAAAGGCATTGCATTAAGCCTTAAAGTATTATTACTTAAATGACTTCCCCCACAATCAATTTTAAATGTGGTTAAGCTCCTTTAATAAATATCCAGCTACGTCTCTGGCCAAGATTGCAGAAGATAAAGATGCACTCCACTGAACGCACAGTTGGCGGCTGTAAAACAGTTTCTTTGAAACCCTAATTTATTGCCTCACTGCCGTCTCAGCTTTCCAGGTATAATGGTAACCAGGACAAAAGGGAAACAGGAGGAAGGCAATCTCAATGCAAAGATGTTCATTATAAATTCGCTGCAATCTTGAGCTAAAGGCAACAAATGTGTGGGATTCGAACTCGGTTGAACTTTTTTGATAGCTTAAGCCTGCTGAATAATGAATAATAAGTTCATGTCTCTATTACCAATTCATAGAGGTTTTATGAATAAAATAAAAAAATAAATCCTTAAATACCTAAACAGCTAGAGAATGCAAACATAGCAAGATGATTACGGCTTAGATTAAATATAATTATAATTAAATAATATTTGTAAAACTGTGTAACAGATGAGGACTTAGCTGTAAGCCTTCGTGCTATTTTCCCTTGATTCCCGCCAAGTGCCAGTGGGCGAAACTATTTCCATGGCATTATCCCTGCGCTGCAGACACTCCAGCACTACCAGCATTAATGTCCTTTGCCAGAGTGGGCGTGGCAATAAAATCAAATCAAATTGCGCGTGCCTCAGCAAAAACGCAAAACGCAAAACGGCGACCAGGAAGCGCCGTTGTGGCCATTTTGGTTGCGTTGCTTTTCCGTTGCAGAATTGAGTTGCAGTTAGTTGAGTTGTCTGCTCGGTGGCCAAAATGCGGAGGTTGGGAAAAAGGAAAAGCGGGGATTTGGGGCTTGGGGGTTTGGGTGGAAAATGTGCTGGGTAAAATGGGCCTGCAAGTGTGCAAGTGTTTGTGTGTGTGAGTGTGCAAGCCTTTTGACGTCATCAGCAAATACTTTACTCTTGGCAGTGGGTGTTGTTGTTCTTGTTCTTGCTGTTCTTGTTGCCGTTGTTTACACAGCTGCTATGGGTGCCGCATTTAGTTGTTGCCACTACCGCTGCCGTCGGTTGCTGCAACATTTACATTGGCAATTTGCTTGAAAAAGCACTTATACCATCATCCTCCTTGTACGAACTGCGGAGCCAACACACCAACACCAACACACTAGAACACAAATACAGATGCCGACGTCCCCACTTCCGGCCACAAGTCTGTGCTTTTGGCCTAACCCGAACTTCCGACATTGCCACCCAGCTGAGAATACCCTTCAATTGATTGGGTCTTCTTTATAAAAAGGCAACCGGAGATTGATTTGTTATTGAATTTATTTCAATTTATGTGGTACTGCTTTTTGGACCTCTATCAAGTTTTCTGATGAAAGCAATTCTATCAACTTTATAAGTCTACAAACAAAATGATGTTATAAAATAATCTTTATTTAATTTATAACATCTTTATTGCTTATTTTTCTATCATATATGTTGCATTTCTAACTGTTCCTTAAAACCCTTTCCATTTTCTACATTATCTTAATTTTCCCTAAGAAAATTTTGCTCAATCACTTCAGCAATCAAGATATAACCAAGTAATGAAAATTGCCTAAATGTTATGTCAATTTACAAAAGAGCATTCATGATTTTCGAAACACAGGCTTTTTGTGCTGACTCAACTTACATTTTTACTCTTTGTTACTTTGGTTTTTAAACCCCGCTTTGTGTGTGAAAACTTCGTTAAACTTGTGTGAAAACTTTTTGCTTCCATCACTTTAAGGCTCCTCTGTTTTTATGGCATACAGGGAAAAAAACGGAAAAGGACTGGCAAGGACAAAGAATTAAGCTGGAATAAAGTTTTGTTCAGCATTTAGTTAAAGTCGTTTGGACGGTTTTCCACCCTGGCTGTTTATTTATAGCCCGCTTGGCGGGCAAAAGAGGGAACATAAAAATTTGGCAATACTTTTTTTGAAGCGGCAATTAGGGGCACGCAGCACGTTGCAGGTCATAAAGGCGAGAATGAATTACCCAACCGCGTTGCAATTGAAATTGAAATTGAAATTTAATGGCTGCGAGCGGAGAGATCCCGCGGCATTCAACGCGGAGTTGTGGAGTGTGGCGAAAATGGCTCAATAGTCGAACAATTGTGTGCTTAAGCTGCATCATAAATTCGCTCAAGTGGCCAGCGGATAAATAAACACTGGCGATGCGGCCAACATGTCGTATGCGCGATATTCAATGAAGCGTGTGCGCCGGCGAAGGACACACCATTAATGCTAATTTAATTACGAAAACGTGTCTATGTGTGCCACTTCGTCACGTTCTTAACGACTCCCATTAAATTTCGCCGAAAATGTTTCAGTGGTTTTAAGGACTTCACTTGCATTCATTTTCCCTACATCCACTGCAATCCAGTTTATTTCTCATCAAAAGCCATGCTTCAAATATTTATTATAACCGGAATTCCTTCAAAATAATTAATATAATCCTTGACGGAAATCCCCACAAGATCAGAGCAATTTTCTTGCTGCTCAAAGTCAAAATAAACAGTGAGTCGGGCAAATAATTTTCGAAGCTCATGAAGCCTTAGATATATGCAGTATTTTCCCGAAAGGCACCCACATTCCGCTTCCACTAAAAATAAGAGAAAGTAAAAGAAATTTTGTTCGTTTTAATTAAATTGCATTCTCTTCACAATGCCACTTTCATCTGGAGGCGAAAACCTCCTCCTTCCCCGAAACTCGTTCACTTGGCTGACTTGGAATTTCTGTTAATCAAAGGCAGTGTTCAGCATGAAAATGCTTAATTGTGTTATTACATAACTTTTATCCAGCCGAAAGTGGAAGAAAGTGGGGACTGAAAGTGGGAATATATGTATGCTACTCGACATAAAAGTCGTTGGCAATTAATCCATGTGTTGGCCAAGAATAAATCGATGCGGTCTCAAAGGATAATTAATGCGTCACCAGAGCGCAGAAAACTGACCATGACAGCTGCTCGACGATTTCAGTGTGCCATAACTTAAACTCTCCATTAATAACGTGGTATTATCCAAGGGAACTTTCCGCAAATGCACATCAATTTGTTGGGTTAATGAAAGCAACAAAATTCGAGAGTTTACATCCCAGTTCCACAGCTTTGCTTATCAGGCTTGCTTATAACTTTCTCCTGTTCTAATATAAATAAACACTATAACATTTTGCACTGAAAATTCTGGTAATGCCCAAAATAATAATAGAATATAAAATATATAATATAATAAGCCAAAATAAATCTATGGTATTTAAATTAATTTGGAATCAACTAAAATCTTAAGAACTATTCTTCTGAGTTTAATTTCCCATTAAACGTTTTCTGTTAGTTCAGCTAATAACTAATACTTTTCTAAGCTATTTTATTTTGAAATCAACATTTTTCTGAGTGCACACATACGTGTAAATAAGCTAGCAGATATGTAGGCATTTCCTAGTCTGGCTTTTGTACTGAAAACAGAAACCTCTGCGAGCTAATGTACACTTTTGTTTTCCACGAAGGCAGTGGAAAGCGAGGCAAGCCACGATACCAGGATACGAGGCTCAAATGGATTGAAAGCAGAGGGAGAGAGGTGACGTGTGTGTCTGTGTAAACAGGAAGTGTTGTGCCGCAGGCAATGTTGCAACAAATAGCCTTTCGAAGGACCTACAGGGGAATCAAAGGCCCCCCTTCTCTCGATCTCATGTTTCTGCCTGCCGTTGGGGATTTTGCAAAAATATTTGCTTACATAAAATAAGAGGAGGCCAACATTTAATGAATGGCCTGCCACCTGTGAATGCTTTTAATGAGCTAACGCAAGGACTGCATCGGGTATCCTTGCTGGCTGGCGGATGGCGGATGGCGGATGTTAACTGCGGATGGTTACGTACCCCTGCACCTCTATAAACACTTTGAGTGGTGCATCGTAAACACTAGAGCTTTATTGCCAACTCCTGTTTATATTTCATCAATTATATTATACAATAAAATCCAAATTATAATTGGCACATTAAATATGGGTGAACGCCTGCATCATTATCACATAAAATATAGTTAACGTATATCCACTATAAATATAATAATACTGACAGCTTGAAGCTGCTGATTTATTTACACTTCTTTTTAATATTTAATAAACTCAATTTGAACTTTTCCCAGACAAATAATCACAGCATTAAAATTTATTGCTTATAAATAGTTTTGTTGCAATTAAATGTTCTGATGAAATTTACCTAAATAAATATGGTTCGAAAAATGCTTAAAGGTCTGCCAGTCTTTAAGCCAACATTAAGTTTAGTTTCTTTCACCGAAAACAAATGGGCTGGCAAAGGAATCTTGTTTATGGCATATACACAAAATAGTTTGGCCAAAAGCCGAAAAAAGTCATAGCTGCCATAAATCAGAATGAAAAAGTGAATGAGCAAACTCGGGCCAACACAAATATTGCCGCGGCAGCGAAAGAAAACTTTGAAAACGACTTCGAGAGGGAAAAAATGAGGATTCAACGACACATTTGCGGCTGACTGAGGAGGGGGAAAAATAGAATGGAAATATATTTCCGGCGACGACAATCAGGTGAAATGCGAAAAGTGTCGAGGAAGTTGTCAAAACAGTGCGATAACGCTTTCTGGCCAAAACTGTTACCACATTTGATGGCCAGCCGCAGATGATGGGCCACATCCTGACCCTAATTGAAGACGGGGTCCAACTTGTCTGTGCGGCTCCTTTAAAGTACATATATTAATTTCTGGAGGAATTTTCCCCACAACGGAGGCTTTTCTGCCGGCTCCCCTTTTATTTATTGTGCCAAACGAACCAACCAACGATGGTAATATTTTTTCTCCACGGCCTGCACTTTACATCATTTTTCTTCGGAGCCGCCATCTACATAATTTCAAGGATTTTTCCCCACAGATGCCTTCAAAAGAAATTAATCTTGCGAACGCGAAACCCACGAAAATTTACGAGGCGCCTTGCCAAAGGTGGAATCACATTATTTTGCCAATACATTTTTTTACCGGCCACTTTTTATTACTTTAAGCGAATAGTATGAATACCATTCCAATATAAATAGCATTACAATGAAAAATGTATATTAAAATAACATAATATAATAGCACTACAAATAGCATTACAATGAAAAGCATTTATATATTAAAATAGAATTAATCTAGTTTACGAGTTGCCTCGCCAAAGAATTAATAAAATTATTCAGCCAATTCATTTTTTACCCGCAACTATTAAATACTTTAAGCGAATAATTCGATTAACATACCAATATAAATAGCTGAACAATTGAAAAAGCATCCATATTCAAATTGGATTAATCTAGTTTAATCAATGTACACAAACGCTGCGATTTTAATTAACACATCAAATCCTTGTTGCCGCTGAGCGGGTTGGATTATTTGCAAACAAAAAATAAATAAATAAACTCGGGCAGCGGGGAAAACAATTGAGAAATTGCTGTAATTGAAAGGAGCTTGGTAAACAAAACCTTTTGCCTCGAGAGCCGCGGGTGGCGAAAAACAACTGCTGTACAGCGTTTTCCCTGTCAGCTGACTTTTTGCACTCACTGTTGGTGTTGAGCCGAGCAGCTCACAGTGATTGTAAAAACAACAGCCTCTGGAATAACAGAAATATCAGATCATACAGAAATAATATGCACTTTTTATAACCTTTTTAAATAGCTTTGCTTAAATAAATATGAAAAATGCACTTAGCTCGCAATTTGATATTAAAATTTTCCACATGGGAGTTATCTCCTTATGCGCTAAGCCACATTAACCCTTCAATCCAATTCACACAAACACTTTTTCAGCGAATCGTAAACCAATTAACTTCCACTTATCGTAAATCAGCTGTTCGCGGTTGACATTCTTGAAAAATCATGCAGCGCTGCCTGTGCAATATGGTTGAATGGCATAAATGGCTGGAAAACACAAATATGGCAGGCAGGTCAGCTCCTCGTTCGGTTCTGCTCCCGACCGCCATAAATCACATAAATGTGTGGCCGCATCAGCAGCGTCCAGAAAAAGTAAAAAACATTCAAGTAAGAAAAAAGTTAAAAACAAGCG